GGTGTTTGCCTTGTTGGTACTAGTGGACTTAATTCTGCATTTCTTCTGAAATTTCACAAGACTTTCAGGCTGTCGCTGAACAATGGAGGCAGTGTCGATACTCTCCTTTCTTCTGAAAGAGAGCTCTGGAACAAAGAGAAATTGATTCTGCAACAGTCCCTGAAGCAGGCCGAAGCAGAGCTGGCCAAACTGAGGGCAGAATTAAGGAATGAGGCTTTTCTGAGAGAACTGGGGTCAGATTCAGAAAATGCTGCTTTAAAGGTAAGAGGCCTTTCATCGCCTGTTGTTTGGACATTTTGTTCTATTGTTAAGAATATTACTTGATTTTTTTCTTCTTGCATTAATCTGAGGTAAAATGCTTATTATTGCATTTATATCCCACCTTTTCTCCAAGAAGCTCAAGGTGGCCTTCATCATTCTCCCACTCGCCATGTTATCCTTGTAACAACTCTGTGCGGTAGCTTAGGCTGACAGACTGTGACTGGCCCAAACTCAATTCAAGGCTGAGTGGAGATTTGAGCCCTGGCCTGTCACATCCTAGTCTGTTTAACACCTTTCCTTTCCTTTCTTTTGTTTTTCTTCCGATTTTTCCTTCGGATAAATGAAAGGAAAAGGCCAACATTCTGCACTTGGTTGAAGTTCAGAGGAAGAAGATCCTGCATGCAAGTGGAGCCTTTTTGCTTTGCCAGTTAAGGTTGAAGTTGCAGCTCCTCATACTGCAATACTAACTTAAGGAGCTGCATGGGTAGTGGACAGGGCTGGGGAAGCTGTGGCCCTCCAGAGATTGCTGCTCCTATCATCTCTGACCGTTGGCCATGCTGGCTGCGGCTGGTGAGAGTTGTAGTCCAACAAAATTCCCCATTCCTGGGATAGGTGGAAAGAATGACCTCCATTCGGACATCAGACATAACAAAGAGTGTTATTTATTAATACATTATTTTATTTCCTTTCCTTTCTAGAGAATTTATGGCAGATACCTGAGAGCAGAGAGCTTTCGGAAGGCTCTCATATACCAGAAGAAATATTTGCTGCTCTTATTGGGTGGGTTTCAGGAGTGTGAAGACGCCACCTTATCCCTCCTTGCCAGAATGGGTGGGCAGCCTTCCTACACAGACCTAGAGGTGATCACCCGCCGTTCAAAGAGTTTCACTCGGTTCCGCTCAGCAGTTAGAGTATTAATCGCAATTTCAAGGTATGATACAGGACATTTGTTTTGTATAAAGTGAACCAAATACATGACCTGCATGTGTAAAGAAATAAAATGATGTAAGTAGGCGTCCACTCCATTTAAATCTGAGCCCCTGTGTCACTGCAAAGTTACGTATCATGGACGGAAAACAAATCAAGAGATTCTATGGCATGTGTTCTACTCGCAGTACCTAAGAAAACATGATTCATTTTTCTCTCCTGAATGTCACTAATTTTACAACTTATTATTTAGTTTATCTATGTTTATATTCACAAAAAACAAGCCTACATTATTTTAAAAATGTATTACAAAAGCAGTGTTGGGGTACAGTGCTGTGGTCCCTGGAAGTTCATCCCGAGGGACCTATGATCTTTCTCTGAAAGCAGAGAAGGAACTCCATTCCTGGAGGCCTCTTCATTGTGGCTGCAGGAACCTTTGTGGCTGTCTCTTCTCCAAAGCTGATCAGGGAGACAGGCCAAGAGGCGGCTTTGAATCCTCAGCTCTCCTGATAAGTGAAAGCACAGCCCCCCTCCCTTTGACCCTGGGTGGCATGAGATTGACAGCGCTCCAGATTTGGCACTTCTTTCCCACTGCCATTGGTTTGCTCTGCCCAGCAAGTTGCATTAGCTGATTTAGAGATTGGTTATGTAAGACTGTTTCATGTATCTATGGAGAATTCTAATCCTGTTGTTTGCATCAGAAATGTTTAGACAAGTCTTTCTTTGTTCATTTTCAAATTGCAGAATGAAGTTTCTAGTTCGTCGATGGCACCGAGTAACTGGTTATAGTTTAACAGGCATCAACAGAGATGGTTTTAGCCAGAACACAGGTAAATAATTTTTGACAGATTCCCTTTTAAGGTCTGGCAGTCCTAGAGACCAGTGTCTCATTTTTTAAGTTTAGCAATGAGATAAACTTTTCCAATGATTTGGTTTTTGAGGGACATTTTCCCCCATCCAGAGAAGAGTGTGTGTATGTCTGCCATGCATATATAAGGATAGCTTTCTTGAAATCATTTGTTGGTGGTTCTCAGGTGATCTTAAAGTGATCACACCAGTGTTACCATGGCCATCTTTTGGAGAGAGAGGAAATAAAAAGATGCAAAGTAGCACGTTTTTAAAATTCTGTGCTGAGAATACAAACCCGAGCCAAGTCACACATTCACACAGTGGATGGGGAAGCTGATGAGGTATCAGAGCCCTCAATACTATCTCCACAAAGTGCCGCATACTTCGATTCCATTGTAGTCAGAGCTTAGTGCTTAAGCAAACTTAAACAAGTGCCTATACCATTTGCTTTCGTCTACTATTCTGTGACCATCAGAGGTTTGCCTTCTGCACTACTAGATATTTAACTGGCCTATGCTTTTCTTCTAACTTGCAAAACCAGACATTGTGGCTTTAAATAGGCAATAAAATGCAATCATGTAGCATGAAAAGAAGAATTATTGGAGATTATCCTGACACTCAAATTTCTGTATTTTGTGAAAAGAATCCAGTGTTGATTTAAGAAGAGAGTTTTGAACACTGTATTTGAATGCTCAGAACCAGCAAGCAAAGCCCAGAAATTATACTTTGACCTCTTTGGAAAGGCTCAGCTTCTGGGTTGTAAATTACACAAAACTTTGCGGGTTTAAGGTGATACTTCTAAGCCCTCATGGCTACAGCATAGGCTTGAATGGTGACAGCATGATTTGTAAACAAGGCCACCCGTTTCAATGATTTTCACCCATAAGGTACAAGAAACAAGTTCATTAAATGCTGCTGGTGTACAGAAATGGGAGTCTTTAATTTGCTGCTTCTCTTTAGCAGAAAGTTAATTTGTTTGTTTACATAGGTAATGACCTGCGACCTGATTCCTTCCCTGGTGGCCTGGAGCTCTTTGGAGAACATAGGCATTCATCTTACAGATCTAGATCAGAGCTGGAATCACTTAGATCTCCTCTAAGCTATCAGCATAGGTAAATATCAGTGTTTGGTCTTTTCTTGCATGTCTGTGATGGGCTGCTGAAGCAAATTAGCATGTAGCTTCTATTTTCAGAGCTACTGGGGACAAAACAAGCTAAGAGAGGCTGTCATCTTTATCCCATGTTTTGTGAACTTTGCTGGAAACGGAATGCTGGATCCTAACTTGACCAAGGAAGCCATTCCTTAGGCTGCCATGCATATATAAGGATATAAGGATGAATACTGGCTTACAAGGAGAGAAAATGCCAAAAATGCATGTCCCTTTCTCAAACACTAGAACTGGGTGGGGGGTTTCAACCAACAAAATGTATTGGTAGTAGAATCGGAGCAATTGAACATATGCTCCCTTGCACCACATAATCAATGAATGGATTTACCTACCACATACTGTGGCAAGGGCCAGTGACTTCCATAGCTTTTAAAAGGGATCAGACAAATTCATAAATGGAATCTACACACCCCATAAAAGTCTGTGCACATTTTCAGTACCAGATGCAGGAAGGCAGAATTGACCTTTGCGTCCTGCTTATGGACTTCCCGGTGGCATGCCATTGGCTACAGTTGGAAACGGGATGGCTGGCTAGTTGGACCTTTGATCTGATCAACCTAATACTCCGTGTCAAATTTTAGATTGGAAGCTCCTTGGAGAGGGAGCTGCCCTCTTGTACTCTTGTTATTTTACATAGCATCGTCAGAGTGCCTGGTGCTTCACAGCCAGCAGGGAAGTTATTACGGCTTTTACAGAAGGATCAGCATAAATACCTGAGGGTTGTATATTGACATACCCATTGCACTTGTTTGGCGTAGTTTCTGTATCACATCTTTATATCTTATATCTTTATATCTTATATCTTCTGTATCATATCTTTGTATATCTTTGTATCTCAGTAATTATCAACAGAGTTTTGCTTATTTTGCAGTATTTGCCGCATTCTAGAACCTGAAGGCACTTTACAGCACCAACTGACATCTTTTGTTGCTTATCTCTCCATTCTAAGGTACCAGGGCATCCACACCGATTTAAGCCCAGTCTCCCTCGCATGTTCTCAGCTGCAGAATTATGATCCTGACAGGGCTTTAACAGATTATATCAACCGCCTGGAGGCTCTACAGAGGCGGCTTGGCAGTGTACAGTCAGGTAAACGTTCTTTTCTAATTATTGCGCTCCAGTTTGTATTTCTGTAAACAACTGCTGTTCACATCAATCATTGTGTTAATTTCAGGAAGTCTGTAATTGTCAAAGCCGCACCACACCCACTAATGTGTTTCATTTTGGTCCACAGCACCTGCTTCATACACTCAACTGCATTCTGGTATCAGAAGATAATCCTTGTGACCTATTTCACCGCTGGTAGTGATATCAGATGAAATGCCTTTTGCAACTCTGCTGCTGCTGCTGCTGTGCTTTTCGTATGTGTATATTGTGGGACCAACATGAACACAGCTCAATGATTGTATGCAGTTCACCTTGCTGGCATCTTCACCAAGACTGGAACTTATGTATATAGGCACTTTTTGTGGACATTTGAAACCGATCATTAAATTTCATGTATATTTGTGGAATGCTAATTTAAACAATTAAATTATTTAAAGTGTATTTATCAGGCGGTTTGAGAGGTTGAAATGTTTATGTCTTGAGATTGCCGAGTGTGTAGCTCCCAAGTGTGCACAACAGTTTCTGATGAGGCTATAACTGAAGGACTTTTCATGATTTTATCCTATTTGCTACTGGCACTGCAGAGAAAAAAATATCACCCGTAGAGACCTATTTTTGTAAAGGTAGAAGTTTTGAATTTTATGGGTATTTTGTCAAAGTACTGAAATAAAGATGATTTCATCCTTTTAAATGTGTGACACGTGTTCAAAATTTATTTTGAAACTTTAGGCCTGCTGAAAAAAAAACAGTCTTCTGACTAGCTACAATAAGAGTGTTTTTAAGGCGCTACAACATTTTTATTGTTACAGGCGGTTCCCCATTTACACAGGGGTTATTTTCTGGGCCCCCACATGCATACATGAAAATGTGCAAAATGGAGAGCACCCTGGAGAGTCGTCCTTGCTCAGGAGACCTGCCCCAGTGGTCTCCTCGTGAGTCGGAGGGGAAGCGTCTTACCTACGCATCACCTGCCCGCCCAGCTTGTGTGTGCACGATCATGCACAAATAGAATATGGGGAGTTGCTTGTGCATTTGTGAGAAATGGGGAAGGGGGAGAATGTCTGGTTCTCAGGTGTGAACAAGTCACCTGGTTGTTCCTCTGTTCTACTCTCAGTCCATACTGAGGGCACTACACCCATGAGAGCCTTCGGCTTTCTTCCAAAACTGCTTGCACACCAACATTTTATAGATAAGACACCGTGTAAGTAAAAATGTCCTGTGCTAGTCACATAAGATTAATACTTTAGATCTTTATCATAAGTATTAATCTCAACCCGATTGCCTAACTGTAACTTACATTAAAGTTGTCATTTTGGCATTGCCCAATTTAAAAACAAAGGGTTGTATCCAGTGCTTTGCAAGTGGAACTCTGCCACAGGCAGAAAGTCACCTCTGGAAAACAATAACATCTATGATCTACAGCTCTCATGATTAGTCATCTTTGGCTTAATCAGCATTCCACTAGACCAGGTTTTTTCACAAGTTTAAGTGAAACTACTGGAGTCAATGAAGCAGGATCCTATTTTTTTATCCCAACATTTTAAAGAAACCAAAATACATTCTCATTAATCCATTTACATTTTAAAAAACTGTGGTATTTCTAAACCTACCAAAGATTAATAGTTTTCTTTTAAAAGGCACATATATTAGAACACATTCACATTACAGAATCAGAAGTACAGGATAAGAAATGATAGAAACATAAAAAGCAAACATCCCACCCCCCACTTAGTACTCCCAATAGCACAAACTTTCCACACTTCTTCACAATACTATAGGCTAGGAACAGCCACTTTTTTTAACTGTCTTCACATAACTTGTACAGAAATGTCCCTGCAGTTCAGCTGCAAGAAGCTATGTTGTGCTGTTTGATCTCCTTTTGTATCTAATGATAGGGTTAGTGGGTGTATGGATCATAGTTGTATAATTTATGGTAGGGAAATAACCGTCCACCAAATCAAATTCATACAAACGCAGAAGCGTTGACCAAATTGTCTTAATTTGAATATAAGCAAAGTTCTCTCCAATACAACGATGACGACCTAAAAGAAAATTAAAAGTGTCTTTATTTTACGTTTGCAAACATTCTTGTACCACCAAGAAATTAGATCTGTATAAGGGAGCAATCCTAAACTCCCGGGGGGGGGGGGTGAAGGGCCACAGGATGCCTCAAAACTGGATGCCTGCAAACAAAACCCACCCAAGGTCTGCTTCATGGGAACAAAAATAGGTTGCTGTGGGAGAGGCTTTAACCTGTTGGAACCTCAGTTACTGTTTATTAGCCAAGTGCCTGCATTTTCAAGAGATTAGCTAGAGACACTGATACTCCACTTTTCAAAACATGAGGGCCGACACAGGTGTCCAGTCCATGCTGCAAATTAATTTTAAAAATTAAAGTCTTTTGCTTGTTTGTTTTTAAATGACTGAAGGTGGCAATGATTGTATCCCTTATTTGGAGAACATCTACTACAACCAACTTACCAGCACCAAACGGCACATACGCAAACTTCTCTTTAGCTGCGGGGTTATCCTGGAGATAACGCTCTGGTTTGAAATCTACATTTTCTGTCCAACAATCCTTAAGTCTCTGATTGACAGTGGGAGATACACAGACTTGATGACCAGGTGGAATTGTATACCCAGCAACTGTCTAAAAGCAAGAAAACACTTTTATCAAGTGTACATTCAAATCCAACCCATCAAAAGTTTGGATAGTTGATTCACTAATACTATTCATGTACCACTCATATCATCAATGTATTATCACTATCCTAGCTAAAGGCATTTCTCTGTTTGCTCAAGTTGTGGGACATCCAGCCTCCTATAACCAATATGCTTAAGTCTAATTAATGCATGAAGGGGTTAAGACCATAGCTTAAGCTGTCCTGCTTGGCTTAGCTAGGTCACTCCCCCTCTTACCTTGGGAGGAAGGGATCAAGCCTTTGTTCTTTCCATTCCAGCATGTGAACTCTACCAATAAGGAAGTCTAAGCTAGATGCTCCAAGCTCAGACCACATGGCTTAAGCCAGCCACCTTGGTGTGTCTATACCAAATAATTTAGAAACACCACTTGAGAACCTAAGTTTTACTACCCCCTATTCTGACTACTGTATGGAAAAGCATATGAATCTGTCTATTGAAGAGTTTATTAGTAAACCATTTTTTATTTACCAAATGTCTAGTCTCTTTCTGTGTTAAGGGAAGTGGGGAACTTTGGAAGCAACTTAGAATGGAACTGCTGGAAATAATTTAAGGCAAGCAGCAGTCCTGAACTCCTGGAAGAGCAGCAGAGAGGCTATAGGATAGCACAGGGTTTCTTCTCTGCAGTCAGAAAGGGAGGTCCAGCACTAAAGTCCTCCTTGTGGGAGTTAAAAGCTCCACCATAGCCACTCCTCTGCTGTTAGTGCTCCAAGGATGGTATCGAATGGAAAGGGGGCATGTTGTGGAAACCCTTAGTTCCTCTTTTCCTTAGAAGTCTTCAAACCAGCCACAACCCTACTCCCGCCCTCAAGCTGATGTAGTCTATTCTCTTTGGGAGGGAGATTATTCCCACCCCCACCTTCCACCCTGGCCAGTGTAAACACAGCAGGGCTTTGGAAGTAGGCATTAACTCATCTGCCATAAACTTCCTTCTTCAACCCCGCCTCCAAGGACTACTTTGCCCATGTATTAAGTTTTAGGTACTACAACAACCTCATATATAACTGTGTCTGCGCAGTTACTTAAACTGATTGTATCATTTACAAGGGGGGAAATCAAGAGGTTAGAACTATTCCACCTTTTGTACTGTTATTTGTCAATAAAAGTAATGTTTGCAACTTCATATTGCTTTTGGAGCGTACTCTTCTGGTCAGTAGTGGCACCTTGACATCACTGCTACCTAGTTAGAAGGGGTGAGGTCAGAGTCACATTTCACCAGCAGGAGTATCGCTGGCTCCTCTTCTCTGCTGCCCAGAGAAGCAGCAATGCCAGGAAGGTGGCTCTGCCCCACCACACATTCCACTTACCACCTCATCAAGATATTATTTCTGCTTTAACATATCGCTGAAACAAAGATTCGTACTTGGGGAGTTTTAGCCATCCTCATCATAGTCATTATAGGAGGTCGAAGTCTTAATGTTTCTTTCAAGCAAAGTTCCAAGAAAGTCATATCTTTGAGCTACGAAAGAGTAAAAACAAACCTTGTTGGTTTTGTGCATATCTATACGGATAACATCCTTTAGTGAAAGAACCATAATTTAGCATAAAGCTAAACAGCAGATCGTTATCTTCCAGCAGAACTAAAGCAATTTAAAACATGTTTTCCTCTATGTAATTGGAGAAAAAGAAACTACGTGTTTGCGTGTAATTTTACATTAGCATCCACAATATTGCTCAATCTTAACTCTGGTCCAAACTAACTCTCATTACACCTAGAATTATAGAATTGTTGGAAGGGACCTTAAAGGTCATCCTAGAACTTGAACCCATGACCCTAAGATTAAGAGTCACATGCTTTTACTGACTGAGCTAGGGCAAGGGTAGGAACCTCTCTAGCCCAGCGGGCCAGATAATTATCTTCACTCATCCTTATTCTGACCGATGGCAAATGAGCTCTTCTGCTTGCTACTTTACACAAGGCTTTCAAGGGGGTTCCTGAAGATCTGAGAAGCAGCTGATTGTCAGATGTTCGGAAACTCCATTCAAAGCACTGTGGAAAATAGCACTTTTGTAAATGGCTTTGCAGACGTTGTCAGTCAGTCTTGCCTGCAAGCTCCCTTTCAGCCATGACTCACCTTTACCTGCCCCACACCTGGCATCATATATTACATGCAGGGCAGGTGGACATGGCTTCGCCAAATAGGAAGGCCCACCAATTTGGGCCCCCCCAATTTAGGGGATTTAACTTCACTCATAATTAAAAACCAAGAACTAAAAAGCCCTCTGAAAACCTGTTCTCTCAACTAATTCCACCTAAACATTTAAGGAACTTGCCATAACCAGACACTGGAGAGACCTATCAGGAGTCAGCATGGACCAATGGTACCAAATAGTATGGGAAACAGCCCTACTATAAAAATTAACCAATAAACTGAAACTGACACGGGGACAAACAGAAGAAGATGCCTTTACCCCGGTATGGCTCCCCTTTATCACATACACAGCCCAACAAGACAATGACAATAATCCACCAACAGCATACAAATCAATATGGCTAACCTGATCCAAAACCCACCCCACTCACACATGAAAACAAAGATCACCACAGCCAATCACAAACAAACAACCACACTCTAGGCCAACCCCAACCTCTCTCACCACCAAAGGAACACAAGTGAACAGCACAAGCAACGCTGACACCAAACCCTACATACATTAAGCATAATAGAAACATCGCCACTCGACCCCACCTCCACCCATCTTCCCTCCCTCCACCCCTTTTTCTTTCTCCCCCTAATGTCTCGACAAATGAAACGGATTTGTAAAAATGTTACATGGAAAAAATACGAGAGACATTACACTTACTTCTGTAAAACAAGAAAATCTTTAAAAAAAAACATTTAAGGAACTTGCATGCATTCACACAGAAATGCTTAAAAGGAATTACAGAACCTACAAACCTGGTCATAGCTTAATGGAGGCAAGTCTTCCCCACACACTGCTTTTTGCTCCCCATAACATCGCTCCTGGATTGATTTATCTCTAGCCAAAAAGAAGCCAAGCCAAGTGCTTGTAGTCGAAGATGTGTGCTGACCTGCCAACAGCAGCCCGATAAGCATCCCAGCAATTTCATCATCTGATAGGTAACGGCCATCTCTAGATTTTAAAAACAGACAACACAGGTCATATGTGCCACTTGAACAAGGAAGTCAAAAAACAGATTTCATGGACACAATCCTCTGGGTGGCTGCTGTTTTCCATTTCTGCTAAAACAAATTCAGATTAATTCAAGCAAAATACATAGAATCATTTCAGGATTGCTAGGACAATTTATTAGAAATATTCATACTGTGTCCTTCCACTGTATTTGCAGTGAGGGGCAGGGTTGGCACTGCAAAAAAGCCTGCTCTACTTTGCATAAGTCAGGCTACTAGTTGCTCTGCTGCTATTTTATCTTCCTGAATAAAAAGTTGTTGGAAACTCAGAGCTGAAAAGACCTTCCTGGAACTAACAGCAACATTTTTGCTACATCACGTACTTGTAGGTAACATCCAGCAGTGTTTGAAGCATATCGTCCTCTCTTGGCAAAGACTTCCGTCGTTTCTGAATTATTTCGTAAAAAATGGACTTTATCTTATTGTGGGCTCTATCTCTGCGCCTGAAATTAAAACAATCCATGTAAGTAACAGCATGTTTAGAAGGGAAAAAAATTAATCTACAGGGTTTGAATTCTACATATCAGTTTCCAATTTCAACACGCATGCATGTTGCCTGCATTGCTCCTTAAAAGGCTGTATCAATTTACACAAACTTAAAAAACTAGATTGGCCCTACAATTCTATACAAGAGTGTACTTACTGAGAGGCTAATGCATGGGTAGGCAAACTAAGGCCCAGGGGCCAGATCCGGCCCAATCGCCTTCTAAATCCGGCCTGTGGACGGTCCGGGAATCAGCGTTTTTTTACATGAGTAGAATGTGTGCTTTTATTTAAAATGCATCTCTGGGTTATTAGTGGGGCATAGGAATTTGTTCATTTTCCCCCCAAAATATAGTCTGGCCCCCCACAAGGTCTGAGGGACAGTGAGCCGGCCCCCTGCTGAAAAAGTTTGCTGACCCCTGGGCTAATGTGATACTCCTACCTGAAAGGTGGGACTTTCTTTCAATATCTGACAAACTGGCATGCTGAGAAACAATCCACATTCTAATCTGTACTTCATAGTCTAGCACCAACAGTAATGGAGGCTTTGTTTTGGTTTAAAGGGAGATTGCTCCCTTCTCATGCTGCTATTTCCCCTTTTGAAAACCAGGGCAATACTGGCATAGAAAACAGTGGAATCTGGCGGTCCTCCATGGGCTGGCAAGGGGCTGCACTGAAGCGGCTCCCACACCACATAAAGAGCAAAGAGGTCCTTAAGCAGGACTGACTCATACGTAGAATGTTGTGGCTATGGATTCGAAAATAAATGCTGTGAAACCAAATTAATATTTAAGCTAAATACTAAGTGTTCTGTTTTAGCAGCACTCAGTAAATAAACAAAACATCAAGAAGTATAGTAGCGTAAACTGGAATTGAACTGAAACATTAGTGAAGTTAAATATCTCAGGTTACAGCACAACATAATTAATGTTAATCCCTGCTCCATCCTGAAGTACAACATCACTAAGACCAATTTAATTGACAGGGTTGTTATGATGGTGTAACAAAGGAAAGAGAACTGCATAGAAAGCCCATAACTCCTTATGGAGGGCAGGATGAAATGTATAGAATGCATATTTGATTAACTCAATTCTCTGCTCATCAAGTTTCTCAGTACCTGAAGCTGGGCAAAGGCAGCCAGCCTGGCAAAAGCCAAGCTGCATGAGAAAATCCCCCATCCAAATCAGCATAGAGCTGTGCTACCTTCTCGTCAAGAACGCTTCTTATCTCCTTCCCATGTAAACAGTGACTTGCTGTCAAAATTATTAGTTCTGAAAGTGCTGTAAACAAGTCTGTGCATAGAGAGAAAGAGTACATTAATGGGAATTCAGTAAATCAGAGGAAGAATTCAGGTTTACCATCAAAATGAACCTCAAAAATAAATGAACACAGTCCATTTTCGCCATGTGTGGCAGAAGCTACTGTTTCTAGACACTGCAAATGGTTTTTACATGGAAAATAAAATAAAGTAAAAGGCAGCCCTAAAAGTACCTTGTAACCCTGTTACCTTGTGAGTATCTTACCTTTGTCTGTGGGAGAGGTTGTGTGACAGAATTTACTGCAGATTTCTTTTTAAAAAATATATTGTAAGGAATGGGCCAGACGAAATGTGCTGAAGCCAGATTTAGAGTTATCCATCCCACAGGGTTATAAAATCCCATCTAACTTGAGAGCCTACAACCTAGAAATTTCAGACCCATGAACTACCGGTAAATCCATTCCTGACCACATGCTTTAATGAAATGTGCCATCAGGTTGTTTGAACAGAACTGGTTGCATGTGTATTTTCAGTCCTACATAGGGATGAAATAGCTCAAACTGGATGAAAACATCACACAAGGCTCACATTAACCCTAGAATAGGTTCTGAAAGTACTCCCTTTTCTTTCTTCTTTGTGTTTTATTTAGATCGGTTTTTGGCCTTGATAAAAAGATATTTGATATTAATCTCTGTATTCTTTTTCAAATTTCAATAAAACATTTTTTTAAAAAAATATGATAGTATACCTTTCAAACAATCATCTCAGGTCATTATAACAAGGAGGAAAAAGCAAAAACAGTTATCCATCACGATGGAGCCAATGAGTAGCCATTCACTACAATTTTTACTCAAGCAGCGTGCATAGGGAAAAGCAGGAGGCAAACCTTCCAAACTCCTTTTCAACACCAGCGCCAAAGCCTTATGCAAAAATAGGTCTGGAACTGAGCACATAGTGTTATTTTTCCTGCCCTTTTTATTTCATTATTTGTTGCCCATAAGATAGCAACTGGTTATTTTATTTGCCCTGAAGTTGTTGATAAAGGATTCTATACACCTAAGAAGTTACAAATAATTGATTGCAACTGGATACACCAACGCTTGTTCCAGAATGACCCGGTTCAAATAGAAGCACAACATTTCAAACTATATACTTACTTTTTTCTCCACTTTCCCCCCAAGTTTTAAAATATTCCATAGTTTCTTTTTCAATTATTGGTATATGGCTTTTAAACTGGCTTATGTTCAGCCCGGTTTTAAGCATCTTCTTCTGTTCCAGAAATACCTTTAAAAAGCAAAGAATGCTGTATTTACAAAATATTCAACTTGTATGTTTTAGGCATGAACTAGCAAAAAGGTAAGGACTTGTTTGCCACTAATTTTAGTAGGAGAAAGTAAGGCACACATGGCTCCACTTTCTTCCCACATCAGAATCAGTTTCACTTTGGCATTTTGTGCCAATAATACATTATAGAACTAATTGCAAAGATGGCAATTTTTCAGGACATAATAAGACAGACTGTGAAGCATTTATGTATGCACAAAAAACCCATTTTGATCCAAACCTTTTTTTATATAAAATGCCTTCAGGCTAATAACTTCTTTCTGAAGTGAACCGTAAGTTAAACCAGGCATAGGCAAACTTGGCCCGCCGAATATTTTTGGGACTAAAATTCCCATCATCCCTGACCACTGGTCCTGTTAGCTAGGGATGATGGGAGTTGTAGTCCCAAAAACATCTGGAGGGTCAAGTTTGCTATGCTTGAGTTAAACTATAAAGTAATACAATGCACCCTGATAGAGTGTATCAGCAGTTATGGAGTGGGTATTCAGCTATAAAATTGTACTATCTACTATTTCATCTTCTGTCATTAGTTTGGCTAATTGTATTAGACTGAATATGGCAGCAATACTTATGAGTAATTGAAGCTAACTCTGTTGTTTTGTTATTGCAACAACTTGCTGTGTTCTATATGTAACATGAAAGTACAGTCATACCTCATGTTACGTGCACTTCATGTTACGTTCTTTCAGGTTACATCCCGTGGCGACCCGGAAGTACAGGAAAGGGTTACTTCTGGGTTTTGCCGCTTGTGCATGCGCAGACACGCAAAATGATGTCACATGCATGCGCAGAAGCGGCAAATCGCAATCTGCGTGTTCGCAGACGCACCACTGCGGGTTGCGTTCTTTTCATGTTGCGAACGGGCCTCTGGAACGGATTGTGTTCGCAACCAGAGGTACCACTGTAAATAAACTGAAATGGAAATAACACATACTGGGTTGGGTACATCATAAGCTACTCCCTTGCCAAAGACAGGTGTGGTTAGCCGTGAATACACATCTTCTGCATTCAAGTCTTCATTTTTACTGTTGAACAGAAGAGCAGCAGCATCACTACCCAGGAGATATGTAAACGTCTTCCCCACCATTGTGAAGCTAAATACAGGACCGTACTGTGGAAACAAACCAAGAAGGTAGGAAATGAAGGGGCAGGGAACAGAAGCGTACAAGAATGTGACTTTATTATCATACAGCAAAGATAGTGAGAATTTTCACTGAAATCCATAAAATGCATAATAACTGCTTTAAAAAACATAAATGGCTGTATACAAGAAGCAAAAACGAAAACAAAAATGCATCTACCTGGACATCTACTGTGTCTAGGCTGCAACCTTAGGCACAATATATGGTAGCTGTATCACAAGGTAATTGGGAGGATAAAATCAGAGTAGGATTACACAATGCTTTGAGCTTCTTGGAAGGCAGAATATATATATGTATGTATGTAAATACTTCCAAGTAAACATACTTAGACTTGAATTGCACATAATGTTTAAACTTGTTCAAGTAGACAGATGGGCAATGGCCAGACAAAGTAGACAATGACCAGGGATTCACCAGGCCCACCCAATTATAATTCTACCCTACTCTTCTTCCCATAGATTCTACCCTACTCTTCTACCCTACTCTTCTTCCTATAGAAAAAGTTATACTAACCACACATAGATTATTTGCATCTGTTCATTTCATTTAATATCCAAGGTTATTCATAGAGTAAACCCAATGAAACCAGTACTTAGATTCCTTATATCAATACCCCAAGCATGACTTAGTTGGATATTACCCTATGGTAGCTTTGCTGTTGAAAAGCGTGTTGCTGTTAACCACATCCCTGTTCACTCACTTACTACTAATGTGAATATTGATTTAACTTACTGTTATTTTAGTTAAGATTTTGGGCAGACCATTATTATCACTCTGCACCAAATATTAGTCTCAGTAGGCTAATATACTCAAATGCATAACCAATCATGAGAAGAACTCAGATCTTGAACATCCACAGATACCCCACACAAGATGAGGTGAAGAAGCCACTTGGAGGAGGATTTAGGAGCTGATACAGAGAAAGCACTTAAACTGCATTCTAAAATCTTCTTCTAAAACAGCTTTTCTTTTTTTTTTAAGTAGCATCAAGGTTCTCATATTTGCATGGGATGCATTGCTAGCCTATGAGACTTCAGTCTTGGAATTTCATTCAGCTAAATATTTGAGCTCAAGGATTCTGAATAATTGTGTTACTTTGGAGCCCTAATAATTATACCGCAAAATGATTATAGACTCACTTTTTCATAGGCGTTTTCCAAGAATTCGATAGGATTCTTCCCAAATGTAATTGCATGTCCCAAAAAGGGGACGTTCGACGAAATGTAAGGTGGGTAATTCTGAAGAAGAAGAAGAAGAAAGCCTTTTGTTATATAGTTTATCAAAAAGCAGCTCTACACTAAACTGTTTTCAGCACCGCGATCTAACCAACTGAGCTAACCGGCAAGGCTGGCTCTAAAAAAAAGGATGACAGATATGGATGGGAATCAAACAACAGCACCGCCCCTATGAATGTTTTCACCTACACGCATTTATAGACATTAAAGAAATGCCGAGCATCCGGGCTCTTTACTCTGATTTCTTTACTCCAGATTTCTTCTCTGGAAACAAAACAAAGGCGTTTGAGGAAGGGGGATTTTTGCACACGCACAGAGTGCCCTTGTTCCTTCTTTGGCTGCCCATTCCAAGGCGGCGGCTGCCTGTGCTTGGATGCACCTGCTGCAAGGACCCGCCGTTTCCCCTCCCGCTGCCCAGGTTTGCTGCCACCCCAAACTATCCGCACGGGTCCAAGTTCTGCCCACCCAATGCCGCCCCCGCCGCGACCCACCTGGCCGGCGCTGGGCTGCTTCTTCTGCCGGGAGCCGAGCTGCAGCAAATATCCCAAGCCGAGGGCGAAAGCGGAGGCGGCCAGCAAGAGGGAGAGCGGGCTGCCAGCAGCCGCCTTCTCCAGCAGGGAGTAGCCCGTTTCCAGCAAGCTCGGCGCCGCCATCATCCTCCCGGCTCTGAGGCACACAGGACCAGGACCGACGGGGACTCGGACGCCGAGAGAAGCCGGGCGGAGGGGCGGGGCCTATCCTCCGCCGGCGGGAGCTGGGCCGATCTCTGCCCATCTGACGCACGCGGCGCGGAGGCCAATCGGCAAGCGCGCAGCCACAGGGTGACCGTGTCGGCGGCGCAGCGGTTGGAGGAGGCGGACGCTGAGGCGCCCTGAGGTAGGGTGAGGCGGGCGTCTTCCCAAACTATCTCCCATAATAATCACAACCCCATGATAAGAGGTCGGGGTGTTGCACCTGTGGAGAAAAGGAGACGGAGCCATGCTTAGTAGCCAAAAGGGCACACGCGGAGGAGCCACCCGGGTGGCTTATTTCATCTGCAGTCCTGATAAACCTTTCGTCTCCATGCTGTGAGAAGCTTCTATTGATTATTTCTTTATATAGCCAGTCTCTGTTAAGCAGACAGAAGCAGACCAGGCTGTGGTTTTTCTTCTTCTCCAGACCACCGTGTTTCTGTTCTGTTATCATGCACAGTGCCACAGCATACAGGAAAATAAAAAGCTTTTAGCATCAAGGTCTATAGAGCTCCTAGACGCAAGAGTCAAACTCTATGCAGTAAAGAACCAGGTCAGTTCCCCTGACATGACTTAGGATGTTTGGGAGAAAATAATGGGAACAGTTCAGAGGCACAGTGGCAAAGATGTTCTTCTGATACAGCCTCTGGTGCAAAGAAATAACCTTACCCAGTAATTTTAAAAGATCTTCATGTACTTATAAAGCTTGCGTTTCACATACATTACTTTGACAAACTTGAAATGTAGTCTTATGAGGCTTTGCCCTCGGGTGGGAAAAATATTGCACCCGGGAAAGGGAAGTGGGAGTCAACAGACACTCAAGGAATAGTTTCGGAGAAAAAGCTTTATTTCTACCATCCATGAACTGGTAGAAGGAGCAAGTGTGATAAGTCACAAACAAGCACGGGTTCACAGTCATTTGCACAGAGCATATATTCCCCTTCCAGTTCCCTCCCCTTTCTCCTCCTTTTCCAGGAGTCCTGCCCATGATGTGTTTCCTGAGCATGAACAGAAAGCTCCTGTCTTGGGAAAGGGGGGTGAGAAGCCAAGGGGGGTGGCCGAGCCTTGCGTTCAGCATGTCCAAAGATGTTGCAACTAGAGTGAGATAAAAGTCAGTTCTCAGGCCTGAGTATTCTTGGCATTGACAGAGTCTATTCATTAGCCGTTTTGAAGCTCTCTTGTACTGATAAAAGAATAACATTTTGCCTTGCAACAGCAGAGCAAAGGAGCAGATGCTTAGCTGCTGAGAAAATGATTTTGAAAAGCTTTGAGAAGCTTTGAGCCTGCTTTAGGGGGGGGCCTTCAGGCCTAGGTGGGGTCACCTGTCCTCACCTTCCTTCAGCACAACGCTGTTATGCTTTCGGTACTGATCAGTTTATGTTTATTTATTAACTTTCACCCAGAGCAACCTAGACTTCTTGTAACTCCTACATCTTTTTAGCCTGGTTATTTAACGTAACATGCTGCTATTATTTTCTGCTGTATACATGTCATGAATGGATTTTGCTTTGTGCTTGGTGACCGATACCCATTATTTGTTGTTTGTGTTGTTTCGTGTGTGTGTGTAAGTAATGAAAAACATGAGAGGAAAATTAATTTTAAAAGCCTGGTTGGAATCAGAGTTAACTGAAAGCAGCAATAGCAATTCATTGAACACAGTAAATTACTGACTCCTGACAAGGTAGTTTTATTCAGCTTATCTTATGTGCCCAAGCAACAGAACTGAAAATACCACTATTAGTTGCTCTTTAGAACTTTACCAGTCTTGAACAGAGTTTTAAAGATTTCACTTTGTTGGTCAGGTAATACAGGCCAGCCATAGTTAGTATTCTGATCAACTGGTCTGTCATGGCTGCTGGAGACAGGTTTTGATTTGCAGTTTTCCAGTGGTTCAATGCCTGAGTAACTTTTTCTTCCAACAAAAGAGTCCTAATAGAAAAAATATACAGAGAAGATGCTTAAACTCCTTCACACAGCAATCCTAACTTTGGGTCACGTGGCCCTGGGGATGATGGTGGCATCCACAACCCTGCTGGCTCCTGCAGGTCAGGGTGAAAGGTGGGCAGTCAAGAGTTTTCAGAGAGTGTGCTGTGCCAGCTCAAGATGGCTACAGCAGAGGGGACCAAACTGGACCCCTCACTTGTCAGTGGGCCAGATTAGGTTCCAGAAAATCCTTGTGTGGCCGTGCTCTGCCCTCACCCAAAAAACCCCAGAGGGGGGCAGCAGCATGCTTAACTCCCAAGCAGTCTGCACCATTAGTGGGTACAGTCTTCCACCCAAACCGAACACTTTCCAGGAGCATGAATTGGGGGTTAGGATTGCTCCCTTAAACGGGGAGGTGTATCAATTAAGCTACAAAACATAAAACATAAAAACCAGATGGATGAAATTAGCAGAACCTGTTCCAAGAAAAGAAAAAATTACGTATCACTAACCTGTCAGTTTCTATTGTTTTGATTACAATACTGTTAAGCTGGAGTTTTTGACAAAAAAATTCAAAATGTTCAAATGCGATATTGCTAGCAATGGTCTTCAGAACTTTCTCCAAGATTTTTTCTAAAACAAGCAGATCATAAACTTTACAGAACAGCAGTTTCATATGATGTTATGCACGAATCCAAGGAACTTTACTCTTCTAACAACTGGTGGCAGTGTTAATTATATACTTTGATGGGCAGGGAGGATAGAGCCAAAATGCTGGGGGTTTTTTAACATACCTGGAAATGTGTAGAGATAGCTAGCAGTTTGTATAGGTGGGAAACCTGTAACATTCTAGAGGTTGCTGGATTCCAACTATTAGCCCTGCACTCCCACCAGCATGATCAAGGTTAATGGGAGTCGTACTCCAAAACAGCTGGAGGGCCACAGACACCTACCCCTGGTTTATTAACTGTAACAGACAAAACTTTAGGTGGATGCGTAGGGAAATTGGATGAGGCCATCTTTTTTGTTAATGTTTGACATTTAACTTCCCTGCATGCACCCACCGCCTGCTTCTGCTGCTCTGGAATATGAGGGAGTGAAGAAAAGATAGAGACCTCATGGTATGGAGAAGCAAGGAAAGGGCAGGCAACAAGCTATATTTCACTTACGTGACCTGGATAGGCAGTGGACAAGATGAGCTGATGGACCACCTTGGGAAGGGACTTACTGAGAGCTGCAGAGTGAAGCTGGCTGTTTTGTGCATTTCTGAGAATAGAATGGAAGGTGATCTGGACCCTGTTAGAATAGACATGCCACAGAACAAGGATGGACAGTGAAGTCTAAGAATTCCAGGATCTCAGGAGGCCTGGACAGACATGTCTTTCTATATTTTGCTCAGGGTATCAGAATACCTTAAGGTGGGCCATGCTGGTTGAGGCTGGTGGGAGCTGCAGTTCAGCAACATCTGGAGGGCCACAGGTTCCCCATCCCTGATCTAAGATCCCTAGTGATGCTGTGAGAAACTTATTTTAAACTTACCATCTCTTTCATCAGCACTTTCTAAGTAGCGTGTTATGGGGAGCAGTTGCTTGGCTTTACAGACTTCCAGCGGAGGTCTAATCAGAGTATTTTCATCAAAATTTATATCCTTCAGTTCCAGAAGAAGGTGCAGATCGCTAGGCAAATGTAGCATTTTATTTTCTGGCAAAATAAATGGATAATGTTTGCATTATGTTAATCTGGAGCATTTCTGGACACAAACAGGCAACTGTCCCACTTTATAGATAGTACCATTAGCAACTTATGTAAAAGGGTTGTCTCTTTAGGAAGCACCTGGAGGACAACATCTTGGATGTACACAATCTTCAGGCACAGCTACCACAAAAAAATAACATGTTTTCAAGGTGCATGTTTTCTCTTCCAGAAAGTCATAATTTTATAACTTTCCTTCTCATTTTTGTTCTCATCTGCTCTGGCCTGGAAGACCATAACAGGAGCAGAATGCTAGAGTCCTTCAGTTGTACTCCTGCAACTCCTGCATGTAGGTTGATACATAGAGAATGGAATAACACATGCAGCTGGATGCCATGTGTTCCAGTTGAGGAAGCCGTTTGTGTACTCACTATACCTGATCTGGGAGTGGAAACTTATTTTTGCGCAGGTACTGCTGACATTGGAACTGGGACTATAGCATTTTATGCCTGAATTTTCTTATGACATTAAACATTTAAATCCTTACCTTTGAGATTCAGGCATTGTAAGTTATGGAGTGTTGAAAAATTCAGTGGAAGCTTTTTTAAGCAGTTGTTATTCGCTATTAAAGTAACCAAACTTTTTATTTCCCCTAAGCCTTCTGGAATTTCTTGTAATTCGTTATGAGATACATCAAGCACTTTTAGGCTGGTCAGCTTTGATAGTTCTTCTGAAAGTGATTTTAACTGGGGATAAAAAGTACAAAAGAGTTAAGCAACACACATTTATACAGAGAGGCTGTTTATATTATTGGGGAAGGGCCATAGCTCAGTGGCAGAACACATCTTTGTATGCAAAAAGGTCCCAAGGTCACTCCTAGCACTTATTTTTAATTTTATTAAATTTCTATACCGCCCTTCATGCAAGGATCAGAGAGCAGTTTACAATATAAAAACACAAGAATATGCAATGTAGCATTTCCAGGTAGGGCTGGGAGGGGCTGCCTAAAATCCTGGAGAGATGCTGTCTATTAGTGTGGATGTTACTGAGCTGGATGGAACAAGAGTCTGAGTTGTTATAATGCAGCTTCCTATGTTCCTATAACTCAAGCCCACAGTGGGCACTGCATGTCTAGTGTGTCAGGTAGATCAGTGCTGGTAAAGTTCATTTAAAAAAAGAAACTAGTACTAGTTCAAGTTCAACATGTCCAAAGAGGAAGTAATTCCAGTTCTCATTTGTCCCTTTACAAAATGAATTAGTTCAGTTCGCGTTCAATTCACAGTTTGATTCAAGTTCATCAAAACGATCACCATTTTAAAAAACCCAGCATTCAGAATGTTACGATCTGCTCTGCTGAAGTATAAAATATACTTGAGAAGACTAAGAAAATACCACAATGTACACACAGTGGAATGTGAATTGTTTAATTTATTTCCCCAACAATTATGGTCTTTAATCTTAAAGCCCTGCAAAGTCTAAAGAGGAAAATACACATGTAATATAATGTACCTGAAGATGAGCTGGAACTTGTTGAAAGTAAGCAATTACAGGAACTATTTTCAGGGGTAGTTCAGCGATTTTAAACTAATTCAGTGAACTTGGTGAAACTGAACTTGCTCATTCTAACCACTGAGGTAGATATGCAAACTAAGTTCTGGTCAAAGGATGGAACTGTATAATAGCCACCCAGACCAGCAACATAAACTAAAGGTTTCAGGAATATGGTTTGAATAATAAGGGAAGTAGCCCTGGTGCTAATCCCTGCTACAGATTTAATTTCCTTGGCCCCCAGTTTCCTTAGCTCCTCAGGACTTTGTTGCTCTGCCTTGGTCCAACATGGAACCATGTCCCCAAAAAAACGTTTTCCGGAATTACTTTTGCATAGGGTAACAACAGGCGATAGCTTTTATGAGACCTGAAAATGACTTGAAAGAGGCATTACTTCTCATGGATTCATTCTGTCGCTTTAGCTTTGTTGCCTCCAGTCAAGGATTTTTATTTTTTTACAAGTATGTAAGCAATACCAACACATCTGAAACCTGGGTTTACTCAAAGACAAATGTAGGTTGAGTGTGCACAGCTTGAATGCAGGCTGTGATGAGTCTGAAAAACACATGATGAGTGTAAACTTTGTTACAAAGGACTGGTATACAGTACAAAGTTATATATAACACAAACTTATATTTTAAATGCCATCTTACCTTCAATCCACTTTTTTGGCACAATATTAATTTCTGTAGTGATGAAAGCTGACATATTTCATTTGGAAATGATGCAAACTGGTTGTTTGACAGATTTAAGTCTTTTAGTTCTTGCATTTGACTAATATCGGAAGGAATGACCTGTATCTTATTTTCTGAAAGATCAAGTACCTTAAGCCAATTTAGCACACACAACTCCCTGGGAAACAAAACGAATCTGTTATGGTGTAACAGCAGAACCCGAAGAGACCTCATTTTTTGAACATTTATTGGAACACTACTTATTTGATTGTTACTTAGGTCTAAGTAGCTTAATTTGGTAAGAGTGCACAAGTATATGTAAAATGAGGGCAGTTTGTTCTTACTAAAATTTAAATACTGCAGGTTTTTAATTAATGAAATTTCAGTTGTTATTTCAGAAATATAATTTTGGCTGATATTTAGGTGTTTAAGAGCAGTTAGTGCACACAGTCCAACTGGAAACAAGGACAGCTTGTTGCAACTCAAATCAATTCTAGTAAGTTCTGTACAGCCTTTTATTTCAACAGGGATGTACATTAAAGCATTTCCTGATATCTCTAAAACTGAAAGGTCTTTAAAATATGCTATTTGTTCGTCTAAGAAGATCAGTTTATTTCTGCTTATGTAGAGTTCTCTCAGACATTTTAATTTGTACAGATTGGGAGGAAAGATTTTCAGCTGATTATCGCTTAGGTTCAGATATTCCAGTTTAGTACACCTGCAAATATTTTCTGTAATATTTTGGAAGAAATTTTTTGCAAGACTGAGTTCCCGAAGCTTTTGTAAATTCTCCACTTTATTAGATAGACTTTCCAACTGGTTATCATCCAGTCTCAGTTTTTCTATATTTATCAGTTGAAAGAGCTGTACCGGCAAAAATATAAGCTTGTTGTTATTTAGCGAAAGTTCTTTCAAATTTTTGAGTTCTTTAATTTCTTTTGGTAAACTCTGGATTTGATTATCTGACATACTGAGTTTATATAGATTTGGAAGGTAACAGAGAGCCTTTGGGAATATAGACATTTTATTGGAATTTAAGTACAGCATATGCAAACTTTTCATGGTAGTCATGGTGTCTGGCAGAGTTACTTTATTTCCACTAAGATCCAAAATTTCTAATTTTTCAAGTTTTTCCAAAGCAGCAGGAAACGTTTCAATGTTGTTATATCTTAATAAAAGACACTTAAGTCTTGAAAGTTTCGAAATTCCATCAGGGAGGTATGATATTTGGTTATGACTGAGATTTAAAGTTCTAAGACTTTGAAGTAGGGAAATTTCAGTAGGTAAAGATGTTAACTGATTTCTTTCTATGGATAATATTTCCAGGTTTGTAAACAATCTTATGTCTCTTGGTATGGTTTTGATTTCATTATTGTTTAAATGCAAATACTTTAACATTTGAATGTCAAAAAGCCCTGAAGGAATTTCAAGCAGCCCTTTAGCATTTAGCTGAACGGTGCCGTCATCAATCATTTCAGACAGCCTCTCTGCTAATCCCATTTCAGGTATCGTAGCATTCTCAAAAGATTGTAATAAACTTCTCCTAGCTCGCCCTTCAAAAAAAGATGAAGGGATTTCACTTAATCCTTCAGCATACAGATAAGCAAGAAGTTCAGCATTAATTGTGTCAGGCGTCAAAATTCCCTCTAGCTTTTTAAGCATTTGCAGTTTCTCTGTGGAACGTGAAATAACCTTCTCAGAAATCTCTAAAGAGCTTTCCATGATTTGTTCAATGAGACTCTCCTTGGATACACATGGCTTTTCGTCAACGGAAATGCTTGTGGACGAAATTATACCTGATTGTAATGCATCTGGTTTCAAATCTGCTTCTGGGGATGGTTTTTTAAGTGTAGTGTCATCAGGACTAGATTCACTCTGATTTCCATCAACTGGACTTGGTAAATCTTCAGTTGCATCAAGATTTTCTAACAATTCCATTATGGCATTTTCAGAAATCACTGGAGAGATTTCAAATACTCCCTCTGGACTTATATTGACCGACTGCTCCACATTTTCTCCCTCTGGACTTAAATTGGCCGACTGCTCCACATTTTCTGCCTCTGGACTTATATTGGGGGGCTGGTCCCCCTCATTTTCTCCCTCTGGACTTATATTGGGGGGCTGCTCCCCCTCATTTTCTCCCTCTGGACTTATATTGGGGGGCTGCTCCCCCTCATTTTCTCCCTCTTGATTTGTGTTGGGGGGCTGCTCCTCTTCATTTGCTCCCTCTGGACTTATATTGGGGGGCTGCTCTTCTTCCCCCCCAGACATGATTGAAGATTTATTCTGGAAAGTATGTGCTCATTCCAGCCTTCTATAGAAAAAGGAAACAGAAACAACAGACAACAGCATGAACAATGTGCAGTGAATTTAAATATTAAACAATTGAGGTCAAGCAGGATTGATGAAATTGTCATATAAAGCGGCAATGTTTGCGAAACAAATGAGTTAGAAAACATTCCCTTCCTATCTCACCTCTCAGAATTCCCAACTGCCGCTGCGTTTCAAGTGGATGTTCCGTCCCAGCATAATCCTGATTGGCCCATTTCTCTCCTCACACTGAAAAGCAATTCAGCAAGTTCAGTTATGCTTAAGTGTGGCAGATATTTACAATACAGTTTTGCCACTTGTGGGCATAATTGAGAGGATTACCAATTTGGCCAGATCTAAGGAGAAGGGCCACTCAGATGTTGTTGGACTTCAACTCCCATAAGCTGCAGCCAATATGGCCAGTTGTCAGGAATGATGGAAGCTGTAGTCAACCCAGCAATCTCTGGAGGGCTACAGGCTCCCTACTGCTGCTCCATATATTTCTTCTGCTTTGCTAGCCCACTAAAATTACCTTGGTAGGTGTTGTAGACTTTCAGCACAGTAATAATCCAGGTATTCTGAAAGACTAGCTCAGCCTTATGCTCAGCCTCCATATATTTTGGGCTACAGTCTCATCAGCTGCTACCAGCTTGGCCAATGCTCAGGGACGATGGGAGCTGTTGTCCAAAACATCTGGCAGTTAAGAGAAATGGAACTAAATGCTTATTTGTGCAACAGAAATGTGGATCACATTGTCTCCAGGATGCTTTAGCATTTTTGGCTTCTTCAGTTTTACAACCTTGTGAGGTAGGCCAGTCTTGTGCTTAATCACAGTTAGCTCCACTATGATCTAACCTTGGTTAAGATTTCAAAGTTTCCCTGAAATCATGCTTTTAATACGTGAAGTTCTGCTTCTGAGATAATCAGCAAGGTCTGTTGTTCAGTGTAGACACAAACTGCCATAACTGGGATTAGCTCAGTGCAGGTGCAGTCCTTAATTGTGGCTGCTGTGGTTTCATTTCTTCTGCAGCCACTCTTAAAGGTAAAGGACCCCTGACAGTTAAGTCCAGTCGTGAACGATTCTGGGGTTGTGGCGCTCATCTCTCTTTACTGGCCTAGGGAGCCGACGTTTGTCCGCAGACAGTTTTACCGAGTCATGTGGCCAGCATGACTAAGCAGCTTCTGGCAAAACCAGAGCAGCGCACGGAAATGCAGTTTACCTTCCCACTGGAGTGGTACCTATTTATCTACTTGCACTTTGACGTGCTTTCGAACTGCTAGGTTGGCAGGAGCAGGGACCGAGCAATGGGAGCTCACCCCGTCGCGGGGATTCGAACCGCTGACCTTCCGATCGGCAAGCCCTAGGCACAGTGGTTTAGACCACAGCGCCACCCGCAGCCACTCTTACATTATACAATAGTTAACCAAAGTGAGTAAGAAAATGTCTGAAGGGAAACAGAGTGTCTTATGAAAAGCTGCTATGAATTAATGGCTCGGTAGAAATTTGAAGTTTTGCATGTCCAGATCATCCTGATTCATGGTTTGACTGCATATATGAAGGGAGCAAGGCATGCTAAATATAGGGAGCACAAGTTTATAATACTTTCTATATTGCATGCATTAGATATCTTAAATTAGGAAGCAGTAAATAGCTGTCAGTTGAATTTTAAGAACTCAGCCAGGATATTATTCCATTAAATTTATTTGAGAATAAATAAGAAAATTCTAATCAAGTAGCTAAAGTTAAACATTACCAGGGCGCGCATTCTCTCTCTCTCTCTCTCTCTCTCACACACACACACACACACAAACACACACACAAACAAACAAACAAATAGAGAGAGAGAGAAAGAGTCTGTAGCACTGTAGTTTCCTGGTTCTCAAATGAATGCAGGACAACAAAAATGAGTAACAGCTCATTTAGTTGGAGATACAAAGAGGGAGGCCTGCTTCCATACACACATTCACATTTAGCTGCTTGTTACGTTTGCTGCTCAAGCCCATTTGAATAATTGTGTGCTGAAGTTAAGTCTTTCAACATTTTTGAAGTTAAGAAATAAGAGGATAATTGTTTGTAAGTACATGCATTTTAGAATACACAAGAGATATTGTAAATATCCATATATTTTCAGACAAGCCAACCCAAATATAATACAAAAATGTATGGCTATATATTCAGTGGCACATTGAGATTAATTCCATGTTTTAGTCTGATTCCAGTCATTTAATGAGATACGTTTTTAAATCCTCCTCTCCCTTCCTAGTCTGACAATGTAGATGTTGAAATAATAATAATAATAATAATAATAATAATAATAATAGTCTAGTAGCACCTCATAGACCAACTAAGTTTGTTCTGGTGTAAGCTTTTGTGTGCATGCACACTTCTTTAGATACACAGATCTGTGTATCTGAAGAATTGTGCATGCACATGAAAGCTTATACCAGAACAAACTTAGTTGGTCTATGAGGTGCTACTAGACAAGTTTTTTTATTTTTTTATTTTGACTGCGTCTGACCAACACGGCTACCTACCTGAATGTATATGTTGTTACCCAGACCCCAAGGGTTAAACTAGGAGGTAAACGTGATTCTGGGATTCTGTTAAAGCAGCCAGGAAGTACTTCAAGGGTGCAAGGGGAGAGCCGCACTCAAAATTGCTTTCACACAGCTAAGATATGGGAAAGTGGACCTATGGGCACTTGTAAGGATAACCACTACCCTGGTTGCCCATTGACACTTGATCTATGTATTGTAATTTTCATAGCAGAGACACAAATCTGAGTGGTATCGTGTATGATTCCCAGGTGGTAAATTGGTCAGACTTGAGTGGTAAGGCTTGATGGAAGAACTTGTGGCTCAGCTGATGAATTAACCACTAGAGAATACACGTTCTCTGGGCTGTGGTTCTCAGCAACTACACTGTAACTCACAAGGGTTGTGGCCAATGCAATTTGACCTAATGTTATTGGAATGAGTCGCTGGAGCATCTGTGACTTCCTTTAGTTTGGTGGAGCTAGGCAAACGTCTTTGCTACTGAAGTCCCAGGGGTGCATTAGCATCAGGCAGGAATTTAAGGTTGGAAGGAGTAAGCATACCACCAATCATCAGTATAGCTCAGGATTTTTGAGCTACAGCCAGTTTTGCTAGATGTCTGATAGGCACATCACCAAGGCTAGGTGCAGAAACCCCTCATCCTCTGTCTTGTCATTCACCTTCCTGTGGTTTTCTCTAGCAAGGCTTAATGGAAGTCTTTTCTTCAGAAGCACAAGTAACTGTGCTATCCATCATATGGGCTGGTCACCAGGATTACTGTGTCCAAGCCTTATGTTGCACTGCTGAAAGATGGCGATTCAATAAAGCTGTGATCTATTCTCACAACTCAGCATGTTGGCCTGTTATCCCTCCCCTACTCTTCACAGCTGTCAAATAAGAACCCTGCTGCATCAAGCCAGTGGACAACCTAGTCCGGCATCCTATTCTTACAGTAGCCTACCAAGATGCCCCAGATCTGAGTGCAAGAGCATTATCACAAGCAGCTGATCAATGAAACTTCCATTAAAAAAAAAAAAACTGGGACCAAAGAAGATGCTTTATATGAGGTCAGAATATTTATCTTCCAGAGTACTGTCAGAAAAGACACTGATTAGCAGTGGCTTTCCAAGTCTTACGCAGGGATCCTTCACTTCACCTGTGACCCAATCCTTTTAACTAGAGATGCCAGGGACTGAACCTGGGACCTTCTGTATGGAAAGTATGTTCTGTGCCACAGAACTATGGCCCCTCCACTCTGTTTGGATTACAACCAAAGATTTTACTCAGGCATGAAACAAATAGGAATGCCGTGAATGAAAATGACAGGCTCAGAAGGATTCTTATGAAAGGCTAGTTTTGTAGGAAATTGCCCAGATGAATACTAACAAAAGCATGGAAACGAACAGGCCTACTATCACTAATAATGGTATAGTCAAACAGACTTTTTCTTTTCATTTTAAATAAAAATCACACACTAGTTTTCACAAGTCTTTGTACAAAGAATATATTATTTAAAAAACTGTACTTCATAAACATAACAATAAATTAGCAAAACAATTATTTCAGAAGTATAAAAAGGCAACAAAGTACACAACACTTTAGATTTCATTCAACAAAGTTCTTCCTGCGGTGCAGCTAACTAAATTATGCTTAAAGAAGATGTTGTTGTTTAGTCGTTTAGTCGTGTCCGACTCTTCGTGACCCCATGGACCAGAGCACGCCAGGCATGAAGAAGATACACCGAAATAAATGGACTTGAGTTAATCATGTCCATTTAGTTCAATGGATGGACTGTTTGACCGAGCTAGATCTAACCCCCTGACTCTTTCCATGCAATATTCTAAATATATAATAAGATGTTGTTTTTAATCAAATTAAGTTCTAAACAAAGGGGTAATAAAGAAAGCAAAGTTTTTTGTTGTGTTGGTGCGGTTTTTTTAAATCAGGCTAGGGAAGTTGCTGGCTTTCTCTTCTGGCTACAGCTATTTGCACTGGATTGAATGCTGCTCTAGAGGTCCCGAGATCTTGTTACTTTTGGGGAGTTTAATTACAGTATAGCCACTTGTTACTAGGCTGACTACTAAAGGTTATTTTGCAAGTTTCACTACATTCCTCCAATTATGCTCTACTGCAATAGTTCACACATGCCATGACAGAATAATGCAGTAAAACCTGCAAAGCAATCTTCTGTTGGGTAGCAGAGGTGCAAAATCTTATTTATTGCCTATTTTAAAGAAGAATACAGTACCTTGGAAGCTGAACGGAATCCATTCTGGAAGTCCGTTCGAATTCCAAAACGTTCAAAAACCAAAGCGTGGCTTCTGATTGGCTGCATGAAGATCCTGCGGCCAATCAGAAGCTATGGAAGCCCCGTCGGATGTTCAGCTTCCAAAAATAGTTCGCAAACCGGAGCAGTCACTTCCAGGTTTGCAGTGTTCGGGAGCCAAAACGTTCAAAAACTAAGCTGTTCGAAAACCAAGGTACAGCTGTATAGACTTACAGTGCAATCCTATGCAAGTTTACTCAGAAGTAAGTCCTATTGTGTCCAATGGGCCTTACATCCTATTGTGTTTTCAACTACTGTTGGTTATATGCACATTTTTTCTTGATGCATGTTATGGTTTTTAAAATAAACCCCCCAACATTATTATAAAAATAACAGATATATTCTATTTTACAAATAAACAAATAAACTCCTGTATGAAGTCCAATAGAGAGCATATTTCATCCTGTACAATTCATATACATGCAAGGCTTTTATTTACAGAAACAAAAAATGTGCTTAATGTAGCTAATTGCATAATCATTCTCCATTTATTTCAGTTACTTCTTTCACTGGGAACCAGCTGGCTGCTTAATTTCATCAGCAATTTTACAACAAGTCCCGCCTGCAAACAGAAAAAACAAATCAGGGTCATATGACGTATTCTATCTAGTACTTTGTGAGTGGAAGCCCATCCCTGCCCCTCTTCCCCACGCCAGTTCTCTGCATCCCAAAAAACCTGCTGGAGGATAGGAAACATTCGGGAAATTCCTGGGATGTGGCATGGGAGCTGCAGTGAGAAGAACTCAAAGGATTGTTTTCGGAATTGCAGCCTTAAATGCTCAGTGCACAGTCAGAACTTCATGTTTTATGTTACTTTTTAGAGCTGGAAGTAATTTTTTTTATTGGTCTGCATCCAATGTTGTAAGCAGGTCTGTTTGTATGAGGAGGCTTTCTCATCAGCATCTCCACCCTCCACTTACCCTCTTGAGAAACCTGGGGAGTGGCTGGGGAAACCCAGCCAGATGGGTGGGGTATAAATAAGAAAGTTATTATTACTATTATTACCTCTCATGTAGGTCAAGGAACCTAGGACATCATGGGAGTGGGGAATTGCCAAAAACTGGGCAGAAGCAGCTTGTGCAACCTATGCACCTTCTAATTTGGGATACTTCCCTGTTCTATCTAGCGAATTCTTTTGACTATTTGTGTAAGAACTCATGTCTCTTTGACCTTTACCCTTTTTATAGGAGACACCAGAATCTCATCTCAATTTAATATAGTATAACCATTTAAATATGATGAAAAACCTTAACCTTAGTCCACAGTGCAGGTGGAAAGAATAACTTTGGTTCAGAAATCTGCTTTTATAGAATATTAGTCAAATCAGCCTTCCCCAACCTGGTGCCCTCTCAATGTTTTGGACTACAATTGCCATCCTCCCCTGCTGGCCTGGAATGATGGAAGCTGTAGCCCATGGCATCTGAAGGGCACCAGGTTCGGGAAGATGGCCCAAGCTGTATTGTGAGACAAGGATAAATAACATTTACAAATAGAGATAACTGCTTGTTAGTGTTGAAAATGTATACTCCGTGGACTATAAAGAGTGTAAACTAGTTCTAAGCACAGATTTTTAGGCCTCTATGGCAGACATTGAATATTTTTTTTAACAGCTGAGTAGTGTTACTTGTTCATCTGCCTAAATCAAACTATTGTGCAGAACTACTGTGTTTCTTTAAACCAATGCTAGTCCAATCAACAGTATTATTCTCCAATATTAGGTAAAGATAAAGGACCCCTGGACAGTTAAGTCCAGTCAAAGGTGACTATGGGGTGTGGCACTCACCTTGCTTTTCAGGCTGAGGGAGCAAATGTTTGTCCACAGACAGATTTCTGGGTCTTGTGACCAGCATGACTAAACCGCTACTGGCAAAGGAACGTGACGAGTGCCAGAGTGCATGGAAATGCCGTTTACCTTCCTGCCACAGCAGTACCTATTTATCTACTTGTGCTGGTATGCTTTCAAGCTGCTAGGTTGGCAGAAGCTGAGACAGAGCAACGGGAGCTCACCCCGTTGCGTGGATTTGAACTGCCAACCTTCTGATCGGCAAGCCCAAGAGGCTCAAGTGGTGTAGACCACAGCGCCACCTACGTCCCCTCTCCAAAACTAACAGCAATTGATATCTGTCCTAAAATGTAATTGTTAGGCATGCACAGCACCAGGGAAAAAATTGGGGGGTGGGGAGGTGAGGAATGTGTGAATTCAGTAGTTTGCTTACCTGCTTGGTATGGACTATAAAGCTCATTTTGTTTTCCAGACTATGTATTTGAAAACAGCTGTCTCCATCTCCCAGCTGCCACATAAAGCAACCGTATCTTAAAGATATGAGCAATGCCTGTCAATATAAAGGAAACAAGCTGAAAAGCCAACATTATCTATAAATTTGACACTAAATAAAAGTGCTTTCCTCAGTAAGCTACATATGTGCTCACTGTCTGACATATTCTGTTATGAATTACAAAAAAATGAAATACTACTATGTTAAATAGAATAACAATATTATTGACATATGCTGTATGGAATATGCACATTTTATGCATTATGTTCACAGATAGTGTTAAGGCTCAAAACTGAAAAACAAAGACTGTACCTTTGTTTCCATATTGAGAAGGTGCAATCCTTTGACATTTACACCTACATACACTCTGATGACTTTATGATTGCTTGAGCTTGCTTTTGTGAATACTTGTCCTGTGAAAAAAGCAGCCCCATAGGTAGGAATCTCCCAGCAGGTCTGCAAAAACATGCGCTGCAGGTGATGCATCTCTTTACTAACGCCTTCACTGGAACTGAGATTCTGCAAATACAAGTTGACATACCCACAAAAGTTGAGATTTTAACTTCTACAGTCATACCTCATGTTACAGACGCTTCAGGTTACATGTTTTTTGGTTGCGTACTGCGGGAAACCTGGAAGTACAGTGGTACCTCGGGTTAAGTACTTTATTCGTTCCGGAGGTCCATTCTTAACCTGAAACTGTTCTTAACCTGAAGCACCACTTTAGCTAATGGGGCCTCCTGCTGCCGCCACGCTGCTGGAGCACAATTTCTGTTCTCATCCTAAAGCAAAGTTCTTAACCTGAGGTAAAAATTTTGGGTTAGTGGAGTCTGTAACCTGAAGTGTATGTAACCTGAAGCGTATGTAACCTGAGGTACCACTGTACTGGAACGGGCTACTTCCGGGTTTCGCCGCTTGCGCCTGCCAGAAGCGCTAAATCGCCTGCGCAGGTGTGGCGCTTCAGGATGCAAACGCTGCGGGCTGCGGACGCCACGGATTATGTCCGTAACCAGAGGTTCCACTGTATTTGGATCCAGTATGGGGCTATCTGTTTAGCCCATTTTAGTGTTGGCTAAGTTTTAAAATCTTCCTGGATGTTTTTAACTGTGTATTGACAAAATGTACTTTTTTCTGACTGACGGTCGAATAAAAATGATGATGATGATGTATTTGGATCCAGATTCTTTGCACAGGGTGAAATGGCAGAAATACTTTGCTTAAGGATACTCTGATATGAATACATACAAGATGGAAAGAAATTCATAACCATGCTGTTGACTTCAATAAGAATTTTTTTTTGTGGGGGCGGGGGAGATCAGGAAGTTAAATTTCATTTAGCATTTCTGCTAAACCTGGGTTCATGGTTTGATTCTCCAAAATAATCCAGTACCCCTTAGTTTGTTTGGACAGAAACAAACCCTTAGCCCAGGTTCAAACATAGTGCTATGCCAAACCAAATCTCAGTTCCCCAGCAGCATATTACCAGTGGAGAGGAAGCAATGGATTCATATTACACCAGAGCTTATTTTAACAATAGTTTAATGTGGCACACAAAGCTGGTCACCGATAGCAATGACTCAAAAATTAGCCGTTAGACCTCTTGGTTGGCATTTTATTTTTGTTGCCCTAACATTTCCAGAAAATAAAGGACATTTTAAATTATTAATGGTGAGAGTCAATTTTACTGTATATAGCCAAAGGCCTTTACAATGGACGACAGAGAATAAAAGGAAAACTTTCATCTAAAATCACACAACGTAACCTGTAGCAGTTTACAATATAAAAAGAAATTAACAACATTAAAATTTACGATCGGAGTGCTTTCAGGTTTTCTGACATGTTGCTCAATATCGTACCTTGTATTCATGAAGTATTCGATTTGTCCAGTGAGGTGCCTTGCTTTTTAATTTGGTGATTGGCACTATAGATTTTAAGTTTTCTTCACTGTAAATAAAAACCAAACACGTTTAACCACTTTTATAATATTGAACAGATAAAAAACAAAATCTGTTTGCCCTTTTATCAACAGTTCATGCATGCAAATAGGCTATAATGCACATTATAGCATTCTGATGATCCATCTTGCTGCTCAGGTGATTGGTTAAGTCACCTTTAACTGTATTGGTTATCTATGTAAAAGCGAGGGAGCCCAGAATCAGCCAACATCTCCAATCATGAAGTAGTCTTTTAGACTCTCTTATTTGAATATCTTCATTTTAAAACAAAAAGCATATCAATATTTTAAAATCCACTCACTTTAGGAAGCCTTGCTTGTGCTTTTTACTTTCATAATTTCCATAGACTATTTGCAGCAGCAGACTTGCAAGTGTTATCAGCTTGGCATCAGGTGACGTATAGAAACCCTTTAATAAATTGTACCTGGCCTCATCAAATAGGATAAGAATAGCCAGTGGATCCTCAATCTATAGCATAGAAAATAAAATGTGTCTATATTAAAAATTAAAACATCATTAGTTCTTATTTGGTTTGCTCAGTAGCAAAGCAATTATTGTAGTTATTTAAATTTTAAGTTCAAGTTGGTTATTTAAAACAAAATAAATTTTAAATAATGTTTAAAAGCTTGAACATTAAAAACGCTACATCACAGCTTAGATCTAGCTGCCCACTTAACAACAACAACAATTATACCCCGCCCATCTGGCTGGGTTTCCCCAGTCACTCTATTTATCATAAATGGCCTTCAGATGCTGTTGAGACTACAGCTCCCATCACTCCCAGCCAGCATGGTCAGCAGTTGGGGATGATGGGAGTTGTAGTCCAGCAAAATATGAAGAGCATCACGTTGGCTTCCCTTGGCCAAGCTGTATTATCTGGAGAATTCAGAAGAACAAACTAAGTGAAATCATTATACTGGACTCTGTCTAGAGATTCAGGCGTTGAACCTGAATTTGATATAGCAGAACATAAAATGCCAACCTTTTTTTCCAGCTCTAAAGGAAGTCTTACATCCCTCCTCAGGAAAAGCTGTGGGGTTTCCCTTTGAGGATCCAGGTTTGTCAGTTCAGTGAGTATTTCCGTCCAGTCGCGAACGTGCTGCAGAGGCTTATGATACGGTTTCAGCTGGAGATCTATACAACAAAAGCTCTTTAATTTAAATAAATGCAAACAAGACAATGTCTCAGTGTGCGTATCAAGTATGTGTGAATGCTGTACAGTACCGAGTATGTTTTGAAAGAAGGCAGGATTATAAAAGCAAAATGTCATAAATAGCAATGTTACATATTTCCTATTGTCCTTTGGCAACTGTTGAAGTTCTTTCAACAATCTTACATGGATTCCCCCCTGCAGCTGATATCTGTATTGAACTTGAATGGCATGCACGCATGATTGCTCCACATGTGTCTTTATTGTATTGTATTGCTTTGGGATGTCTCTTGTTACAGTGGTACCTCGGGTTACAGATGCTTCAGGTTACGCGGTTTCGGGTTGCACACTGTGCCGAACCCGGAAGTACCGGAATGGGTTACTTCCGGGTTTTGGTGCTTTGCACATGCGCAGAAGCGCCAAATCACGACCCGCGCATGCGCAGACACAGCACTGCGGGTTGCGAACGTGCCTCCTGCACAGATCACGTTCACAACCCGAGGTTCCACTGTATTTATGAAGCACATAAAACAACAAGTCAACTGAATATGCATGGTACTGTCAGCATCTCTGCCAACCATGCAAATGCAATGTGGTCTACACCAGTTACCAGTGTCCTAGAAAAATGGATGCACTTAACAAAAAGTGCAAAAGTCAGCTTTTTGTCAGAAAAGGCAGAAACACTAAGAGCTCAGTCCTTTTGTTAGCTTCAGCTAATATATCAGCTACAATCGTAGCTAGAGGCATAGTTTGCTACTGGTGTTCAGGTGAACTATTTAAACTATTATAATGCATTATACTTGGATCTGTCTTTAAAAGTAGTTTTAGCTGGTCCAAAAGTTCGGCTGCAAGATTATTAACTATGACTGGAAGTTTTGATCATATTATGCCACTGCTTTGTCAGCTGCACAGGCTCCCACTTGAGTTTCTGGATCCAATTTAAAGTTCTGTTCGTAAACTTTGAAGCTCTTAAAGGCTTGGGAGCAAGTCACGTGAAAGACTGCTTTCTTCAGAACCTGCTCCAAAGGAGGAGGGTGGCTGCTAGGGAGAGAGGATGGACAACCTCCGGCGCATGGGCCAAATTAGGCCTGGAAGGGCCCCTGTTTTTTTGCCTGAAAGACTGTTCTTCCCCATCCACCCCACACCAGATGTCATCAAGATACCAATTACTTACTAAGATTTTCAGAACAGATCCAAATAGTGAAATACTGTTGTGTCTCTTGAGAAAGACGCATTCCTTCCATTATCTGTTGCACAGTGGTGTTGTTTCCATGTTTCAACTCCACAGAGCGGTATGACCCATCCATTCGATAAATTCGTACCTTCTCATACTAGAGGACATAAATGAAAACAGGAAATACTGAAACCTTGCCTGGTCCTGGTAGCAAGCCAAAATTTGTGGGTGCCAGTACCTTGCCCCCCTCCAGTGGAAAAAGGGGCAATATTAGTGTCTAAGCATCCCTGAAATGAGACACATGGTCAAGGGTGAGCCACTTCTCCAGGTACAAGCTCAGGAGAAGGGTCAGAGATCTTCTGTGTCAAGCTCTGCTTCCGAGGCCCATTCCAGCACAGATGACGTATGGGAGCTCATTCAAATGGCATGCTGAACTGGAATTTCGAGACTTGCACTATTGCAAGTTGTTCTGCTGCGCAAGAATTTATTCATTATAGAAAGTCCATTAAAATAACTCTGGGAAGAAAATATTTGAGAAGGTCTGTGGTGTTAACAAATTAGATTAAAATGGAAATAATAAATTCTACTCAGCAGCATCTTATGTTTATGGGCTTGCCATAACACCATGTCACTACACATGAGATAAATGTAGGTTGCAGAGGGATTGTGCTGTGCAGGCTGGCAAAGAGGTCGGGGCAGCACAGACTCACCAGCAAAGCTTGCCCCTGCCACTATACCCATACAGCCTCAACCTCACCACTGTCCTGCCCCATCATGGTAAAGGGCAGCAATGCATCTATCAGCAATGCGTCTATCTATGGCACTGCCCCACCACACCGACTGCTCCTGGATTAATACTTTCTTTTGAGATATATATATATATATACATACACACAAACAAATACAATAACCAGTAAACACTTCCTTTTGCTTTTAAGGACCTTTTCTAAAATCTGAAAGGTCATTGCATACTTGTTTGTTTGCGGCCTCTTTCAGCAAGTTGGCTGTTTTTGCCCACTCATTTTGTTTGTTCTCTTCACAGACATTCAGTGGGGTTCTTCCTTGTTGATCAGTGATGTGCTACAAACAGAAACAATACGAGATTTAAAACACAGCTTTCTGAATGCAACATAGCAACCTGTCTTATGCTGTGTTAGGCCACTGGTCCACCTGGCTCAGCACTGCTTACACAATGACTGGCAGGGGCCATCCAATGTTTCAGACACAAGCCTTTCTTTCAAAGGCTTTCAAAAACCCTGGGACCTTTTGCATGCAAATCGTGTGCTCCACTATTAAGCTACAGCCCCTCAAGTAAAGGCTGCAACATCCACCACCCCCTTCTTGGAAAGTACCCTTCACTTATCAGTTGGCATGACTCCACTTCTGAACTGTGTTTTCCAATCCTACCACCAAATAACAGAATCATGCCTATGATTAGGAAATTACGGTTTAAAAGCACTTCCAGATGCAGTGTTCTGTGGGGTGTTCAATGCTCTGAATTAGAGAGCACCACTTGTCTTAAACATTTTCAGGGTACTGTTCAAAGTGCTGACCACGGTGCCAATTCTTCCTAGCGCAAACTGCAATGATAGGAATTACTTCTTTGCAATAGGAATTACTTCTCTGAAGTATTTACTCTTGTGTTTCCTGCTCCACAATACTGTCATTCCTTGGACTGACTTCAAGAAACATCTTAATTGTTTTTATTCTTTTGCAAATGGAAGTATGAGCCACTGTTCAAAAGCAGAATTTAATTGTATAAGAAACCATGATTGAAATTACAAATACATCTTACTCTATCAATTTCTGGATGGTTTAGGAGAATCTGTACAATTTCGGCATGCCCACCCCCAGCAGCAAAGTGAAGAGGCGAGCTGAGCTGTCCATTGAGCAAGTTTGGATTGCATTTTCCTTTCTCTAACAACATTCGAGTAGCTTCAACTTTACCATACCTACAGAGAGAACAAATGCAAATAAAGGTAAGCTTGCATATGGTCTATGAAATGGTTCCAAAGACACATGTAAGAAACCGCACTTACTTGTTAATTATTTTAGTTCAGTCTAAGTGTCTGAAACACTACCAGCATTCTGGAATGAATTCATGCCCCACAAAAATAATTAGTATTGCAATTTAATGAAATTCACTTACTTCTGGGAGAAGTTACTATTCTAAAATAAGTAATTCAACTCATTTTTTTCAAATAATCTAAGAATATATGAGGGTTTCCCCAAAAATTTTTTTACATACATTTTTAAATCAGCAACTGCTAAGTACATTTTTTTGCAGAAAGCCTCTCTTACAGCAGTGGTGCTTTTCATTAAAGCTGGCCCTAGCCACTTAACTGGATTGCCAGTTTCTACAGCATTTGCAAAGTTCCTACAAAGTCTGGGTTACCTTTGAGCTGCCAGAACCCACTTTCACACTGACCCAATTTGCACCTAATACTAAGCCAAAAGCCATAGCTTAGCACAAATGAACAAACATGGGTGCTCAGAAGAAGAAACAGTGCCACTTTGCTTCTTCCCTGGTCTTGCTGCTGTAGCACTACTTGCAACTAAGTTATGGTTTGGCATATATCTGAATCTGCAGCTAAAGTATGGTTTAGCTTATGTCTGAATCTGGACTTGTGGTTTCTCCTGCTCCTAATAAACCACAAGTTATAACCAAGGTGTGTTCTGCCTGCAGTTCATCTAGGAGAGACAAACCACAACCCTGGGTTCGGACATAATACCAAGCCAAACAATAGCTAAGCTGTGGGTAGTGCAACAGTGGCAGGCCTGGGGGAAGAATTTGACAGTCTCAGCCTTCACTTGTTCATGCTAAACCATGGTTTGGCTTAACATTACATGTAAGCCGGGCAACTAATGTGCAATAATTATTAGAGATTAGCAAAATGTCCATCTTTTTGATGGGGGCAGTCTATGTGCATGCAGGGAAGACTTCTGAGGGACAGTGATACATCAAACTACGCTTTTCCATGAGTTTCAGTGGAATCTAGGCCTTCCACTACAGGAAATGGAGAGTGGCTTTGTTCCCAACCATAAAGTTTCCTCAAGTTCAGCCTGATTAATCTACATGTGGTAAATGGCAGCCATTCAGTTAAATGTGAAAAAAATAACTGCAATTCATTTCAATGGGGGTCCTATGATCCCAGCATCTACAGTGAGCTTCACATTTTGCCCTTTCCCAAGTCTGTGCTACACTACGGATGGTTTACTTTGCCCTCCAAAGCTCAGAGACACTGAGAAGTGAGCAAATCCTCAGCTGCGGAGCCACACCCTTCACCCACATAGCTGCATTCTATTTCTCAGCTACGTTTGAGCATGACAAAAGCTTGAACACACAGACACACACATAAGCACGAAGACACAAACAGATGGTTTTAATTATGAACAATTCCCTGTTTTGGACTTCAATGCAAGAGTACTCTGCTCACCAGCATGCGTAATGGATGGGTGCCCAATGATCACTGTCCAGCTGGTTGACTGAAAAGTTTTCATTGAGAAGTTGACTCAATAACTCAGAATCTCCTTCACAAGCACTGCGATGAAGAGGGAAATCATCAACCCACTGACGTTCCCTGTGGGGTGGGGAGGGAATTAAGATATGATATTTCAGTCATGTTATCTTTCAGATATTTCAGTCATGTTACTGCTTCATCAAAAGCATCCTGTTGCTTTGATCTGAAGAGAAAAGGCACGAGACAGTTAAGGAGTTGGTTTTCCTCCCACTAATGCAATGCGGGGTGGGGGTGGGGCTGCATTTCAAACCTATTTCTACTTTACAGTCTTAGTACACCGATTGGATATTTCACTTTTAAGAGCCAACACACTTTGAGGGGAAGTTAAAAGGCTGCTCTTAGCTTCGACTGTGGTCGTTGCCACTACCCTCTCCAGCAAGGGACCTGAGATCATTACAGAACTTATGCAAACTTACTTTAAGTGACGGTTACATACCCCGAGTATCTAAGAAAAATTGGCAAATTCTGAATGCACCCACCTCAGTATTGGAACTGCAAATGGCAAAAAACCAAATGAAAATGGGGAAAGCACCAGGGCCAGCTGGACTTACTGCAGTTTATTATAAAAAGTCACTGGATATTTTAAAGTTTGTAAAATGTTTTATTTTGAAATGTAAAATTGAAAGCTTAATAATTGAAAACTTAATAAAAATTATTACTAAAAAAAAGAACTCATGCAAACTTACGAAGGAGTATACTCTACTGAACATAATGGGATTTACTTATGAGTAAACATATTTAGGATTGCCGTCATCCACTCTGGAAGCAATAATGCCTATACAGTTTTTAAATAAATAAAAAAGGGTTTGGGCTTCAGGGGACAATTCTTTTATAAAGAAATGAATAAAAATAACACAGTACTTGTCTTCCATGACACTGCTCATGCTGCGTTGCCACTTTTCACGTTTTGGAATCTGTATTTTTGAATAGTCTGGGGCTCCAAGTCCAAAGTATGGATTTATAACCACTTTGTCGACCTGGAAATACCATATAATGAAGAAGAAGAAAAAGGCTCAAAGTACACCCTAATGAACATAAAAAATCTAACACTCTTACCATATATACTTGAGTATAAGCTGACTTTTTCAGCACATTTTTTATACTCGAGTGAGGTGGGTGGCGGCGGAGGGATGAGCAGCCCGAAAGGAGCCCTTTCTTGCCGCTGGTCCAGCCGCTGCCGCCTGCCTCTCGCAAGGGCAGGCGCAGAGGTGGTGGCAGAGGGACAAGCGGCCCGAAAGGAGCCCTTTCGGGCTGCTTGTTCTTCCTCCTCCGCTGCTGCCACCACCAGGTTTGTGGTGTGGTGAACCGGCTTATACACAAGTCAATAAGTTTTCCCAGTTTTTTGTGCTAAAATTAGGTGCCTCGGCTTATATTCGGGACGGCTTATACTCGAGTATATATGGTAAATTAATAATGATCTCCTCTTACCCTATTGGTATACTGAAGATCTGAGCCAAATAAAGGGTTGTAGATGCACATGTCTGCCTTCTCAAGTGCCAGCATTTTACTCTTGATTTCCAATGCTGTGTATCCCATATGAAGTGAGCTCTCTGTCTGCCCAGATTCAACAGCGTATGCAGGGTTTGTGACATTTGTTTTAATCCGCTCCAAGGGAGATGGTCTGAATAAAGCGGGGATTGAATGGGATTGTGAATGCCGTTCTTCTAACCACCTGCAGAACACAACGGGCAAAAATGTTTTAGCATTGTTGCTTTTATTGAAGATTAGTAAATAATTAGTACAGCATAATGTAAACACCTACCCATAGTAAGTAAGCCTTTAGAGAGATACACTGATACAAACACTTAAGAACAAGTGCTTAGGACCTGCAACTTTTTTTAAAAAAAGTAAAATATGATCTGTCTTGAAATATTATGGTATGTAAAATGTTAAGAATATTTTAAAATATTTCATTATTTAGCGTCATTTTCTTTTTATAGACTCAAGGAGTTCTGTTAAAAATGTCTTACTTATCCAAGTAAATTAACATTCTAGCTGTTACTGTAGCAAAGTGAGTACTGGATTCACTGCAGACCCTCATGATGTCTTGTAAGCAGTAGAAAACTGGACATCCAGGACTGTAGGCATATTTTGTATTATCTACAAAGGAGAAGATACTTTTTAAAACAAAAACGCTGAACAAATCTCATTTATTCTATTACGCAATTTTGGCCTGATAACATTACATTTTGTTCTTATATTCCTATGTCCCACAAATTAAATTCCCAAGGCTGCAGGGACATCTCATTATTACATTCAACAAAGTACATTACCGCATTTTTCGCTCTATAGGGCGCACCGGACCATAGGGCGCACCTAGTTTTTTTTGGGGGGGGGGGGGAATAAAGAAATATCCTGCCGGGCTCCCAAGGCTTGGGGATATCTGCCCGAAGCCTGGGGTGCGCTGCGCAGTGCTCCCTGGGCTTCAGGATGCAGGCTGCTATCCGCAAGCCTTGGGAGCCCAGTGGGAACTCCCGCCAGGCTCCCAGGGCTTGCGGATATCTGCCCAAAGCCCGGGGATAGCTTCCTGAAGCCTGGAGAGCGAGAGGGGTCGGTGCACACCGACCCCTCGCTCTCCAGGCTTCAGCGAAAGCCTGCATTCGCTCCATAGGACGCACACACATTTCCCCTTCAGTTTTGGAGGGGGAAAAGTGTGTCCTATAGAACGAAAAATACGGTATTTTGTTTCTGGAAAAATGCAATTTTCTCCCAATATAAGTTGCAGTGTAACCTTGTTGAAAATGATGTTCCGAGAGCATTACGGCCTCAATTCTATTCCCACTAACCTGAGAGTAATCCCCACTGAATTCAGTGAGGCTTGCATCTGTGAATACATGCATAGGATGGTACTGATGAGCACAGACTGAATATAATTTGTGATTTAATCAGCAGTAAGCAACCCTACTCTGAGGCCTGACAAACACCAGTGCCTGATGCAGCTTGCCACAATCCTTTCTCTCCCTTTCCCGCTCCTCAACTGATTATCCTCTCTCATCCTCATAAATAAAATGTTTTCCCCCTTTCATTTTGAAAAAGAAGTTCCATTTCTTAAAAGCATTCAAGTGTAGCCCTGAGTGGAACTGGATGGTGTGAAATCGTAGGATTGTGCGATTCATGTACATTTTAAAGAAAAAGATATTAACATTTGCTAATTATGTGCAGCTTTAATGTTAACATTTTAATTTTTACCTTTGACTACTGTTGGTACAACAAAAAGGGATGCATCCTTGCCTGTCTTCTCGCCATCAAGAGGGAAAGTCTTCATTAACAGAACTCGTTTTCCTGTATACAATAATAATCCTTTAATAATTATCCTTTGAAATTATCCTCCTGTTTCTCATCTGTCTTTCTTGATAACACGCACTGGTCCCACTCTTCTGGATTGGAGATTCTGGGGTACTATCAGCCCTGGCAATTCTCCTGAATTCTCAAGCTGTTGCTGTGACCAAGATTAACGTTCACTAGTTTGGGCTGTTATCAATCAAGACCTGTCACTGCTGGCATAATAGCCAGGTGACTGTGATCCATGCAGTGGGCTGTATCCAACTAAATTATACTCAGTGTAAGACTCATTGAAATTAAATGGACCTACGTTAGCCATGCTCATTCATTTTAATGGGCAGGATTCAACTAAACTGTTGCATGCATGGGACTTACTCTCCCCCTCATGGTCCTTAAATCGGCTCTGGAGGGTTGGAGAAAACCCCAGAACAGGTATAGAAGGCTGGCTGGTGGGAGGAGAGGAAGGGAGGGAAAGTCCCACTGCTTGAGGTGACTTAGTTTCCTGCACACATATTCCACTGAGTGATACATTGAATTCTATCCCCATAGGTGCATTATGAGTACAACTAACATTGGATTTAACCCTTTGTTAACTGTTAGGCTACAATAGCACACTCTATATGGGGCTGCCTTTGAAGATGGCTTGGAAGCTTCAATTAGTGCAGCCACCCATTTGATTAAGTTTTCCTCTGCTCTTTCCAGGTGTGATTTAAAGCTCCATGTTTGAGCACCCTGGCGTTTTTTTTGCTTCAGAATTTGCCTTGCAAAAACCCACTCTTTAAAGCTGAATTGCAGCAAGCATCAATCTGTGGAAAACCCAAACTGACATTTGCTCCAATTCAGCTTTAAAATAGTAGGTTTTGAGGCAAGGGGAACCACACTCAGACATGGAGCAAGCATTAAAGTGTGGATCTCTGCCTGGAAAGAGTTGGTCAAAGGTAAGTGTGGATAAGCTCTAATAGGAGGGAACTGGAGGGAGCTCATTACACCTGGAATATAACAACTGCACTGACACCCAGTTAGTTTCAAGGCACAGTACAAAGTACTGATTTTAACTTTTAAATGACCTAGGCTCCAGTTGACCGAGTAAGCACCCTTTTCTGTACCTGTCTCCCCATACTGGGGAGACTTCAAATAAGTGCTTGCTCCAACTTTCTCTTCTTTCTAAGAATTGATTGGCATAGACAAGGAGCAGGCTTTTCTACTACCAGAGCTCTTCTTTCAGAACCTCTCCTTTAGCCGGATAAGAACTTTCTTAACTTCGAAAAATAAGTAAAAATCTTCATATTATGACAAGCATTATGGAGAATAATGAAGATTGTTGTTTTAGCTGTACTGACTGTCATTGGTTATCAAGCAGAAACAGCCATCCTTACCTTTAATACCTTGATTTCCCGGTGAAATTGGTTTGGTGGTTTCTAGTATATAATCCAAGATCTTTTGGGATATATCGCCGCCTCCTTGAATTTTAGTTTCCAACAACATTTTTCTTCTTTTTTTCTTGTGTCCTTCGATGGGAACTTCAAGCAACAAAATCTGATGAATATCAAGGTAAACATTAGTTAATACAAAGATCTGTATTTTGAAAGAATAATAGCACTGTCTAAACAGAGGCTGCCCTTGCACTCATATACTTAGAATGAGATATACCAATGTGCAAGCTTTACTTTTTAGGCAATGTCATGTTGGTATGAGATGTAGATAATGGTAAAAAAAAATGTTTAGGCTCATGATGCAATTTTTTTTTTGTATTCAAAATACTGTAAGGTCCATTTCTGCATTGAATTTCCTGAATAAAAAGAAATATCAGGAAGCTTAAAAAAAATCTGTACAGTATTTAAATTGTGTCTCCAAACAAGATCCTTTATGGATGTACCACAGAATTACCTGCTGCTATTTTGGAAATAAAAAGGGATAAATAGGTACCGCTCCGGCGGGAAGGTAAACGGCATTTCTGTGCGTTACTCTGGTTCGCCAGAAGCAGCTTAGTCATACTGGCCACATGTCATACTGGCCATATTGGCTGTATGCCAATAAAGCGAGATGAGTGCCGCAACTCCAGAGTTGGCGATGACTGGACCAAATGGTCAGGGGTCCTTTACCTTTATTTTGGAAATACAGTATTATTTCATTATTCTTTGACCACATGCATTTCAATAACATAATTTTGTTTTTTGTATTATTAAGTCATTACTTATTCTGATGCAAATTCATGTATTTGCTTAAGCTTTTGAATTTCAAAATCCCTCTGTACAAAATGAAAATGTTCACAATCACAATTAACATGCTATTGCATTCATTGAATGGCTATTTAATAAATAAAGCATTAAGAGAGACTGGTGAAAATTCAAAATATGAGGAATTTAATGAAATTATTCTGTAAAATAGGTCCATACCTTCTTAATGTTGAAAGAGAACTGGGAGAAAGGAAATTTGCTCTGCATATTTCAAGACATTTACTCTAGACTAGTTGATTATCTTAAATGTGCTGCGGCAAGCTTTCACCTTGTGTGCTTCCCCCTCTCCCCTTCTATGCAGCTGGAGCAGAGATGTTTGCAAGCTTTTGCTTTTGTGGTTGGTTAACTGTGGTTTGTTATGTTGCCTGGATCAACAAACTCAGTTAACTATAACTCTGTTGAGCATAACATGAATGTTGACTGTGTGAATGCCACATAATTTGCTCTGTGATAATCTTTTATTGGTAACAATTTTGCTAGCTTGCTTAACACATAACAACAAAATAGAATTTAAGCAATATTACTACACATCCTTCTGTTAGGGTGTTTTGTAACTGCATCACTTCCCCACAATATTCTGAGCAGTATCTCTGAGATATTAAGCAGCAGTATGTACATTGACATACTGTACATTGTAGCTGTACATTGTGGTTATTGTAACAATTGAGAAATATTTAATAGCAACTTACATGGTGACAGAATCACCCTGCACCTATCATATGATGGCATTAAAAGGCAAAAGTGAAATGATGAAATGGGGCTATGAGGAACTATTTTCTTACGCAGAAGATACGTTGCTATAGGAAATTCAATCACTAACGTCAGATTACTTCCTGAGTTTCTGTCTGTACCTAGGACTAGGATGTTATTCTCACTGATGCTACACCTTAATTTATACGTTGTTTTAAATGTATTCATGGGAGAAGGGTTAGTGTTTTGTTTCAATTATGTATTTTGTGTTTTTATTTTTATGTTGTGAGCCACCCTGTAATCCTTGGATGAAGAGCAGTATACAAATTTTAACAACAACAATTTCCTACAATAAAAAACCCTCCCATTTAATGCATTTTCAACACCTCCTAACAAATAATAATGATTTTACCTCATATGATTTAGCACGATATTCACGAGAATTCAGGCTTGCAGCATTCTTTGGACGGATTACAGCTACATATGCTTCAGTTATTACCTCTGGGTTGCCCATGGTTTGTTAATATATCTATTTTAGTGAAAAAATAATCAGAAACCAAAGATTTTATCTGAGAAAACAAGTTTTTTTTTAAAGGAAACAACCGCCACAGATGTTTTCCCCAATTTAAAGTATGCTAGTAATTTTCTTTCTCTCCCTCTCTATCCTCCCTGAATAAAGAAAGGAAATCTTCATTTTGCTTTGAGCATTTTGAGGACTGTCCTGAAAATTCAAAATAATTTATAATGAAGCCACTGCTTAAATATCTTTGTAGAAATAGAAACAATAAGCATAATTTTAAGTAGCTTACAAAGAAATGGCAAACATTGTGACACTAAAAACATATTCACTAATACAGCAAGGACAGTACAAGCACAGGCCTGCTGATCAGGAACTACACATGCAACAACAACCTCTGTGTGTGGTTTCTGAGGCTAGATCTGTATTCAGCTTTAAAGGTTTGTAGTTTGCAATGACTGATTGGGATCTGGGTGCACATAGCTTGAGAGATTACATAGCTCTCAGTTTTGACAGTGTCAGTCAGCTGGGGTGCGGGGAGAAGGGACTGAACCCAGACCTCTTTCTCTGTCAGGATATAGGGGGCAGGAAGAGCTTGGATTCAAACATCCCACAACTTCAAGTAAGTAGTATGCTATCAAAGCTTATAACACTGGCTGTCTGTTAGAAGGCCAGGGGCACAAAACACTCTGCTGCACTGTGTGAATTTATTGTTTTTGCAGATTTTAAATTGGGATCATGCCATGGAACTTAAAATTTCATTGAAATCCAAACAAATGACTTTCATGTAATGTGTATTTGGTAACAGGATCTAAGTTGAGACTGTTGAAATCTTGAGACTAACTAAAGTGGTAAATGTAAACATTTTTATATACAGGATGTAGCATTTCTCGTATCAACAATAAACACTGTCAGTCCAAGTGCAAAACTGTATCTACACCTTAATTTCTAAATCTGCCTTCACCTTTCTCTTTAAACTGAGAAACTACCTTAAATTTCATGAGGACTTCATGTGAAAACTTATAATCAAAAACTGCAGGTCAAACAGCATCAGGTATTTTTTCATCAACATTATAAGTGTGAAATTTGTAAAGACTGTATGGTGACAAACAGTTCAATCCACAGCCCATCTAAACTGAGCATTAATCCTAAACAGAGAAACTTTGGGCACAGTCACCACTAGCCACTTGGCAAAACCAAGCAGCTGCCATAGATAATCCAAACATATCCCTAATTCACCTTCTGGGTCTTTATGAGATTAGTAATAAAGGAGGATTAAGGACAGGGAAAGTCAGCAAAATGAATCCTATTGCAGGAATAGGAGCAGGGATCTTATGGGAGAGGCAGCATTGAAAATGTATTGTTTGGGGTTGGCCGATGACATTCTGTGTTCATGGGCAAAGGACAAGATGCTGCCCCCTTCCTGTTCCATATACAGAAGCAGACTGAACTGCCAGTTGATTGTTACTTCAACATGAATAGCATCTTCTACAGCACTTAGTAGCAGGCTAGTTTAGGAAGGCTAGAATAGCCAGTGCAACATGCACAGCTCTGTCCTCCAACAGAAGGGAATGTGGAATGGCTAAGGGAAAACAGCTAAAGGAGTGCCCACCCACTTATGTCCCAGCACCTGCCACCTAAGGCAGTCACCTTGTTCTGCCTAATGGTAGGACGGGCCCTGAGAAAAACAAATGCAAAGGTTCAACCCAGATTCCCACATACATACACATCTGGCCATACTCTTATATGTTAATTATTCTGGGATAATTACCATTCCATGATTTCATGTCACTCCATTGGTAAGAATGCGCTAAAATATAATCAAATATCATCCTTTTATCACCTTAATAGTGAATACAACGTATGTCTGATACTCAGAATTGCTCTGTGAAATAATGCCAGTCCTGGTCCCATGTTCAGAATCATTACTTTGGAATAATAATAATAATAATACTAGATAATAATTTATACTGCACCCCATATGGCTGGGTTTCCCCAGCTACTCTGGGCAGCTTACAGAACATATAAAAACACAGTAAAACATCAAACATTAAAAAGTTCCCAAAATAATAATAATTCTGATGCCAATGGAAGCCATGCATTGTCAAGAACCATTTAACTTCCTTAGTTATGGGTTGGACAGACTGGTAACGGCTGAGTAAGTGCCACCAACCTGTGCATGTTTGTGAATGACATTATTGCATTCATCAGACTCCAATGGTAAAAGATTTGCAGACCGACACCCCACCCCTGTTAAACTGCTGCAGCAAAATAAATAAATGGGTATTGTGGTACATTAAAAGATTCGTTGCGCCATAAGCTTCCACAGACAATAGCTCTAACCCACAAAACCTTATAGTGCAATAAATCTCCCAATCTGTTAAAACTGCCCAATAAACCCTAATTTCCCTGTCCTTTAGACTCCCAAGTAGATCAGCTTTGTTTCGGCGGTACCACTTTAAGGCTGCTGCGGGTGTGGGTTTCCATATTTGAATAAATAGCTCAACCTAAGAAAAGAACAACAATAATAAAAATTAAGACTTCCTGACTTTCAGGGCGAAGGGTCCAGTCCAGCTTTTCATCCTGGGCGGACCGCTTTCCTATCTGCAAGACGCATTTTGTTTCTCCCGGAGGAGAGCATTCCCACAGGCAGTCCCTCACCTGCAACCTGGCCCCGGTGCAGCAGGGGTCCTTTACCACGGAACGCAGCCGGTGGCTCTCAAGATTCCCCGGAGGCGAGGGGACTTGATTCCGAAGCAGATGCACGCAGCAGTGCTGTCGTTTTCTGAGAGCGGACGAATCTGAGGCAGAGAGAATTACTTAGGCGCGGGGGAGGAGACGACGCCGGCTCCGAATTGTGGAGCGTCGACGACTTTTTTGTGGGGGGAGCCTCGCTTTTCCTTACCGCCGCGCAGCCTTGAAAGGGGTCTCTTCCTCCGTGCGCATCGCCCTCGTTGCCCCACCCCGGGGTTCCTCCCTCGTTCTCCTCCGGGGCTCCGCCCAGCTTCCCTCCCCCGTGAGCCGGCAGCAGATCCGCTTCCCGTGCGGCTCCGAGCGCCGATAAGGTTCCGGGTCGGAGGCCCGACCGCTTGTTGCCGCCGCTGTGTTGTTGGCCGCCGGAGGAGGAGGAGCAGCAGCAGCACCACCACCACCACCAGCAGCAGCAGCCGCCTCGGCTTTCTCCCTTCTCCTCCTCCTCCTCCTCCTCCTCCTTCTTCGTGTGGAGATGCCGCAGCTGCCCCGAGATGCCTGGGCTTGAGACGCCGGGGCCGTGAGGGGAGCGGGCCTCTCGCGAGGTCTGGAGCGCGAAAGGCTTCTCTGAAGGGCCCTGCGAGACGCGGTGCAGCAGCCGGACGGACAGAGAAGCTTTTCGGGAGAGTTCCGCCGCCGAAGCCGAACAAAGGGGGTTGAGAACGGCGCGCGAGCCGAGAGAAAGGCGGGCGGGGGGGCTTGCCAGCGCTTGCCCTCGCGCACGCGCACCCCTCTCACAGCCACCCGGCTCGGGTCTCTAGCGGGGGGCGCCTTTCCGTACCTCTGAGGGGAAGAGGGGGTTGAACGGCCGCTTCTGGCTCGCTGCCCCTCGCGGGCTTGTCGGGGGGACGAGGAGAGGAGCGGGGAAGCGGAGCGGCGGCGCCTTAAGAGGGAAAGGGGCAGCGGATAACTACTCCCAGCCGTCGCCGGGCGGATGGATGGAGGCACCGGCAAGCCGGCGAGGAGTGACCCTGTGAGGAACCGGTGAGTCGTGTGTGTGTGTTTATGTTGCCACGGGGAGGGTCCCTTTCGTGACACTCTAGTTTCTGGGTGCTTAATATATATATATCTCGAGGGAGCGGCGGGGCTTAGCAATCGAATGGCACCCCAAAAAATAAAATTAAAAAGAGGGTTTCAGTCAGGCTTCGGTTTCCCTTTTGCTTTGGTGAGGGTGTGTAAAGGGGAGTTGCACGTAACTTGACATCGTCCTTCGGGAAGGGGGTCGAGGGCATCCGCAGAAATGTGCCTTTCGGGATGTGTGGGGCTGTTTTGGGAGACAAGGGTGGCCGGCGCCAAACCCAGTTCAGGAGGTTTGGCTTTGACTAGAGAGCGGAGAGGCGGCGGGGGCTTTCGGGGCTTCGTTTAATACCACCATAATAGCTCTCCATATTTGGAAATCCCGAGTTGTTAATGGTTGGGTGGGTTTGTTGCCTCTTCTCTCATCCTGCCCCAACCCTCTTAGTGTATGTTTATGGGTAAGATCGGGTTGGTGGTGATGGTGGGTTTTTTTACATTTTTCATTCAGATTCACCGTTAAGTCCTGCGGTGCCCGGCCCTCCTTTTCAGCACACTGAAATTATAGGCAGGAGACAGATTTCTGGAGCAAATAGCGCTGAGTACAAGGGTGTGGCCGTGTGTGTGTGTGTGTGTGTGTGTGTGTGTGTATATATATATATATATATATATATATATATATATATATAATGAATAAGAGACAAATGCACAAAATTAGATTACACATCCGGGTTTAGTTTAGTTTATAATTCAGATAGTTTATAATCAGTGAAGGCCACTTAATGTCATCAGCAGGGATCAATTGGCAAAGTTTTTTTCTGGCCTGTACCACTTCATGTAGCTAGTGTGGTTGCGTTTTTTGAATGTTTTCCGTGGAGAGAAAGATCCCTGCTTTTAGACAATTAACCTGGTAGGAAATGGATTCTGACTAGTCTTCTCTTTGCTGGGTTTTCCCTCCCACGCTAGAAAGTCATTATGGAGGGGAGGGGCGGTATTCAAACAAACACACACAGCCACAACAGGAAGTGGTACAGGCCAGAAAAATCTTCTTTGTTTAATTCAGTTGATAGTACAAGCAGAATAGAATACAAATTGCAGTCAGGATCACTTGACAATGTAAGGCTTATCATTAACGTGTTAGAGCCTAGTCATATGTTACACGTGCATATGTAACAAAAGGCTAGCAGCTGCTTTTCCTAAAAAGAAACAGCATTGGGAGGGGGATCCGGACCAGCGATGCAGTAGATGGGTGTGAGGGGAAGGATGAAACATCTTTCCACTGCTTCTATATTTGAAATCCCTCTTCCAAAGCTGCTTTTCTTTACGACAAGCAGCCACCTGGTTTTTGTTACGGATCTGTGTCATGTGTAGTTAGAACCTTGCTTTTGAAACAATTAGAAGGACTTTGTAACATAATTGGTGATTTTATGAAGCAGGGTGCATGGTAAACCTCAGCTAACTTTTCCTTATAAGAGAATATAATTAATTGGACAAGGACTGCTTAGATCTTGGGACAGATTTTTTGGAAGATGTTCCACTTCTGGAAAAGTTGCAGTCTGATTTTAAAATCAAAGCCAAACAATAACTCTGCAGAAGTTATCTGTAAAATCTCTGTAAGTAGAGATTTTAGGAGGCATGCACATTCTTTTGAGGTGGAATGTAGTATTTACTTGAGGAACTGTGGGACATTGCACTGCTTGTACACAATCAATTCAGTTGGTAGAAAATGTGCATGATAGTACTGCAATGCTTGTATACAATTCCCTTGAGGGTTAAACCACCATGCCCCCGCAACAACCCTAACCTAGTATCCTTGGACAGCCTCTCTGGTGCCCACTAAGCCCCTCCCCCATGCCCCTTTTTTTTGTAAATTTGAGTTTTTTTGGTTGGGAGGTGTTGACTGATTTTTTGGTCTGTTTTGTTTGATGGGGGTGTAGGCATTTTGGCTGGGACAGGGTTCTTCTCATCAGCTGTTCATCTTCTGTGAAATGGGGGGGAGGGTTTTGGGTACTCGTGACAATTTCTTAATTTCCACAGTAGCCCCTGGTTCCAGAGTGGTTGAACCCCTTGTGTAGCTTCACCATATAGTATATGAAGAAATCACTTGCATTCATCTTGTTTGTTTCTTTTGGCTTCAAAGCAAATGACTTTGAATTTAAACATTCAGTACAGTGGTACCTCTGATTACGTACTTAATTTGTTCCGGAGGTCTGTTCTTAACCTGAAACTGTTCTTAACCTGAAGCATCACTTTAGCCAATGGGGCCTCCTGCTGCCGCTGCACGATTTCTGTTCTCATCCTGAAGCAAAGTTCTTAACCCGAGGTACTACTTCTGGGTTAGCGGAGTCTGTAACCTGAAGCATATGTAACCCGAGGTACCACTGTACATTAAAGTAGGACTCTGGAAAAGTGTGGCTTTCCATATGCTGCTTGATTCCAATGCCTATCAGGCCCAGCCTACACCACCAATAGTCAGGAATGGGTGTTGTACGCCAGCATCTGGAGGGCCACAGGCTTCCCATCTCTGGTTTAACAGAAACTTTCAGCTAAATTTGCTATTGGAAAATTTCCATTTGATATAGGTCAATTGTGTAATGTCTGTCTGCCAGTAGATAAACAACTATTTGCATGCTGTTCTTTTCAAAGTGGAATATTAGTCTAATTTACTTTTGTACAAAGGAATTCATTCTTACATACTATTTCTTGCTTAATTGTGAACGGTAAAATGTGTAATATAAATAAATATTTAAAATGAAAATTATCTCATTCTTAACTATTATTGCCTGTTTTAAGATATTACATTGTACAGAAGGTGAAAAGTCATTCTATAGTGAATACTTTCTATTCCTGCCCCACAAAGGCTATGTCTTAATCTGTCAGGCTTTAAGGTACAACAGAACTCATTGTTTTTACTATAGCAGACTAATATAACTTCCCCTCTGGAATTTGATATAATAAAGCTTATTAAGAAGTTGTCACATTAATATTTATTCCAATATATTGTCCTGACTACATGGGAGAAAGTGAAGCAAGCCATTTTGTATAGAGCATGTGTCTATTTTCCCCCACCTAGTTTCACTTAGTAATGTGTTAGTTTTAACTCATCCGATCCCTGAAAGTCCATTGTGAGTGATTCTAATGTATTACCATCTTTTTTTAAAAAAATAAAAATCCCTTGGTCTATAAAGATACATATTCATCTATAACCATTAAAATTTTGTCTATCTGCATCATTCTGTTTATCTGTGTTAAGAAACACTGAGAGACGCTGGTACTTAATAGGTACAACTTTCCCCTTCAATAGTCTGTAGGGATAGATAATTAGCAAAGCAATTGGAATTCAGAGGGTCTGAATTACCCAGTTCATACACTTGGGAGAATCTTCTCTATTACAAAAGTCAGTCATATGACACAGCATGCTCTCAGACAGGGTATTGTTTAGAGTAGAAGCACATGAGTATAGCGCAATACTTCTGACAAATACAGCTTACTTGTGGTAATATAGCTCAGCTGTGAACATTCTGGTATGGAGAAAGCTGATAACTTTCTTTTTCTATAATTGTAAGCTGAACTACTGAACTCTGATCATTTGTGCTAACTATTATGAATGCATCACTTAGCATTTTTTTTACAATATCTAATTTAATACAACTACAGTACTGAAGACCTAAAACTTACTGTATTTCTAGTACTTCTAGAATGCTGACATTCAAGCAGATCTTCTGGCTATCAGTTTTTGGTCAAGTTAAGTGTCTTTCCAAAGGATAAACGGTGCGACAGGTGAGGCTATGGCCCTCCAATTGTTGTACAACTCTCTGGCCATTGGGCATGCAGACCTAGGCTGGTGGAAATTGTAGTCCAAAATATCTGGAGGGCATGAGGTTGAGGGAAGGCTGAATGATACTATTAATTTGTTCTAAATTTGATATGATTGTACTAAAGGTAAATTTATAAGATGATATTTTAAGCCTTTAATGCTTTCTCTGTGGTGCAGTCTGGATTAGTATAAGTTAAGCCTTCATTAATACTGAAGATAAATTTCTTTATAGAATTGCTGTTTGTTCTGTGTAGTGCTTTGTGTATTGAGGGTTGTTTTTGTTTCTAGAAGCCGCCTAATATCACTCAATTGAAAAATGATTTGAGTACCTTATCAGGTCATGTAAAATATATATAATAAGGTGTGGACTATTAGACTGGCATAATTCTGTATTGTAGACTTGCCGGTTTGAGAACTAGTATTTGATAGTAACAGAAAACAGAACTGTTCTAATGGTAGAAACCTGGCCCAAGAGAAGATTGTACTTCTCACATGTTTAACAGGATACCAAGCCAAAGAAAAAAGAACCTAGGAAACTGCCTTATACTGTATTGAGTCAGACCATTGATCCATCTAGTATTGGCTACAGTGACTGCCAGTAGCTCACCAGGGTTTCAGACAGGATTGTCTCCCAACCCTACCTGGAGATGCCAGAGATTGAACCTGAGACTTTCTGTATTCAAGGCAGATGCTTGAATACACTGAGTATTCAAGTACCACTGAGCTATGATTCTTCCCCACAGCAAATGCAATTGGCAGTGGTAGTCCTGATTCCTGGATACTTGTGCTACCTATCTTTTTAAAATATCTTTGCATCTGGGACGTGGGCAAAATTCACATATGGGGGGGGGTTGTTTCTTTAAAAAGAACCTGAGGGCAAAGTGCTTCTGAAGAAACACATAAATACAGAGGACCTTTCCTTTGGGAAGGGAAAGCTCCCTTGTTTTTATGGGAAATGAGAAATTTGCCCTATGTCTTGTTTTCAGCATACCTGCTTATGATGCAGATGGTTCCAACTTATATTGTGCTTCTTTAGAGGTGACCTTGTTGAGCAATCGGTTTGACTGAGCAGGGAGAAGTTCACACTCAAGTTCTCTTGCACACACTGGGAGGCCTACACATACAGTGGATCCCCCTGATACAAACTTAATTTGCCCCGGGGGTCCGTACTTACCCCAAAAAGTCCATATCCAGAGGACCACTTCTGCGTGCACGCGTGGCGCGATAGAGCGCTTCTAAGCATGCGCGCGGGGCGAAACCCAGAAGTATACCTGAAGGTAACGTAACCCGAGGTACCACTGTACAGTCTTTCTATATGCAACATGCATTTAGTGGTGCAAACTACTTTCATAATTTCCAAGTGGCAAACTGTGTACAGTGTGTTTGTATTTGTAGCACTAAGCTTTCACAGTGAACCACCACCAGAAATTAAGTCACTAACTACATGTGGTGCTTGAAGTATATATGTACACTATGACGGCTCATCACATACATACTCATAGAAGAAACTGTTCAGTTAGAATTTCTGGCTTCGGCAAAATTCAGGAATCCAATCAGCTCATAACTATAGACACATGCATTTGATTACTGCGTATGTGTACTTGTATAATGTTGCTTCTTGAACCATGATATTTTCAGAGATGTCTGTACTTGAACAGCATGTGGTCAGTAAAAGTAGTTGGACTGTGTGATTTAATCAGGGAGAGAGCAGAAACTTTCAGGAGAAAGTTGTAGCGCAAGGAGTGCCTGCATGCAAGTATAAATAAGTATTGGATGATATCATCCAATAAAAAGAAATGCTGCCTTTTGCCTAAAAACATTCTTGATTATATGGAATCATAGTCAACCAATAATTGATCAGTATCCTATCTTAGCTCCTTTGGCATTTTGCTATAGATATCTTTTAAGGTATCTTACTTTTAATAGGAAAGTAGATCCAAAGGAGTTAAGTTGTCCTAGATCGTGCATCTCTTGTGTAATAATGAAACAGCAGTTCATAGTCTTAACTCTTTCCATGTGTCTGGTATTTCTTCCCTATTTTGGGGTTGGCATCTATGTCAATATACAATTTTAGTTGGCTAGAAAGAATATGCCTCTCCTACCCACCTTGTCTCCTATGCTGATTACTTCAGTACTTTCCCGTGTGTGAATGACTGGTTGTGAAATTGCTCAAAGAAGGAAACAAAGTTGCTTCCCTGCTTTCTTTGAGAGTGGTCTACTCAGCTACACTCCTGTCCTTACTTCCCATTTGGCTTCCAACATTCAATCTCCTGTATATTTGGCAACTCAGTAGTTTGGAGCTTTGCATTTAGAAGGAACCTCCTGCCTCACTTACAGCACTTGATAAGGCTTCCTGCCTAGTGATGAGCCAAATAAGTGAGGTGAGTGAAAGAACATATTCAGAATTTGCTTTTAATACCCCCATTCCATGAGTGCTATTAAATCTTCATTTCTTGGGTATCTGAGTTCTATAATGGGAAGGAAACAAATGGCAGTAATAACTTCTTCGTGCTATGAAAGCATTGAATAGCATCATTAGGTGTATAATCATTGACTAAAGAGGCTTGTACAGATAAACATAAGCATCCATTTCCACTAACTCAGAATGCGTTCACTCCAATACCATCAGTTTCCACTGCAGTAAGTGCCCCCTTCATTTCCTCCAAAATTTGCTGCCAGGACAAATCCTTGTTGTGAATGTCCTGTTACTCCTTGGTATCTGGAATGCTTGTCTGGAAAATCCCAGGCACCTGGGTACCTGATATATCACCAGCTAAACATCATGATATATCAATTTCTGAAATAAGGAAGGAATTACGTAGAGGCGAACAGGACAATGTCCTGGGAACTGCTACAACTTAAGGGTCTAAAACTGATAAATGAAGATATTATCAATCACCTCATGGTCACTTTCAGCAGCAGGCAAGCCCAAATGCATCTAAATGAGACTTTTGGTTTTGGGCTTGGCTACCAAAGTACGCGGGTGGTGCTGTGGGTTAAACCACAGAGCCTAGGGCTTGCCGATCAGAGGGTCGGCGGTTCGAATCCCCGCGATGGGGTGAGCTCCCATTGCTTGGTCCCTGCTCCTGCCAACCTAGCAGTTCGAAAGTACATCAAAGTGCAAGTAGGTAAATAGGTACCTCCAGCGGGAAGGTAAACGGCTTTTCCGTGTGCTGCTCTGGTTCGCCAGAAGCGGCTTAGTCATGCTGGCCACATGTACACCGGCTCCCTCGGCCAATAAAGCGAGATGAGCGCCACAACCCCAGAGTCGTGCGCGACTGGACCTAATGGTCAGGGGTCTTTTTACCTTTTACCAAAGTACAGTGATGAGTCATAGTGAATACAAATAATCTGGGACTGCCAGCAGACCTATTAGGCGGCAGCAGAATCAACAACGGCAGGGGGAGGCAGAAGCAACAGCAGCCTGGCAGTAGTGGCACAATAATCAGCAGCCTGCAAAGCCTCATCATGGCAGAAGCAGCGGCAGTCTGCGAGGCCTTGTTGTGGTGGCGGCAGTAGTGGTGGCCTGCAAGTGGTGGCCTGCTTAGCAGGTGCTTAGCAGTTAGTAACGTATCTGTACAAAGGCGATTTTCAATTATTTAAAATAAATCCTCTTTAGAGCTACTTGGAAATGCTTCCTTATATGTGAGACTGCTGTCTTCTGAAGGGAGAATACTGCAGCCAGTAGCTCGGTTCCACCACTATTCTTAACTTCCCCAGTGACACTGCTTGGCAACTGCAACAGAGACTTGATGTTAATGCTTGCTGGGGAATGTATATTGTGGTTGCTTAGTAGCTCAAATCTTTCCTCCACCTCCTGGGCCCAACAAAGTAGCTAAGTCATCTTTGTTGTTTGAAGACAAGTATTTTCTAATTATCAGTTGTCTTTAATTATCCTATTTATATGGTAACAGTTGTGATTTGCATTGGATCATGCAATATTCATGTATTTCAGTTGAAATCTTGTAATGTGTGTGATAAATGCAGGTATATGGAATGTTCATTATTTTAGTCCTGGACATGTGTATGGGAAATGTTTATATAGTTATGTTGGTATGATTCTAATATTGTAATACTAAGAAAGCATGTTGATCTTGATTACATTTTTAAGATTACTGGTGATGGTTGTTCAGTGTATATGTGAAGGAGCGTCTCCACCTCCATCGTCTAGCCTAGACACTGAGATTCAGCTCCAAAAGCCTTCTGGCAGTTCCCCCACTGCAAGAAGTGAAGTTACAGGGAACCAGGCAGAGGGTCTTCTCAGTAGTGGGGCCAACCTTTGGAATGCCCTCCCATCAGATAGCAAACAGATAAATAACTATATGGCTTTTAGAAGATGTCGGAAGGCAACCCTGTACAGATGGGCAGCATATAAATAATAAAATTATTATTATTTATTATTTGATTTAGGTAACATATAGCACAAATATATAATGTGCTCAGATCAACTTCTGACAGATTTCCTCCAAGCATTTCTCCTTTAGAGAAGGTAATTGGCTATGGGAGACATTGCCAAGGTTTTAAGCTATCTAGAAATAAAACCAAAAGATCTCCATTGCCTTATGAATTGCTGGAGCAGCTGCCAGCTGAACTCCCAAGTCTCTGGCTTTGCAACTTCAGCTCATCATCCCTCTTGATCACCCATGCCCTTTAATCCAAGTAACAAAGCCCAGGTGAGCTAAACAATGTGGGAGGAGGCAATAGGCAGCTCTTGGGGGGGGCCAGAGACTAGTATATATATTCAGTGATTAAGTCTATTTAATTGGAGTATGGAAAGAAAAGAGAAATGAGTGTATGCACAATCGAAAGACAAAAGCAAAACACTGAACCACAATATTGGTCTATCTTGTCTCGTGTTGGGGATCCTGTGGCAGTCTAGATGTAGCTGAACTAACACTTGCATCATTCCTGACCATTGGCCATAGTGATTAAGGCTGTTGGGTGTTGAGGTCAATAGCATCTGGAGGGCTATGGGTTCCCCATCTCAGATTTAGTCAACCGAATATACCCAGGACTTGCACACCTAGGGCTATTGCAGCTGGTCTCCTCTGGAAATGTTTATGGGCATATTCCATATTTTATGCTGTTTAATCAGGGTGATCCAATCCAAATCTTAATCTGGGGGGTCATGATTGACAGCTGGAAAGCAAGGAATTCTCTCAGGAACAGGAAATTAGCTAACACAAGGGATCGCCTCTATAAAATAAGAAGTTAAGCTTTGCCTACCATGCAGCAAAGTGAAGTCAAGTGGATGATGGCTTATTTGTGGCAGGCCACATGAGAATCATAGAATTGTAGAGTTGGAAGGGACACCAAAGGATCATCTAGTGAAGTCCATGAAATCTGTTATTACAGCCAACTTTCTGGACGATGTAAAGTATCACCCAAGGTCATTTTAGGAAGTCATGAAATTTATTGTGTCTGAGCTGGAAAACTGATCACCAGCTATCATTGGTGCAAAGAGGGACCAATGGTGCTATATGTGAAAAGAAAAGGTTGGTTCACTTCTTGGCTTAAAAGTATAATTGTTTGACATTGGCTTATTGATTGGCATAATGTTGTAAAATAGAGTAAGGACTACATTTTGGGTTGTATCTTATATTTAGTCATGCTCAGAGTGGACTCATTGAAATACCGTATTTTTCGCCCTATAGGACGCACTTTTTCCCCTCCAAAAATTAAGGGGAAATGTGTGTGCGTCCTATGGGGCGAATGCAGGCTTTCGCTGAAGCCTGGAGAGCGAGAGGGGTTGGTGCGCACTGACCCCTCTCGCTCTCCAGGCTTCAGGAAAGCCCCACCGCCAGCCCCGCAAGCTGGGGGGACAGCGGGGAGGCGCAGCGCGCCATCCCGCTGTCTCCCGATGTCCTTTGGAGGCTGGCAGCAGGGCCCGCCGCCAGCCCCGCAAGCTCGGGGGACAGCGGGGAGGCGCAGCACGCCATCCCGCTGTCCCCCGACCTGGTTTGGAGACTGGCGGTGGGAAAAGCCCGCTTCTCCCTGCCGCCAGCCCCACAAGCTCGGGGATAGCGGGGAGGCGCAACGCGCCCAGGCTTAGCTTCAGCCGTGGGAGCCCGGCGCTGGGCTCCCACGGCTTGCGGAGAGCTGCATGTTCTGGGGGCTGGGGTCGGGGGAAGCTCGGGCTTCCCCCGTCCCAGCCCTGTGCCTGGGGGGGAAATAAATTTTCCCCCTTTATTTCCCCCCCAAAAAATTAGGTGCGTCCTATAGAGCGAAAAATACGGTAAATGGACATTAATGAACTTAGGTTCATGCATTTCAGTGGGTCTACTCTGAGTAAAACTTAGTTGCCTGCAACCCTTTGACCTGGAGCTGTTTAGCCAACATAATCTACATGTAAAAAAATCAGAAGTTTATTGTGTCAGAAAAAGGTCTGCGAGGAAAAATACCTGATAGTTGTTGAGATTTTCATATGGGCTGCGTAGGAATATGAGATACTTAGAGACTTTTTCTTCTCAGAAGGAAGTATAAGAATCAGCTTTGAGAAAGACTGTACTTGGACTCCTTCCCTCAAATTCTTAAATATCTCTAAGACTTCAGATTGTTTATAAATAATCATGGACTTTGGATAGATAGCAATGCTTTCTTTTAAAATTGTGTTCTTCACTTTGTAGTTCTTTTAATATTTTGAAATGGTGTCTTTCATTTGTATTTGACTTATGCTTTGAAATGAAGTGTCTTTAAGTGGCATGTGCTGGTTAAATTGCTTCATTGTTAAAGGAATATAAATGAATGTCTTTAGGAGAGCAATAATATCTGTTTGCCTAGTAGCATTTATAAAATTATCATAATGCTAATTCTTGGAAAGTATAACACAACCAGGGTTTTTTTCTGATCACATGCTGTAATTAGATATATCTTTTGATCCTTCATGGAAAGTATAAATGGATTTCTGTACTTCTCCTGGGCTTTTTTATTGAGAAAAAATAGTATTCATGGCTAAGATGTGCACAGTTGTCAAAACCAAAGATCTGCAAGCACAATGGTACTAACAGATCTTCATTTCAGTTGTTCTCCCATTGTTAAGACACTAGAACTTGGGGTCATCCGTTGGAGCTGAATGGTGAGAAATACAAGGAAGAAAAATGGGAACACTTTTTTGCATAGTACATAGTTAAAACTATGGAAAACACTGACACAGGATATGCTCATAGCTTCCAACTTACATGGGTTTAAAGGAGAGTAGAAAAATTCATGGGCGAGGAAGACTGTCAGTGGCTGCTAGGCATGATACTTACATGATACTTAGAGGATCCATGGAACCATGCCACTGAACACCAGTTCCAGGGAATAAAAGGGAGAGATGACTATGAGCTTCTTGTAGGCATTGGGTTGTCCAGTGAGAGAAGCAGGATGCTGGACTAAATAGCCATTCAGTAATACTATATAATTTGGTTTGACTTAAATTGACACTTACTACCTAGTAACACCATCCCAAATTAATCCCTGCCCTTGTTAAATTAAAGACTAGCATGTTTCTCTTTACTTTAGCTCTATGCCTACCCAGGAACCTTTGTGTTTTGTTTCAACTTCGGGATACATCTAGGTTACAAGGCAGGCTTTCTGAGAAAAGAAAACCCTTCTTCTGATGTCATGGTAAAAGCAAATGATTCATCATGGGTGGCCTGTCCTCCTGTCAAAATGGTATTTGGGGTTGGGGACATTCAGGATCTGGCCTATTGGTTGGATCTAGCTCCCTGTCCCTCGTTTAGAAGTGTTTATATAAACATGCCCTTAAAGATGTGGATTCTTAGTATCCATGTCATTCTTTTCTCCTTCAGCTATTCCTTCCTTTACCCGTGCCTGCCTTATGCTTCCCTTTGCAAAGTTTATTATGAGTGATAGGTTAACTACCCCTATTTTCCATAATCTAATCAGCATGTTTTGATAATCTTCTTCCTGGTTTGCATCTTCCATTCCATAGACATATCTTCTCCTTCCTGTGTCTTTATTTACTTCTGCATGAAATCTGCTTTAAGACTAGTTCTTTGAACCAAATATATTTAGATTGCTTCTACAACATTATATATTGAAAATTCCAGATTTTTTTATTGTATTAATGATTTGGGCTTGTAATAATAATTAAAGAAACACTTGTAGCACAATTCATAGGTAAGTGACACAGCTGAATCTAAATAATTTATACATTAAAGTAGAATCAACAAATGTTTGGGTAATGCATTCAGGTAGCAGTTCTAGTTTGCAGTCTGAGCATGTCATCTCCACAGCTGGTTGTTCACACAGCCAAGCCAGCAACTACTATAGGTCTTCGCTAGCAGACGCTTGTCTGATAAACATCACCATGTCTCTACAGATTGTCACTGGTGGCTATGCTGGGAATATTAGCTTCCATTACTCATGCCTGCATGCCTTTACCAGGCCAACAGTCTATGGCTTGTATCCAGTGTTTGTCCTACCCAGAGTAAACCCATTGAAATTAATGAACCTAGGGTCAGCAGTGTAGCATTCGTTGACTGGCTATCTGGTGCTGTTGTATTGTCACACTGGCCCTGATATCTCTGACTGACTTGAACACAAAGCCAGTAAGAAGAACTCTGTTCTAAAATAGGGTGGGATGTGTTGAAGCGCTTCATTGAACAGGAGCAAAATGGTACAAAACTATTACTTTTGAAGAATATTTCAGGTCCATGAAAGCTCCTGTTTAATGCTGAGAATTGTTGTTCATGAAAATTCCCAGTAAAGACTTGAGCTGAGTGCATCAGCATGGTAAATTTATCTGCTGTTCCACACAAGTATGATATAAAAGTTACTGGGAACTATTCCCCAGTGATTGGATTAAGGAAAATTTGTAGATCAGATGCACATGATTTACCTTAATGTATAATGGAGTTTAAATAATTTTCCTATCCCCAGGCTTTCTTCAAATCACAATTCTTTCCTAGAGTTTTTTATTTACTAACAAAAATTTTGTTTGAGATTTGTCTTGTACCACTGCAGGATGAGGTTGACGGAAATGTTATTATTATGCAGTTTCCACTAATTTGGGTCCAAAGTGTATATCTGGAAATGTTTTACCAAGTTTATGTAGTAAAGATGTTAATGGTTTTACAGAGCACAAGTTAAAACTATGTAGAACTAGATAGTTGAAGGAATCTTAGTGTTTTCAAATAAGGACAGTATAAATGCTTCTTAGATTGTAATTTGCCTAAAGGGTTGATTAATTTTAGGCAAATTCCTAGTATAGCTTCTTCAACCCAATTTGCAATGCTATTTGCTTGTTTCAGAATTTAAAAGATGTTGCTGACCTCCACACCAAGTGTTTGAAGGGGAGCAGAAGAAGCACCACCCCACTAAGAACAACATGGGAAATACAACTACTAAATTCCGCAAAGCACTTATAAATGGAGATGAAAATTTGGCCTGCCAAATATATGAGAGCAACCCTCAACTAAAAGAATCTCTGGACCCTAATATTTCTTATGGAGAACCCTACCAGCATAACACTCCATTACATTATGCTGCCAGGCATGGGATGAACCGAATATTGGGGTGAGTATTGTTGCTTTGTTCATAGTGTTTCTAGATGTGCTAAGTGACATATGTGCTTTGATATCATCATAATCTAATGTAGTACTACCGTTTGATGTACAAGTTCAATATTTTGCCATGGATAACCTCTTTACACTAGCTCCAGTTCCAATGTGCACATATGCTCCAGAATAGTTCTAAGATGAGGGCATGCATGTTTGATTTCTTATCCTCATAGCTCTAAAAGGTTGCTGCAGACCTTGGTGGTATTTACTTTAAGCTCAGGAGTTGCTCTACATAGGCCAATGTTGAAAAGAACATAACTCTGCTTCTTTCTTTTCTATAGAAAAGTCGGAGTTAGTACAAGAACACTGTATTGTGCAAATGTTTGTAAAATAAAGAATGCAGGGATTGCTCTACTTGCAATTATGAGAAAGGGGTGAAGCTTTCATCTTTAAGTGGTGGAAGGCTGCAATGTATCTGCTGTGCCAAATATTTGGAAAAGAGAGGAAAGGTAGTTTTTTAAAGCAGCAATCCTCTGTTTCTGGAATTGCAGTTGATCTTCCCTGTGGCAGATGCTTCTGGAACAAACAAGATCTAATTAAACCAGACTGGTTATTAAATAATATAAATTCTTCAGTGTATGCCTTATAGAGTATGGCCCTTTGGTTTAACATTTTTTATTACACATAAATTCTATTTGTGGCTACCAGGAAGCTACAGGCTAATAATATTATCAGGAATATCTTAAGAAAACAGCTTCCTGTATTTATAAACACTGGTACAGAGCAGTTTAAAACAAAGATACACATCATCCTGATTCAGTGAGTCATAAAGCAATATTAGATTATGCAGTATATTATCAAATAGTCATTACAGGGCTGCATTTTTAAATGACAATATGAGAAGATCTAATATAATAACGCCAACAACATTGAGTAGGATTTCTGCCAGGCTTCATCAAATAGGATGTATTGGAAACAAGGAAAGTCTTCCGGCTACAGAATAGCCCATTCATTTAAAAGTTTGCAGATGAGAAGATGCCTCTCTTTTGCATTTGTATTAGAAGTATGATAAATGTATTAGAATTACTGTTTTGGCCTGAATATAAACCACACTTTCCCCCCAAATTCTGACCGTGAAAAATTAAAGTACAGCTTAAATTTGTGACCTAACCAAAATGGGCTTTTACAATATCGCTGCTGAAACAGACATACAGTAAAACATAATAGGTGTGAGTGCCTGTGGAATTTTAAGGGAGTGGTTTATATTCGAGTATTGTCTTTTTTCCCCCCCTTGAATTTTAAAGGTGCAGCTTATTTTCGGGTCAATACAGTATTTATAAATGTATTAGAAGTATGATAAATACTTTTAGTGGGGCAGGGGAGCTGAAAAAAAATTCACATCTGGCAACCAATGTACATGGGCAGATGAGTCTAAAAAGCCCAGGACACAAGTTTCCATGGCCCTCTAGTAGCTATGGTGGTTCACTTAACCAGAAGTGATTATTTAGCGTTAACTCTGGAAGTGTATATTTGATTCTGACCAAAGTAAGCCTCCTAGGAGATTTCCAGTTTATATATGATTTTCCTCAATCTTTACTGTACCTTTATTTCCCATGTCATTATAAAAATCTGCTTCTTATTTACTGCTTTATTTCTTTACTTTCTCTGTATAGAACTTTTCTTTTTGTAAGAGATGGCAACCCAAATAAAAGAAATGTGCACAATGAGACCTCTATGCACTTGCTTTGCATGGGGCCTCAGATTATGATATCGGACGGAGCTCTTCAGCCTCGATTGACACGGCCCTTTGAAGATGATTTCAGAAGAGCAGATTGTCTGCAGATGATCCTGAAATGGAAAGGAGCAAAACTTGACCAAGGAGAATATGAAAGAGCAGCCATTGACGCTGTTGATAATAAAAGAAATACACCTTTGCACTATGCTGCTGCCTCAGGAATGAAGACCTGTGTAGAGGTAAAATTCATATAAATAGTAATCAAAGTAATGATGGAGCATACACTTGTTTCAAAAAACTGAAGCTCTAATTTAAGGGCATTTAATATTGTATCTAAAAATATATAAATGGCAAAAAGAAGTAACATCTTATTCAGTGCGTACTGAATAAATTTATTATATTTATATCCTTACTTTCTTCCATGGTGAAACGTAAGGCAGTGTACATTGTATTCCCTGATGGTGATTCATTCATGCACTGACCAGATCCTGTGCATGTGCCAGTACCAGTTATTATGCTTAAAAAAAACAACCCACCTCCTATTTATTATTCTTTTTTATCACTTGCTTTGGGGAGTATTGCTTTTGAATGTTGTGTTTAAGTGCAAACTGTTAAATTCCCAGTGAGACAAACTATAGTATATTTGAAATTTATTGTATATTCCAGTTAATTGACTGTTCTTAATACAGAGTTGCACACCAAAAAAAAATGCTTAGTCTTCCATAGCAGCAGTTTGCAAATATTTTATTAAAGGGAATAACATTTTTTTCATATTTGACCTTGTCCTGTTGCTGACCTGAAAGTTATCTCCTTGAGTCCCTTGAACTTCAAACATAAGTAGCACTCGCTGCTTGAAAATGTAATAGTCCATTTGTGTATTGAAAGAAGGTTCACCATGGTATATTCACCAGAGCTATTTGCAGGGCAGCTGCTTAAAGAATTGCTCAAGTTACATTCCTTCCAGGTGCTGCCACCCACTTGATCTGTTTTTTAGGCTTGCCTTAATTTGTCAGTGGAATCTTGCAGAGTGACCAGTCAAGTTCTATACACTTGCATAGGTACTATGACACAAACAGCTGCTGTTGTTGATGCAAACTCTTCCTTACTTTCTTGCCAGTGTTTATTTGCAGGAAAGCCAGACACAGTGTTGTGCCAGTCAGTGATAGATCAGAAAGACCTTTGAATTGTCACAAAAGGACTTGTAGGGGCTGTTCCCTTGCAATGCTGGGAAAGGAGCAATTGCTGTCAGAAGCTGTTGTACTGGAAATTGTAGTGTATGCTCAGTTTGACGGACCATCTGCCTGATCTATTGCCAGAATTACCATCATGGAAACAGGCTGTTAAATTAGTTTAACATTTGAAATACTAGTTCATATCAACTTAATACCAATTTACAACTTTCACCAAATAAGCTTCTAGCACTTATAAAACCATTTAAAATTGTTTTAAGTATATATGTATAAACATTTAAAAATAAAATGACACTTTGTACTAATCCCAATTTAAAAAGAAGTTTGCTCTTTCATAAATTCACCATAAATTCATATGGTTGAGGAGCAGCAGATAGTATCTTCTGGGAGCAAGATGTTCTATGCAAATGCCTCATCACATGGTGGGGAATTGTATGAGCCAGGATTATCAATGGACTTGTAACAGAATGGAAAACTAAAGATGTGTAAGATAATAAAGGGGAGAAATTGGAAACCAGGGGTGGGGTGGGGGGACGTCTAGAAGGGATGAATAAGTAAGTAATTTGGATGCTAAATTGTTAAATTATTGAAAATTGAAAATAAAATATGGGGGGGAAAAGAAAAAAAAGAATTGCATGAGCCAAGCCTCCATGCAATCAGAATCAGAATTCATTCATCTGGAGCGGCTGGTCTAGTTTGCCTATAATGCTGAACTAGGATACAGCTGAGATCCAGCACCAAGGGCCTTCTGGTAGTTCCCACACTGCGAGAAGTAAAGTTACAGGGAACCAGGCAGAGTGCCTTATCGGTGGTGGTACCCACCCTGTGGAATGCCCTCCCATCAGATGTCAAAGAGATGAGTAATTATCTATATTTTAGGAGACATCTGAAGGCAGCCCTGTATAGGGCTTTTTAAGGTTTAATGTTTTACCATGTTTTTATATATATGTACATGAACCTCTGTCTCCAATAGGTCCCCTCTCCTCCCATATGGCTAGGAGAAATAAGAAATAACAACCCATAATTCAGTTTCACTTTCCGAAACTTGACTTGTGGTTTAAAATATTATAGCAATTGCAGACAAGCCAGCTTCAAACCATGGGTTGTGAAGGTGACTTGCTTAACGTCCTCTAATTTATTTTAAAGCAAAATTTCTTGTTTGTATGTAATGACATGACAAAAATCTGGGAATGCAGATATGAATCCTGATTTTGTCCTTCTCCTAACTATGTGGGAAGACAAGAGAGTACTCAGGCACAAGCCATCATTCAGGCTCATGCACATAATACAAAATATGGTTTAGCATTATGTGTGAACCAGCCCACTAATTCACATTAGACGTTTTCTGTGTTTTGGGTGGAAAGGAATTGTAATACTTATCCACTACACAAAACTCTGCACTTGACTTGAGGAATGTAAGAAACTGGGGCATGGTGAACATAACTCCCAGACTATCTGAGAAAAGTCTATGAATATTGACAGCACGTTACTGTGTTCTAATCCTTGAATAGCTCTTGGCTGTTTCTCCACTAATTGTAATGTGCCTGTTTTTATTGGAGAGGAAGGGGAAGTATAAATACATGTTTTCAAAATCATGAAGGTTTGATTGTCAAGTGAAAAAGAGACATTTTTGAAATCTTTTAGAATTAGCATATTGATAAACAGTTCTTTGTATGCATAATTTCTTTCTATTACAGTCAAATTAGCCCTTTCAAAGCAGACCTGCATTTTACTAATGTTTGGCCAACATTCTCAAGCTGGGTTGATTTCTTTATATCAGTGCTGTTGCTTTATATCTAGAAAAAGAATATTCTCAGTGATTCCCTCCCCAAAGTGAACAGCTTGAAAAGAGAGCAGGAAAGGGACTAATGTTCATGTGTGTGATAGGAACAGAATTTGGGGAGATTGCCATTTTTGCCTAAGACAGGAAAATACACACAGATGCCCCATATCTGAAAATTACAGAAAAAATAAATAATGTGCATGAAATCTTGTAGGCTCAGTGATCTAATTCTAAACTCTGATGCCATGTGCAGAGTTGCCATTCAAAAGGGTTTTTGTGTGTGTGTATCAGCAATCAGTTGTTGCTTCAATATGCTTGTCTTTTGTGAATGAGTAAAAACATGTTTAATGGTGGAACATTAACCTAGTATTTATCTTGTGGAATTTTTAGTTGTTGATCTTTTCAAATATTTCTAAACTTTAAGTGTTCGCTAAAGGATAACAATCTCACTACGTACCCTCCTTTATTCTGAAGGGTGTCTATATTTCTGCTGAAAAGGAACTTAGCCAAAGTTATACTCTGAGTAGACCCATTGAAATTAATGGACATAACAAACCTAGTTTCAGTTATTTCAGTGGATCTACTCTGAGTTGTACTTTGTTGGATGCAACCTATAATCTTCCCTGGGTTCACATGTCTGGTTTAGTTCTCTTTGTTCAGCATTCTTCCATTCTGCATAAATTGTTGGCGACAAATTTCGACTGAAAAAGAATTTCCAAGGATCTGTATTAAAATTAGCTCTTAAAATGGTTTGCATTAACTTGCAGCTTCTGGTAAAACATGGTGGAGACTTGTTTGCTGAAAATGAAAATAAAGATACTCCATGTGACTGTGCAGAGAAGCAACACCATAAAGAATTGGCACTCAATTTAGAATCCCAGATGGTGTTCTCACGAGATCCTGAAGCTGAAAGCATTGAAGCAGAATATGCTGCTTTGGACAAAAGAGAGGTAAAATAAAATTAGTAATTGGTTACTCTGACTGGAGATGTGCATGCTTGGGAAAAGGACTAATATATCAAAGTAAAGTAAAGGTAACGGTACCCCTGCCCGTACGGGCCAGTCTTGACAGACTCTAGGGTTGTGCACTCATCTCACTCTATAGGCCGGGAGCCGGCGCTGTCCGCAGACACTTCCGGGTCACGTGGCCAGCGTGACAAGCTGCATCTGGCGAGCCAGCGCAGCACACGGAATGCCGTTTACCTTCCTGCTGGTAAGCGGTCCCTATTTATCTACTTGCACCCGGGGGTGCTTTCGAACTGCTAGGTTGGCAGGCGCTGGGACCGAACGACGGGAGCGCACCCCACCGCAGGGATTCGAACCGCCGACCATGTGATCGGCAAGTCCTAGGCGCTGAGGTTTTACCCACAGCGCCACCCGCGTCCCTATATATCAAAGTAGTTTTTATCTAAAGCTCTTGAGTTGTTCCTGTTTATAGGGATGAGTATTGTCAATGCAAATCAATCATATCAGCAAAAAGCCTCTTTATACTAGTAGGTTGGAGCAGGTCAGGCAGTACTTTCTGACATCTGTAATGGCTTTTTGGACAGGCTGGATTCCTAGTATAAGGGATTGGGAAACCTTTTTGCTTTCACTTCCAACTATGTACTGCCTTTCCCTCCCAACTCCATTCTCCTTTTGCCTTACCTGGAGATTGAACTGATAGCTTCCTCCATCCTGCTTCCTTCATCATGACAAAAAGGAATGACTGAACATGAGATCCTGCAGTATTCGAAGTTCGAAGATTATTTGATTTTTCAGTTGGAGGAGGTCTTGCATCCAAATAACTGCACAATCTCCTGTTCAGTTGTTTACTTTATCACATAATGATTGGAAAAGAGCACAGAAATCCAAAACTCAGTTCCATTCTTTCCCAAGGAAAAATCCAGGGAGGATAACTTTTAAAAACAGACCCTATGCTTTTTTATATATGAGTATCAAATTTAAGATGTAACTAAACCCAATAGAAGCACTGTAAAATCCTATTTATTTCAGTAACAAAGTTATGCATCTCTCAGTGTCTCATTCAAATTGCATAGCTAACTTGGGCAAGATTTTTTTTTAGTTTATAAAAGACTAATACATACCCTTGTTAAGTGGGAACCTGGTTAGCATTAAATGTAGTCTATGCATGTGCTAATGTGGCAGAACCTTCCCTCCACCATTCTGATCCCATCCTGTGAAGCAATTCTTGTTGACTGTTGAGACAATGTGTAAGGAAAGTGTTCTCTAATATATACATGGGCTGATGTGATTTAGGGTTTGTCAAAATAAGCACTTCAGATTGCCCCAAGAGTTATAAGAAGCCAGTACACACGAGAACAATATTACGAGAACAATCAGGGGCCCATCACTGTCAATAGGAAAGGTGCCACTTTCTAAATTAAAGACTTATTTCTACTGCTACTTTGCTTTTCTGTTTCCTTTCACAGCCGTATGAAGGACTAAGACCTCAGGACCTGCGAAGGCTCAAAGATATGCTGATAGTAGAATCTGCTGACATGCTTCAGGCTCCATTGTTTACTGCAGAAGCTCTGCTGCGAGCCCATGGTAATAAGGAAACTATATAACATTCAGCCAATTTTAATAACAAATCTTGACCAAATGTATTAACATTTCCTATATGTAAATATGTGCTTTTGTAACAAAAAGAATAGTGTACTATAAATGAAAACGGATAGACTGTCAGGAACCTTGGCCAGGAATGATGGGATCAACAGCCTCTGGATGGCCACAGGTTGGCTATCTCTATTCTGCAGTGATTTTAATCATAAATATAATCATAAGCAGACACATCATCACCAAATCATTTCCATGTTCCTTTTTAACACTTTCTGGTTTTATTTTAAGACTGGGACAGGGAGAAGTTACTTGAAGCTTGGATGTCTAATCCTGAGAACTGCTGCCAACGTTCAGGTGTTCAGATGCCAACTCCACCTCCTAGTGGGTATAATGCCTGGGACACACTTCCTTCACCAAGAACTCCTCGGACAACTCGCTCTTCTATCACCTCCCCAGATGAAATCAGCCTCTCGCCAGGGGACATTGAGACAACTATGGTATGAAGGGTGATCTATATTGGTGTGGGAGTGTGTGTGTGCGCATCCCCCAAAAATGTTTAATTCTAGTGATAACTTACTGCTTCTGGAACAAGAATATATTTTGTGTAAATAATTGTTATAAAGAAATTGGTTGGAAGTTTAAAAGTTGCACTCCTGCAACATTTCTGGACTGCCAAAAAATCTTTTACTGATTTTTCAGCAATATGATTTTTCCAGCATATAAAAGAATCAGATGTTGATTTTCCTGGATATGTTTTGTTAAATTTGGTATTTTGCACTCTTGTCTACAAGAGCACATTTTTTCCTACTGATTTGTGTTTTCAGGTAGTTTGAAGGGTATTGTGCTCACACTGTGAAGCAAGATGACTCCTTATTGGTGGTAGAAGGTTCCATTCCACTTTGTCCAGAACTAGGTTGCTATCAACCTTCTCCACATATGGTTTGCCTTTTTTGCATTAAGTCCCACCTTCTCCTTTGGTGGCAGCATTAGTTTTCTGATGACCATTACAGCAGCTTGGCAAGCCAAGGAGTCAATCCCTTTTCAAGTGATTTTATGGCCCTCTGTTCTTAATGCTAGAGGCAAAGCCTTCTCCTTCCCATAAGTGTGGACTTCCATTAGATAACAATAATAATACTAGGCAAAAAATCAACTGACCAATACTTGAGTAAACATATGCACAAAAGTATCCTATGAAGGCCTACTTTTGCTATGTATAGTGTATCACTCAACATACTCAGTTTAAAACAATTTAAAAATGTACTCAATTATTGCCATCAGTAAGAGTATGGCTATGATCCAAAGAGCTATTAAGCACTCCCAGGAGCTTACATATGTCTTTCTAAAACATCTTTTCTTTCAACTGCAATCTCATTGCCATATCAGAAACTTTTAAAAAATGCATTAGTTTCAAATATGGTTTGCAACATTGCATGACGGGTGCTGTTTGAGAAATAGAAGCTCCTCAAACCTCTATTAGACATGCAGAAACAGTATTGGTGTGCCTAGGATCCCAGCCTGTACTGTGAAGAGAGGGAAAGAGAGAGGTGCCAGAAAGGAAATCTTCATTTAGCAATTTTAAAACGACATTGGATTAACTGTCTCTTTGTGCTCTCCACATCTATGTGAACGACTGTGTAAAGGATCTTGTTCCATCGCTGGTGGAACCACTGTAAGATAGTTGAGAGATGACAGTTTGTGTAAGAAATTGAAGTTGTTAAGTTATTGTGCATTTTGTAGCTCAGATTGCATGAAATTATATAAAGTGTGTGTTGGAAAATTGAAATTGCTGCAGTGTGTTGTGTGGAAATTTCTAGATTTTTCACTTCTGTTATATTTTGTTTCTTAAGCATACTTAAACTCTCTCTGCCCTGCTTCCTGTCATTTTCCCCAACTTAGGAAACAACATTCTCTTTGTCTGCATTTTAAAGGTCAACCCACTAATACCCAGATAGATTATACGGAACCTCACTATGTAGGTTTGTTTGCACCAGTCTATAAGATCAACACAGCTTTAATATACGAAAGGTCTTTTATAATTATTGGAAAAGCTCTTTTGAAAAACAGTCTCTCTTTTTTAAAGATTCTACAGCAGTAACTGCAGCTGGAACAGATTTGTGCGCAATGATCAAGATACTTCTTTTTTTAAAAAAAGAAAAGAGTAGACTAGGTTGTTTCAATATTTACTTTGTTGTCATAGTTAGATTGTCATTTATCTGATTTTAACCTAATTATTTAAATGAGGCACCACAAGGATTTTATTGTATGTGTGTGTGTTATAGCATATATGTTCTGTATCGCTATTATTAATGTACAGTGAAGGTTTTGTACCACCCCTACTGAAATGGGAGGAAAAGTTAGGAGACGTTGTTGGCAAATGTTATCCTTTGTGTTGAACTGAGGACCAAACTAAATGCGATATTATATTTGTCCTTGCATTTTATGTACAGGTTTTTAAAAATGCAAATAGCAGCAGCTGGTGAGAGGTGATAATTCCTGGGAACAAAGCAGGCATGCAGGGATAATTTAACCCTTTCTCCCCGGATGTGGACCTGAGGGGGGAAATCCCTCTGAAACTGGTGTATGCTTTGGAGGAAATTACCCGTTGATGTCAATGAAGGAACTGACACCCCCCCTTCCCGCCCAATAGGGATTTTCCTCAGTACAGCAGCGGCAGGAAAGGCTTAAATTATCGCTCCACACCTACTATGTTTCCAGTAATTATCAGCTTCTCCAGCTGATGCTATTTATATATTTTTTTACAGGGGCACAAAAGGGTAGCCTATAAACGTTCCTATAAATAAAAGATGTGTTTAATATTGCTCGCGTGAGCTGACTTGTAAAAGAATGATTCATATAGAGCTGCTATTTCTCACCTTCACAAATCAGACATCATTATCTGCATATTTAATACAGATTCCCGCCCCCCAACCTGTGATTGACTCGTGTGCGGCTGCTTATATGTGTGGCCCCAGGAAATAAATAGATTAAGCCAAGAAATGGTGGGAAAGAGCTGGAGAGCCCTTGTGGCTCAAGAAGAGACCCTCCACAGAGCCCAAAAAAGACTTCAGTGAGGGTGGAGGAAGCTCCAAAGAAACCAGAGGCACAGCGGAACTTTGTTTAGGCTGCTCAGCCTCCCTTCCCAGCAGCTGATGCCAGTATCCTCCAGCTTCCAGCCAGCCCCAGAGCTTCAACTCTAGTTGAAGAAAGAGAGCTGGAGAACAGGAAAAAGGGGCATTTAGAGGGTGCTCCCCACTTAACATGGTGGTGACACAGATGGTGTCTGATTTGTGGAGGTGAAAAATAGCAACTCTATATATGAATCAGCTCACAAGAGCAATGCTAAACACATCTTTGCATTTATTTTATTTATAGGAACGTTTATATTCTGTCCTTTCATGCCACTGTGTGTGTGTGTATCTTATCAGCTGGGGGTAAATTAGCAGTAACATAACACAAATTGTTTGGGGAACATTCTCCTTCCACATGCTAAATTCTAGTGTATTTGGGGGTAATAAAATCCATTTGGGTTGTTTCAGAAGATTGGCAAATAAGTTTACTTCTCTGAATCAGTTTGTTTGAAAAAATGAATCAGTTTGATTGAGAAAATGATGGGACCATTCTGTGGCAAGGCCCGAGACCAACATGCCAGTGGTGGGCAGGGCCAAAAGCAGAAGTGGGTGGAGCAGGAAATGTTAATTTACATTCTAGCAAGGCAATAACGCACAATGAGGGTGGAAAACAGTGTTTGTGGGAGATGTGGCGTGTGGAGAAGAGTTATCTATTGGGAGAGTGTGTGACTTGGTGAGAAACTTGAGAGCCAATAGAGAGTCCTGGAGGACTGTGTTGGGCCCCTGGGCATGAGGTTCCCCATTCCTGATCTGTGGTGCAGTAGATTGTGATATTGCCATAGCAGAGAAACTCGGCCGCCAGCTGAACATTATAAGAAAACAAGGTGTCAGGTGACTTTTTTGCAGTATGGAATACTTCTATTGCTTATAGTAACAAAAGCAATTTTGTGATATTGCCCCCTACGCTCCTTTTTCAAATCGGAGGGGGGGGGATTCTTGGGATATTTTATATTCCAATGTTTCCTTGGTTTCCAAAAATAAAACTCTGGACACTTGAATTTTGTTTGTCCCTGTACATTACATGGGCTCTGATGACAAAAAAAAAACAACCACTCCACATGCAAAATTCAGTTGGTAGTCGTGAGATTCTTTTTTCATTCCAGGCACTTTCTGTGCACAGAAATAAAAATATAAATGGTAAGTGATTGAAATTTGAGGACATTGCTTACTGCTTTTTGGGTGACAGTATTCTAGATTCAAAGACCATGTTGCAGGTCTTTTTCTGAGTAAGTTCTGCAACAAAAAATGCACTGCAGGTGTAATTTTACTCCCAGACATCTAGGTTTGGATTAATATGCCTTAATTACCTGATTTCCAAGTAGTGCTTTATTTCTGAACAAATATGAGGTGTAAGTGACTAACCAATGGATATTTTTGTTATGTTGACAATTGTCCAACTTGGCATCTTGGCATCACAAGTGATCAATTAACTTAAAAAAAAACACAAAACACTTTTCTAAAACATACTGTTTAAGTTTTATTTTTTTTTAAAAGAACTACAGGTTAATCATCCCTATTATATAGTATTTGAAATATTTTTTAAAATAATTTTATTCTTTTATCTACAGTGTGAAATTTGCATGTGTAACATTTCTGTATTTGAAGACCCAGTGGATATGCCTTGTGGACATGAGTTCTGTAGAGCATGCTGGGAAGCGTAAGTATATATTTAGGCATTTTTATATAAAAATTGTCTCTACTTGGGGGGAAATTATCCTACTTAGTAAACTAGTAGTAACATGTCTTGATTTATTTTTAATGTTGGTTTGTTCATGTCCCTAGGATTCTATTCCAAAGACAATTTAATTTCCATTTTAGATGCTGGCTGTCGTTAAAAATTAGAGTTGCCCCAGAATGGAAACATTTAAAAAAATTAAGCAAAGATTGTTTGTCTTCTGTCTTTGCTCTAGTATGAGCCTGAAGTAGATTTGAAGCTTATGAAATATTAAAGCTTCTGGGCACGAAGCGGGGAATGTGGAAGTCACAGTATTTACTATGATGATGTCTGTTCCAACCCAACAATTCTATGATTTTGTGATGCGCCTCAGAACCACTTTCTGGGACATTTTGCCGCCCTTGCAGGACCAGTTCTGTTTCTGTAATCCAAAGGATCCTAAGGAGTTGACTGTCCCTTATAAAGTCTGACTTAGCTGAGAAAAGAAGCCTAAGAGGAAAATCTGGACATAAAGTTATCTGGCCATGAGATGCTGTTATCTTGTATTATTAAAGTTAAACATAATGCAGTTCCATCATGCATGTGGGGAGAGTTTCTTTGGACAGAAACCCTATCCACATTAGCATGGGGAGATTATCTAAGTCACAGCTACTAAGTCAGTTTCTATTCTAGTTTTTCCTTGAGACAAAAATTGCAGACACACAGTTCATTCTGTCAGCTTTCCCTGACCAAAATGTTCCACTTCTTAATGTGATATGGTACTTTTTGACTCATGCTACGCACCCCACACAAATCAGTAAAGGGCTGCTAAAAGTAAACCCTTTCAATATATTTTAGATCATTCCTTTTGATACTCCACTGTGTGCCCACATGCTCAGATGCTTCCCTGTTCTGTTCAGTATTGTAGAATGCTCTGTGAGTTGCTGACTCAGAGCCTTCCAGAATACCTTGCAGAGCTTGTAAGGTAGTCATAATCTCTCTTTACTTACCTGTGAGGTTTAGGCATTAATAGGTTGATTTTTGCTCCCTAAGTTTGGTGGAGTTAATATTTCCTGCTCAAACCTGATGAACATTTTAACAGATTTTTGAATATGAAGATTCAGGAGGGTGAAGCCCACAATATTTTTTGCCCAGCGTATGATTGCTTCCAGCTTGTTCCAGTGGAGATCATCGAAAGTGTGGTTTCCAAGGAGATGGATAAACGTTACCTACAATTTGACATTAAGGTAAACTGCCAGCGGCATGTGTCTAAAGTATCCGTCTGAGCTGATTATTCTGACGTCATTAAAAATACTCTTAGAAAGAAATGCATCTAGTATTATAGACAACTATTTCAAGAAATATTATGATTTGTTTTTTGTTTTGTTAAATACAAATTATAACAAATGTTTTCCTGATAGCTGTTGCCCAAAGTTATGGTAGCTTAATGGGAGAAAGGTCACACTTTCACTTAGCCGCTATCTTTATTCAAGCCGAAAAGATCCTGACCCAGTAAAAAGAAAGAAAGAAAAAAGTATGAACTATTGCAAACCTTTTTCATGAGTCAACACACCTCTTAAATGTACCAGTTGTGGCTCCTCATATGGTTAAACAGTTTGTAATTTTTTCAACCCACCACATCTGACACTTCAGTCACATTGCATCTAAGTACTACAAGTAGTTTTCCCATTAGTATTCAGCCCCAATTGAGATATAGTTATATTGCTCTCCATATCTAAATTTATTCCCCAATTCTACATGTTACAATCTTACTAGGAAGAGTTAGGCCCTCACAGTGCACCAGTGCCTGTAACTTAATGCTCTACTAATTTCCTATTTGGAGGTGGTGGGTGGAGAGAAAAGTAGGTGGGAACAGGAATCTCCCCCCCCCCCCGCACCAAGACCTCGTTCTCCGCCTTTCAGACATTCCTTATTAATTTGTAGATTGTGCCGGATCGAGCTTTGTAAGCTTTTGCATAAAAAATACATGAATGTTCCAAATGGAGTTCTTTGGCTGAGCTTTATATGTTGCTATAGCAAATAACTAAAATTGTATAATGGATAAAATGATTATCTTTTATAGCTATTTTAAGGCCTTGTTGTTGTTCGTGACCCCATGGACCAGAGCACGCCAGGCACTCCTGTCTTCCACTGCCTCCCGCAGTTTGGTCAGACTCATATTTGTGGCTTCGAGAACACTGTCCAACCATCTCGTCCTCTGTCGTCCCCTTCTCCTTTTGCCCTCAATCTTTCCCAACATCAGGGTCTTTTCCAGGGAGTCTTCTCTTCTCATGAGGTGGCCAAAGTATTGGAGCCTCAGCTTCATGATCTGTCCTTTTAAGGCCTACACCTGTTCTAAACTGCAGAGTTTTACACCATCAAATTGAGCTTTGTATCAGTTAGAAGGTCCTGATCGAAAATGGCAACTAATTTCTATCTCCTTTTGTTTTCAGGCCTTTGTTGAAAATAATCCTTCTATTAAATGGTGTCCTACACCAGCTTGTGAGAGAGCGGTCAGGCTAACAAGGCAAGGGTCAAATACAACAGGTTCAGAAGCACTTAGTTTCCCATTGCTAAGAGCTCCCGCTGTGGACTGTGGGAAAGGGCATCTCTTCTGCTGGTTAGTAATGCTTTCTTGTACATGATTTAAACATGATTGATCTTTTAAAAAAATTGAAACTGTGCCGTACAGTCCATGTACGAGCATTAAAATAATTACCATTTGTGGGAAATTCATCTTTGGTTTCATATAGATCTTTGTGCTCACATTGCGAAATCCTATTCTGAATTTTTCATTTCTCTCTTCATATTCAGACTCTTAAGCCAGTAAGTATTTTATCTGCTCAAAAGCACTTTTTGGTCTTTTAAAATTCAAGATTACATTGATTGGGGGTATAAATCTTTTGCAAAAAGAGTATAGTTAAGTTAAATAATAATGGAATATAAGCAAATTGATCCTCTCAGGGTGAGCTAAGTATACATAGTCCTGCTTTTCGGGGCGGGGTGTGGATTTTTTGCTCTGCGTATATGAGATATATATTTATATATAGACTTCTATTCTAACATAAATTCAGAGGTGAAGGAGCACCCAAAGCTGCTTTTTTTATTTCTAATGTGACAGAATGTTATATTTTCCTTTCTACATTTTTTTCCCTTTTCGCTCTGGCGTTTGTGGCGTTTCACTTAACAAAAAGCATTTTAGAAGATTCTTCATCATTAGATCTAGAGAAAATTCCTTGCATCTTGCACTATATCAGGCTCCTCCATAAACCTATAATTCTGAAATGATGCTATTTTTAGTTGTTCTGTTTTTTGTATGTTGGATGTGTGGCAGATGTCTGAAGCTATTTTGCTGTATTTCCCGTAAAAAAAAGCGAGTCGTGACAAATCTGGAAATCATATTGACACATCTACACCCAGGCACCATCTGGAAATGATGCATCTTCTGCTCCAGAAATTTGATTGCTTCTTTGAAAACTAGAAACAATAATGAAATAAGCTCATGGGGTTGTCCTCTGTAGAAATTTCAGTTCCTGATATTAGTCCCTATTCAATTAAAGGGCAGGTGGAGTAGAGATGATATATTCAGTGACTGTCCCTATTTTTGACAAATGCATGTTCTCAGTCAGAAAATAGTGCTTAAGTGACATTTACCCTAGTTACAGAAGACACTTCCTTTTTAAGCTGTTAAAGGTTGTGACAGATATTCTGTTATCTTTATAAAGCACTTCAACAATTTATAACATTATTGCAATAATAATGCCAGAGCCCTTTCAAAAACCCTCCATCTCTTGTCCAGCTTGAAATTTCCTGTTAGGCAGTACACATTGTGATATTCTAGGGACAGCCTCCCATCTGATATAGTGTGGCCTAGTGTCAAAGCGAGATTGAGTCAAAATGCCTATTTCTGACCATTGCAATGCCTCTCCTCCCAGCATTTGCAGCCCTAAAATGTCTGAGTCACTAGCCTACTTTTAAGTACATCTTCCTGTGCCAGCTGGAGTCTGGAAGGAGACCGACTGCTGTCTTCCTTCAGCTCTGCATGGATCTCTAAAGCGTCTAAGAAATTAAAAATGACAGAATGCTGCATGAGAGATCCTCACATTCTGCCACTATGAAGTGTTTGAGGAAAAGGTAAACATACATAGTAATGTTGTTCTACACATACACATGACTCAGAAAGCCTTGAGCAGGACTTGAGAATCCTGTTTCATAGTGGTTTGGTCTGTATTCATAAAAGAATGCAACTCTGTATGAGAGAGAAAGAGACAGAAGAGAGTACTGTTAATAAAAATCAATACTCAACTCAAGACTTAGTGGATTGCTAAATCGAATCATAACTACAATCAACAGTTTAAGTTACATAAGGGAGACTTCAAAGTGCACTTTGCAATTATGCACCTAAATTCTACTGCAAGTTATTGAGGTTTATATATTTTATGTCATTTATGCCTTGGGGTATTGTTTCTGATTTGTTCTTCTGTATTGCTATCAGCTTTGGAATACCTAGTCATGTTAGCAAAACATATTATCTGATTTTTTATCTTCCTGAATTAAGAACTAGTATTCTTGAATCCACAGTTAATAATAATAATAATAATAAGAAGAATAATAATAATAATAATGAGTGAGTTTAATCTTCAGCTTATTAAAGCCTTGGATCAATTTTTCAGGGAGTGTTTAGGTGAAGCACATGAACCCTGTGACTGTGAAACATGGAAGAACTGGCTGCAGAAGATAACAGAAATGAAACCGGAAGAGCGTAAGAATGGCCATTATGGTATTTTTGTTAATTTGTAGAAATTCTGTGTTATTATTTATTACAGTATATTAAATTATGATTTGCACAATGGGCAGCTTGGCCTCCTAAGAGGAGTGTGGACAAGAGTAAGGGTTATAGCTCAGTGGTAGCACAACTGCTTTGTGTGCAGAAGGTCTGAGGTTCAATCCCTGTTATCCCCAGTCTGAAACTCTGGAGAGCCATTGCTCGTTTGCATGGGAAATGGTGAGCTAGATAGACCCATAGTCTGTCTCCTAAGTCAGATGATGTAAGTGATGCAGAGAAACTGTAGTTTCTCAAACCTGCCTAAAATGAAATGGCATTAATAATGCACAGGTAAACAGCAAAGAATTTCAACTGAATTTTGACAAGTTGGACAGAGTTCCCTGTTGTGTATAGTTGTACATTTCCATCTTTGGGGAAGCTGAGCTTCAAAACTGAGAGCATTGAGTTTAAGTTTTTGAGAATGTAGACTTAAAATCCATAGTCACACCAAACAACATTCTTTACGCAGACCTCTGACACTTGACCTATTCCTGTGATTGTAATTTATTATAAACTGTTTCTAATGTTGTATTTTAAATTGTTGTGATCTGCCCTGGGACATTAGGGTAAAGGGCAGGTGTTTAATAATAACGATGAAATAAACATGATGTAGACTTGGTTGATTAGGGTACAAGTAATTTCCAAGAAATTGAGGGAATTTAAAAATAAAATGTAAGGGGAATGCAACATTTCAACTACTACTTATTAATCTGCAAAATATAGTGTTCCTTTCTGGGAGTCGCAGTGATTAGTACGCTTTAATTTTGTGGGATGTTTTATGGAAATAACAGCTTGTTTATAATTAGTGGGCAAATTTATAAAGAGATATTGCAAAAGCTGGCAGTGAAAATGTGTGTGCATCTAACCTTTGGACTGTGCATTATTTTTAGCATTTGTTGTGGATATTTGTAGTACCAGTCCCATAACACTGCTTTATGAAGAAATTTGAAAATCTTTTTCACCCTATAATAAGTGCTCAGGATGAGTTACAGTGTATTTAAAAATAGCCTAATTACATACTCGGAAAATTTAGAAAATGCAATGATGAACTTGCTATTAACACACTATTACATGTACAAAACCTTAACGTTATTTTTTCTTTTTCACAGTTGTGGGCGTTAGTGAGGCTTATGAAGATGCTGCCAACTGCTTATGGTTACTCACAAATTCTAAACCATGTGCCAATTGCAAATCCCCAATTCAGAAGAACGAAGGCTGCAATCATATGCAGTGTGCAAAAGTAAGCAGAGAGTCAAAATAATGCTACAGTTCATATAAATATAAGTAGAAATGTTTACTTCATGCAATGTCTTAAAAAGTCCACAATATCCACTCTGGTGATCAGTATTTTGTTTGTTTTTCTCATTAAATTTTATTGAAGCTTTTTCATAAAACAATAAAAACAAACTAATCTAATAAAGAGAAAAAGAAAATGCAGAGTCTTCTCTCAAAGGTAGATCTTAAACCTTGTCTCACACAGAAAGGGGTGGCCCTTCCAGTTCTCACCTTGGGAGCTTCCCTTTCTTCTCCCAGCCTCCCTGCTGATCAGTATTTTGCTTTAACAAAAGAACTGCCTTTGTGTTGATTGCTCGATGGTGTGAGAAAGTAGTTTTTCTTGCAGTCTTCACTTTTTTTAACAGGTAACATCCATAGCACCCTCAGTTCTTTTTGACAAGAAGCATTATCTGATGTATTAATTTATCTATTTTGGGTTGTATCCCATGTTAGTCATACTCAGAGTAGACCCACTGAAATTCATGTACCCAAGTTAATTTAAGTAGGTCTACTCTCAGTAAAACTTAGTTGGCTACGAACCTTCATTATTAAATTCCTATCATACACAAACAGAGATGTTTCAAGCAGCTAACAAAAACAGATCTAAAAATTATATAATCATTTAAAATTCAGCAATATAACAAAATAGCATACAGCATATAAACCAGAGCTGCCATAATTTTTTAAAAATGCATTGCAATCTAATCAGCAGTAAATTCAGAAAACCTGTTGAAAAAGATATGTCTTTGGATGTTGAAGGCAATGGAAGGCACAAGAGAGTCTCATCATCTTAAAGAACTGGCTGATTCATTTGAGAGGAGGTAGTCCTTCAAGTATACTAGACTCGGGTATATAGGGCTTTAAAAGTGCAGGCATACCTCAGAGATACCGCTGGTTCGAATATCACAATAAAGCGAGTCACATAATTTATTTGGTTTCCCAGTACACATAAAAGTTATGTTTACACTATACTGTAGTCTTTTAAGCCAGGCCCACTAGCTGCAGGGGCAGTAGGGGAAAAATCCAGCTGCAGCCCTTTGAAGCGGACAGGCTGCCTGCAGCTACAACTGCGTCCTCATAAAGAACAATATCTGCAAAGCATAGTAAAGTGAAATGAAACAAAACGAGGCATTCCCGTAATGATTAACACCTAAAATTGCACTTGGAAACCAACAAGCATCCACTGCCTCTGATACTGTTGCATACGTAGTTGCAGAATCCCCATATTTGGCACTGGTCAAGATTTTGGCAACAGCAGTCTGCGCTAACAGAACTGTATGCAGCCCACTTAACCATAGAACTATGGGGGTTGCATTGAAATAATCCTCTGAATCAATGTTCCACTTAGGGTCAAGCTAGACATGGAGTTTTAATTGTGTGAATGCAGTTAACACACACATTTTTTGTTATGTAAATAGCAGTCATGGAGAAACCAATGCCAATAGGTAAAGGTAAAGGGACCCCTGACCATTTGGTCCAGTCGTGGCCGACTCTGGGGTTGCGGCGCTCATCTCACTTTATTGGCCGAGGGAGCCAGCGTACAGCTTCCAGGTCATGTGGCCAGCATGACTAAGCCGCTTCTGGCGAACCAGAGCAGCGCACAGAAACGCCATTTACCTTCCCGCTGGAGCGGTACCTATTTATCTACTTGCACTTTGACATGCTTTCGAACTGCTAGGTTGGCAGGAGCAGGGACCGAGCAACGGGAGCTCACCCCGTCACAGGGATTCAAACCGCCGACCTTCTAATCGGCAAGTCCTAGGCTCTGTGGTTTAACCCACAGCGCCACCTGCGTCCCTTTGAATAACTGATGAAAACACAAATTGTTGTTTTTAACATTCTAGGTCGCCTTTCAAATCTTTTAACAGGGTTGGTTTAAGAAATTAGCTCTCTTTTTCCTTTTCAAGTGTAAATACGACTTCTGTTGGATTTGCCTTGAAGAATGGAAGAAGCATAGTTCTTCTACTGGAGGTTATTACAGATGTACTCGCTATGAAGTCATTCAACATGTAGAGGAACAGTCCAAGGAAATGACAGCAGAGGTAAGAAGCTAACAAATACTGAGGAGATACAGAAGGGTAATTATCTTTGCCTTTCTTCTTAAGCTTTTTAATTTGTGCAATTCATTTGATTTTTAAACTTCAGGTATTTCACTGCTAACCAGAGTAGGTCCAAAAATATGTTCACCTTGGCCGTCACACCTCCCTCTTCTAGCATTCATTTCTCATCTCCAACTTCACACTGTGCTTCAGAAAGACTTGGAAGCACAGCATAAAGTTGGACATAAACTCCACTTCTCCCCTGAGCTTGAAATTTGCACAAGAGGCAGAGGGTGTCATTTACTCTACTTTGGAGACAATGCAATCCTGTGCATGCTTATTTAGAAAATGGTAAATCACATTGTGTTCACTGGAGCTTTCTGCCAGAAACATATACAGTGGTACCTTGGTTCTCAAACTTAATCCATTCCGAAAGTCTGTTCCAAAACTAAGGTGCGCTTTTTCATAGAAAGTAACGCAAAATGGATTAATCCATTCCAGACTTTTAAAAACAACCCCTAAAACAGCAATTTAACACAAGACCATTGATCCATAAAATGAAAGCAGTAAACAATGTACTGCAGTCACACAATCAATCAATTAGTAGCTGAACTGGGTTCCACACAGTCACAAGAGCAAAACAAAAAAGCTGCAAAAACAAAAACGCAAAATAAATAGCAAAAACTGACAGACCTCAGCGTAACATTCAAAATGGAAGTGTGGCACTCAAAAAGGAACCATAACACTCAAAACGGAGCACGTTCAGCTTCTGAAAAAAGTTTGCAAACCAGAGCACTTACTTCTGGGTTTGCAGTTTTGGGGTTCCAAGTTGTTTGAGTACCAAGGCGTTTGAGAACCAAGGTTCCACTGTACATAGGATTGGAACCTGTTTTCTAAAGTACAGCACAAGGTCCTATCAACCATCAATGGTTTCGTTATATAGTAAAATTCATGTTAAATTGCTGTTTTAGGGGTTGTTTTTAAAAGTCTGGAATGGATTAATCCATTTTGCATTACTTTCTATGGGAAAGCACACTTTGCTTTTGGAACGCTTTGGTTTTGGAATGGACTTCCGGAATGGGTTAAGTTTGAGAACCAAGGTACCACTGTACCAGGAAATGCCTAAGAAGCTTCCTAAAGTTTGGAACCCTTTGGGGTTTTTTAAAAAAATGTTTAGGTCTGCTTCACACTTTCTGGCTCCCATCCCATTACGGCCTTGGTAGCATAAGGATTTGTAGTTCAGCATGCAAAGCCAGCAAATATATCTACCACTGCTTCACTACAGAGCTGCGTACATGGCCACTGCAATTTCCCTGGTTAGGGAACCATCTTTTAGTGCCACTGTGATAATGCATATTGCAGTGGTCCTTTATACAACTCCCACGTGGAGCCACCAGTGTATGTACTTGATGCCCCTGTATAGGTGTGACCTAGCTGCAAGGCTGCTGGTAGCTCAACAGGCTCCCAAGAGCTTGATGTACTTCAAGAAAGCAGCATCTTCACCTCACCAATACCTTGCATGCCCCTGCTATGAAACTTCTGAGGGCTGCCTCAGAATGGCAGAAGGAGGGGGTGCACAAGGAAAAGCAGCGGAAAGGGGCTGGGTGGAATGTTACCCACCAAAGGATACAACGTAAGGCAGAAAAAAACTGGCTTAGGAGTTTGACTTAATAACGCCAAAGTGCAGTTTGACTTGTGAGATGTGTTAAGGTCTATTTCCAGCTGGCTGATTTGTTCATACAGTATTCATCACTATGCTGCTTGTGAATAAAGCTCTATTATTCACATTTTAAATGGTTGATTGCCCATTTCCCTTTGCTCATAAATGTTACATTAAGATAAAACTAGCAAGTCGTTAATTTTTTTTATCTTTCTTTCCCGTAATTATTTTCTAGGCTGAAAAGAAACACAAACGATTTCAAGAACTTGATAGATTTATGCACTATTACACAAGGTTTAAGAACCATGAGCTCAGTTACCAAGTACGGTTGGAAATAGTTCTATAAAATTATTTTCCAGCTTTATTAGTTCAAAACAGTGTTTTTCACTTTTTAAAATTTTATCTTACTTTTAGTTAGAACAGCGCCTTCTAAAAACAGCCAAAGAAAAGATGGAACAACTGAGTAGAGCTCTTAGTGGACGTAAGTGTGCTGAGTTTATGTGATACATTCGGGTGCTCAGAATAATGTGTGTACACCAAAGCCTTTCAAAATACAATTGATTTCTGGCCACTGCTTTTGTCCTTATCAAACTGAGCATTTGTGTGGCTTGATTTACTTTGATTAATGGGTGAACAAACAATATATTGCAGTATATGACATGTGCTTTATGTCTTCTAATCTAAATAAAGATATATTTTCTGCAATACCAGCTAGTATCTTCCCCAATCTACTTGTCATACAGTTCCTCTCTGATACCAATCTGTTGCTTCCTTTTCTTCATTTATCTGTGCTGATGCTGAAAAGCAACAAGAAACTTTAGTTTCATGTAGGATCTCTTCTCTTGGGGAGTTAGTTCCTACCCAGCTTTTCCATCCTTGGCTATTCAGATCTGTCTCTTCTCTTGCACACATTCTGATTTTAGTAGATGGTGTTCTATATGACATGGTTTTTCTCCTGTGAGTATAAATTGTCCTCACATGGGACTGCAACTGCCCCCAGCAATTGAAGGCAGGAACACAGAAGCTTCAGAGAACTTTCTGCATCTTACCCAGGGATCAGCAACCTTTTTCAGCTGTGGGCCAGTCCACCGTCCCTCAGACCATGTGGTGGGCCAGACTATATTTTGGGGGGGGGGTGAACAAATTCCTATGCCCCACAAATAACCCAGAGATGCATTTTAAATAAAAGGACACATTCTACTCATGTAAAAACATGCTGATTCCTAGACCGCCTGTGAGCCGGATTGAGAAGGCTATTGGGCCGCATCTGGCCCCTGGGCCTTAGGTTGCCTACCCCTGATCTTACTTCATCTGAAGCCCTAAGTTCCTTCCTGCATTTGCTTGAAGTGGTCTTTAGAGTGCACTGTCCATCTTCTCTGTGTGTGTGCTCATGCTTGTATTTTGTAATTTCAGTGGCCCTTCAATGTGAATTTCTTTTAATTTGGACTAATGTGACTATGCCGTCTTGTGAATGCAGAAATCTGAATGCAGTCAAACAATGGACATAGAGCTTTTTCTGTTGAAATCTAGATTAGGATTTGAAAAACAATTTTGATTTTGCACAAAACATTATACTCTGTTTAGAATAAGTTCTGCTGTTGCAGAAATAGTTATCACATCAGCAAATGGGAAACAAAATACTCTTTGCAATGCCTGGATTTCTCTTGCAGCTGAAGGAGGTTGTCCAGATACCACATTCATTGAAGATGCAGTACAAGAACTCCTCAAAACTCGTCGCATCCTGAAGTGTTCTTACCCATATGGATTCTTTCTAGAGCCAAAAAGCACAAAAAAAGAAATATTCGAACTTATGCAGGTAAAGGAGGCCCTTGTGTTAGTGGCTTCTGTGCTTAATTTTTTACAGCTGACTAGTTGTATATATTGAATTGATATTTTCTAGTAATTCTTACTTGCTTCCCAGTAACTTCCTCTAGATTTGTATTCTTAAGAGCACAACTCAAAGATTAAGCAGATATGTACTGTATCCTATTGGCTTCAATGAAGAAGTGTTAGGGTGAAATGCTATGCATACTTACCTGGGAGTAAGTTTTATTGAACTTACTTGGGTTTCTTTTTGAGTGGGTATGTATCGGATTGTACTATTAAGCAGATGTTCTATTCTCCCATGGAAATCAAGGATCCTTAAAAGTGCCTTTAGTGTGTCATATTGTTGTTATCCGTTTTAGAAGTCGTAAGACTGTGTACCAATGAACAACAAAATATTTGGTCTTAGTGTAATGTGTGCTAAAAATGTCCTGCTCTAATTCCTCTCATTCTTCTGAGCAGAGATGGCATAGATAGGATGTCTGGCAGGCATTAAAATTTTATGGACCCCTTCTGGAAGTTCAACTCCCCCCCCCCCTTCTCTCTCTCTCTCTCTCTCTCTCTCTCTCTCTGTGTGTGTGTGTGTGTGTGTGTGTGTGTGTGTGTTCGTGATCTTACCACTCTGGGAAGAAAGCCCGAGATCCATTCTGACTTGTTGGCTTAGGACACCTAGAGCAGATGCTGCAAAACTCAAAAGCTTCTTCCCAATTTACTTTCAGGTTTGCTCCACTTGATAAGGAGCTACTTCAGTGATCTTTTTTTCCAAAAACAACCCACTTTAGTGTATTGTCAGGGTGGTGACCAGGGCAGCCTTCTCCTTTACAAAGCTCTTAAACAATTGAGGCTCCCTTTGGGCAGTACACATTGCTGCAATTGCGTACTCTATGACTGTAGCTTTCACTTGAGGTCCACTTAGTGGTTGAAGGCAAAATTGCTGCTCAGAAGAGAAGGGCCCTTCACAGGGGCCACCCAGCTTTGGAACCCAGTTTTTTATTTTGCCTTCACCAAATTGCTTCCCGTTCTACCCTTTGCAACTCTGTATTTGGTTCAGGCTTTTAGTTTAGCTCTTAATAATTTCTTTGTGTGCCTGTCCTGTTCAAAAATAGTTTTACATTTCCCCCTACACTCTGCCAGCCTCAGCTGCAGAGGGAAAAACTACTTTTTCTCCTAGCCCTCATGATAGGGCAGAACTACTTCAAAGCATCCCAGGCTACCCAAGCAGGACCCTGTCGTCTCTGATCTTATTCTGGATGAGGATGAATGGAGAGGGGAATGTGAGGTGGAGGAACCTGACTATTATCATCTCTTTCAGTACTTTCACTATCTGCTCCTCCTGTGTAAATTGGTGGTGGCTCTGGATCTGATGCCCACCCCTTCAACTTCCAGGGCAGCTGCTTTATGTCTGAACTTTTTGCCCAAGACCAGAGTGGTAAAATTAACTGTGTTAATTAACACTGTAACTGAGTTGGATACACAAAAGGCATGTGGCCATTGCCAATAAGTATGATGTGTCGAAGCCTTCAATCATGGCTTGGGCTGCCTGAGTCTGCTTTCTGCATTCATGGTACAGTTTGCCTGAGCTTTTTAGTCATTACTGTTATTTTTTATTTAGAAGATGGTATTATTGCTTGTTAGTTAGTGTTGGCTGTCACTCTCCTCTGTTCTGTTTCTACTTCCTTGGCTTGTCATAATAGAAAATTGAAGGAGTTTTGAGGATTCTCTTTTGAGAAGTAATTCTGCCTTTGACCACTAGGTGGTGGTCAAGTCCCACTTGGGGGTCACCTCTCTGCATGCATAGAAATCCTGTTTCCAGGCAAGAACCCAAATGGTCTTTTCTGCCACCCTGTTAGTTAGCCACCTGTATGCAATTCTCTCCCAAAATTGATTCAGCTTAGGCAAGTCCCACTGTTTCCTGGCTTACTCCTGCAGGCCAGCCAGAGAACAGAACATTGGGCATTTACCATTAATGTTCCTTCCAGGGGTTATACAGGAGGAAGCCAGTTCCATCACTGACTCAGGTAGGTAGGTGAGTGCGTCATCTTTCATTCAGTTAAAACTCACCGGTCCTTACATCCTTGTATTCCAGCCATGCTCCCTAAGGAGGGAATTTTATTTTTCTTCGGACTTTTTCTTTCAGGCTGAACATTTTATGCTCCAAGTCCAGCTTGGTTATGAGCAGAACTAGGGTAGAGCCTCAGGAATCAGAATAACTATGCAATGGATCACTATGCAATGTGATCCACCCTGTACTAGGCACCATTAACCCATTTTTCCCTGGTTTGTTCTTGTCCCCATGGAAATAACATGCACAGCAAGTATCCAGAGTTATGGTTTCTCGTCCTGTAAAGAATTTACATGAGTATTTATTTTCTGATATAGACAGATCTTGAGATGGTCACTGAGGATCTTGCTCAGAAAGTGAACAGGCCTTACCTTCGTACTCCGCGTCATAAAATTATCCGTGCAGCCTGCCTTGTACAGCAGAAGCGGCAAGAGTTCTTGGCCTCTGTGGCCCGAGGAGTTGCTCCTGCAGATTCTCCAGAAGCTCCAAGGCGCAGGTAACCTAACAATAACAAAGATCTGTATGGCCAAAGAGGTTCACCTGGCAGCCACTCGGCTTGGTAAGCCTGCCTTAAAAACTCTTCTGCTTAGCCTTCAAGTTGTAGTGCAGGTAGTCCTGGTAGGTTTGCTTTGCAGAATTCATTTTTAAAAATCTATTATTGATGCTTCACCACTTCCCACCTAACAGTTTTAAAGGGGCAGTGGCGTGGGTGTGGTGGGGACACAGACATGTGCTTGTGGCCAGAATTGTAACAAGGGAAAGATTTATACATCTTCTAGCTGGACAGAGGTGTGTATGTGCAGTGCTGCTCCTCTGAAATAAAATGCAGGAATAACTTTTTAAAAACACCTCAGCTTACTCTTGTAAGCTTCTGGCTGGCAAAAGTTTTTTTCTTGACTGCTGAACTTTTTACATGGATGTAGCATTGTTGGTAACAAGGACTAGCAAGTTCCCCATGGCGTTTGAGAAAGGATGCTCCAGCTGCACTGCACAAAAGGAGATGGTTTTGAGGGAAGGATACAAATGTTAACACCATTGCCCTTGAAGTAAAATTCCAGAAAGGTTGCACAGGACAGCCCTTGAAGCTGGTCAAATGAACACATTCATTTTTGTACTCAGTTTGTTGGAGGGGGGGTGTTCACAATTTATTCTAGTATTCTTTAACAAAGTCTGTTTAATTTATAGCTTTGCTGGTGGAACATGGGATTGGGAATATTTAGGATTTGCATCCCCCGAGGTAATTTTTTGCCACTTTTAATTAAAATGTGTATTATTATGGAAATTAAGATGGAATTTCACTTTGCATGATTAGCTTCCTGATGTTGTTGCAAACTGCACCAAGGTTTACAAGGTCTGGATGAGCTTTCTATTTTTGCTGCTTTACAATAGAAGGAAATATATTTAATTTTATATCTCGTGGTAGATATACAAGGTGGCACCCTAATCCTCTAGCTCTGCTTCAGCTGTGTCCCAGCAAACAGTGTGACAACTGTCTCAGCTAAAGTAGCATTCTATCTACACCTGTTTGATATGGGAGAGGCATCTTGCTCCATGCTCCTGGTATGCCCCACAGATGACCTTAAGGTCCATGAATAATCATAGTTTAGAGGCCCCAGGCCCTAAGGAAGTTAGATTATTCTACACCGGGGCCAGGGCCTTCTCAGTGATGGCTCCGACCTGGTGGAATGCTGTGTCATGAGACCAGGGCCCTGCAGGATTTAACCTCCTTCCGCAGGGCCTGTAAGACACAGCTATTCCGCCTGGCTTTCAACTTGAACTTAGCCTGATCTTTTATTCCCCTTCCTTCCCTCCCCGTCCCCTTTTTATGAAGATTATCTGCTCTGGGATCCCACAGCTAATTCTCCCCTGGTCTCCATGCTGGCCCAAACAGGACTAATTTAGCCAGCTAGCCCTCGTGATCATCTAATGTTTATTGGATGGATTTCCCCCCTAAATTGATTTTTCAATTCTGAATTTATCATTATTCACGTTTTATACCATATTTTATGCTATTTTTGTTGCATCAATTAAGTGTTTTAAATTTGTTGTTAGCCGCCCTGAGCCCGGTTTTTGAACCGGGAAGGGTGGGGTAAAAATAAAATTATTACTATTATTATTATTCCTCCTAAGGGAAGGTCCTACACTCCTCCTCATTGCCAAGGCACTAAACCATGAATAAAGTTTCCATGGGCCTAGAGGATCCATGCCAGTTCTGTAAGACAAAATACCTTTCTGTTCCTCATTCTGAGTTGGCTCTTTAATCAAGGCCAGCGATCAGTAATGATCTATATTACTCTGGTGCTGGCACCCTGTTTTTAATTTCCCTCCCTTTTTCTTTCCTCCTAGCTGTATGTATTTAAGCATCTTCCATTTCAGGGAAATGCAAATGTATGTGAGTGCAGGCTTGTACTTGTAGTGAGACACAGGCATCTAACCAGAGATGTATATCTCTTTAGTTTAAATTTTGTACAAAATTTGTCATCAGATGCAAAACACACCAGGAAGAAATAAGTATACTACTTAAAACCACACCAGATTGATCTGAATAGGTTAATTTTACATTTTGTTCCTTTTGCAGCCTCTGTTCCTGCCTCAAGTATGAAAATCCCTGAGTTAGATAGGTTTTCTAGTGTGTGATGTTTGGGTTTTTTTGTAAGATCCACACATTTCTGCATATTTCCTTTTCTATTGTTGCTGAACAGCAGTATGCTTGCAAGAATATAGCTTGCTTCTTATAGGCAAATGAACTTGCTTGCTTTTCCCAGTTCATCCTATAATACTTGGTTCCCAATAATTCCCAATAATTATGAAAATGACCCCTAAAAATCCTAGCCCCATTGAATTCAATAGGACTTCTTTTTTTATCAAATATGTCTTTATTTCATTTTGTTACATAAGTAGAGAAAGCAGATACAAACCTGAAAAAGGACAAATAGAACAAGAAAAATTATAAAAGAAATAACACAATAAAAGAGAAAATTAAATGATGCAGTGGAGCTACAGATACCTAGCACCCACACACCTTATTGGAGAAAACACCTGCAAACTAAAATTGTAAAATGTCATACATACCAAGAATCATGGGCAATCGCTGTCCTGTCTCAAAAAATCTAGCTGTGAAAGTGGAGCTCTTCTAATTGAGTAAGAGAGACCACCAGATACCCTCAAACTTCGCATTTTTAGTAAGACCTTTAATAAATCTTAACATGACTTGTCTTTTCCACAGTAACAGTACACTGAGGTGGCATTCTTACTGAGTTTTCTAATGAACACTGGAAAACGCTCTCTTGCTTTATTTGGCATTAAAAACTCTGACATGTTGTGCTTAGCTTCAATCTCATCTGCCATTTTGTTGTTCATTCAAAAAATGTAGCAATGCTTTTATCCCAGTCTGTTTCTTGTTAATGGCTGTTGGTTTTCAACAAGAATCTCCCAGTTCTGCAAAGAGGAACTTAGTTCAGCAAGCCACACAAGACAGGGGGGGACATGGCAGGAAAGCATGCTTAAATAAAGTTATTCATTCTGTTTAGCCATGATTCTTAACAATTGATTTTCTTGGATAATTTAATGAAACATATTTCAGCAAAGTGTGATTCTTGATAGATGCTTTGCAGCTACTTTGAGCAGCTGTGAGAAAGCTACATGTTGATATAGAAAAGTAAATCTTTGAATTGGTGCAAGGCTATACTCTTGGAATTCTTTTTGAAAATAAATTCACCAGGCACAGGATTATTGCATATTAGACTACTTTACTGTGCAAAAATTAGCTAAAGTAAATAGACTTGGCCTTCTTTTTTTAAGGCAATGTTTTGGCTGATGTATAAAACTCATATATCAGTGTTGAAACTATGTAAATAGCTTTTCAGAATTACTGAAAACCTAACCGTTCAGCCCCACAGAAGTAAGTCCTATTGAATTCAGAAGGGCTTACTTTCAGGTAAATGGGGATAGACTTGCAGCCTAAATATGCTAACATTTAAGTCCATTGCTGCATTAATCCTAGTTATGCAGTCCTTATTTATTTATTTATTTATTTATTTAAAAAATCAGGTTCAAGACTTGGCTTTAAAATTAGCCTTGATTGCTCCATTCCTGAAGCTTGCGAGAAACTTCCTTTTTTGTTTTCCTATTACAAAGTTGTAGTACAGTGGTGCCCCGCAAGACGAAAAACTCGCTAGACGAAAGGGTTTTTCGTTTTTTGAGCCGCTTCGCAAGACGATTTTCCCTATGGGCTTGCTTCGCAAGACGGAAACGTCTTGCAAGTTTGTTTCCTTTTTCTTAACACCGTTAATACAGTTGCGACTTGACTTCGAGGAGCAACTCATAGAACGCGTGTGGTAGCCTTTTTTGAGGTTTTTAAAGACTTTGGTGATTTTTGAAGCTTTTCCAAAACTTTCCCGACACCGTGCTTCGCAAGACAAAAAAAATCGCAAGACGACAAAACTCGCGGAACGAATTAATTTCGTCTTGCGAGGCACCACTGTATTTGATATCTGAAAGCACTGATATTGCCACAAACCTTTTTGCCCATAACGGAAACAATTTTTTATTTATCCAGCTTGTTAGATCAAAGCAGTGATAACCAATAGAGAACATGAGCATCTGATTAACACATAATTCCCTGTACTGTACTTTTTACTGTACTTTATTGATAAGCACCCTTTTCCATTACATAAATCTTGTTTTCTATACTAGCCTCTTATACCCACGCCTAACTTTATAAAACACCCTAAGTGCATCCTTAACATTTTAAGCATTGCTGAAATGGATGCAGATAAGCCAGTGTTTTTGCCTGAGGATGAGCCATGTGGTATTATAATGTTAGGCAATTGTAAAATTCATCAATATAATACACAAACTTTTTGGGGAAAGCAATTAAACACTAAGTATAAAAATGCATAAATGTTTTATATAAGATAAATATGCCTTGGTATTCTTGCAGTAAGATTTGCAAGCAGTTCAGCAGCAGCTTTATATAGTCTTGTTAGTTTAATTTAGTAGTTTGTGTAATCTGTCCAATTTTTCTTTTGAAAAAGCTTGCATGGTATAGGCTGCTATTTACTTTTATGAAAACAAGTGATTTTATAATGCATAAAATCACAGGCACTCTTTTTTTTCTTTAAATGTGCTGTTTGTTATGCCCAAAACTATTATTGCATGCTCCCCTGTATTTTGTAACGTTTGGTTTATGCAGGAATATGCTGAATTTCAGTATCGGAGGAGGCACAGACAGCGTCGACGTGGAGACATGCACAGCCTGCTTAGTAATGCTCCAGATCCCGATGACCCCAGTGAAAGCACATTAGGTGAGACTTATATAGAAGTTCTCTTTACTTTTTTGCTAGCGATATTCCTTCTTTTTAAAGAGGAATTCTGTATAATTGTAGATTGTAGTTTATTTTCAATGAAGCAATTTGTTAGTGTTTGATTAGCAAGCCTTAAGTGCCAAAATAAATCATGTGTAGCCTAACTGAATGTGGTTTGGAGTATCTGGTGACAAGATTTCTCAGTAAAATTAAGGGATAAACTTTCTTTTCTTGAACAGATACTCAAGAACCAGGTAGTAACAGAAGACATGGTAATTCCATGGTGAGTTCAGCTTCCATGAGTATTCTTCACAGCTCTTCTCTTCATGACTATACTCCTGTTAGTCACTCTGAAAACCAAGATTCTCTGCAGGTATATTCCTTTGTGACTTTCCCTTTTCTTTTCTTTTCTTTTCTTTCCTGTATCTGTATCTTGCATGCCTCTGCTTTTAGTTAGCTAATTTGTCAGCTAACTCTGGTTGTCAATAATTTGAACACCTAAGCTCCTAAACAGGTTTAATTGGAAGTACCATGAATTTATATGGGACTTGTGTCTGAGTTAGCATCTTTTGGACATTAGTTTCACACCAAAAATATTAGCTTAAATTAAGTATTATGAAATTGTATTCTCTTGAATGCATAATTTCTTCTTGGAAATTGGAAGCTATTTAGGGGGAAAACGCTGCTCTAAGTATATGACTGTAGATGTGTGCATATAGATATAAATATATTGCATTTATTCTGAAAATTATTCTAATCTCTCTCTTAGGCTTTAAGCTCCTTGGATGAAGATGACCCAAACATTCTGCTTGCTATTCAGTTATCATTGCAAGAATCTGGTTTAGTTATTGATGAAACCAGAGACTTTCTAACCAATGAAGCTTCCTTAGGAGCAATAGGTACTTCATTGCCTACAAGGCTGGACTCTGGTCCCATAAGTATAGATAATCCACGAGCTGCTCTAAGTAGCTCTGAACTTCTAGAACTTGGTGATAGTCTGATGAAACTAAGTGCAGACAGTGATCCATTTTCAACTGACCATCTTAGTTCTCACACCTTCAGTGATGCAAGAAGTGGCCTGTATTCAACATCTAGTGAAGCTGATTCAAGTAGCCAAGATCCTAATATAAATGAAAATCTCCTTGGGAACATTATGGCCTGGTTCCATGACATGAATCCTCAAAGTATTGCACTCATTCCTTCAGCAAGTACGGAAACTGATGATGATTCACAGCAACCCAGTACTGAAGAGGGGTCATTGGAGCAACCACATGTTCCTGATGCAAGACAGGACCCTCTGGAGGAGCATGCACTTTTTGAGGATTCGCTCAAAAATGAAGGTAGAAGCACCCAGACAGAAGAGAGTGGTGCTGTTGGGAATGTTATTACAGGAGAAGCAGTACCACCAAGTGGGGACTCAGCTGGGGAGGCAGCTAGCCAAGTGGATGCTTCAGGAGATGTTTCAAGTCAAATATCTCAGAGCTCAACTGAGTGGAATGAACATGTACATTTGGTGTGAACACAAACAAGCCTGAACACAGAAATTGATTATGGAGCCAAAATGGCTAGGCAGTTGCCAGCGGTACACTATGTGGAGTAAGCATTCTGGAGACTTTGGCCCACATAAGCAGAGCTTGGTTGTTTATCCGTGGTGTGGAGATGGAATATATAGGAATTCCCTTTAAGTTCTTTACGATAGTTATGTGAACCTTTCAGGGAATTTCCATTGCATTTGACAGTGTTCTGTTCACTTTGAAGAGAGAGAAATAGTTTGTACTCCACATTCCTAATACAATGCAGCATCTATTTAGCCTTAGGCTGGTGACCCTTAACTTGAAAGTGTGGATTAAAGGCTCACTGAGCATTTGAATTATTGATTCTACAAAACCATTTTCTCCTCTTTCCCCCTTATTTGAATTGTCTTCTAACAAACCAGTGTTTAGCAGTATTTTTTATACCTTGCTTTTTCATTGCCTTTCCCCAACTAATCTTTAACCTGCAGTGTGAATTGAGGTATACAAATACTTCTCTTCAGTGCTGCTTCACAAACCAAGGAGTGGATATTCTTTTCTAAGTAAAATTGTTTTTTTTTAATGTCTATTTACAGTACAGATGTGCCAAACTGTAAATAGCAAACAACTTCAACACAAAAAGTATGCAGTATTGCTGTTTTAAAGCGCACCTATAATTATTAGTGATAGAAGGACCACTTGAAAGAAATGCTTTTCCAAATTTAACTGGCAGTTATTGCCATGGTGACTGCATTAACATAAGCTGTACCTTAAGTTAATTAAGCCTAATACTACTGTTAAGAACAGTTATTTAAAATAGTTGATTTAGCAGCAGCTATGCTGTATTGAAAAGACACTTTAATGGAAGTGCAATCATATGCCTTTTGTTTTCATAATTAACAATACATTTTATGCACAGTGCAGTTGCTTTTAATGATAATTATAAAATAAAGAAGTTTGAAATTTCTTGACATTAGAGGCAGTCCCACACTAAAGATTTAATAATACATATTACATGCAACATGTTACCGTGCCTTTGCCGAACTCAAATAGATAGTTGCCACAGTTGAATGAGTAGTTATCTGTTCTGGAGTTACTATGCTATGAAGTGCAAAAGCCTCCATAAAAACCACTCATGGCCTTGCCTTTCCGGTAAATAATGACATAGTGTAAAATTCCTCCCTATACAGGTGTGGTGCTAACACATAGAAGGATCCCCATACAAATCAGCTGAGCCCCATTTCCCCCTCCCAGCATGCATGCCATGGCAGTTCAGGCTGCACCAGATCTGTGTGTGCTTCATCTATCTCCAGCCAAGCCCTCCTGCTCAATACAGTTCAAGTTGTGCGATCTGACTTCTGCATCTTGAGCAGAGAGAGCCTGAGAGTGGAACAGGGAAAGTGTGCCACCAGGGCATGCATTCTGAAAGGGAGGGGAGAAAAGGGGTTCTTTAGAAAAACCCCTCTGTGCAGATCCCTCTATGCAGACACTGTGCCGACATTGGGAAGTATCATACCCTAAATGCTCAAAAGTTTTTATATAAATAATGAAAACACTACTGTGTATTCTTTCAATTGCACAATATTCGTTTGGTGTGTGGTTGCTGTTTAATGTAAAAGGAAGAAAAAAATTACCTTCCCTAGTGGTGTCCTACTGTGAAGAAAATTCTTGTTGAGATTGGCTTAAAAGCATCAAGACCTCATTGTAAGTTACAGTGATGCAGTTTGTAATTTTAACTAGAAGAAATTGTTTAAATTACTGTTTTGCTTGCATATAATCGAATCCTAGGATAACACAAGGAAAATAGGTGAAATGTTCCATTTTTATGTTTGACGATATGAGAGATCTGCTGATGTCTGATATAAAGGTTTCTCGCTACTGACTGTGTATAGTAAAGTATTATGATGGGAAATAAGGTTGTATGTATATTGATTACTGTGAGTTACAAGAAAAAGTATTTTAACTCTTTCATTTAAAGATTACTGTTGGAATCTTGCAGTCCCTGTGGCTCATAATACTAAATAACTACATATTAATTATTTACTCCAAAATTAAAAAAATAAATCTGTTTCTTCTAGAAGTTTATTTAGAAGGAATAGTTCGCTGCTCTGTTCACTGTATTCTGTAGATCCATTACATTTTCTAGCTTGGCTTTTAACTGCCCTATCCTGAAGGTATTGATGTTGAAACCCTGTTTTCAGCCTTGAGAAACTATTTAAACAGCTGTCTGGTATAAAATCTTCTTAACCAAAAATAGGACCTGAAGATTCTATCCTCATTAATTGGTTTTAAACTGAAATTAATTTGAGACGCACATACAGCATCCTTGAGTTATAATTTCCAAATAGGACGATCCTCACACAGATTTTGTGTATTGCATTAAGATGTCTTGCAAAGCTAAGAGAAGATATGTACAAGTGCTCTCTGTGACGAATAGTGAAGTTTGTGGGTTCTGGTTTTACTGTAATTTGGTTTAGATTGTGCAGTATACACCATTGTTCCTGTGTTGACTTTATTCTGAGCATGAAATTTAGCATATTAAATTTGTATTTTCTTGGTACTTATTTAAATTTAAGACCACCCCAGTAATTGAATTTGCAATTCAGAAAGAAAGTTTGGCAAGCCTATTTTGTAAACCAATTAATTTTGTAATGTAAAAATAATAATCTTGAAAATGCTATTTGCACTTTCATAGTCTATACTTGATACATTCCCACTTTATATACAGTAGGATATTACAACCATGTAGATGTTTGGCCAAATGAATGCTGTTAATAATATGTAAAATTCTTTGATTAAACATTTATTACTTAATCTAATTTCATTTTGTCTCATTAATTTTAATTCTCTTTAACAAATAGTGGATTGGAGCCAAAGAACTGGGAATAGAAAGAAAATAACATCTGGTCCTATTCTGCAAGTGTTGTACATTGCTAACTAAACCAATCTAATAAAGCAATCAATATGCTTGCACAAGCTCTTGTGGAAGAGCATCTGTTGATTTAGTTTCACTTAAGTACTTTTGGATCCAACCTACTATTATGTATTTAAAGTGCCATGTAACATTAAGTAAGTACTGTGTGCAGAGATACTTAAAAAGGTAATAACGAACCAAGGTAGATAGCTAAACTGCATGGAGTTTTAAATAATTGGGTTATTTGATATAGTTAACTTTAAAGCCATGGAAAGGGGAAATTATGGGGGGGGCAGTGTAAAGACAAAGAAGTCCAGTACATCAGTAGGTTTATACAGCTCACTAATCTGGTTAGCTTGATTCTGTTGATACAAGGGGAGCTGATATAGTCGTTGCTTAGACACATCCCTGATCTAGCTAGGAATCAGGATAGCAAAAATACATAGAAATAGCTGCTACATGCACAGTTCTCCAACCTGTTCAAAGTTCAAAAATATCACCAATCAGCTGTTCAGGATGGAAATCGGGACTGGATTTAGTCCTCACTTTTCCCTCATCACCAAAAAGTTGGTTAAAGTAGCTAACTGGGCTACATGTTTGCATTGTTGGATTAGAACTAGCGAGAACAACTGGCCCAATGTGTAGAGCCCTTCTGTTCAGAGCTTCATGTGCTGCATTCTCAAGTGGGCATTAGGGCACCACCAATGCGAATTGTAGACCTCTGTCTTGAAAATGGGATGCGGGTGGCGCTGTGCTCTAAACCACTGAGCCATGGGCTTGCCAATCAAAAGGTCGGCGGGTCAGATCACCGCAACGGGGTGAGCTCCCATTGCTGGGCCCCAGCTCCTGCCAACCTAGCAGTTCAAAAGCACCCCAAAAAGTGCAAGTAGATTAACAGGTACCGCTCTGGCAGGAAGGTAAACGGCATTTCTGTGTGCTGCTCTGGTGTTGGTGTTCTGTTGTGCCAGAAGCGGCTTAGTCACGCTGGCCACATGACCCAGAAAAACTGCCTGCGGAACAGACAAACGCCAGCTCCCTTGGCCTGTAAAGTGAGATGAGCGCCACAACTCCAGAGTCATTCACAACTGGACTTAACTGTTAGGGGTCCCTTTACCTTTTACCCTTGAAAAGCCAAAGGGGGACTGCCCTCTACAGGAAAAGGATCCCACATCCAAAAAAAGGATGACGTTTTCTGCCTCTTCAAGTGATAACAGTACCCACCTGCTGGTATCCTAGTACCCACTCAGTAACACCCTTCAATGGTACCTTCCATTTCCAGGTTTTCTCTCCAAAACAGCATCCCTGGCTACAGAGAATACTCATTGGCCTGTTTCAGGTTTTCCCCATTTGGGGTTTCTGGTGGTGTGGTAGAAATATGCTCAATCCCAGCCTGCCATCACAACTCCATTTTCAATAAGGGGCCCTGAGTACCTGCAGATCCTGAGGTTGCCCAGAGTCTGATGGTACATCTCTTGTGCATTGGTGTTTCAGTTTTGGCTACGTAAGTATGAGCATAGGAATAGTCAAATTGGACTTTAATAGGTTCATATTAAATTTTGAAGTTGATCTGTGTCTTTGAGGAGAAGGTCTTCGAGTACTTCATACAGAATTTTGATATCCCATTTAAAATGTACATGCAAGAAATTTATTTATACCCTTAAATAAACATTTACCTATTGCTCACTCTAAAAAAAGGTTGTTTAGCTAGCCGATAGTTTTGCTTCCTCAATATATTTCATGATGCTTTTAAAACAATCCCCCCCCCCCCCCCCAAAGCAATGCTCTTCAGACTCTTAGGCTACTTCTAAAACAATCCCCTTTATTTATGTGCTTCTCACTTCCTCCAACCAACAAATTGCAATAAAAATAAAAAGAAAGAAAAGATGTCAATGTAGATGTTCAGTACTGCAAAAATATACTCATTAGGATTCAGACGATACTGGTCCCTCTTTCCGAGCATTAGTTGTGTGTCCACCAACAGATACTTTTTAAAAAAGAAAAAAAAAGTCAGTGTATGGTGTCATTTTTATTTTTTTATCCTAAATAACGGCTCTCTTGAAAGCAAATACCTAGCAGAATAGTACACATTGTTAACCTACTACTCATTGTATCCCCCTAGCCAGTTTCTGATCTTCCTGTATGGGAAAGATGGGTCTCCTTATTAATGTCTTATCCAGGAATAACAGAAGCCACTTCAAGTTACAGAAGTCATTGTTGGCATTTTTAAAAAAAGAAGTGAAATTAGCATGTAGAGTGCGTTTGCTCATAATATAGAATTGGATCCCGGAATGAATTAGTTGAACCCGTCCTGTTGAAATCAGTAGGACAAGTTGGTAAAGATTTTAATGGGAACTAAATGTGATTCACTTAGTTTGTATCCATTCCACTGTTTGCAACGCTATAAACATGAAAGTAAAATCCCACCCATACATATGTTTTAAAATCTGAAACTTTTTGCTCACTGGCTTTTTATCTTGGATATCTCTGATATCACTGTACCTCCAAAACAGGGATCAATTTCATTCTAGAAACTTAAGACAGTTTATTTTGGCATTAAGTGTTTAAGATCTGATTTCAATTAAAGATTCTTCAGTAAACACCATTTTTAACAAACTAATAGATACATAACCATCCACACCTTGTGGCCCTGTTCAGATATCATTTGAACCATGGTTTATATGACAGTAAGCATCAGGCTTGAATATTTTCCTTCCCCTCCCCTTTGCATATGAGAAGAGGGGGAAAGAGTGAAATATTCTGTTTTCACTTTAAAACAAACGCTGCTTCCTTGTTACATATCAATTTGGAACTGTGGCTTTTACTCACTAGTTAAACAAGGACCAAAACATGCCTTCAATTTCAAACGTGGATAGAACAAACTTTGGTTCTCTGCTTTTATACACAATAGGGAACTGCAGTCTGGTCTAAAGTGAAAGCTTTCACTCTCTTCTCATAAACAAATGAGAACAGAATAGGAGCAGACAAGAATGAGGCTCACCTCAAGTCATTTCCTATAATTTAACTGATTTAGCATCTGAACCATGGTCCCCAGAGTCTTGCCGTCAACTCAGTGATTCAGAGGAAAATCAGTCACAAATATAGCTTCCCCACCCCAGTCATAGTTAATGCTACGAGTAAAAGTAAGATTTTTGTTTCTCACATACAGAGCATCTCAGTCGATTCAGCCTTCAGTTCCTTTAAGACTTACTATGCTAAAAATTAGTGTTCCAACGGCAGCATGTATTATTCGTAACCACTGCAAATACAGAGCTTACAGTTAGCAGTATGCAAAACCAAGAAAACCGATTAGCACATTGGTATTCACACTGTTACTGTGAAATAGGAAAATGCTAGTAGCAGCAGATGCCAGGGTTGTCAAGGCTGGCACAGAGCAAGGTACAGACCCTCTTATTTTGCAAGTGGGTGGGTATCAAGAGTGAATAAGTGAAGGCATGTGCCACCTGAGGCAAACAGGAAGGGGTCAAGCCACCACACCTGCCCACGAAATCTGACTGGTGTTATTCAGCTGCGGCAGCTTCCAGCGAGATCTCACTGAACTCTGGCGAGATCTCACCAGAATCTGCAGCAGCAGCAGCTGTACAACTCCGCCAGGGGTGGGCAGCACATCTGCAGGGGAACCACCCCATGGGACTCCTCTGCACAAAGTGGCTGCTTTTGATTTGCCTCATGGTTGGGCAGGCCCTGTGTCTGTGCTTGCTAGTTTCCTGCATGGATTCTCTGTCCTGGGACAAAGACCATTTCAGGCCTATCCAGTGGGCCATTCAACCTCACCAGAGACTGAAGGAAACTTCATCTAATTTCATATGGCCCTTGGCCTAATTTCAACAGCATTCCGCAAGAAATCTGTTCATATCTTTGGCAGGAGCCACCTATCCTTCACCTTGTAAGCCGCTGGGTGAAGAGAGGAAGGATGGAAGAAATATGGTCCCTCCCAGCAGTCTTTGTCTTTGTATTTTTCCCCAAGGCTTTCCCCAACATAGAATCATATTACATTGCCAGCCAAGTCTGCCACATAATCCCATATATTTTAGAAGACGAAACACTGGGTCCATTTGGAGAAAGACACCACTGAAAACACCCCACAACAGCATACCCATCTCTCCAAAACAAAATAAAGAGAATCCCCACAACACTAAACAGGTTCATACAGTGCATGGTAGAAAAAAGTAGGCAAACTGTCCCCAGCCCCACTAACATCCGCCCCCCCCCCCCAGCTCACCACCCACTATTCCAACACACAGCACAAAACCTCCAAACCAACGGTCTACACCGTCTAAAAGACTTCTACAAAGGAACTTCAACAAAGATAAGCCGACACAAGAAATACATACTAAGGGACACCCAAATTCCCTGGCTAATGCACTAGATGAAGTTTCTGAACCGTCTTTGGAGGCTGCCCTATGTGTAACACATTGCTGTAATCTCACCTAGAGGTTACCAGAGCATAGACAGCGGAGGTTAGGCTATCCCTGTCCAGATAAGGGTGCAGCAGCCTGAGGGTGATGAACACAGAAATGGAGAACTGAGACGGAAAGGGAATTCCTCCAGAGGAAGGTAGGAAATAAATGAGGGAAGAGCTGCCTACTTCCCCAGAAAGGATTGTGATTCTCACATTCAGGCACAATGTGGACCAAGATCCTACCTGAAGACCCTTCCAAGGTAAGAACAAAGCCTGATTGGGCAGAATCAAAAGAACTTGCAGTATAATTCGGAGGGAAAGTCTAGCGCACAAGAATTAAGGTACCTGAGTCATCTTTAAACTTTGGTGAGAGGGGAACCAATACTGGGAAAGAGGAGAACGAAACAAGTTTGGAGGGGATGCAGACAATAAAACACAAAGGGGTTATTTACTTCAAAAAGTAAAATGTTTTACTTACCATTGATTGCAGGATAGCACAAAGACATCCATAAATAAGCAAGACCAAATACAAAATTAGCAGTATTCCTGATGTGATCGTAAGGTCACACTAAAGAAAAAGAAGAGAGGTATGAGCACTTCCTGCCATGCAGATATGATAAGAACAGAAATTTGTGAATGGGGAGGTTCTCCACCCAACCCATAGAATAGACAGTCACCAAGGAATTTTCAGGTGTTAATACATTTTCTTACCCTATCCTGCAAAGTATCTCAAGCTCAATACTTATTTGTACTGTATAACATTATTCTTGTTTATAAAACCCAGTAAAAAAAACTTTCAACATTGAAAAAACACACCAAAGTGTTTGGAATAAGGGAGCACATTCCAACAGCGGAAAAATCCCTCTGTTTCAGAACTCTGTTGATGCTTTACCAGAAGGAAATATCATCTGAAGGATATATCTTAATTTTATCACTTAGGAGGAGAATCTTGTGGGAAATCAAATAAATTTTAACATGGCATACACACGATTACTATTAATTAATACGCCAGTGTCTAGAGAAGATGAAGTAGCCATACATAATAATATAGTAAATCAGAAAACTACTTTTAAGAGCCAATGCACTGAAAATTACATCTAGCCTTTCAGTGTTATGAGATACAAAATACAGAGAACCATATTATCCGATCAAATTTGATTTCCTGAACCGCAACAAGGTCAGATAACCACAGGAAAATGAACTGCAAGCAATTTTTTCTGTCTTTCTTTCACAACTGAAATTTGGCCTCTTCTGTTGGCCCTTTCCACAATTTAAGAAGGATATTGACAAGCTGGAACATGTGCAGAGGAGGGTGACCAAGATGACTAAGAGTTTGGAAACCTAAACATATGGGGAACGTTTAAGGGAGTTGGGCAGTTGAGAAGAAAGAGGAGATATGATAGCCATCTTTACATATCTTAAAGGGTTGTCATATGCAAGATAGCACCAACTTGTTTTGTCCCGCTCTGGAGGTAGGACCCGAACCAATGGATTCAAGTTACAAGAAAGGAGATTCTGACTAAACTTCACAAAGAAATTTCTAATTAAACAGAACAGGCTCCCACGAGAGGTGGTGGACTCTCCTTCTTTGGATGTTTTTAAGCAGAATTTGGAAGGACATCTGTCATGGATGCTTTAGTAGGGATTTCTGCATTGCAGAGGCGTTGGATACAACTCTACAATTTTATGATTCTATGTGAGCATTAGCTATAACTCTAATAAATATAAGAATGTATGTATCCAAAATCTTACTAATGGAGCAATTAATAAACTCATTTAGACCACATATAAGCAGCTATGCTGTGGCATACAAACAATTACAGTGGTACCTCCAGTTGCGGATGGGATCTGTTCTCTGGTCGGATCCCGAGGTTTCTGCAACTGGAGGGACCGCTTCTGTGCACACACACGCTGCGGTAGAGCAATAACACAGAAATATACTTCTGGGTTTGCCACTTACGTATCCCGAAGTTTACGTAACCGGAAAGATACGTAAGCAGAGGTACGATTGTATACTCTAGCATCACTATTATGCTTTTGTCAACATACCAACACAGAAATTAATAAATATATACATACAGCGCTTTTTTCTGAGGGGATGCAGGGGTACGCATACCCCTAAATATTTTGTGAATCTAAGTTTGGCCACATTGAGGGGCAGTATTTCAATATGAGTAGGAAAATGAGAGGACCCTAACATATTTTTTAGAAAAAAGCACTACACACACACACACACACACACACACACACACACACTGTAGCCAAGACCGTTGTACATCATCAAACAAGCTTGCTTGTCAAGAAAAAATAAAACAAATAGTGAGAGAAATAAAAAAGAAATGCAAAATGGCTTATGAAAGAGAAAAAGGGCAGTACTGTCTAGCAAAGGAAAAGAAAAGAAAAACTAAAGTACAGTGACCAGATTAAAAGAAAATATATCACTTACAGTGTTGTTCCAAAAATTTAAAAACAAAGCACTTCCCAATAAATTTGTTTTATTATTATGTATAGCATTTCTCTCATATTTATGCTTTACCATTAAAATAGTATTTCAGGTTTTCCTTAACCAATCTGTTACAGTAGGGGGAGCTTTTATTTTTCAATTTTTGTGCAATACACTGTTTTGCTGTTGTTAGTAGTGTAGTAATCAGCTGTAAATCGGTATTAATTTACTTCAGAATAAAGAATCAAAAGGAGAGTTATTTTAGGATTTCTTGGAACATCATAGCCTCTACTTGACTCACAAATATTTTAATATGGGCTGTAGACAAAAAAATAAATACATTCAATGACCACTGATATATATCGACAAGAATGATATATGTTCCTAAGTGTCAATATGTGTTACTGATCTTTCTCAGTATTCTTTCATTATGCCAAAATATCACACACTGATGACATTTTTCAGATGACAGAGCAAACCAATTTTTAATTCTGAATTAGCGATTAATTTATCAAATAGTGGGTCAAGACAGTTAAGAAATAATTGCTTACTTTTTTCTGAAGAGTAAAAGCGGCAAGTCCAAATGTCACAGACGCAGTGGCACCAACTGACCACATAACTGCATCAGCATCAAAGAAACTAAATGCCAAGGAAAGATAACTGTTAATGTGAAACGTGATATGCCTAATTACACCAGTACAGTCAATTCAATTTATTGATCAACTACTTACGCTGCAATTGATCCAAGCAACATACCCTCACAAATTGTCTAAAAATAAAAAATATAAATAATTATATGCAAGTGGAAACACATTATTATTATAGCATAACATCCTCTCCATTTATTCAGACTTGGAGGTTCTCCAATAGTGTACAGAATTCAGTGTATAGAATTCCCCTACCTTGCTTTTCCCAACCAACAAACCTAGACGCTTAATAGGGGATCCATCTGGGGATGGGGTTGTTATTGTAATAGTTGCTGTAGCAACTTTGTAAAATGACGCCACATAAAACTGAAGAGTATAACAAAGGAACTTTTAATACTGTGTGGGTTTTGCTACAACTTATCCCAAAACAGTTATCTTAGTTTTCAGTTTTGTATTGGTGCTGCTCAGAAACCCTTCATTCCATGCACCAGTTCATAAAACAACCTTGGTTCCTACTAACCTTGCAGTTAACTTCATACAGTAGCACAGTGCCTGAGCAATTTCCAGCCCAGAGGGCAATCCCATCTGCAGAAGCCGTGAACTAAATCCAGCTGATTTAAACGTAATTTACTTCTAAGTACGTGTCTTTAGAAGGGAATGTTAGTCTTCTCTGAAAGGTGTTTCTTACTGGGAATTAGGATGCACTCAAGTGGGATTACGTTCTTCCTATTGCTCAAAAGCAGAAAATGCTGTTGCACCAAAGGAAGTTGTCTAGTTCTCCTCCCCTGAAATCTGTGCTTGCATCTGTCTAAGCTGCCTAACGCTAAATGTAAGACAAAAACATCATTTCAGCTTTTACTTTTCCCTGCCAAAGGGGCATAGAACCTGACAAATATCTTACCACAGTACTTTGCTAGAAAACCCATGATGCAACCCAGTGCAGGGTGACCTAAATACTGTTGAGTACCTGTTGCAATAGTTAGGGAAATAGAAGTTAATGTGAATCACCTGCACCTTAGTCAATACAGTAGGCAGGCAATCAGCTTTGGCAGAAACTCTTAAGAGTAATTGAATGCTTAAATGGGAGGAACTTGTGTTACTTATATTTGCCTTTGGAAGCCAGAGCTAAGGAAGCCCTGTGAAGCTTCTGCCATTGGGAAAAGGACTATATGCTTCCGTAGGATCTACAGAAGCTAAGGAGAGCTTCTGCTACTGTCTTGATGCTTTCTATGTGTTTGCTCACTTAAGCAACAAAGAAAATGAAGTAAACACCCTAAAGTTTCCTGGCTATGCACCTGAAGTACAATCTGACTGCTGGAATAGATTTATGTGCTCCCTATCCTGCAATCAGAGGTAAAATAACATTCATAATGGACAACAATGAATTTGGGTAACAACCCAATACTATGAAATTGTCAAGTTATCTGTGAAAGAAGCATCTCCAGCTAGGTGAAAGAAAACTTCTCAAACTTTTGTGCACTGCAGGAACCTGTGCAGCACCAGCAATCTCAACATTTAAACTGCTGCATAAAGGGACTGATGAGACTGGCAAAAAGTTGGAGGATTCTTCTCCCCCTTAATTAGGAGACATAGAAAGAAGCACCTTCCTGTCCTGGATTCTATTTTTTTAAAAAGTCTTCAAAAACTCTCCAAAAGGACTACCTGTCAAAGAAAGGAATAAAAGTAAGATTATATTACATTTAAAGTATACATTACGTTTATTACTGAACTGCCAATCTGTTGGCAGAAAAACAGAATAGCATCTAACTTTGTATCTATCATCCTGTGCAAATCTTAAATCATATTACCTTTTTTTAAAAAACACCGAGAATTAAGCCCTACTGAAGGTGCATATTCTAGATGTTCCTTAAACCCATGAACTGGGCTCAGTTGGTTAGAGTGTGGTGCTGATAACACCAAGGTGGCAAGTTTGATTCCTGTATGGGATCCTGCAGGGGACTGGACTAGATAATCCTCAGGGTCCCTTCCAACTCTACAATTCTATGAAATCCTGATAAAAATAGGAGAGGTAAGGGCAAAAATGAGCTTCATTAAACAATATTGCTGAAATAAGTTCCTCTAAATCTGACCCATCGCTCCATTATCCATCCTCAATATCTTGATGGATACAATAGGCTGTAAGTCTGCAAATTGTATATGATGAAGTCTGGCTAGTTTCAATTGGGAAGGGGAAGCCCAAATTTGTGTTTGACCTCTAGCCACAGGGTAAGAATTCATATGAGCCCCTGCGGTACAACTTAAATTCAGGGAAACAACTGACTTTGCCATGTGGGATTACTTTGGCTTTAATGCAGATGCATTCTGAATGGCAGGCTGACAAAACAGCAAGTTAAGCTGACAGATCAGAAAGCAAAACTTCTTCTGCTTACCGTATTTTTCGCTCCATTGGACGCACCAGACCATAGGACGCACCGGATCATAGGAGGGGGAGAACAGGGAAAAAAAATTTTTTCTTGTTCTCCCCCTCTAAAACAAGGTGCGTTCAAGGTACATTCACCAGAGCTTGTGGGGCTGGCAGTGGGGGGAAGCGCTGCTTTCCCCCACCGCCAGCCTCAAAGATCCCTGAAGCCTCTGGAGCGCAGCGCCCCGCTGCCCTGCAGAGGTTTGCGCGCAGCTTTGTCTCGCTGTTCTGGCTTGGGAACAGCCTTGCTAGCTTCTGCAGGACAGCGGGGTGAAGGCACCCCGCTGCCCTGCAGAGGTTTGCGCGCAGCCGTCCCCAAGCTAGAGCAGCGAGACGGAGCCCTCCGTCTCGCTGTTCTGGCTTGGGAACAGCCTTGCTAGCTTCTGCAGGACAGCGGGGTGAAGGCACCCCGCTGCCCTGGAGAGGCTGAGCGCGCAGCCGCCCCCAAGCTAGAGCAGCGAGACGGAGCGCTCCGCAGTGCTCCGTCTTCCTGTTCTGGCTTTGGGCTTAGCGGCGCAGCCTGCATTCGCTCTATAGGACGCACACACATTTCCCCTTAATTTTTGGAGGGGGAAATGTGCGTCCTATAGAACGAAAAATACGGTAAGTATATCTGCATCAAGCTTAACAGAGCAGAGGTAGAAAGTTGATGCCCGGTAAAGGTAAAAGGACCCCTAGACGGTTAAGCCCAGTCAAAGGCAACAATGGGGTTGTGGTGCTCATCTCACTTTCAGGCCAAGAGCGCAAGCATTTGTCCGCAGACAGCTTCAGGGTCATGTGGCCAGCATGACTAAGCCCCTTCTGGTGAAACCAGAGCAGCGCACAGAAACCTTCTTTACCTTCCCACCGGAGCGGTACCTATTTCTCTACTTGCACTGGCGTGCTTTCGAACTGCCAGGTTGGCAGGAGCTGGGACAGAACAACGAGAGCTCACCTCATCGCGGGGATTTGAATCGCCAACCTTCTGATCGGGAAGCCCAAGAGGCTCAGTGGTGCCCAGTATCAATACATTGGTCTTGGGGTGGTGATTCATCAAAACCCCAAAAATCTGCCCCAAGGAAGAAGCAGAATTGAACAATACTTACAGGGCTAGAGCTGGTTCAAGCCCCTCTTCCTCTTCTGATAACCCCTCCTAATACCTCTGTCCTGCTAATGCCTGGTGGAAACTAAGAACAGGTGTTCTGTGGAGTCCCGCTGCAGACTCTGGTTTGCCCATCTACCAGGTCTTTTGCATACCAGATCCAATGGTGGCACTGCAGCAGTGACTGTGGAGATGTGATCAGGCCTCTGGGAGTCTGGAACCTCTGCCTTCTCCTGCCTGCGCCTCTTTTGCTACAGCAGGACCATTTAGGCCGTGTCTGGAATGTCACTATTGGACTCAAAATGATGGCCATGATCATGTGCACCCAAGTGGATGAGAGGCAGCCAATTGAAAACATCTGCTTTTCACTCTGGCAATGTACATTCTCATGCTCACAGAGCAGGAAGCAGGCACACTGCTTTAGAGGCACACTTTTTTTGAGGCATTTGACTTATTACCTAATTATGCTTACTATGAAAGGCAGCAATGAGAGACAGAGAAAAAGAGATGGGAAAGGTAAGCAGACAGCTGAAAAACAGACCCCCCTTTTTTTCTTATTTTCCTTTAATAAAAACAAACTTAACAATAAGAACACCAAATGGGAGAACACTGATAGAAGACACTGTTTAAACTGGCAGGCCCTGGGGAAATAACACAAGTTGAAAGGCAAAAACCACTTCAGATCAGGGTAGTCCAAATAAATATATTAATTGTGTATATTAAATAATATTAACTATATTGCAAGCACTTTAATTTACGATGTGGACATTTAATTCAGTGTGTGGCCCATGGGTTCTGTGTCGAAGTACTCTTTCAGCCCACTTGGTCTGAGAAATTGAACCACCCTGCATTAGAAGCAGTAGCCAAGGGAACAGGGAGTGCTGGGATGGTCTGCTTTGAGTGAAGGCAGAAAACAAAACTGATACTTCAAGGGACGGGGGGGGGGGGAGGGTGCTGGACATCTTCCTTTGGAGTAACAATGTCTCCTGCCTTTGACCACTAGAAGGAACACAATTGACTTGGATGCATCCTAATTACCAAGAGACTCACAGTTTTACAGCCCAATGCAATGGAACAGCTGGGCTGCAATATGACTCTAGCCCAGAGCTTTCCGAACTTTTTAAGTTAATGGGCTTGTTTAGAAATTTGAGAAAATGATGCAGGGGTGCCAGTCACAAAATGGCTATGGTGCAGTGCATAGCATAGCAAAAGGTGGCCATTACCTCTGAAAGAGTAGAAAAATAGATAGGCCAACAAAATGGTGCAGACAAGCCTCACCCAGAAGTCCTCCCCTGTCAACGGTAAGCCAAATTCTAGATTGCACAACATGTAACAGGTTGAGAGACAGCCTGTCTGGGGCAACAATGTTACAATTTGTACAATAAACCAGGGTCCCTAGTTGTGGGGGACTTTCATATAACTGATAGCCTTAACTCTAATTAATTCATGAAGCAGTCGAGACCATAGAGTAAGTTGTCCTGCCAGGCTTAGCTAGGTCCTTCTCCATCACCTTGGGAGGAATAGCTATCAAGCCTTTGTTCTTCCCATTCAACCATGTGAACCCTACCAGTAAGGATGTCTAAGCTGAATGCTCCAAGACTTAAGCAAGCAATGTTTGTGTTTCTATACAAATAATTTAGAAATATTTACCACTTTAGAATCTAAGTTTTACTACCTGTCTTTTCTGAAAGGTGCATGAAAAAGCACACGATTCAGACTTTTGGAAAGTTTGTAAGTAAACCATTTTAAACTTACCAAATGTGTGGTTGCTTTCTGTGCTAAGGGAAGTACTGAACTTTGCAGGGGATATTTTAAAGGTCTAACAGCCTATATCCCCACACTATACTTTGATTTATATTTTGTGATTTAAAATCTCTGCTGAGGCTCTTACCAAAGAGTACTTGCCCCAAACCTGGATCTTGCCATCCAGGGATTTCTCCTTTTTATTCTTTACCGTATCTATTATTTTCCCTTTTACCAAATTCAAACAACAAAATGTTGTTAGACTGCAACTGCTATAATCCCTGGCCATTTACTAAACTGGCTGGGTATGATGGGAGCTGTAGTCTAATAACTTATGGGAATCCAAGGTTTAAGAACACTGCCTTCAAAAAATACTTACAAATATTAACAACATAATGACGTCCAGTGGAAATCGCCTGCGGGCTTGATCACAGCAGGCTATTGTAATAGCCAGCAACATGATTAATGGTCTAAAAACAAAACAAAAGCAAATGTTACAGTTTTGCATGGTAAAATGCTCTAATTGCTACTGAAGAGCTTAAATTAAGTTACAAGAGAAATTAACTTAAAACTGCATATTTTCTTGAAACCATGTTGATGTATATAGATGTTCAATCTGTTTGTATACATAATTGATACTATAAATAACATTTTTCCTTGTTTACATACACTGATTTTATAAAACATGTTTGTAAAAAAAAATACTCTATTGTAATTATTAAGAGATTAGATTTGATTTAATTGGAAGCTACATGCACTATACTTACAACATGGTATAGCAAAACCATGGGCGTCTTCGTACCCATATTTTAAGGTATTTCCTGGCCAAAAAAACAAGCAAAAAGCAGTTACAGAAAGGATCCCAATGCAGAGAACTGGTAGTTTATTTATTATTTATTCTAACACACAATTTCTACACTCACAATATTTCATAAAAGCATTTAAAACAAAGCTAAAACATAATATATTTGATATAAGACATATATCAAATTAGAAGCAACCTTATTCAATGATATATAGTCTAAATCAGGCATAGGCAAACTCGGCCCTCCAGATGTTTTGGGACTACAACTCCCATTGTCCCTAGCTAACAGGACCAGTGGTCAGGGATGATGGGAGTTGTAGTCCCAAAACATCTGGAGGGCCGAGTCTGCCTATGCCTGGTCTAAATGGTTGTCCTTTCAATGTGACTATTCCATAAGCACTAATTTCTATGAAAGGTTGGCGGCTTTCAATACACAGCTCTCCTGACCTGGGCTCAGGGGTGGCACGTCCCGTTTGACTGCTTGAGACAAAGCAGGAAGTGCTTCTCTGACAGAGGCGGCAGAGGTGAGAGGAATGCCTGCGAGGATATAGCCTTGGGGGCTTCCACCAGCTGCTTCACTGGACCTCAGGGTGAGGCTGAATGATACACATTTCTTTTTGTGAGATGTTATGGCTAGAGACACTCAGCACTAATATATTGTTATGTGCCACCCCAATCTCCACAGCAGTGAGAGATTCCAGGGGTTCCTAGCACACTTTACCCAGGGTCTGTGTTTCCTTTTGGAAATGAGGCACAATGGAGACTGTGGTGTCTTTATGATATAGGATTTATTCACACACATATGCAACCTGAGCCTATGATGGAGGGGTTCCCAGCATTAGCACTTCCAAAGGTTCTTGCTTTTCCCATAACTGCAGCAGTCTTGTATTTAAACAGACCCCAGCCATGGCTCTAACTCTCAGCAGCTTGCTGTGTTGAACAGACTGCAATTTTTCTCTCCTAGGTCAAATTCCAGCCACTCCAATCCTAAACTCTACTCTCTATTGCCTTCCAAAATGAAGTCTGAGCAGAGGGAGGGCCTTACCATCTGGCACAGCCTTTGCCTTCCTTATGACATTCCTAATGGCTCATTACCTTCCCTTTGATTTTGGTTAATTGCTCATCTCCCAGGCAATTTCCTGAATTTAGGAAGGTGATTTGGCCTGTATTTTAAGATTTTATTAATCCTGTGTCTGGCAACTTTAACACTCTGTGCACTGATTATATTCTAACACCTATTAGGAATTTTGGCACCCACAATTCATAACAATATATTTTATTAGAAAACTGATACACTGCTTTCTTCAAAGAAAGCAGTAACTCCTGTAAATATCCCTGTTAATAAAAAGATGTCACAACACTTTATTGGTTAACCACAGTGCAGGAGAACGAGGGGGGGCGTGCTTTATGAAGTCCGTAAGTTCATCCCTTTAGCCAAACCACTCTAGCTCCCCTGTAATTCAAGAACTAAACATGGCTGGATCTGGACAGCCAGCCAAACAAAGGAATACAGAACCGGAGAGCAGGCTGCCCTTCTCAGCCAGGCTTGTAGTCACAGAAAGATCTGACAAACAGATCCAGGCAGCTGGGTGAGGTGAGATGGGACTGAACAGAAGTACTGTATTTTTTGCTCTATAAGACTCACTTTTTCCCTCCTAAAAAGTAAAGGGAAATGTGTGTGCGTCTTATGGAGCGAATGCAGGCTGCACAGCTATCCCAGAAGCCAGAACAGCAAGAGGGATCGCTGCTTTCACTGCGCAGCAATCCCTCTTGCTGTTCTGGCTTCTGAGATTCAGAATATTTTTTTTCTTGTTTTCCTCCTCCAAAAACTAGGTGCGTCTTGTGGTCTGGTGCGTCTTATAGAGTGAAAAATACGGTAGATGGTAAAATCATGGCTGCCATGTAGCCTCTTAACATAATAGCTGGGAGCATCATAAAAGGTATGGAATACCTCCCCCCCCAATAGAAGCAGTGGTTAAGATACCAAGTTTTGCCACAATAGAACAAACATGCAGCTCACCATGTTGCATCTGAAATCAATCAAAACTGTGATTACTTAGCTATACTTACCAGTAGACGAACGTGCAAATTATACCAAGGGTCAAGCCCAGCTGAAGTGTAGACATAAGATATAATTTCCTGTAGAAAACTAGGGAAATGGTACAGGTTATATGGGGTGGGGAGAAGAATGGATTAATCCATGGGTGTAGCCAGGATCTTTGTTAGACTTTGTTGGGGGGGGCAGAACCGACGTGATTGGTCAGTTAGTTAAGTACTGTATTTATATTGTTTTACTTGATTATTGTTTTAATTGATCGGGGGGGGGGGAGCAGCTGACCCCCTGACCCCCCCAGCTACGCCCATGGATTAACCTAATCTGGTTTTGATAAGGAAGGAACCCAGAAGACAATGGAGCTATTTTAATGGCTTGTCTGGCTGTTTTTAAATATTTTATTAACATTTGCATGCTTTCCCATTACTTCTCAATAAGTATCTGAAAGATTTTCAAAACTCCAAAATAAGTATTTATTTAGGGTTTTTTTTATAATCCCAGATATTAAAAACACTACTCCAAGGAGACCAAAGCTACACGTTCTGTTTTTACTAAGTTAAGGAGTCTGTATGCATCTGGAATTATACATGCAGTATTAATCATTTATGAATGGGCAACAATTACAACTAAATGTAGCAGTGAAACCCAGGATTAACTACCTCTGTGCTGAACATGGACTCAAGCCCTTCCTACCTACTGGAATAAATAGAGTGCATCTGTGATTTTCCATGGTTCTAAGACGCTTTCACATATATGTGGTAGTACTCTTGAACAGTGTGGATCAAATGTTTCCTGCTGTGCCACCACCTTTCATCCTCACCTCATCCAAATGGAGAAGACATTATATACTGTATATTGCCAATATCATAGAATCATAGAACTGTAGAGTTGGCAGGGATCCTGAGGATAATCTAACCCAACCCCTTGCAATGCAGGAATATGCAGCTGTCCCATACAAATATATTGTATTAAAGAGAGCAATCCAAAATCCCAGCCAGGAACAGCAGATCAACAACTGCATCCAAAGTATTGCCACTTGTGCCAGCTAGAATGGAAAAGGGTGGGAGGGGGCAGTGATTGCCTACTTTTGCAGGCTGCAAATAAGGCCCCTTTCTGGGAAATGGACTAGCTTTAGAGGCAGTAGCTCGATCAACCGTTCCTATAGCACCCTGTCTGGGGGGGCTTATCATAGAATTGTAGAGTTGGCAGGGACCCTGTGGGTCATTTAGTCCAACCCCATGCAATGCAGGAATATAAACTAAAGCAAAATGATGCAGACTTCTACCTTATCCTAATCCAGTGCAGATCAGGGGTTAACACGACTGTTCTTACCTTTAAAAAAATCTATTCCAAAAGAATCTGTTCCTCAGCATCAACTATATTGTACCAGCCACTGGTCTTGACCACTTCAAGTTAAATTTTCAACTAAAATTCCCATTATGCAAATTGCATTGAAATAGTAAAATTCAAAGTATTTTTTCCAGTACAATAAAAACCTACACAGATCTGTTATCTGTTTAAGAATCTCCTATTAAAGGGCCTAATCCTTTCCATTTCTAACATATTACTGCAGTTTAGCATCCTTATTGTTTTTTAAGTGTTCAGTTAAGTTTACCAGAATCTATTATTGAAATATCTATTACCTTAGAATGCCAATTCTAATCTAAAGGGGAGAAAAGCAAAAGGGATCTATTATTAGAATGAAATATATTCTATACCTGACCAACAATGCAAGCAATTATTTTGCGCTCCTTCCTGTACTCTCTCATCGTAAGTCCTTGGACAGAAACTGTTGTCACTTACCTGTGCAGACAGCTCTGTCAGAAAATGGACCTTCTTCCTCAACGGCTGTCATGGGTCGCCGTCTTTTATGTGATGACCGTGCACCTCTTGGACGCCTGTGTTGTGACCGAGATGATTTTGCTCTTCTTACTTTTGTCGGATGCTCCTCGAGAACAGGGGAAGGTTCTTCAACAGTACTTTCCTGATTACTAGAAGGTGGAGGTTCTGTCTCTGCAAGCAGTATTACTGAGTTTGTAACTTGTGGAGAATCTTCACCAGAATGTTGGTATTTGAGGCATAATATGTCTCCACAAAAAGCTTACTGGTAGATTATTCTCCATCTTGGATAAATATATTCGAGTTACACCTTCAGATTAATACCAAGAAACCTTCTAGTCAGTGCTTTTTGCAGGTGAAGCACAATGCCAAGCTCCTTTACTTTGAATTCAATAGGGCTTGTTCTCTAATAAATGGGTTGAGGATGATAGTCTTAAAAATAGAAGAAAGCTGTAGAAAAGCACTGGGAAATATGTGGCCTTCCAGATGTCTGACTACCATTGGCCATTTTGGCTGGGTGTTGGAGTCCAACAATGTCCGGAGGGTCACAAATTCCTCACCTGCTTTAGAACGAAGTGGTGACGTAGGGGGTGACAACTTTCCTTTATATTATTGTTAAAATACCAGCCCCACTGAGAGGACTACCATAAAAGAAACTACAGGAAAATACTGTTGAACAAAATGTATATCCTTCATTTTTAGTGCGCTCTTATATTGTTTTGGGGACCACCTAGAGGACTTTGTTGAATAAACCAACTATGAACCTAGAGAACAGTGGCTAGAAGTACTTCCTTGTTGATCAGGCAAGAACAAAGGGCCAGGTTCCTGATATTTATTTCTTACCTAACCATTTGAATGTGCTTGCCTATCAAAAAGCTCAACCACAAACACCACTCCCTGCTGCCTGAAAGTGTCTGCAAGCCCTGTGTGCATTTAGGTCCATAGGGCTCATCACCTAGAGTCTATCCTCAGTTCCTGATATATGCCTGGTATATTCCAGGTCAGCATCCTCTGACATCTGCCCATAACATGACAGTGGTACCTCGGGTTAAGAACTTAATTTGTTCTGGAGGTCCGTTCTTAGTCTGAAACTGTTCTTAACCTGAGGTACCACTTTAGCTAATGGGGCCTCCCGCTGCCGCCATGCTGCTACCGCACAATCTCTGTTCTCATCCTGAAGCAAAGTTCTTAACCTGAGGTACTATTTCTGGGTTAGCGGAGTCTGTAACCTGAAGCATCTGTAACCTGAGGTACCACTGTATATATAAGATTCCTACTCCTTTCACCACAATACCTTGCAGACAGGTATTGGGATAGTAGTGGGAAGATAGCCAGCTATCAAAGCTGTTCACCTCTCAAGGAACTAACCCAGCTTTGCATGCTGTGTTTGCCCTCAGGCTGTATTGGCTGTCATGGTTCAGCCAAGTCAGGTCCTGCTCCCATAGCTGCCCAAAATCTGTGTGGAAGTCTGGAACTCAGCCTATATATAGGTGTTTATCCTCTTTATAGGTGTTTCCACAGCCCAAGGGTGTATAGCAAGTTATTAAAAGAGCCTCCCTTTCTCTCAATGGGTCACAGTCTTCTACACACTATATATATATATAATAAGTTGTGACAAAAATTAAGACTACAGAAACTATGCACTGCTTATATCTTGTTCTAAAGGATACTCCAAGGAAGATGAAGAAAAAAAAATCCCCAAGTCAATCTGGACAGCATGAAAAAAAGAATTCCTGGTTTCCCATAGCATGACCAACTATAAACTGAGATAATCCTGAAATGAAGGAGGGTAGGCTTCATCACCTGCCTGCACAGAATGAAGCCAAACTGATTTGGGAGAAGCCATCTATAGGCATCCCAGTCCCACAAACCTCACTGTCAAATCTCGTAAGGGCTGGAAATCCAGATCTCACAAGATCTTGGGCTCATGCTCTTGTGACCCCCATGACTGGCTATGACATCTATGAAGATCTCCCAGAAACATGGCTAACTGGGAGGGACTGTCAGCCATCTCCTCCAGACTTTCTTACATATTTCCCTTATCACTACTATTAGACTTACCCATTTTTGCACTTTAGATCGCAACACCCTTGCGCAATAGCCTTGTGTAACCACTTCTCATTCAGAGGGCTTCTGAAGCTAAGGGATTAAGGTAATGAAGAAGAATAAAACTTTTTATCGAGTTAAAAATATGTTCTCTATTTACATAAATTGTTCCATAGAACTATATTTCTAGAATTAGTTTTTTTAGGCTTTCCTATGGAGCCCCTGCATTAAAACTGATCTAAAATGGCTCTCCAGGGAATATCCTTCCTTGTCATCTAAAACTTATCTAAATCCAAATCCAAATAGTTAAGAGAAGAGACTGATCCAAAATATGGCAACTTGTCATTAGAGGTAAAGGTACCACTACTGTTAAGTAGTTTACTTTCTAATAATGAACAAAAGGGAAGAAAAAAGCTTTGCAGGCAAGAGGTGACATAACTGGGCTCCTGAGCCCCATAGGGGTGCCATATAAAGTTGGTCAAGTAGTTGGTCAAGGAAGCTGTGGACTCAAAAAGGTCGAAAACCTCTACTTTAATGGACTGTCACTATTAAAAGGTAAGGCAGCATTACCTACCAAAGATATAAACTAATACTCTGTGATAACTTAGTAAGGAAACTATGGCAACAAGGCATCCAGAAGTTTCAAGAAACAGAATTCTAAAAGTGACAGTTGGCAAAAGAGAGCTCAAGAGGATAGCACAAGAATAGATGAGAGGGGGGCAAGACTTTCACCACTTGCTATGGCCATACCCCTGTGACCCCATGTTAATTCATTTTTTAAAAAATTCAAAACATTTTTCAGCATCCCCCTCATCCAAATGAGCTCTAAGGCAGTTTACAATAGGCATTGGAGTGGGGAAACTGTCTCTAATTTTTTTCAGTTGTCTACATTAATGTACAGAGTATGGGAAACAAGAAAGGCAAATTTGAGCTCTTAATACAGGATCTAACAGGCATTATGGAAACCTGGTGGGGTGAGACTCATGACTGGAATATAAAAACTGAAGGGTATAACCTATTCAAAAGGAATAGACCAAAAGGAAAGGGAAGGGTATGTACACTTGTGAAGAGATACGTAACTTGGAGCATGGAAGGCAGATTGAGAGTATAAGGGTAAAAATGATAGAACATCAGTGACCTTACTGTGTGTGTCTGCCATAGACCTCCAGGCCAGAATGAAGGCTTGGATGATACCTTCCTAGAGTAGATTACCAAAGATTCAAAAAAGGAGAGATATAGTAGTCATGGGAGACTTCAACTTCCCTGATACCTGTTGGAACTCAAAGTCTGCCAAAAATGTAAGGTCCGACAAGTTCCTCCATTGCCTCACTGATAATTTGATGTCCCAGAAGGTGGAAGAAGTAACAAGCATATCATCTATCTTGGACCAGGTCCTTACCACCAGGGATGAACTGATTGATGAAGTAGAAGTACTGGGAACCTTGGGAGGAAGTAATCACAGGTTTCATTATACAGAGGCAATGGAAAGCTGGGTGTAGTCAGACTTCTACTCAGGACTTTAAGAAGGCTGATTTCAAAATGTTTAAGGAACTACTGGGTGAGATCCCATGGTCAGAAATACTCAAAGAGAAGGAAATCCAAAATGGATGGGAGTTTCTTAAAGGTGAAATATTGAAGGCACAAATGCAGACAATTCCAACAAGAAATAAAAGTGGGAGGCAACTAAAGAAACCAGTGTGGCTGCATAAGGAATTTACAGATGAGCTGAGATTTAAGGTCTATAAGAAAAAGGGAAAAGGGGAAATCATGAAGGAAGAGTATATAGGAGTAGCCAACAGCTGCAGGAGGAAAGGCAGGCAGGCTAAAAAGCTCAGAATGAGCTCAGGCTTGCATGAGAGGTTAAAAACAATTTTTAAAAATGGTTTCTTCAGCTATGCTCAAAGCAAGAGGCAAAAGAAGTAAGTACTAGGTCCTCTGCAAGGAGAAGACAGAGAAATGCTATTAGGTGACAGAGAGGAGGAACTGCCCAACACCTACTTTGTCTCTGTCTTCACCCAAAAGGAAAGCAGTGCCCAACCTGATGATAACAGAATAAACAATGCAAGGAGGGAGCTGCAGCCCAAGATAGGAAAAGAGGTGGTAAGGGAACACCTAGCTACCTTTTAGTAAACATGTTATTGATACACATTCAAGATGACTTACTTCATTTTAAGTAACTATTTTTGTTTCATTTTATGTACTTTATTACTTCCCTTCATACTCTTTTTTGTGGGTGAATTTAGAGTTGGATTGACTTTGAATTTAGAATATTGGATTGACAACCTTGGATTCTGAAGGTCATTATTGAGCTACACAACAGTACGAGTTTTCAGTTCTGTCCTTAAAGCAGATACCATAGGTGCCAGAGGGAGGGGTATTATTGGTTGTGATGGCATCTTCCTTATTTCAGTTTTGTAGGTTGCTTTATACATTTTCACTGCAGTCTTTGGGTCCTTGTGATGGTATGGTAGGAGGTGCAGGAGACCTCCAATTCAGAGTGAACACTATTAGAAGGCAATTAACTTGTAGCTGTTGGTTTTAGTGATTAGTAATGTTGTTTTTAGTTCTGTGTAACATGTATTTTATATTGTAAACTGCTCTGTTTATTACGGAAGAGGAATGGAGCCTACAAACATAAATCCCCATGTTTTATACACCCACCCCAGCAAAATCTTGTCCTTAACTTTCTTCAGCTGCTTTCTTGTGATAGGTACAAGTTTCCCTAAGAAATTTTTAGAAATACAGCTATAGCCTTCTATGCAGCATTTTGTCTTCCATCTACCCACCAGCACCTCAATAAACTGACTGGGGGGGTGCATTTCTGAGTAAACAAGTCCAGGATTCAGATGGCCCATAAATTTAGTATAATTTCACCTGCTGCTTTTCAAGGCCGGCCTTTATCACATCCCTGTCCCGTTGTTGAGCATTTTTAATATACTGCTCCAACTGTATGCATACTATATTATTTGCCCCCTACTTTATAACGTCCCTAGGCTAGACGAGGTTAGCCAGTTATCCTTGGGCCCGAGAAAGAGGAAGGGCTAGTCTCGTGTCTGCTCGGTTGACTACAGCCGACCTCAAGGGCGACTCGAGGCATTGGGGCTCCCGAAAAAGACCACGATATACCGCCCGTGTGTTCCCCGCAAAACCGGCCACCTCGCCCTGGGTCGCCAGTCGGCCTGAGGGCGGGAAGCCCCGGCTTTCCTCGTTTGTCTCTCCCCCTCAGGCCATGCAGCCTAGTGGGCAGCCAGCAGAGGGCAGAGGCCCCTCTTTTGCGGCGCTTCCCTTCCCGGCCGCTCTGCTCTCCCCCCCGCCGCTTCCTCAGCCGCTCCGCTTCCACGCACAACATCCGTCGTGGCGAGCGGGCTCGCAGCCGGAGGCCGAGCGAGCGAGCGGTCCCCCGGCGCCAAGATGCCGCTGGGCCTGAAGCCGACGTGCAGCGTGTGCCGCACCACCTCCTCGTCCATGTGGAAGAAAGGCGGCCAGGGCGAGATCCTTTGCAACAACTGCACGGGCCGCCCAGGGCCTCCCGGGTCCGCGGGAGCCGCCTACGCCACCACCTCGGCGGCTGCGCAGCACAGCAACGGCGGCAGCGGCGGCGGGAGCGGCGGCGGGAAGCAGGTGAGGCCAGTTTCGGGCTGCGGCGGGTCCCTTGAGCGCTCTCGGGGAGCAGGGCCCGCCGCTGGAGCAAGTGGGCCTCCTCGGTCGCCCTTCCTGAGCTGGCGCGGCCAAACCACCCTCCCCAGAAGAGGCCATTGAACAAAAGGAGGGAGAGCTCCGTCTAAAGAGCATCCCCACGGAAGCAGGGGGTTGGACTAGATGACCCCCGTGGTCCCTCCCAGCGATACCATTCTAGGTCTAGGTCAGCTGTGTGACATCGGACCTCCGTGGGTCACGTCGCGCTCTTTTCGTTCTGCTTCAGATCTCTTTTCCGTACTCCCTGGCGCCGCCCAGCTCTTCAAGTTAATAGGCATTGCAAGGATAAAAGCTCAACAACTTTCAACCTTACGGTGCACTGAAACTTAACCTGATCTGAGTTGTGCCTCTAACTCAGGGGTGGGGATTCCCTTCTTGGCCAGCCTTCCGAGGGGTTACATGCCAGTGGCGGGTGCAGGCAAAAGTGGGTGGTGCAACTAGTGCACATGCTACCTATGTGTTGGGAGTGGGAATGTGTTTGGGTTGTTGGAAGTGAATTAGATAAGAGTTTGAAAGGGAGTTTGAATGCTGTTGGGAGGCAGTTGAGAAGTGAGTTGGGTTTTGGGAAGTGGGTGGTTAATTGGAGTGAGAGTTGGAAATGGAGAGTTTTGATGGTAGCAGGGTTGGTTTACTAGAGCAGGATCAGTATTGTTAACTAGCTACGTTTTTATAGAGAAAAAAGTAACAAATGATACCAAACTGATACCATATGCTTCTGAACCCTGTGATCATCAAACCCTTATTTCTGTTTTTTTAATAAGTGCTGTATTGCACCACATGCCTCTTGACTGGTTATGTTAGAAATTAGAACTATTCATAATATTATGTCTGGTGTGGAAACAAGAAGGAAACTTCAGAAGTACCTATCAGAAACCCAGTTTTCTTACAAAGAATGCTGCGGTGGTACAGGGGAGCTGAGGGGAGTGCCAGAACACCACATAGCTTAGGCATGACACTAGCCTACTCTCAGATAATTCTATATTGGTTTGCAGCCTTAGGCTGAGATCCCGGGCTCACTTATCTGAGAATAAGTCCCATTGAATATAGTGGGAATTTTGAGTAAACATGCATAGGACTGCACTGTAAATTCTGCTATGATTTGAAATTATTTCCGAGTTGCTGAAACACTCTAGATTGATACCCATTCTTTCATTGTATACTGTGTTAGTTTTATGATGTTAGCCGCCCTGAGCCCAGCTCCGGCTGGGGAGGGTGGGGTACAATAATTTTTTTAAAAAAAAAAATATTATTATTATTAGCTGTCCTGCAGAAAATTTTTTGAACAGTGTTTAAGCACTTGAAACAAATAAAAATCTTTCTGTTGAAATTAGCGGCATGTACTTTTTTAGTAAATGTGTTTAGAATAGGTGTTTCATCTCTTTCTGGCCTGGGGCAAGTGGGTCCTACTGTGTCCCCCGGCCCTATGAATAACTATATATATATATATATATATATATATATATATATATATGTCTTGTTGTATATTTGATCATGTATATACTAATGAATTCCCACTATTTCTTACTTTTGTACACTAGAGTAAGCAAGAAATTCACAGAAGATCTGCTCGATTAAGAAACACAAAATACAAGTCTGCTCCAGCTGCTGAAAAGAAAGTTTCCACTAAAGGAAAAGGGAGAAGGCATATTTTTAAGTTAAAAAATGTAAGGTGATTATGGACTCCAGCTACAGTTGAGCACTTTCTAAATTAAAGCAGTGTGGCAGGTGCTGTACTTAAAAATAGTAAGGTTTACAAAAGGCTGCACCAAATATAAATATTTTCCTACATGCTTATAAAATTATATACAACTTTGCTACATTAGTATTGCTTTCCTGAAGAACCATGAGTATTTAACACATAAGACTATGCACATTATTGCATTGAAATATATGTTTTTAGTATGCTTCAGTTCATACTTGTTGAGCATAATGTGTGAAATGACTCTTGAGCAATGTCTTAAGAGACTTTTTTTCATTTGTGTATAATATCAATATTCTATGCATTTCTGAATGTGAAATGCTTCTTGGTTAAAACACGTAACAAATATAGATGCATTTTGTCAAAGCTTACTGATAATGAAGGTATTAATTTCTTGATGTTTTCATATATAGTGGTCCAAAGATTATCAATTTTTCATCCAAATCTCATTTACAAAAAATGCATTATATTTTAATTTTGACACTGTTACGTTATTTGTGCAGTTTAATCATTATAACCTTCCTTTTTCAGCCCATCAAAGCTCCAGAGTCTGTAGCTACCATTATTACAGCAGAATCTATCTTCCATAAGGTATGTTATTAGAAGTTTATGAACATAGGAGTGTTTCAAAAGTTAATAAATATTTAAATGAGTACTTGGTAAGAAAATTTATTGGACTGTGACTCAGACCTACAGTATGTATTTAGTGTTTTTGCAGTAGCACTATAAATCTGCACTGTAATTTGCAATTTTTCCTGTACATTGTTACTGAAGTTTCCTAAACGTATAACTTGCTAAGGATGCTAGCATGTTCATGACTGAACTGAGACTTTCTGATGTAGTTCATACTCTTCAAGAGCAAAGTAGCTGATATTTTCAAATTGAAAAACTCCATTAGTTACTATCAGATCGTTTGCAATGACATAGCTTGAAACTGTTATATATTTATTTATGTTACTGTATTGAAACTCTAACTTACTTATTTGGAGCAGCTTGACAGCCATTTTATCAATATCCTTATCTGTCTCTAAAAAGATATGAAAATACTGTTTTTATTTATTTTAACATATTTATGTGCTTTTAAACCCTTAAATCAGCACTATTGGCATAGAAGTGCAGACTAAAACTCCAAACAGCCAAATTTTAGGGGAAGGAGAAAAATGATGCAGGCACATTGTTTCAGTCCTGTTTGTTGTCAGGGAACACTGAAATTGCCCTTAAACTTAGTGCTGTGGCCTCACTGAAGGAAAAATGCAAATATGGCTTTCTGCAACTGCAACGTGGGGGAAACGGATAATGTACATAGACCAGCTGGGGACCAACAAGGGAAGAAGGATAAGAGCCTGGGGAGTGGTGGTGGGACAACGATGAGGGAGAAGACTGGGAAGAGGAGGGGTTGGAAGCTGAGGAGGTAACAGGGCTTTGTGAGCTGGGAGAACCTGTGGCAGAGAGAAGTTCAGAATCCGAGTCAGAGGCTGAAGCCGAAGCCGAAGCTGGCAAGTGGGAGGATGGAGGCCAATAGAGATGAGGCAGGCTGGTGAAGGGTCAAGGGTGTGCCCCCATCCTGCTGCAACAAGCTCCCCTTCTCCCAGAACTAGAAGAGGGTTGAAACAGGCAGAGTGGCAACAGACCTCATGGAGGTGTAGCCTCCAATTGCTTGGGGAAAGCCCTGGAGAGGAGGGGACTTAGATGGTTGTGGGGAGGCAGGGACTTCCAGTCTTGGCAATTGATTTAATGGGGTAAGACCTACTGGGGATGAGCTGTTGTACTTGTTAGGCCTGACACTCAACAAGAACAGTATCTTCACAGACTTGGTTAATAACAAGTTATTTCTGGTGTGACTACTGGCCAGCTCACTCTGTGACACCGAAGCAGAAACTATTATCAGTTTAGCTTTTTAAAAAATTAATTCTAATGATCTATATCTTTTCTAGGGAGTTTACTATCAGATTGGAGATGTTGTTTCAGTGATTGATGAGCAGGATGGTAAAACATACTATGCTCAGATTAGAGGGTTTATTCAAGACCAATACTGCGAAAAAAGTGCAGCTTTAACATGGCTCATTCCTACTGCAGCTAGCCCCAAAGACTGTTTTGACCCTGCAACTTACATAATAGGTAAGTTCCAAGGCCCAAAATGTTAAAATTCTACCTGTCCTGACAAAGCAGAAAGTGCTACATGTGATATAACTCCAGAGTCCTAGATTTCTTTTTATCCTGTAGTACAAGCTAGTTAAGCAGCATTGCCTTTAGACTTGCTCATGAATTGCAACTCTGGCAGAGATGTATATTTGTGTTGGAAATGAAGTTCAGAGTTGTATATTTGACAGCAACATGTTCTCCTGGGAAGCGTGCTGATGTTGGAGTGTCTTTATCGGTTTAAATCAGTAGTGCCACTAGATAAAACTGTCTCCTAGCTACTTTCGGTGGAAAGAAGTTGCTATGGACACACAAGGTCCTCTACACGTGAACCTTCTCTTCTTAGGCCCAAAGAAACTGGGCTGGAGGGCAACATGCCTGCTACAGAGATGCAGCATGCTGAATGCATGCCCCTCTTCCATCCTCATCAATAGTATGGTTACACAGCCTCAAGCTGTGCAAGTCCTTCCTTTCCTCTGCTGTTTGTTAGTAGTGTTGTTATTGATCTGAAACCAGCTGAAATTATTTCCTAGGAGGAGCGAGATAGCAGGTATCCTTGTGTTGCTGCATTTTATACAATTCTGTGTTTTGCCCTTACTTTGGAGGATGGAGGACTTCATATTAGATTCTCCCATCTAATGTCTTCTGGAGAACACTGCAGGCCCAGCTTGCAAAGCTTTATTTCCTGCATAGAGCTATATCCATGCTGGGGAAAGAACCTGTCTTGCTAGTGATACTTAATGAGAAATATGACAATGGCCAACTGGGTGTACCATAAAGCTCCAAGTGGGGGGATAACCAACTAACTTTTTCATATTTTTTATTTAAGGGCCAGAAGAAGATCTTCCAAGAAAAATTGAGTACTTAGAGTTTGTTTGTCATGCGCCTTCAGAATATTTCAAATCTCAGTCATCTCCTTTCCCTACCATTCCTACTAGACCAGAAAAAGGTTATATCTGGACTCACGTTGGACCTACCCCAGCAATTTCTATCAAGGAAACTGTTGCCAGCAGCTTGTAGTGTGTCTTGCTCTTGAGAGACTCCTTTTTATGTATATTAATTTTCACAAATGTTTATGTTTTAGTATATCCAGCTAGGCCTATGAGTGACTTTTATTTATTATTTAAATTTGGGTGCCTTTTTCAAAATCAAAATTTCTTCACGTTATTTGAAACTTGTTTTTCTTCTCTTCTGTCAAAAGTAACTTCTCACATGCTTGTTGAGTCTAGTGAGAAGCTGTACATTTTGTATTTGTTAGTATTGCTTTATACAAAAATAAAGTTATTGACTACCTTTCTTCACAAAAAAAGCCTGTTGTTACTATCACTGTGAAAAACTTGTGTATCTGTGTGTTCATTTACAAAAACCATTGCATCTAGTAAATAGATTTTAAGTTCAGTTACTGTAGTGATGGGAAGGCATAATTGCAGGTGTTCATTTCCTCCCCACTCCAAATTACTATATGCCAGGGATGGGGAACTTGCGGTTGTTATAGTACAACATACATGGAGTCCTACTCCTATCAGCCGCAACCAGCATGGCCAGTGGTCAGGGCTAATGGGAGTTTTAGTTCAACATCATCTGGATTGTCGCAAGATCCCTATCCTTGTTCTTTGCCCAAATAAACAAATTTTACTACAGGATCATGCTGTTAATTTTCTGAAACGACAAGAGTTTCAACTGAGCAGACTTTTAAATAGCTGCTTGCCAAAGGTTCATAAGAATTGTCTTATTGTGTGCCAGGTAAGATGTAAAGGGAGTAAACACTGTTAAGAGAGGGGGCAAGTACAGCCACATTGAAATGTCCACTTCTAAATAAATCTTCATTGGAGAGAGGATATTCTACCCACCACTAGTTGCTGTTATCCTTTTCCTGCGAAAGATGCTTAAGCGTATGTTTGCTAGGCTATATATATTCTCTTAAAATTATCATGGATCTGTTTCAGTCTAGCTTCAGACTTCCATTTGACCCCAAAACTACTAGGATGACCTATGCTAGCACAACAATATAGTGATCCACACAATTCTCCTTGGCTTCTCAGTAATACCATCAACCACGGTATCATTTTTACACCCACTAGTTAGTGTAGGAACTGGTGGCTCCATGCTTCAAGTGAGTCCATTCCTATGTAGCTGAGCAGGCCACTTCAGAACATAGTTTGGGAGCAGGGAACTACTGCCCCATAATACTTGCACTTTCATGTTTAGCAATTCTATCTTTGGGGGGGCCTTTCAACACCCACCCAAGGAAGCTACTGCATGCAATATACTGATGACACCTAGCTCTACTTTCCCTTTCAGTAACAGATAAAATGGTGGAAAATGTTGTGTCTAAAGTCCATATTACATCACTTTAGAATGTATGTGGAAGATGATTGATAAATAACAATCAACTGAACCACAATCCAAACAAAATAGGAATTTGGTTGATAACTGATCCATCTGGAAAACCTGTTCTAGGCAAGTGGTACTCCCTCTTAAGTATCAGGTTTGCAGCCTGGATTTGCTGTTAGATCTGGTGCAAGCTCTAGGCATCTATGCAGCACTTCCTTAAAATTTCAGGCTCATATCCCAACTGCAGTTGGGATCTACCTTTCCTCTATCCAAGGTGTAACACCTACAGAAAAAATAGGCAGGCTTATTGCTGTACTGCACTAGAGCCAAAGTAAATTCTGCTCTTGTCCTTGCACAGCTGAAGTAGGACAAACATTGGGCAACAGCAGTTGTGGCTTCAGGTACTAACCAAAATCCTAGTTCTATTCTGGCCTGTAATTTAATTTTAAACTGCAGCAATAAAAAAATCCAGGGTTTTCTTTTATATAATCACAATGATTTAAAGGCTAGTAGCTGTGAAAGCAGCCCACCTCATTGGTGACAACGTGTGTAAACTGTATTGGATCTTAAATTATACAAATATCCTCACTCCTTTCCCAGTCAGCACAAGCAAGCATATGTTTTTTTAAAAATATTTATGTTAAGAGTGCAAAACTGATCAGAGAGTGCAATGATTTTGCAAGAATGATATGCAACAGCAAAATGTATAAATAAACCCTTTTCAGCAACAGAATGAAAACAAGATTTAGACACTTTCTTAGAAAGCAGTTACAGTGATAATACCCATATAGAAAACCCAAGCTTCTTTGTTTTAGATTACTTCCTGTGCATTATAAAAACAGTCTGCAAGTTGGCAACTAGTTATCAACAGCCAATTATCAACTGAGTCAACATTTTCTAATGTATTTACATACAAAGTATATAGCTTATGTCCAGTGGACCAATGTTTAGAATCATAGAATTGTAGAGTTGGGATCCTGAAGATCATCTAAGTCCAGCTCCCCGCAATGCAGGAATATGCAACCATTCCACACAGTGATTGAACATACAACCTTGGTGTTATCAGTGCCACACTCTAACCAACTGAGCTATCCATTGCCCTGTATAAACCAAGAGATATATGCAAGATAATGTGCAAGATTCAGCTCTATTCTGCAGTTTGTCCATGTTCAAAGCATCAGTCACATGCTTGACCTGAATATGAATGAAATTCAAATACTTGAAAATAAGATGGTGGCGTGACCTAATTTGAATTCTATAAAGGGGGAGAGGAGGAGGAGAGTGGCCTAGTTTCAACTCTGTGCATATAGCTTAAGCATGGTCAATATTACAGTATCCTGGGGACAAATGGGAGGTGCTGAACCTCTCCCTCCTCCAATGATGCTTCCCTTGCACCTTTCCCACCTATTTTTGTCCTAACAGGGGTTACCTTTAGCCTTGAAATTCCTCTAGGGAAAAAACAGCTGGTAGAAGTCACTGTTGCATCTAATTTGGCCCATAGTGTTCTGAGGAACAGAACTAAGTATTCCAGTGAGGAAAATATAGGACAGAAAGTCTGCCAGGTTGCAAATAAGTAGAATCTCCATAGTCAAATTAGTAACCATAGGTTACAACAAAATGTTAATGCCTGCCATACTAAACAAAACAAAGGGGAGTCAGAGTTACAGTAAATACAAATATGCCATGCTTTGTTTTAGCATTCAGGTTCTTAGAAGACAGCTATTTTCTTCAAGTGTGAATATCCTTCGGAGACATCATCCACTGATGTATTTATGTAGTTGGCTGAAGTTTCATCATCTAATTCAATATGCTCATTTTCTTCATGAGATGAAGCTATAGGTTCATCTATTTTATCACGTAGCATTTGCTGAAGTCTCTGGATACCTACAAAAAGGAAGCAACATAAACATTTTAAAGACATAAGATATTTCCTAAATGTCTGCTTGTATGCAGTACAGAACATATTGTAAGGCTGTATATATTCCTTGATGGCTTGAAAGTCTATGGCAGTGCATATAGCTGAGTGAAGGATGAGAAAGGAGAAAGAGATCAGATAATAATAATAATAATAATTTTTATTTATACCCCGCCCTCCCCAGCCAAGGCCGGGCTCAGGGCGGCTAACAAGCAATAATAAAAACAAGTTGAATGAATACAACTTAAAAACAAGATTAAAATACAACATTAAAATATTGAAACATTAAAATATTAAAATGCAGCCTCATCACAGGAGGAGAAAGAAAAAAGAAAGAGGGGGAGGGAATCAAATTGGCTCCAAGCCAAAGGCCAGGTGGAACAACTCTGTCTTACAGTTCCTGCGGAAAGAAATCAGATCCTGCAGGGCCCTGGTCTCATGAGGCAGAGCATCCCACCAGGCCGGAGCCAGTGTTGAAAAGGCCCTGGCTCTGGTTGAAGCTAATCTAACTTCCTTAGGGCCTGGGACCACTAGGGTGTTGTTATTTATGGACCTTGAGGCTCTCCGTGGGGCATACCGGGAGAGGCGGTCCTGTAGGTACGAGGGTCCTAGGCCGTGAAGGGCTTTAAAGGTCAAAAGCAGCACCTTAAATCTGACCCTGTACTCTACCGGGAGCAAGTGCAGTTTGAAAAGCACTGGGTGAATATGCTCCCATGGCAGAGACCCCGTGAGGAGCCTCGCTGCTGCATTCTGTACCCGCTGGAGTTTCTGGGACGGCTTCAAGGGCAGCCCCGCGTAGAGCGAACCCTTTTATAGAATTGAAACTTACACAAGTAGATTTTGTCTATAGAATCTGAGAAGACCAGCCTAAACCATCCAGGTTCATAACAGCAAAAGGCTTTCCCAGGACTAATGAGCAGCTTTTCACCAAGAATTTTCCACCATAAATCCATTTCAGCTTCAAATGTCTGTGACTTTAAGAACTAAGAGAAAACAAAAATACATGTTAACTAAATGCCACATTAGCAAACAAAGCACTTGACCTCCCCACTCTCAAAAGAACCAAAAGATCAGGTTTATCAAAGCATCTCTTGAGTTAAATTGAAGCCTTGGTGCTCTATTATTTTTCTTGCTTAGCCAATTACTCAAAATATTATTTAGGACCAGATGCTGCACCATTTATTTATTGTTTGGCATGTTATGATTTAATTCAGTGGTTTTCAACCGATGTGCTACAGCATGCTGGGGCACCTTAAATGATGGTCAGGTGTACTGCAGGGAGCACCAGCCTCCATCCCTCCTTCCTCTGATGGTTTAGGACCTTAACTATGTCCAAAATTAATGAAAAGTACTTTTTTCAAAAGCCTCTTTTAAGGGTGCAGGGTGGGGAGCTCCAAGGTCTTGTCTTATCAATAATGAAAACCTGGTGCACTTTGAGACTGTGCACGTACAAGGGGCAGGGGACTGGTCCAGTCGCAGACAAGAAGTGCCGGATAGCACTGTGATGATGCATTCTTCCGATTGGGTTTGCTCATAAGCCTATGACCTCTCAATGTCTCACTGGGAGGGGCAGGTCCTATTTTGAATACAAAGCCCGGCAGGAAGGAAGGAGCTCACAAGACCAGCCACAATACAGCCAATTGTATTTATATCCTTTAATCCACCCTCCCTGAGCCCTCCAGGTCCTCCACGTACTTTTCTGAAGTCAGCCCACACATATAATCCTCCTGAGCTTTTTAAAACAGGTATTCCCATCTCTGCAAGACCATCCACAAGAATGTTCTGTGCTTCCTTAAGTCTTCTTTTATTGGTTGGGAAAAACACATTATCCAGCCATTCTGCCAAAATAAGAGAACAAATCAGACCACACTGTTCCCCCCCCCCCTTTGTATTATTCAGTCTTAGTAGTACTTTGACAAATTAAGGGGTGGGGAACATTGGGAACAGCAGGCACTCTGTTAAAGGGATCCTGCATGGCAAATGTAAAGTGTAAAAAGTAGCTTATGTGATTAAGAGAGTTTTTGTTTGCAGTATTATGAAGTTAAGAAAATTCTTATTCCAGGTCAGACTATTTGTTCATCCAACCCAGCACTGTCTACTGTAACTGGCAGTAGTTTTCAAGGAGAGAGGCGTTTCACATCACCAGCTAAACGAGTTAACTAATCTGGAAATTCTGTTTTGCTGGCATCAGTCCTAATAGTTAATGATGGCAAGGTAACTACAGGCAAGCCAAAGCAAGATGAGACAGGTCCTGTACAGAACTTGTTCCCTGGTTGCTCAGATGGTAAAGGTAAAGGTAAAGGGACCCCTGACCATTAGGTTCAGTTGTGACCGACTCTGGGGTTGCGGCGCTCATCTCGCTTTATTGGCCGAGGGAGCCGGCGTACAGCTTCCGGGTCATGTGGCCAGCATGACTAAGCAGCTTGTGGCGAACCAGAGCAGCGCACGGAAACGCCGTTTAGCTTCCCGCCGCAGTGGTATCTATTTATCTACTTGCACTTTGATGTGCTTTCGAACTGCTAGGTTGGCAGGAGCAGGGACTGAGCAACGGGAGCTCACCCCGTCGTGGGGATTCGAACCACCGACCTTCTGATTGGCAAGTCCTAGGCTCTGTGGTTTAACCCATAGTGCACCAATTCAGCCACTTTACACCAACTTCAACAATATAGCTAATAAATAAAAATGAATGTAGTTCATAAATAATTTGAAACTGAGGAATAAAGCTGGCTAGATCATGGTTTAGCCAGGCACAGTGAAAAAAACAGAGCTGGATTTTTCTGGTCTGCAGTAACTACATAGTGTGAGGACTGGTGTTCATTACTTGGAATCAGGGCCATGTGTGTTTGTGCACTTTCAAGTTTGCTAACCTCTGTCACGAAGGAACTGGCTGAGAACATATTGCACTGGTCCAGGACAACCATGGAAAACAGCCAGCTGATTAACTGCTTTCCTGACCTCATGATTTCTGGTGTATAATACTCCAACTCTGATGCCACACATGCCAAAATCCTTGAAAGGGAAGGGGGGAAAGTTTGTAATTAAAAAAGTCTCTCTAAAATGTTAATTCATACACAAAGCTCATTTCTATCCAAATTAGCATTATCCAATGAAGGCTAAATAATTTCTGATTCTTGTAATAAAATATAATTTCTCAAGTTTCAAAGCACTTAACATTCTATACAAAATGTTTTAAAGTCCATTTACGTATTAAGAAACAAAAGCAGAATAATTGATTTGATTTGCATAAAGTATTTCATTAGGTTAGAATTTTTGGCTGAAACCCATATGATGATCCCTGAAGTCTAGTTTTAGATTTCCAGTGTGGTAGAACAAGTGAAATTATAAACAATATGTGGCACTTGCATCCACAAAGGGTCCTGGTTGTTTACAGCCAACCTTGCTTGGCCCTCTCAAACCCCCTATTTTTGTAGCAAGCAAGGAACCTGTCACTGGTTGCTAGAGTTAACCAAATCAACATGTAGTTGCAGCTCCCACATGGTGAGAGATTATAAATGGATATTCTGCAGCCTAAGCAATCAGAAGCCACCCTAAGGCTGCAATTTATTTATTTTGGAGTAGAATTTACATCGAAATAAACATCCATAAGGTTTGCACTGCACTGCAAGTCATATCCTAAACTATGGAAGAGCATAAAGTAATTCATAGTCTACTGGCCAGCTTCTGGTGAGCCACCTAGTTGCCGGATAGTTCTTGGGATAGTTGCAAATGATACTGAGTTTATAACAGAATACCATCTTCCACTAATGGCTAGACCTGCTGTACAACTGTGGCAGAGGCAAACATTATAATCCATGATTACACTGTAGGTTTTAAGTTCTGACATACAAGATTTTTTGGAACAATGCATTGGGTAGATGAAAGAATTTGACAGTTTCAAGAATTCAAGTACATTTTGAAGAAATATTGATAACAACTATTTCTAACCTACCTTACTAAATCCCCACATAAAGTGTGTCCGGTCTGGATCTGGTAAACTAAAGAGAAAGATTTCAAGATAATTAATGTCTTACGTTTATTTGGGGTGGGGAAATCAACACTTTTCAATCGTAAGGACAATGGCAATTTACCCTGACCCAGCAAAATATTGGAGCTATAGAAATCCACAGAACAGACAGCACATGTTCTGTGCTCTCCACAGAAATGAATGCAAATCCCTGTGTGCATGTGCATTGAAGTACATACAGAAATCTGGATCAAGGAAGTTCTAATTATGTTCTATTTATTTTTTATGTTTTCACCCCAACCTTCCTCCAAAGGAGCCCAAGATGGAGGGCACTGGATGGCAGTCTCCCCCCCATCCACGCTAAAGAAGGTATAATTTACTTTCCACATGAAGGAATACAGTCAATAGTCCCGCTCCTTCAGCATGTGGACAACAGGGTGCAGATGTATTTCGCCATAATTTTATACTTTCCTGCTACCCCTGTGATGGCTGCAGCCCTGCTGCGCTGGGCACATTACTTGCAAAGCAGGCTCTCTCTTACTTCACCAATGACCAGTTGCTACTCAGCTCCATCCCACTCTCCTCAAAGCATGCAACATATGTAAAAGTCCAGAAAGGAACTTGACACTAGATACTTCCAAGTGAGACATGGAAGAATTTTGGCTTGCACTAAGTGACCTAACACGTTACAGCATGCATGCACACCGGGCAGAGTTACAACAGACCTGTATGAGGAGCCCCTGGCATGCAGAGGAAGCATAATAGCCACAATAGTAAAGGTAAAAGGACCCCTGACCATTCGGTCCAGTCGTGGCCGACTCTGGGGTTGTGGCGCTCATCTCGCTTTACTGGCTGAGGGAGCCGGCGTACAGCTTCCGGGTCATGTGGCCAGCATGACTAAGCCGCTTCTGGCGAACCAGAGCAGCGCACGGAAACGCCGTTTACCTTCCCGCCAGAGCAGTAACTTTTTGCACTTTGACATGCTTTTGAACTGCTAGGTTGGCAGGAGCAGAGACCGAGCAACGGGAGCTCACCCCGTCACGGAGATTCGAACCGCCGACCTTCTGATCGGCAAGCCTTAGGCTCTGTGGTTTAACCCACAGCACCACCCGCATCACTACAATAGTAGTTAGCATTGAATTCACATATGAGCAATGGTCTGCTTAGTCCTAAATCAATTGACATGCAGGATTTTGTCGGAGAATGGCAAGACAAAAAAAGTCTACCAACCCTTGAAAATCATACATATGCTACCACATCACCAATACAGTAATTACTTCGAAATAATAATTTATGCATACAGTAACTGGTAGACTATGTGTGCATATATAAACAAACAGAAGAGATTTGCTATGTTACTCAACTAAAAAGCTGACATTATTTTTTTCTAAAAAAGCAACAGGAAGGTACACTCACCTCTCCAAGCTAAGAATGCTTGTGAATGTGGTATCTCCATATACAGACAGCATATAAATTTCATCCATTATTACATGTAATTTATGTCTATGTAAAGAAAGACACACACATAAGTCATTAAAGTTTTTTTTATATATATATATATATATATATATATATATATATATATATATATGCATTCATTACTGCAATTGCTGCTTAGCAAATTCCTTAGAAAGCTGCATATTCTATACTCAATCCAGTTGTTGTTATTATTATTAATTAAATATGTTTACTGCCCTTCTTCCAAAGTTTAAAGGGAAGTTCACAAAATAAAAATACAAAATGGAAACATAAAATACATAATAAAACAAAAACAAAAGCAACCAATAACTCTCATCCCACAGACACATTTAAAAGGCCATAGAATGTTAATCAGCCAAATGCCTGGCTGAAGAGAAACGTTTTTGCCTGGCACCCGATGATATGTAATGAAGGTCCCAGGCGAGCCTCCTTGGGGAGAGCATTCCACAAACAGGGAGCCACTGCAGAGAAGTGTTTCAGTGTTGCCACCCTCCAACCCTCTTGTGGAGGAGGCACCGAAAATACTGCTACAGTGGTGCCCCGCAAGACGAATGCCTCGCAAGACAAAAAACTCGCTAGACGAAAGGGTTTTGCGGTTTTTGAGCTGCTTCGCGAGACGAATTTCCCTATGGGCTTGCTTTGCAAGACGAAAACGTCTTGCAAGTTTGTTTCCTTTTTCGTAAAACCATTAAAACCCAAGGTGCATTGCTTGAAGAGGTGCAGTTGCGACTTGACTTCGAGGAGCAACTCATAGCACGCGGTGTGGTAGCCTTTTTTGAGGTTTTTGAAGACTTTGGCGATTTTTGAAGCTTTTCCAAAACTTCTTTTGCAGCCATTTGGTAAGTTAAACTTTTAAAACTTTTTTTGGAATTTTTGGATTTTGGGTTGGGGTGTTTGGAATTCAAGGACTTGGTGTTGGGGAGGGGTGTGCAAGAATCTGGAAGCTTGTGTGGTTTTTTTTCTGCATTTTTATGATTTTTTGTGACCATTCAGCCACTCTGCTGTTTTTTTTAAAAAAAAATTCTGGGTTTGAATTTCTGTGTGGTGGGTGGCTGGGGGAACAGTTGAGGAGGGGTTTGCAAGAATCTGGAAGCTTGTGTGGTTTTTTTCTGAATTTTTCTGATTTTTATTGTTCCTTCAATTTTTGAAATGCTCTTTACAGTATGTGTGACTTTAAAGAGCACTTAATAAACTCTTGTTGTACCAAATTTGGCTTTGTTTGGACTTTTTTTGACCATAGGAATGCATTAATTGAATTTCAATGCATTCCTATGGGATTTCGTGCTTCGCAAGACGAAAAATTCGCTAGACGAAAAAACTCGCGGAACGAATTAATTTCGTCTTGCGAGGCACCACTGTACTTAATATAAAGCAAAATGTTTTTAAAAACTGAATAGTGATATATAAAAGCGGGAAGTTAAGAACCAAGTATCCATATGTAATATATTGCACAATTAAGATATAAAGGCCAGAAAACACACACCACACAGCTTATTATATATGCATGCACAAGCCAGAAAACACATCAAACTGAATTCTTATTCCCAATATTAGCAGGCATTCAGAAGTATGTGACTGACAGAAAGATGCTTAAATATCACAAAAGTATAAGTAACCAATTAAAGTGTGGTTTTTTTTGTAAAAAATTAAAAACACCAGATTCTTAGTTTTCACCTTCAGACGCAGACTGCATCCCCAAGTCTCATGCAGTGTCATGCTGAAGTGAAAAGAATTGTGCCATGTTTTGAGGCTTACTAAATATCTAATAACCACTTTAGTTAGAATCATAGAGTTGGAAAGGACCACAAGGGTCATGTGGCCCAACTCACTGCTATGCAGGAATCTTTTGCCCAACATGGGGCTCAAGCCCACGACCCTAAGATGAAGAGTCTAATGTTCTACTGACTGAGCTAGTTGTTACCTTCATTAGAAATAAGCCACATGTAAAAAAATTAGCCCATTTCATGTAGATTGGTGGGAAGGGCAGGTATGCTAGAAAATGGAACAAGCAAGGAGGATGGAGTCCTTTCGCGGATAAACTAAGGAGGAGGAAGGGTCACTGAACATAGTGAGACTTATGTCCAAGTAAGTGTACATAGGATTTCAGAGTAAGCATTACAAGAATGTGGCCAAGGATAAAAAATAGACATTAGGGGGAAGTATGAGAAAATGTATTGAAATTTAAAGGAAACATTAGGGATCCTTCTTTGAGAAAGATAAAAATAATTTATTAATTCATGTTCCATATAGAATTCTACAGACTGGACGGACAAGTTACAGATTACAAGAATGCTTCATTTCATAAATTGGTTCAAACTTACTTTTCAAATCAACGTATGTATCCGTATTAAACACTCTTACCACTACTTATTTTGGTAATTACCAGTTCTCATATTTATGACATATGTTTTAAAGAATCAATATAGTCAGGCTTTACGCATACAGGAAAAAAATTTTAGCGGCACGTAAAGCCATCTCCACCATAGTTATACGTTCAGAAACAAAGTTTGCCAATTTAAGAATTCTAATGTTTTTCAATGCTACTAATAACCATAGATGACTATTACCATAAATGAATTTTCTGAACAAACCTTCTTATGGCCATATGCCAAATGAACTAAGGAAATTACCAAAATAACTTTCAAAACTAACATACTGCATCATAGAAAATTAAAAGCCCAAACAAATAGCGCTAGGACTCAAACCTGTGTGCAAAGTCTAGACATTCTTTCAGTAACTGTGCTGGGTAAATGTCCCCTAATGGATTGTGAGGGTTGATCAGGATTAAAGCTCTGACTCTGATGCCCTGAAAAAAGAAAAACTGATAGTCGGGGACGCCATCATGACCTCAAACAAAGGAGTAGCGAGTCTGCAAAATTGCCATCCTTTCATAAAGTGCCAAGTATTGAAGTTTCTTGACTGAATATGAGCATACATATTCCTTTATAACCCTAAAACATATCCCAGTATCACATTTTCATGGCATCACATTTCATTTTCATCACAGCATGGCATTTTGTTATTTAGTTATGATTTTAAATTTCATCTGCTATAATTCAAATGACTTAATTTACAAAACTATAGATCTGATGTAATACATTAAATGATTGTATTCTTGAAGAAATGTATATATAACACCAGTGTATAGAAAGACTGTAAAACTAGGATTCTTTTTAAACTAATGTTACTAAAACATGTTTAAATGGAAATATGTTCAGGTAGGAAATAAAATTTCTTATGACCAAATTATTATGTAAATTCTGTAATTTCAGCGTAACTAAAACATACAGGGTTAGGTCTAGACTGTCATGCTTAGAGCAGACCTACTGAAATTAGTAGTACTTACATTAGTCATGACTAACTTAAGTCTTGTCGATTTTGATGGGTCTACTCCAAGCATGACAGTTGAATCCCATTCACTATTTTCAGTACATTTTCTCCTGTGAAAAGATTCTGTCACCTAGTAGCTTCAAGCTACTTAAGAAAAAAACCAAGAAACAAAAGCAGAAAAGATGAACTACTTTGAAAATCAAGGGAAGTAACTAAAGCAGTTTGTAAAAGGTAAGTATTAAGTTTAATATGAATTGCTCCATTTATTACTTGCAAATATTTTAATGGGCTCACATAAGAACAGGAAATATATAATTTAGGATTCTAGTTTCATTCTTGAAAACGATACATTAGAATGACATGACAATCTGCTTTTGGGCAATTTGTGCACATGAAAAGAAAAAGGAGATTTATCAATTTACATTTCTAATAGGATATATTTCACTGGAAAGTTGATAAGGAAGTATTGAACTGAAAGCACAATAGTTGGAGTTCGGTACAAAATATTCCTACCTGTTCTATGGCTCTCTGATGTGCAGTTTCTAATTTTTCAATAGTTAACTGAAATGGTTGACTTTCTTCATTAGTCACCTGCATAAACATTTCAAAAGGTGTTCAAAGACAGAAATTCAGTAAAACAATGCAATCTGCTCAGAATACCTATTTATTTTCACAAAGTGTTGGTGCTGACCTTTAAAGCCATAAATGGTCTTGGTCTTCTGCCTGTTCCCTTGCTGTGAGAAGTGAAGTTACTGGGAACCAGGCAGAGGACCTTCTCAGTAGTGGCACCCGCCCTGCGGAACGCCCTCCCACCAGATGTCAAAGAGAAAAACTTATCAGACTTTTAGAAGACATCTGAAGGCAGCCCTGTTTAGGGAAGCTTTTGATGTTTAATAGATTATTGTATTTTAATATTCTGTTGGAAGCCACCCAGAGTGGCTGGGGAAACTCAGCCAGATGGACGGGGTATAAATAAATAAATAAATAAATAAATAATAATAATAATAATAATAAATTTAATTTGAGGGGGGAAACAGCAAAATGCACAAGCAAGTTATGGTGGATGTGGCTTAAACAGTGATGGAGCTTTCATTTTATTGTTTGTTGGGATGAACTCAATGCAGACACTCCCTTTTCAACTTGTTCTGGTGGAGGTAAAAGGGAGTTCAAAAAACTCTACGGTTCTTTGAGGATGCTTGGATCAAGGGCAGTGGTGACATTATGTCATCCCAGGAAACTGTTACTCTCTGAAAATGATGATTAATGGATAGACACACACACACACACACACACACACACACACACACTAAAAAGACTGAGTAAAACAGTCAAGACTTCTGTAGGACAGTTTGTTGCCACCTCTGCTATATACACACTTGTGTATGAGACAACATCCATAGTAAACTTATTTGCCAAAACATATAGCACAGTCATACAAGAAGGGACATGTCTACAGTTTGGTTTCCATAGTCAATAGTTGTTTTGTTGCTTGGGCTTTATATAATTGTGTTCATTCATAGACAACATATCAGTATTTATAAGAAAGGGAATATTTAGTAAATATTTACCTCACTGAACAAGGGCACATGGACAGGTTGCATTCCACCATACAGCCACGTTTTGGAGTTTATTCCACCATAATATGGGGTAGGAATCAGATACCCATCTATAAAAAGAATAAATAATGGAGGTTTACTTTCTTTTTAAACAAAGTATTTTACTAGTTTGTTAAAAAACAGTGATAAATTATTTTGCCTTCATCTTACACACATCTTCAGACTACTACTTTCAAAATCTTTGTACATAATCACTGTGCTGCTAGAATAGGAAAAAAAAACATTGTGTGAACCACTTGCAGGTCTGTGCTATTCCTAAATGAATACTCTTACTAGCATACTAAAAAAAGTGACACAAATTTCATAGTAGAGGTTTTATCCCATTCCACATATAATTTTATTGTCATTAACCAATTGTTAAGACTCTACTATAATATTAGAAAGGGGGGGCAGACCAATAGTTTCATTCTGCTAGTATGTACTTCACATAATTTAAACTATTTTTAGCTTACTCAAAGGGCACATAAAATAAAGCAATGAAGCAGTTCATTTTCTACATGATTTAGCCCAGGCTTCCTCAACCTTGGCCCTCCAGATGTTTTGAGACTACAATTCCCATCATCCCTGACCACTGGTCCTGTTAGCTAGAGATCATGGGAGTTGTAGGCCAAAAACATCCGGAGGGCCAAGGTTGAGGAAGCCTGATTTAGCCATTATCAGCAGAGTGAACAAGATTTTATACGTTCTTTAAGATGTTCAGGCACTAATTACCACTAAATAACTGCTACAATATGTGATACATATTCATGCCCCCTTACCTCCAGGATCACACAACACAGTTGAAAGCGTAGCAAAGACGGCACAGCAGCCATTCAAAACTATAAACTAGAAACAGAAGACAAAATAGCAAGATACAATTAACAAAACTACAAAAGCAGCTAAATTTATTTTAAGAAATTAAAGACAAGTCTAAGGCAAGGATATCATATACAAATGTCAACAACTCAAACCAAATTTAAAAATGAACCACTGTAACTTCAAAACAACCAACCCTTAATTCCTCTTGTATATTTGAATTCTATTGGCTGGTATCCAATCAGTCATTGAAAAGTTTTGTTGAGCTATAATGTAATTGAAATTATGGGTTCAATGGTCTATTATATATGATATAAACACAGACCAACAGAATATCCATTAATTATGTACCATTTAGTAGCTCTGATTTCCAAGTGGTTGCCTAGATCTATGTCCCTGGCAATGACCATCTAAGATGGCACTGGAGTGAGTAGGGTATGTTGTTTGCAGAGTCAATGTCTGAGAAGAGTGCTATGTCTGACCTCCTCGTTTTACAGAGGTAATCCAAGCACTAAGTTTAGCAATCTGCCACTTTTTAGAAGTGTAAAGAAGGAAAGCGTATGTAAGTCAATTGATTTCAGTGGATCTATTCTGAGTATGACTTAGTTAAAGGGTGGGGAACCTCTAGTCCGTTGGCTTTATTAGGCCTGGCATGGGTCCTGATTTGGCCCATAAGGCCATTTCCCCCAAATCATGCTCACCTGCTCCACACCTGATACCATGCGATATCAGCTGTGCAGCAGCCAATCAAAAAATGGGACGCTTAAAATGCACTCCTGTTGTTGGCAAGGGAGGCTGGCTTTCACTGTCAATCAGCTGACATTTCATGACCGTGCTAGAGGAATCCTCACCAGAGGAGGGCCTGGTACTCCCTGGAGGGAATCGCACAGACATTCAGGTGGGGTCAGACAGCACCAAGGCTGAAGCAGGACTATCAGGCAATGCCACATCCCAGCAGCTGCCGTATCCTATATATAGAGGGTTGAGAGGCAGAAGCTGAGTTACCTCCAACTCTCAGAGAGCACTGACAGATGAAAGGGCAGGACCAAGCAGTCCACCTGAAAGCCAATACCTCCTTGAGAATGATAAGTTACTTGTGAGGAGCTGCTTCCTCATGAGTAGACCCAACACTACTGAGAGTTCAATAGCTGAGAGATCAACAGCAGTGCCTACCTAGGGTGGGGCTTAGCAGGCTCTTGGATAAAAGCCTTCAGTCGCTTGGAAAAGCTACAGGAATAATGTCCTTATTCCAGCTTCTTGCTGAAGCTGTGCAATGAGCCTCTATGCGTGGTGTTTTGAAGTCCTGACGATCATCATCTGAGGGCAGTGTGATATCAGGTGATTGACATGTGGGTAGTAAAATGTAAGTGGTAGGGGAAGTAAGAATTTGGTTCATTAGCTGAATATTAGATATCACCCAATATTTTCAAACAATTTGCCTTTGTATCTGAATGTATCAAAGTTGAGTGTCATTATTTGAAGACAAATGGGTATCTTAAGCAAAGTTATGAGAGCTCCCTCTGATAAATTTATTTTAGGTACTGGCTTTAACATAAAATTCTATCTGCAATAACAACCTGATACATTCTCAGTGTTGCAGAGTTTCCAAAATGATTTAAAAGTAGTAACTTTTGCTATACCCTCATTTCAGATCTTATGAAAGATTCAGCAAAGTTTCACAAAATTAAAGGAAAGGAAAGCAACGTGGTTCCTTACATGATCTGGATCTAGTGCTGTTGGAGCTTTTGCATATTCCGTAAGAAACTTTGCAATTTCTTCTCTAAAACTAAAGTTTAAAATTAACACAGTCAGAAAATTTGCATCAACATATTCATATATAATGTTAGTTCTGGAACAACTTTAACTTATTCTTTTTATTAAATTCAATTGAAATTTTGCTACTGATTTCTTTAGAAGCAGGATTGCACAGAACTTATTTTAAAAGTAAACATATGTAGAGGATCACATTTTTAAAAATGCCCCATTTCTGAAACTTGATTTTGGACTGAGTCCAGAAATCTGAATTCCAGAACTATCAAACAACACTGTAAATTGAGGGAAGCAATACCAAACAAGTGCACGAAAGAACATTCATTTACGTACCATTGAACCTATTTCTATTAAATGTGTTCAAACAACAACTAGACATTTATGCAGTGTTATAAGCAGGCTCCAAGCACTAACAGTACTGCCTCAAAAGAAAATACGTCTGTAAGCCACAACCATTTATTTTAAGAGGACCTCTATAGAACAGCTTAAATCTCCTGCACAATGTCAATTTTAGTTTTTGAAATGTTTAACGAACTAGAAAAACAGGTAGCTGTTATAAAAAATAGATTGAAATGCTAAGCAAATTTTGTTACCTTTTAATGCCTTGTGTATCTGAATACTGAAGTAAGTGAGGTTCCAGATAAGCCATGTCAGGTTTTACGAGCTGTCATTTTTTAAAAAAGAGACAATTAAAGTTTTTAATTATATGAAAGGTAGTTAGATTCACACATTGCTATTTATATTTCCCACAGTTTATCAAATTTTTTCAAGTTAAGCTGTCTTAGCTGATCTTGGATGAAAACCAACCCATTTCTCAGAGCTGGGCCTGATTTTGGCTCCTCAGCTGCACTAGCCTGGAGCCGGAACAGCAAAAGATATCACAGTCTCTCCTCACTTTCTGTCCTGGTTGGAGTAAGCCAACAAGGTTTAAAATGCAGGGGCCGATTTGCCACTCTGACCTGCTGGCCCAGTCCAGGGCTTGCACGCTGCATGGGTAATGTTATTAAACATAGTGCTTGATTATTCATAAGAAATGATCATGGCCACTAATTAGTACTACCTATTGATCACAATTTCAGAACTAGGTTGCACAGTTCATGTGGGAAGCCAAACTTACCCTTTCCTGTATTATATCAAAGCAAAGCTTGTTCTCACTTGTTCCAAAATTCAAAATGCCCTGAAAATAGAAATGACATTTTAGATAGCCACCACTAATGGTAGGGTTGTTTTTTTAAAAAAACATTTTCTGTTTACTTTTTGCATGGACCCTCCAGTCAGAAAACTAAACCTAGTGTCTAAAGGACAGTATGAAAATAAACTGCCACCATTATATATTTTTTCCACTATATAAACAAAGGAGCAACAATTTCATACTCTCTTTAAGGCACCTTTCTATGTTCCCAACTTAACCACCATTTCTGCTTCTTAAGGACTGAAGTCTTCTAGACATAGATTAACTCCACATTTTAATATCTGTACAACCACTTTGTTTTAAAAAACAGGTCTCTGGAAAGGACAAGACTCTCTTACATAAGAGTACAGAAAGCAACTATGTTCACACTCAGCTGTTCTACTGATCAGACTGCAGAAGTTGGAAGCAGCAGCACCAACAACATATTTCTAGTAAGGAGATTTCAGGTCAGGGGATAATGTAACTGTCCCATGCTGGAACAAACCAGATTGAACTACTTCTGCTTGGACCCTGCTGGCACTTTGCCATTGGAGCCTAGACTGAAAAGCAGCAGTACAATTTCTGCTGCCACAACTTCTCCCCCTCTCCTCCAAAGTATCCCCTCTGCTACATCGTATGCAATGAACTGCATCCTTTGCTCCTGAAGGCTGTTGCAAAACTCTGACCCAAGGTTTGGAAACTTCATATCTGCACAGTCTTTAAGATTGCCTCATTTCCACACCTTCTTCCATACAGTGTTTTATTACCACACCTCTTTCTCCACATCCCCTTGTTTTTTCTGCAACCCTCACACACATCATTTCCAAGTGTTTCTGCTCCCCTTAACCTTTCTTCCATGCCCCCCTCCTCCACAGCACAACCATTGGTGCTCAGCTTTCGGTATTCATTTTTGTGTTGGATGGGGGTGAGGATTTCACATTGTTAGCTGACTTTTTGGATTAACACTTTTAGTGTATTTTTTAGTCTTAGATTCGGGACTCCCTTTTGGCTGTGTGAAGTGATAGAAGTTTAATAAAATAAACCAAGCCATTTCTTCACTCAGACTCAAAACTTCTCATCTCCATCTCCATTCTACTTCACCTCATCTTCCCACTATCCCCAACCAAAGGAGTGTCAAATGCCAACTTGAATAAAAAAAAAATTGGGGGGGGGGTAGGTAAGCCCTGGCCTGCGTAATTGATCACAAGACACACACACACACCATTTGAAAGGCAGTGCCCATCAACTTTGCCCCCCCTCAAATATTTTATGGTGGGGGGAGAGACTTTGGCCTCTAGGATTTGGCTTCTATGAGTCCAGCCAAGCTTCTCTTTCTGGTCCTCCAGACTTTCCCCCATCATACACCCCTCAGCAGTTACACTTCACACCCTCCTTGACTGCTTTTGCCTGGCTAGAACATCTCCTTCAACTCTGATAATGCCTGCTGCTTGCATGAGTGTAGGAAATGTGGATGAGTGTGGATGGAAATTACCGGTAGTTTATTATTATTACTGTTGTTGTTGTTATTTACTGATTAAAGCTCAAATTTACATCAGTTGCCCACCCACTTATGCCTCCGACCCCATTCACCATACTTCCCCATAATAAGTGGTAGATCATGGGCTTTACATGCGGAAGGTCGCAGGCTCAATCCCCAGCATCTGTGGGTAGGGCTGGGAGAGACTCCTACCCCAAACTCCAGGGAGCTGCTGCCTGTCAGTGCTGACAATACTGAGCTTGATAGACTCAACGGCCTGTCTCTATATAAGGCAATTTCGGATGAATGCGGGCGTTGGGCTGGAAAAGGTTGCCCTACCACAATACCTTTCCATTTAAAAAACCCACCCACCCACAAAAGCCTCTGTTCTCACACTCTTGTCACACGCACTTGACTTGACTCACCCATGGCTCCATGTTTTATATCCTGCGCCCTATTTCCTTAATACACTAGCAGAGAAGTCCCCCCCGCACACGTCCTGCCCCACCAGCGGCTTCTTCTACACCCCCCTTGCAAAAACCACCAACACTCTCTCTCTCTCTCTCTCTCTCTCTCTCTCTCTCTCACACACACACACACACGCACACACGCACACACCCCTACCTGAGGGTTGTGAGCGGCGTCGAACGGATCTCGCACGTACATGTCGAAGCCCTTCTGCAGCAGCCCCTTTGCGCTGCCGGCAATGCCGGCTCCCCGAGCTGAAAGCCCTGGATCAGGCGCCGCCGCCGCCTCGCCGTCCGCCATGGTGCCGCCGCGCGCGGGGAAATCTGCAGTCCGCCCGCGGCCGCCTTGCGCTGAGGGAGCGGAAGGAAAAGAGGCAGCGAGATGCGAAGGGAAGAGCAGCGAATGCCGGGAAAGGGCGGCGAAGACGTGCCTCCTCAGCCGGAGGAATTGAAGGATGCGCTTTTGGGGAGCCGGTAATATAGTGGTGTGCCCATGCAGATCACCAATTGGTCAGTCACAGGCGGAGCCACAGGCGGGCGGAGGACACGCACACACACACACACAAGTGCCCCCTCAAAAAAGCAAGGAGCTCACCCCCACTTGCCCCTCCTCATTTCTGAACTCCTTTTTATCATTTTTATTACATTTTCTGTTTTACTGTTTAGAATACTCATTTAAACATCATTAAAATATCAATGACCTCCCTTCTTCTCTTTCCATGGTTCATTTTGCATGTGGTAAACTCCTGCATATTTTACATAAACTAAACCATTCAGTATTCCATTATTACACCCATCCAAACTTATTTGCACTTATTTGATTTATCTTAATGCTGCCAACGTTTTTCATTTCTGAACTCCTGTCATTATACTGTGTTTTTTCTTTCTTTCTCTAGAACTATAATTTTCCCCTCCTGTGACTCACCCCCATCTCTCCATGGGATCCAGAAGCTGAGCTGGTGACGGTGACCAGGGCTGCAGTTTTCCCCTCAGAGGACTGACTAGATGGGGATTTGTCTTATTTCTCTTTTGGAGCTGTTAAAAGCCCTCTTCAGGCAATATCGCCTAGACAAGGAGTGGGGATGTGTCTTTAGCCCAGCCCCCTGAAGTAAAGCAACCCAGTTACCATAATCTGCCGAGGTTTTATGGGAGGGTAGTACCTCTGGTGGGGGACACATGTGCTCCTTCGGTAGTAGTTTGTCCACCTTTGTTCCCCCATCCTGCACTCAGCTTCCACCTGTGTTTCCTAGAAGATGTCAGCGTGTGACAGCAGCCACATCCCAAGAACAGTAAACTGGCTGGCTAAACCAGGCGAGGGCAGCTGATGAGTCTTTAAACCTCAGTGACTTAGGGACTTCCCCTGCATGCAGAGACAGGCTCTGGCCAATTGAGCGGATAGGACTAATAGTGGGTCCAACAGTCAAGAAGGCGTGTGCCATAGAGGGAAGTGAGGGGCAGATGGGGCTCGCCAACCTGGGAAGGTAGTCCACCGAGAAGGAGGAAAACTCTGAACCTAAACCTCCGCTTTGTGGGATATTTTTGGGAGAAGAAAGTGCTAAGGAGTAAATCCTACAGAAATCCGGAGTGGAGTCCCTAAGGCGGTTGGATGGCACCTTGTACACTGCCTTCTGGCAACTCCTGCAGCCAAGCAGGTGCCCAACATATTGCTCTGCTTTCCTTTGGGCCACACCAGAGAGGCTGAGAATGGGGTCTTGTCATCTGGGCAGCCTAGGGCCTCCATACACATTGCGTAGGCTTGCACCCAAAGGAGGTCACTTCAGTTCTGCTAATGTAGTGGTTTGACTTCACCCCCAAGAGACACCCTCCATTGTCCCTCAAGACAAAAGGGAGCCAACAATTGAGAATGGGAATAGTGTAATTCATAGTCCATGTTTTATGTATGTCTGCCAGTATGAGTAATTGTTAATGCAAAAGTCCATCCCACCTGCCTTCAGTTCCTGATCAATATAAAAGGTTTGTAGAGAATAGTATTTTTTGGTTGGTTACTTCGGTGTGTTTCTTTCTTTCCTGCTGCCTGTTTTGTCGTTAATATTAATTGCATTTATATATCACCTTTTTCTCCAGGTTCTCTTCCTTCTCATTTAATCTCCACAATAACCCTGCGAGGTAGGTTAGTCTGAGAGGCAGTGACTGGCCCAAGGTCACCCAGTGACCTTCCTGGCTAAGTATAGCACTCAGGCTTTTCTTTACATGCTTCACTCAGCAGAATGAACACCTCAAGTTCCTGACCTACTGCCTTGGATTGGTAATGATGAATTTTATTCTCACTCAAGATGCTAGGGAACTTAGAACACGTGTTTTACAACTAGGTGGATTGGAGGAAGCAGTTAGGTGGCGGCTTGGGACCAAACTGCCTAAAAGTGTGCCTTATCCATTATCAACTAGGTGGAGGGGCAGGATATAAACTCAATAAATAAATCCATCTCAGATCCTACAAGTGGCAGGTAAGGCCTTGGTGGTGTACTAGTGGGGAGTACCCACTTGATATTGTCCTTTTCTATGGTGGTTCCCCATTTGTGAGATGTGTCTATTAAAAAATAGGACACTAAACCGGCATAAGAGCCTAAGAGCCTTATTTCACTTTCTCAGAAAGAGAGTTTTACAGACAACTGTTGTCAGGTCAGAGCCATTTTTCTTTTATGTTAAAGCAAATTGAAATAGACAATATTATACAATAGAAGCTAGGTCCAGACAACAATGCTGCAACTGTTAATTCCTCTTCTCAAATTGTATTCATAACTGACGTGCATAAGATTGCTCTGCTTACTCAGAAGTAAGATCCACTGAGACTTACTCCTGGGCAACGGTGTAAGATGGTTGTTGCTACCTTGAGTAAATTGGGTTAACAGAAAATAAAATGGTTACTTTTCAGATAACTGTATGCATGCATCTAAAACTGTGAATTATACCAATTCTGATTGTTCTTGTGTTTTTCATACTGCTCCACATCAAATAGAGAACATTTATTTATGGCAGAAGTACACAAGTTAAAATGAATACCCTGTAAACAAAAACCAGCACAATATTCTGGTTACATATTTACTCTACTGTAAATGGAAAAAAACCTGTGACTGAAATTTTCCCAGACATAATTTATGGGCAGCTCATCTATCCCTCAATGTGACTGTGTCTACCCGTGTTCACTCTCTCTCAAGGAATCTTAAGATCTATTCCAGCTGGAGCAAGCCGCTGATTTGCTTTGCGAGGTCAGTCAAGGATAACTGCTATGTGTAAACAGACATCTATCCTACAGACAGACTGTTATCTAATAGCAAGCTAATACCATATAATGCTTGCATAATAGCCTAGGAAAGATTATGCTAGGAAAAGTCATAGGAGTTCGGAAAGAATCTACCCTGTGAAAAGAAAAGATACCATATTCTTATCGGTACATAAAAACACTTGTTAACACAAAAAAGTATCAAATCACTTTTTCTTCAAACATTTATTGAGAGCAGCTTTCTAGATTTGTTTGCTTCTGTCTTCAGTTTGGATTAGGAACTTGATCTGATAACAATATAATCAAAGCAGAAAACAGCTTCCGTTACTTTAGGTACTTGTATGCTAATACTGCATGGAAGTTTCTCTGAATGAAGAAGCATGCAGTCACATTTTTCTTTAAAAGTGAAATATTAACATAAAGTACCCTCTTCTTGGCATTTTGATAAAAGCTGTAAAAAAAATCATGCGCTGTATTTTTATATTGTAAACAGCACTGTGATCCTACGATGAAGGGTGGTATAGAAATTTAATAAACAACACATATTATTGCTGTTTTTTATTTTTTTATTGTATTGTTGTTGTTCCCATAATCAGAGAATAACTAAACACAACATATAGTGGGTGTCAATAAATTAAGGTTTATTCAGAGTAGATCTATTTAAAGTAATGAATGTGTTAGGTCTACTTTAAGTAAAAAATGTTTGAATAGCACCCAGTGCCTTCAAACCTGAATCCTCCTAAGTAACATATTTCCAATAAAATATACTTCAGCTAGTATTTAGGAATTGGTCAATGACTGACAGTTGTGTAAAATAAATCTGACAAAACTGCATCATCAACTGTTCTTCAGATTTATTAATGACTGAATAAAATGTGACTGGGGTATATTTCTTCTCATGGGAACATCTCATGCTACAGCCAATTGTGACTAAGGTACTATAATTTGATGTAGCTGAGACTGCAGTATGTATCTAGTTTTTTCGAAAACAGTTACACTGCTGGCTGATCCATTCACCTAGCTTACCCTCTGGAAAAATGTTAAGGGATTGGGGGGGGGGTAAGATCCGTCCTGCCACCTGGGTGTGTTACAGGCATGCAAGTCCCGAAGGTGACTGGGTCTTGAAGCAACATCCCAACATCCCTTAAGTGTATGTTCAAGTGGGGAACACAGAGCTCATCCCTGATTACCCCTGGGATGGATCCTGCCCAATGCCCCAACCACCACAGGAGGGCCCATCTTACCCCTTGCCAAACAAAGGCAGCTATAATTGATCTTAACAAGCCAGGTTAAGATCCTGTAGTCAGATGTCATTGCAGAATGCTGTTTTCAGCTACAAGAAGTGGAAACGAAGTTACTGTCATTTGATAGATTTAAGACCATCGTAGGTTACTACATTTTAGAAGCAGTTATATGGTATTATGTAAATTAAACACTTGCTGATACTGCCAGACATGGTTACAGTATATATACTGGTTCATATGACAGTTTGGGTTACATCAAAGGAAGGTCCTGATGCTACTACTATTCAGACACCTGCTTATTGCTAAAATGGTAATTCCAGATACTAATCCACAAAGTGCAAATTTGAGAGTTTATATGCTTCTAAAACCATTATTTCCTGAAATAATTATGGGAAGGTTACTCAAGGTCTGTTGGATAGGTCAACTGAGAAGACCATCTGACAACTCATATGCTGTTAGGTCAGTGAAAGGAAATGTATCTTGGGTTGTCAGCAGGTACAGTCTGAAATAAATACTGAGAAACTGAATTAAGGTTTTAACATACCACATCGGCAGAGTGTGATACTATGATACTGAGATGAATTCTGATATTTGCAGAGGAGGGCAGCCAAGATGATAAAGGCTCTGGAAACCAAGTCTTATGAGGAATGCTTGAGGGAGTTGGGTATATTTAGCCTGGAAAAGAGGAGACTGAGAGGAGATATGGTAGCCATCTTCAAATATCTAAAGGGCTGTGGCATGGAAGGTGGAGCAAGCTTGTTTTTTCCTGCTCTGGAGGCTAGAACCTGAACCAATGGATTCAAGTCATAAGGAGATTCCTACTAAACATCAAGAAGAACTTTTTGACAGTAAGAGCTGTTTGATGATGCAATTCCCTCGGGAGGTTGGATGGCCATCTCTTAGGGATTCTTTAGCTGTGATTGCTGCATTACAGGGGGTTTGATTAGATGATTCCTGGGGGAACTTCCAACTCTACAATTCTATGATTAGTGGTGTTTGCCAGTCTGGGGCTGATGGGAGCTGTAGTAAAAAACATATGGAAGAAACCAGGTTGGCAAAGATCAGCAATAAACAGAAGTAATTGGCTCCCTATTTACAAAAAGATACTGTCTCTGTTTACATCATGTGGAGCTACAACAACTATTGCTGTCCCAAGGGACACTGACACCACAACCATTCTTTTTGAATGTCTAAAAGACTAAATATAAACTGTTAATCCTTTAGAGATTGTATGAAATGAAAACCAGGGCACCTCCCACTGGCCACATTGAAGACATATCAGTGTCATGGGGAAAATGGGAACAATCTGATAAATATTTTAAGCACGTGAAGCTGAACTAGGTTGCAGAACAGTGTTAGATGGCAGCTTAAAATTCTTTGTAAATTCTGGAAACAAATAATGGGATCCTCTCATCTGTACAACAACATGCCTAAGAGTAGATAAATCCAACTAAATTGGTAGCATCATCTTGCAAAGCACCTTCTCCCTAGCATATTACTTGCATAAAAAAAGCCAGGAGTAGAAAGGTGGTCACACTGGGTGCTACCCCAAGAACACATGATGCACATCTCCTTTTCCTCTTGAAGATAATGGTAACTTAATTCTGATACTGACAACATGGATTCTATAAGCCTATTATGAACAGGAAGGGTGAATATGACTTCATACAGTTTTATATTTAGTTTTGGTGTGGTGGCTATCAGAAATGAAGCCAGCTAAAGCTCTAGGCAGTCCAAGATGATAGCTTAATCTAAATAGGAAATTAAAACAACTTAAAACACAAGGCAGCCAATAATATCTCAAATATTTTATTATAGGTTTGTAAGAGGACATAATCTGAAAACTAAAATTATGTAAAACAGTTTTGCAACAATTAATTTCAAAGAAATCTATTATTTTTCATCTCAGCATTAACATACCCGCAGGTATATATTTTAATATGATTTAATAATGGAAATACTTTACTTTTAAAATTATTTTGGGATAATCACCATAAACGCATTAAACAGCAATTAAGCTAATGTCACTTTTTGTCCTGGTTTGAAAGTTGCTCCACTGGGCCCTTTCCTCTTTGGATTGCGAAAATTATCGTAGCTAAAAAACAACAATAGTAGTGCATTACCACCAGAACTATGCTTTGTAAGAAAAAGTATTCAGGTGAAATCTAAAGAAGGCCAAACTCATAAGTAAAACCAGAAATACCTAAGAGGCTTCTTTGGCATAAACATTTAAAAGTAGAAGTTAACGTTTTTATTAGCATTATTCAACTCCCTCTTCCCCATTCAGGAAAACTTAACAAGCAATAAACAAATCCATTATAGTTAAATAAGAATTTTAAAGTAATAACAATCAGAGCAAATAACCTATAACTAAGAAAATGTTTAACGTCCACAGAAAACTTTTTTACAACATTTGTTAACAATCACTGGCAAGCTTTGGCAGACTTCTCTTGGAAGCAGAAGCAGCTAGCAAGCCAATGTGGCGTAGTGGTTAGTGCTGAACTAGGACCTGGGAGATCAGGGTTCAAGTTCCCACTTGGCCATGGAGCTTACTGGGTGACCTTGGGCCAGTCACTGTCTCTCAGTCTAACCTACCTCTCAGGGTTGTTGTGGGGGATAAATGAGGAGAACTGTGTATGCCACCCCAAGCTCCTCAGAGGAAAAAAGATGTGATATAAATGCAATCAGTCAGTCAGTCAGTCAGTCAGCCAACAGTACAAATTGCTGCCACTACTAAGGGCAACTGAGGGAGATGATAAGCATATTCCTGGATGTCACAATGAGGAACTGGAAGCAGAAGCTGTGAGGCTGGAATCATACAGCAGCACAGCTGCTGGCAGGTCAACATGACCATGACTTCAATAATCATCCCTGCTTAAAAAGGTATTTCAAACATTTTACAGTGATAGCAAATGGTGCCCACACTGACGGGATATAATTTCAAGCAATTTCCCCTCCCTCTTGCAGCCCCACCCTTCAAATCTGTTTCAGAGGTTCCTCCAGCACTACCTTCCCCAAGCAGATTTTTTTTTTGGGGGGGGAGCCTCCCCTTTCCGCTGATGGAAGTCTTCTGCCAGTGGACAGAACAACACTGGATACAACATTTAGGGCCCACCATTGAAAAGGAATTTAAAAGAAATTTCATATGCATTTGATAGAAAATCTCCAGCCATTTTAGACGAGTGCCTATCAGTAATCTGTAAGATAATAAAACTTATGTTTCAGGCTTTGGTAGCACAGCCTCTAGGGCTCCATGTATATACCAGCTTCTTTCTCATACAATTTCACTGAAACCTCTCGCCACACTACACTTCAGTAAAGTCTTCAGGATGTGTAGACACCTTAAGACAGAAAATGGTATCTGTGTGGCAATAGACTAATAACAGCAACTGTTCCAGAACATGTGTGAGCATATTTTTAATATTAATAAATAATTTGTGTGATTTCTTTGACACAAGGTACTTACAGTTCAGTAAAATTATTCCAGTCGTCTTGACTAATAGATGGCTTTGTGTTTCCAAGTGCAGTCATCAGGTGAAGCTGAGTAATGCTTAAAGTGTTCTTGCTGGGTACTGATGATGGAGGCGTGACTTCCTCCTGAAAAAAAAAATTACATTAAGGGAAAGTACTATAAAATACTGTATTTCACTCCCTGATATTGACAATGGCCCAGTTCATAAGTTGGGGCTAACTTCGATTTGCAGTAACCATAGACTAGAGACCAGACTACAGTGTATACACTTATGTATACAGGCAAACCATGATTTAAGCTGTGCTTTTTCTTCCCTGCCTTCCCCAATATGCTATCCTTTCTGCAGGTAAATTGGCATGTGTTGCTTGGTTACTATTGTTTGGCAACCCTACGCAGTGTGTGTGTGTTGGGGGGGGGGGGGAGATAGTGAAGTCTAGGAACCTCCAGCACAACTGACAACAGGCCAATTATGCAGAGATCCCCACTCCATGGCATGGTGACCTGAAGAGGAAGTGCAACAAGTGTAATCACGGTTTCTCAATCAGAAAATAATACCAAACCACAGTTTGCAGAAACCAATCTGGATGTCTTGACTAACCATAGTTAAGGTCTGTAATCCATAGTTTGATGTATGTCTTAACTGAGCCAGTGAGTTTGTCTGAATGCTTCAGGACATTCTCTGAGGCTATGTTTCTTTTGAAATAGCAAAACTTTGCAGTAGTTACTATTACTACTTCTACAACAGAACATTTCTAAAGATCAAAAGAATTAACAAAAAAGTCTTCCATACCCCGTTTTTGCTTCTGTAGTTGGTCTTGATAGCATTGATTTCAGCCCTGAGTTGCTCCATCTGTTCTTGATTAAGTTCTTGATAACCTTCCTGTAAGGCTGTTCTTAGAATTGGGGGCTGATAGGATACTAAATCCTTCAGAGAGATGCTAGCTAAATCATGATTTATGGAGTTTGGTCCCGAGAAACACTGAGAACTCTGTAGAGACAAGTGGGTGGGTGGTGTAACATAATACCATTATTATTATAGTCAGCAATTTTGTGGTTACAGTTACTAATATTTCAGTAATGTTTTTCACAACAACAGTTACATTACCAAAATTATTTATCAAACAATATAAGCTTTAGGAAGTATTATGTTGATCAGATAACTTATTAGTAATATGAAAGTTTAAGTATGAGTATGTTTCATTTCTAAATACTGCGCATTCATAGGGGATTCTCCCTTGATCAATTCTCATGGGGGTGGGACAGGTTCTCATTGTTTTCCCAAAAAGAAAAGGACTTGTTGCTGCTTTTGGTCAAGGAAGAATGAGTTCATATTTCAAGTTTATGTTACTCAGAATTTATATCTTTCACCCAGTACTGACATAGATTGAATTAGCACTGTTTTCCCCCAACTACATTTAGATGCTAGAATGTTTCCTCTGACTTTACAGCATCAATTAAGCAAAAGCAGCCAGCTACCATTTCTGAAGCAGTTCCATTGCCGAGCTCTGATTCATAGGAGCTGCCAAAGTAAAGACGATAGATGTTGGACCTTGGATCTTCTGGAAGCAGCTCACACATCTCAAGAGAAACTAGAGATTGCTCCAAGCCTCCTTCTCCATCTCCAGCAGAATCATCTGATCCACTGCTTTGATTTAAGAAAACCATCGATGATAGACTGAGATCGCTATCTGAGCTAGAACCTATTTCCTGCGGATGGAAATTAACAAAATTAGAATTTCCAACTCCGTAGCACTTCCCTCATTCTGGATGTCTGTGTGGCTCTTTATCTTCTGGTCTTCTGGCAGGGAAGAGCTAGCAGTGTGCTGAAGTTAGCCGTGTGCTCAGGACTGCAATACATCAAGGACCATGGCTCACCATATGAACAAATCAGGACCCTCATCACCTGAGGCCCTTCTTCGTGTGCCTGCCCCACAAGAAGTTGGGAAGGTGGCAACACAAGAATGGGTCTCTTCTGTGGTGGCTCCCTGTTTGTGGAATGCTCTCCTTAGGGAGGCTGATCTGGTGCTTTCATTACATATCTTTAAGCACCAGGCAGAAACATTCTTCTTCTCTCAGGTTTTTGGCTAATTAAACAATCTGTGGCCTTTTAAACCATGCGGGTTATTGTTTTGTTTATTATGTTATGTGTTTTTTAAATTGTAAACTGCCCTGTGATCCTTGGTATATAAATTTGCTGTTCAAATAAAAGCAGTCATAAATCCTTAGGCATGCTAAAATTCAGATCTTTGGATCTCATTGTACAACAATATCACAATCAAATTGCTGCACATCACCATAACATTTCTAGGCACCACGCCTGAAAAGCCAAATTACAGTAATTGGAATATTAAGTATTTTAGTGCCCAGGTTACCAGTTTCAGATTGTGGCCAAGCTACTGGACTTCCTGCACTTTAAGATCTGCTTTAGTGTCTCCCCTGGTATGCCCATCCCCTAGATTGCTAAGCTGAGTGGCCACAAGGGAAAGAATCTTCCCATGGACCTGCATCGAATTTCTATGTCTCAGGATTTCCAGAAGGCCATGAAAAACTATCTTTCTCAACTGGCCTTCCATGCATGATGGTTTGGTTGAGTTGCATTATTTTTGGCTCTGTTAAAAAAAAAAAAAGAATGTTGATGAGTTTTAGTTTTAAGTCTGAAATTTTATATTACTTTATTTCCTTTGGATATTTGGAATGCAAGTCATTTGGGATTTGTTATTTGCCTGGAAAAGCAGCCTATAATTATTAGTGAGAAATAATTTTACCATTCAAAAATGTTATGGGTAGCAAACTCTTAAGGATTTTTAAGGAAATCCTTTAAATTTCAGTGCACTTACCTGGGGCAAAGTTGAACCAAAATTAGCATGCACGGCCTCCAATTGTGCATTATACAGTAAAGCTTTTAGGTCTGCTCCTGTGAAATGTTCTGTTTTTTCTGCCAAATGCTGAAAATCCACATCATGTGCCAGAGGGAGAGAATGACTCAGTGCTCTTAAAATTTCCAATCGGGAAGCCTAAGGAAATTAGAAGTAACCCTGTTAATAAAATACTTATTTCTTGCCCTTAGACAGTACTTAATGTTTTGTTTTTTAGTCTTCCATGTATTTTTCCAATAAGGAAAAGGGCACTGGAGAAGCTAAAACAACATGTGGGAAGGACCCAGTGATGTAAACATTATTTTGAATTTTCTATACATTTTCAAGCATCTCTTCTCAACCATAAGGACTTGCAAACTTGCTTTTTATAATAGCATGATGAGATTCTTTGGAAGCCAGATTCTGTACCCACTACCACATTCTGATCTCTTTTTTTTTTTTAACACACCTGTAGATCATAGAATACACACACCAATGCCTACAGACGACAGCATCAAAGCTAAGATGAGAAAGGCCTGAGAGAAATCATTAGACTATGCAAAATCATTGCCTTGACGTAGAATTCTACCACCACCAATCTAATGAAAAAATAAAATAGAATCAAACTTGAATCTGTTTCAAAACGACTTCATCTTATGTTCATGGAAACTCAGCCATCGATATCATGGAATGGACATTAATCCACATAGAAGTGAGTCTTCCTTTCAATATTTGGTACAGTGTTTTGTTTCTTACCTGATCAGGATGTGGACAATACAGACACTTATCCAATCGGCCTGGTCTCAACAGAGCAGGGTCAATCAAATCAGGGCGACTAGTGGCCGCTAGTACATAAACTCCTTAGAAAAAGAAAGCGACTTTATTAATAAAATGCCACCTTAACCTTTTCCTGGAAGAAACAGAGATGATTTGATCATTACCTTCTAAGCCTTCTACTCCATCTAGTTGAGTCAGCAGTTGATTAACAACACGGTCAGTTACACCAGTGTTATCATGACCTCTTCGAGGAGCGAGGGAATCAAATTCATCAAAGAAAAGTATGCAAGGCTTGGCTGCCTGTGCTCTGCAATAAATACAACACAATTAGGACAAAAAGAATAAACTGACCCTGCCAAGATTGGACATGTGATATCAGCAAGTCTTGTTATTTCACACCTCCCCAACATACACTTACTAAGCCTGTTTCTTCTCCACATTACAAATCCAGCATCTATTTTCAGCACTACTTACAAAAACAGAATCTATCAGCAACACCATAAATCTGGATCTAACCTGTTAAATACATCTCGAACTGCTTGTTCACTTGCTCCAATGTATTTGCTGAGCAGTTCTGGTCCCTGTAAAAAAAAAAAGAGAGAAAGAGAAGAATACTCTCTGCAACCTGAGCTATTTAATTAATCAATACTTATAAAGTAAAGTGTATAAACTGTGGCATAACATACTGTAATAAAGTACTGTTTGGGCTATGGCAATTACAGACAGTTTAAAAACATTACAAAACATAGGTTTCCAAAGGAACATACCTTGAACATGAGACTGGTCCAGTAGTTTCTACTTATGATCTACAATACTGGGATCACATTAACACTGCTTATTAAAGAGCGGGCAGGCAGGGGGAGGGGGAGAACAAACACACAGAAGGACAGAAAGGAATTGAAACCCATTAAGTAGTGTGCCCAAAAAAAAATCTATGGCAAAAATGAAGCTACTTTGCCCAAGGGTTTAAGGTTGCTGTTTGGACTGTATTGATTTGGACTGTAAAAAATTGGACTATTTTCTTTAGGTTAAATACCATGGGTCATAATCCAGATATGTTCATATGCCATATTTATGTGTGCATCACAAACACAAAAAATTACTAAAACATATGAAAGCTTCTGAAAGACAAACTGTAGCATATAATTTTTATCACCTTATTGGATTCTGACTTATGGAACACATCTTAGTATTTTCAGTTACTGCAATAAATTCTGAAAAATCTCACATTCTTACCTTGATGCTGATAAAATTCATTCCACTTTCTCGGGCAACTACACCTGCTAACAAAGTTTTCCCTGTTCCTGGAGCCCCATATAGTAAGATTCCTCTTCTTTGTCGTATGGGCAGGTTTGCAAATAATTCTGGATACTGAAAACATATGAAGTCTTTAGAAATTGCATCTGCTTTAAAAAGTATATGAGGTTTAAGAACCTCTGAGCAGGGTAGCTAAGTGTGAAAAATTGGATTCAGCCTACAGTATGCTGAAGAGGCCAGAGATCATCTTGGAAGTCTCTTAGTGCAGACAGAGGTCATGGATCCTGAGCTTCCATAACCACCACCCACTATGAACCACCATTGGCAGGACTGGCAGCAGCAGCAGCAGCAGCAGCAGATATGTTCTATGCTTATTGGTAATGTTTTATTATCTTGCTAATTACGCTGCTTTAAATGTGCATTTTATATTGGACTTTCTTTAGCAATGTTTTCTTTTGAAATGTTTAAGATTATTATTTTTTGTTAACTTTGCTGTGTTAAATGTGCACTATGTCATTGACCTCTTTTGTAATGTTTTGTTTGAAACCTTTAAGGTAGTATTTTAATATCCTGTTAATTACGTTGCTTTGAGTGTATACTTGCTTTTCTTCAGTAATGTTTTAAATCAGTAATGCTTTATTCTGGATTGCTTTCTTTGATGTGTCAATGCAGATTGTAAATCGCTTTGAGATTTTTTTTCCTTAAAAATATTACCGTAAGTGGTATAGAAATGAAATGAATAATAATAATAATTCATAACCCTAACCCTATTATTATTCATGTAGTTCCATGATTACTATTATGATATGCTCCATAATATCAATTTTGGCAAAATCCATATCTGTGGTGAAACCAATGAGTCACCATAACATCTCTATGCTTATTTTGAAATGCGACTAAATGCATCTATATATAGACTAACATTTGCATGAGTGTTTTATCAGCCACAGGTGTTGGGTGTTTTTCTGCATTTCCAGGCTTCAGTTTAGTCTGCTGGGGCATGAGCATTACAAAACAGTCCAATAATGATCAAAGAGCCATATGCATATTATTGATACAAAGGTAAAGGTACCCCTGACCGTTAGGTCCAGTTGCGGACGACTCTGGGGTTGCGGCACTCATCTCGCTTTACTGGCTGAGGAAGCCGGCGTTTGTCCGCAGACAGTTTTTCCGGGTCATGTGGCCAGCATGACTAAGCCGCTTCTGGCAAAACCAGAGCAGCGCAAGGAAACGCTGTTTACCTTTCCACCGGAGCGGTACCTATTTATCTACTTGCACTTTGACGTGCTTTCAAACTGCTAGGTTGGCAGGAGCTGGGACTGAACAACGGGAACTCACCCCGTCGCAGGGATTCGAACTGCCGACCTTCTGATCAGCAAGCCCAAGAGGCTCAGTGGTGCCCAGTATCAATACACTGGTCTTGGGGTGGTGATTCATCAAAGCCCAAAAAATCTGCCCCACAGCACCACCTGCGTCTCTATTTTTGTCTATTATTTATATAGACAAAAACAAAACACACAGAGTTTTATTTCTGTGGTCTTGTTCATAACTACTTCAAATGTGGTGTGTACGGATCTCTGCACATATAGTGGTATACCTTCTCTACCTCATATTGTCATGTTGGCTATAACAAGAAATAGTCTGCATTCATAGAGTCCAAAGAATGCCCCATAAAACAGGAACATTTTTTAAAAAAAAAGATTGCATGGACTTGGCACACATAAAAAGTATGCATTTTTTCACCATGCCTGATGCAAGGCAGCTGAAGATAAGGAAAATACACCCCTAGCAGCCACTGATGAAGAGGGGTGCCATTATTAACCTGGCCTCCTGGGAGCAGCACCACTGCTATGTACCAGAACGTAGAAGGGCAAGGCAGGGTGATGCAGGACACCCGATTGGCTTCACTGATGTGCCCACGCTGCCCTGCACTGTCCCTGGGCCTGGCTGTCATGCTGCTTACAGGATGCCAGGTCTGTAGCACCGCTGCTCCCTGCTGGCAACTCTGGATAACTGCCTCCAACACTGTGCATAGTCATTCAATTATCTGAGGTAGATAAGCCACCCAGGCTTCTTCGTGAACCTTCCTGCCTTAATAATCCTCAGCTGTTGCATCTTCATTCTTTCCTCAGCTCTGCGCATAACCGTCAGGGATGATCTTCTAGTTTATGCCCTTTAACATACCGTTGCTGAGAAGCTGTACCGTTCTCCTCTCCAGCTTCTGCAAACTTACATATGAATGAGAAATGGCTGTACTATGGGTGCATATTTGTCCATTTTGGTTTAAGAAGCTGTCACCCCCTCAAGCCAGAACCATCAAAGGTCTGTGTTCCTACAAACACCTACCAATGACAGACACAACTGTAAGAGAAAAGTACCTTGGCAGGCAATTGGATAGTATCTATAAGCACTTGCTGTATCTCCTTGAGACCACCAATTCTATCCCAGCCAAACTCCTGAGGCTTATGGAGGTTAACGTTTCTCAAAGATGTTGGGGTAAAACCTTCTAAAGCTTTTTGGAAGTCTGATGTTGACAGAATCAAATCTGTTAAAATGGATAAACACATTCACTTTATGATTTTTTTACACCGAAATATTACATTATATTATACACACTTTTTTCTGAATACTTCATAAAATTATTATACATACCTTCTTTTTTACACGTTCCTTTGGTAGAAACACATGAGTGTACAGCACGTTCAACTAACATTGTCAGATCTCTAGCTACAAATCCTTCTGTTTCCTTTGCAATTAGATGGAGATCAAGATTACAAAACTTGTCTATATTGGAGTCAAGTTTATTTTTTATTATGGAATGAAGTATTTCACATCTTTGTCCCTGGAAAAAAAAAATACAGCAAATTTATCTGTAGCCTAACTTCAAAGAATTGAAGAAAAATAGGAAGACTGGCCAAATTTCAAATTAATTAAAAGGGACAGATTCTGAAGAAATAATAAAATGCAGATCTGTGCATTCAACATACAGTATCACATTTTATACCGAGATCTTAAACAAAATTACTGGGAATTAGATTGCATGGTTTTAAGATGCTTTGATTAAAACATAATTTATTGCTTTTACCTGATTTGGAGCCTGGATATGTTGGAAACTCTGAAATATGTGAATTCCTTGAGCAGAAATCATGGAAGAATGTAGTGACTGTTCAGATAGGCTTGTGGCAATGAGTGCGATCAAACTGTGCATGGAAATAACTTCTTTTATCATATCTGTCAAAACTAGAAACAGAAATATAAATCAATTCAAACTTCATGGATTGATGGCCATATAAAATAGCAGCTACCTCTCAATTTTAGTGTTACAGAAACAGCATCTTCTTTTATTTCAGTGCATTGCCTGTTCCAATAAAGTTCCAGAAGCTTGTAATTTTGTTGGTATCAGCTGTTAATAACCTAACAAAGCACATTCCCACACTGTATCCAGAAGTATTACAGCACAAGCATATACTTATCTACTCATAAGTAAGTCCCCTGGAATTCAATGGGTTTACTTCCATATAAAGAATTACAGCTTTAATATAAAAGATCATAACCTTAACCATAACACTGTACCAAATGCTGAATATATTGTTTATAACCTGCAAATACACATACACTATGTAGAGTTGTGCTAATTACTAAGATTATGCAAGTGCTGGATTATGCTGTTTCTTTCAGAAACATTCAAAAGCTAAAGATCAATATTACTTGGGCCAGGGCACATTCCCAGAGGTGGCTATTCTTTTTAGCACGGGGACTGCATGGCAGCAGTGGGTGTAGCAAAAAGAACAGCCATGGCCATTGCATACTCTTTCACACACATATCAGAGCACATCTAAAGACAAGCAACAGAGCTCCCCATTCTGCAGTTGATCCGTGCAGATCAAGAGGAGAAGGGAATGTGGTTTTCTCCACATTGCATGGAAAATTCATTTCAAAGTTTAAAATATTGCTAGCTTTCATGAAGCTATGAACAACACATTGTGATTTATTCAGGACCTTGCAAAGGTCAGATGTTTCCAATCACAGGACAGTTAAAGCAAAAACAACTCAGTAATGGTTGGTAAACCATTACCATGAGCAAGGCGAGTACTCTGGACAGCTTCAGGACTGTTCTCATGCTCCGGAGCAAGGGGTACTCCAACTATGTGATCAAGGTCATCTAGCAAAACAACAGATGGTTGTTTCCATCCTGCCTCTAGAAAAACTTCTTCCAGTTTTTTCCGTATGTTTTCTAATCTCTTTCCTGAAAAACAAATATAGTGATTAGAACGACACAGAAGAAAAATGTGCAACCTTCCAATACAATTTATGATTTGGCAAGATTATGGGTCAGAGACTAGCTTGTATTTGACTTTTTCATTATACCAAGAGGTCTTAAAACCACCCTATTGTGGATCTCCTTTAAGATATTTCCTATCTTCTATCTGCTGAACATATAAGGAAAGCTGGTGCAGAATAATATAATTCCTTCTGCTGCCATAAACTCACAGAATGGTCACAGGCAAGCCATTCTCTCAGCCTCAGTCCTCCATCAGCAACATGTGATGCTGCTGTATGCTTCATATACAGACAATATTCTTGATGCTGCTTTTGAAAGAGATTCCTACCTGCTTATGTGACTAATCTAATAACAGCAAGGCGTAAAATGTGAATATTAAACCAGTGGGGAGGACACAGAGTTTGGGCATAAAACCCAAGTTCAAACCTACTGGGTCGCCACAGACAAGACACATTTTCAATATAGCCCAAACTCTTACCAGTTGTTGCTATGATTAACAAAAACACTAGGAATAGTATTTATTTATTATAAATATTATAAAAGTTAGTTGCTTTTCTCACAAAATGACCCAAAGCAACTTACATTAAAACCAAATAAAGAACTTCCAATAAAAATCTAAAAACAAAGCTGAACAGATAAAACAGATCAGGACTTGCTGATCTCACCCAACTAAAAGGGGCCACAATGCTGCTATTAAGAAAAAAGTACTCACCTGGTGCCCAAAAACAGATAAGGGTGGTGCTAGGCATGTCTCCCTGGGTAGAGCAGATCACAAGCTGAGAGTCACCACTGAAAAGGTCTGATCTAATTAACTTGGTAACTTACCCTTTTAGTTTAATTGTATTCTGAAAATCCTACAAGAAGGGAGACAGTTGTACCCATACCTCTTAAAGCTTTGCAGTCAACTACTTCCACGTGGGCATCCAGTCTATCAAATGCTTCTTTGCAGATGGCTTTTGCTAAAGTTGTCTTGCCACTTCCCTGTAAAATAAATCAGGGCTAAAAACTCCTAAAATAATACCCAGATTGAAAAACTATCAAAGTTTGCTACTATGGTTTTCTGTTTCTGTAATATTTAACCTGGTGGTGTAAAATCATGCAGATTCAATGCAATCTGTTCAAATCTATCAGATCCAATGTTTATTTATAGCCCTTGGAAAAACAAAGCGTGTACGTGTGCATGCACATGCACAATTTGCTTTCTTCCCCTCTCCAGGGGTAAGGGGAAAGTGATCCAAGGGTGGAGGGAGAGAAGCATGCAGATGGAGGAATCTCCATGGCACTCTCTCAAAATTCTAAATGTACTCACACACTCAGAAAGATTGACAACCACTTGAATTGGACTAATGATAAAACCCAGAATTTATTGGGTGCTAAAACAAAGAAATGTAAAAGTTTTACCTTTGCTCCAGTAATCAGAATACCTCCACTGCATAGTCCTGCAGATATGGGAGCTAGCTTTTGAGACAGTGGTCGTTTCAAAAGGCTGTGAGATACATGCTTCAAAGAAGATACTGCTAAATTATCAACTCCTCTGCAAAGGAAATGTTAACAGAATTGAGTGCCTTCTCAATGTAGTGTAGTCAAATTAAATCATATAAAATTAAAAGCTTGGCTATTTTAGAGTACTCTCTGTCTCGATTATTTATAGAACTGTAGCCAATGACCCAGTTGCAATATTTGCTACTGTACTGCACACACTGGTGGCAACTGCAGAATAATGTCTGCTATCAAGTATGTCAAACATTCATTTTGCAAAAAGTTTCCACATATGTGAAGAAATAATCCTGCATACAACTGCACTATTTGCTGCACCCCATTGTATGTGTGTTCAGATAGACCAACCACACCAGCAAAACCTGTATTAGAGGGCACAGGTGTGCCAAATACTTGCCCAATTTCTGAGTCATGTGATTAGAACTATATGTGTGTTTAAATCTTGGGCTAATCTAATGTTCTCTTTAGCTATGACGTTATTGACATCTAAAATGCTTCATATTTATATTACACATTTATTATTTATTTTTGCACAGCTTTTTATTGTTGATTTTTTATTCTATTTTGTGATAGTATTAAAATGTCTCACCCTAAACAGTTCAGACCAAACCATGGAAGAAGTTGCTCACAAGAAGATTGTGCACCACTGCCATTGGCTACTGAGGTCATAGGATGTACCAGAACCTACACAAAAGAAGACAGTCACTATTTAGACGTGAGGGTGTCTTTTTAGAAGATGCTGTGGGGGGGATGGGTAGAGAAATACTGAATACATACTCCAATAAAATTCAGAATGGGATTTTACTGTAAGAGATCACATAGAAGAAACTTGTCTCCCAAGAAGCTCAGGATTGTAGTGGGTTTGTCCTTTGGATAAATAGCCATAAACAATTTTTAAAAAGTATCTAATTACTACACTACATTTAAAATACCAAGTGATTTTCAGATTTCCTTGTATTCCAAATCCATCCAGACTCTATGGCAGTCTTCCCCAACCCAATACTCTCCAGAAGTTTTGAACTACAACTCCCAACAGTCCCATTCAGCATGGCCAATGGTCAAGGGCAGTGGGACCTGTCGTCCAAAACGTCTGGTTGGTTAGTAGAAGCAGGAAAGCTGCTGTACAGTTTTCACTCCATCAATTCTACAATGAAAATTAAAGTTGTCATTACAGTATAGAAAACTGAAAATTAGAAAACAATAAACACACTTCAAAAATCAGGAAGTGAGAGAACTACAAGCTTGCTTTGGAAGATGGGGGCAGGTTGCTGCAAAACCTTTCCTTAATCTTCTTAAGGGAACTTGAATTTATCATCCAATGATGTTCATTGTGACTGAATTTATGTACAGATTATCATAAGAGTCTCCTCTCCTGCAATGCTTCATGTACAATGAGTCAAAAACCAAAACAAATACAAAAGATACCCTAATAAACAGAACTGCACTGTTGATATAATTTAAGTTATTGGATACCTGAAATAAGTGATATTTACTTGCATATTTGTCTTCTGCAACAAGCTGGGACTCAGGATGTAAGTATTTGTTGCCTTCTCCTCTTCAGAAGTAATGACACTGAGAACAAAGTCCTCCATACCTTTCAAAACATAATGGACACATCAATTTGCTTCTGATACAAAATAGTAAATTTTAATACCTTGTAGATCTTGTATTATACACTGGTAAACCCTAGCTCATGCAAAAGTGTTTCAATGTGTATGTAAGTATTTTTGTGGCTAATTACTTTGATTCACTGGCAAAGACCCATTTAATGGTTGACCATAGCTGAGAATATGGATCTTTATTTATTGAGAGCACCTTTATTTAAATACAATAGTTAAGTAACATATTGAAAAGACAATGATGAATAACTCATGATTTTAATTGATTTTTAAAAAAAAAATCAAATATATTTTCATAATTGGGTAGAAATATATTCACAATCACTGCTAAGGGCAGTTCAGCTTACCATCTTTAAGAGCTAATTGTATATCATTCGTGCCTGCTATTAGCAAAGGAAGTTTGCTATAATCCTCTATCCACAAATTAAAGGCATTTTTAATTTCATCGTCACTGATATCTTTATTCTAAAATGAAGGATGAGAAGCATTGTTAGTTCAGTAAACATTCCTAACACTTTCACACAACAGACATTTGCTCATTCAAGTATACAAGGGTCAGAAGTGCTAAGAACTGAGGCAAGTCATTATCTGAGGATTTACTAATGGCCCCAGTTTTATCCAAAATATGATTACCTTCTTTATTATTTCCTAAGGAAAAATCTATACTGAAAAAAAAGTTTAAATATTTGATTTGATAGTGTTCAAGCTCTTAATTTTATCTACAATAACCATTTTAGTTCACTTGTCTAAATCAGGGGTTAGTAACCTTTTTCAGCCGTGGGCTGGTCCACAGTCCCTCAGACCACGTGGTGGGCCGGACTATATTTTGAAAAAAATAATAATGAACTAATTCCTATGCCCCACAAATAACCCAGAGATGCATTTTAAATAAAAGCACACATTCTACTCATGTAAAAACACAAGGCAGGCCCCACAAATAACCCAGAGATGCATTTTAAATAAAAGGACACATTCTACTCATGTAAAAACATGCTGATTCCCGGACCATCTAAGGGCTGGATTTAGAAGGTGATTGGGCCACATCCAGCCCCCGGGCTTTAGGTTGCCAACCCCTGGTCTAAATAAACTCCTTATATTCTTATGAAGAACTGGTAATCATAGGTTGATAATGTCTTTGGAAAAAATTGTCTCAAATAATAGCATAATGCAATATGAATTTCACCAACTTGTAAAGACACATGGAAGCAGCTTAACAAATAATTACAGTCAAGAATGCAAACTCACTAAAGATTTTTTGGGATACAATCTAATAGATGATGGAATTTTAGGATCCAAGTTCACTGATGCGATTCTGACAGCTGAATGCATTTCTATGTGTAGTCTCCCTCTCAACCCTTCTGGTATCTGAAATAAAGTTAAGAAAAAAAAAGAAATATGAAAGAATAAATGCTGAAGAATATTCTACACATTTCACACTTCAAAGGTATATCCACCAGGGTTGTACTCAAAGTTTGTATAACTTAAGAATGACTTAATTTTTTAAGATTTCAAATGTACCTGAAGATTTCAAATACCCTGACTGTCCATCAAATGTAATTTAAGACTCCTCAGTTTCAGTTAGTAAGGGAGTATAACAATTTCAATTAAATGGTTTGAAACTGTATGTTGGGCTCCACCCAGAGTGGCTGGGGCAACCCAGTCAGATGGGTGAGGTACAAATAAATTATGAATTATTATTATTGTTGTTGTTATTATTATTATTTTCAGAATAGATCCTATTGAAGTTAATGGAACTATTATAAGACAACTATTGTGGCTTGGAGATGGTACCACTGTGATCCCAAGGATAAAAAAGGTAAAGGTAAAGGTACCCCTGCACGTACGGGCCAGTCGTGGCCGACTCTTGGGTTATGCGCCCATCTCGCTTAAGAGGCCGGGGGCCAGCGCTGTCCGGAGACACTTCCGGGTCACGTGGCCAGCGTGACGAAGCTGCTCTGGCGAGCCTGCACCAGCGCAGCACACGGAAACGCCGTTTACCTTCCCACTATAAAGCGGTACCTATTTATCTACTTGCACTTAAGAGTGCTTTGGAACTGCTAGGTGGGCAAGAGCTGGGACCGAACAACGGGAGCTCACCCTGCCACGGGGATTCGAACCGCCGACCGTACGATCGGCAAGTCCTAGGCGCTGAGGTTTTACCCACAGCGCCACCCGCATCCCTATGTCTTTATAAATAATCTTATTTCCAAGTAACCATTTAAAAAGATGTAATATTAAGCAACGATTCAACACTTGACTTAAAATCTTTAATCTTCTGTAGGCTTCTGAAATTGGACTAACCCAAACTCTTCCGACATGCAGTTGTTCCATGTTGTTATTACATATTATAGCACTCTTTAGATCCTCAAATCCATTCCATATTATTTGTACAATAGATATCTCATTGGATTCTTGACTTTTACTAGGGCCGGATTGCTTTTTGTCTTCTCCATTGATCATCTGTTTTTCTTTCTTTGACATTACATTCTGCTTTGACTCTTGATGCTGCTGTCTTGGAGAGAGCAGTGTAGTGATTTTCCCGTAAGACACTTTAATATTAGCTTCTAAAGCAGGGAATTCTAGATTCCACGGAAATACATGAATGGCGTTGCATTTCTGAAATGTACATGTTGCCAATGTATTTTGCACACTGGGGGGCTGAATCTGGCATACTCTGAAAACAGAATCCATGTGAATCAAGTTTAGCAGCCCATCTTTGGCAGCATTCAGTTCACCTGTGTCACGAGAAGCCTCCTGTTCTTTGTCAGAGGAGAAAATGTTCCCAATTAAATTCCATATGTTTGGCAGGACACTTGCAGTTAATGACGCCTTTGCATCTGGCTTAGGCTCTTGGACTCCCGTATTTAAATTAGTTTCTTTGGCACATGATTCCTTGGTTGTTGCTCTTGGATCCAACATGGTTTTAGGAACATTGTCCTGTAAGATGTCACTTTTTGTGGAAGGCAGCATGGTGGAACTTCCTTCATACTGACGTACTTTGGGGCGTATGAAAAGCTCTGTACGAGCTTCCAGTCTCCCGTAAAGAGCAGCAGGTTTTAGAGTAACTGGAATTAAAGAGGGGCAAGTTAATACATATGCCACCTTACAATTATTCCTGCAAAGTTGTAGGAAGACTTGCATGAACACTTACCAATCTGGATATAAATACAAGTGTGTTGTTCTACCCACACTGGGAAGACAGCTTTGGGAAACACTATTCGAATTTGGTCAAGAAGATGGCTTTCAAGTGAGAAAGCATGCAGCTCCTACAATACATTGCAAAATGTTAGAAAACATTTCATATTAGAACTCATTTGAGTTTCATAATGAAATTTGTATACTAAACTGGATCTGAACCATAAGGAAAACAACAAGAGGAAACACTCAGAAAAAACAGTAGAAGGTGGGGGGAGTGGGAGAGGACAGGAATGAAGAACACCACCCTGTTTAAAAGCATTAAGAGAGCTAAATAATTTAAATTTCTGTATTACCAGAATCTCCCAATCATCGGCTGAGAGGGGTTCCACTTCTACTTGCTGACAGGACAAGACTTGAGAACAGGGCTCGAGGAAGATCTGCCAGACAATAAACCTTTTTGAAAAAATACTCTCAATATATTTACATAAACAATGCAGTGGAGATGAAGTGAGTCATGGAGTTGCTGACAATGGGGGTGAACCACAAGCACTTGAATGTAACCAAATTGCATTTTAAGTTTTTCACCATTTATTGTTCAGCAGTGTTGCTTGTTCCCCTTGGAAAATCAACAAACTATTTCCCAGCCTTCCTTTAAAAAGCAGTTTGTGACTTGGTTCAGGACATTGTCAAATGCTAAAAGGTTGGATAGAAGACACTTTTACATGTTCACGTTCATGCATCAATCAACTCACTAAATATGAACAAATCACCCTTATACAGAACAGCTGTAATTCATGCATGGAAGCAGCTCTTAACATCATTATATATTTCTTGATTAGGTCCTGTAGAAATAAGTGCATGCTGTGCCAGGCAAGGTAAGGGGAATCCCAGCTTTTAGAACCAGGGGTTGTGTACATAAGCTTTCAAACAAGTACTTTCAGTTCTGATAAACTTTTGGGGAGAGGGAAGGCTGATTCCAGTCACTGCTGTTTCCCATCACAGATCGTAACTGGCAAAACTAACAGTACTCTCCATCTGTCATTGAGATCTTTGCACACAGCTGCCTTTGCACAGCTGAATACGAATAACCTGAAACTGGGGCCTGCATATTTTGCAGATACAAGGAAACAAAAATGTACAGATGAATAGAAGCCATAGAAAAAGACTCATTTCCAAAGTTACTTGCTCTATATTTTTGTCCCATTTTCAATGTTACCCTAAATGTTAAACACCAGCTCCTGCAATTCAGGTTTGCTGAACCCTTATTTACTAAAAAGAATTTTGACATTACTCAGTAGACAGATGGAGACCAATGATTATGAAATATATTTGCCTAGTTTAATATTCTAGTCCAGGCAAGAAAATAAAAGTCAACATTCCAAACCTGTTGCCCATCTTTGATGCCAAGTTTCTCTGCAAGTTGTCTGTTCATTTCTACAACATTTCCAGCATGCTGACCACAATGTCTGATTTCTGTCCAGCCCAAGAAAACAGGCTGATTGCCCCAAGAAGCTTTCACAGCTTGATCCTGTTAATGCCACAGAAAACAGATAGATGTCAAATAGCATAGCAGCCTGTAGTACCCATAATTCTTTTTCCAGTTATCTATTATGTGAGTGCGCAAATAGCATCAATAATTATTCAGAAAGGGGAAGCTTATATGACACATTTCTGTACAGAATTCTTATCTACAGGATACTGTATTAATCTTGTAGAAAACATACATTATTTGGAACACTAATGTGATTAGTGTGTCTTTCACGTTCGAGCAAATAAGTAAATGCAAGAGCTGTTTGACAGTGGAACAGACTTCCATGACAGCTGGCGGACTCTCCTTCCTTGGAGATTTTTAAGAGGTTGTATGGCTATCTGTCATGTATGATTTAGTTGAGATTCCTGCATTGCAGGGGGTTGGACTAGATGACCCTCAGGGTACCTTCCACCTGTGCAATTCTATGATAATAAATTGATTTTTGGGGAATGCTAATGAAATTAGTGCAGTTCTGTGTTTGATTGGATGCATGTGCAGAGCTTTTCTATGAATGGGCTCCCTCATCTACTTCAATTGAGAAAATGACCCATGTCTCCAAAGAGATGTCTACAGTCATATCCCTCTACTGAAACAAATGGAAGAATTGCTGTGCTTGGTTGAGTTCCACAAACTCTGAAGCCTTTGTACCCAAACTGCTGAACCAGGCCAACAGTCTTGCAGTTTGTACACAATTTGGTCATACTCATCCTGTAGAAATTCCAAATGCTTTTCAGCCCTTATTTCATACGAACATGTACATTTTATACAAGGATTCACAACACGAATATAGTGCAATGGCAAAACAACTAACAATGCTGCAGCAGCTTAACAGGCAGGTGTTAATGACAAGAGAACATTGTGAAACTGTGCCTTCATCTACAAAGATGTATGTACAGTTCAATTCAGGGGTGGGGAACATGAGACTCTTTGCCTAATTTTATGCAAGCGGGAGGTGACTGGAGAAAAGAAGGGTGGATGGAGTGGCAGGAAGAGAGGGAGATAAAATGGACAGAGTGATGGAGTGGGGGAACCCTCTGCAAGTAAACAGTTCAGACCTCTGGCAAGGGTAATATATATTGGGAAGAAAGATGCTACAGAGGCCACTGACAGGCAACAGTGAAGCCTAACAAGCCATGAATCAAGGGTGTACCACTAAAAGTGCATTTGTTACTTATATCTTTTTTGGCTACTATTGATTTTAATAACCTTTTAAACTGTTTTTATTGAGAACATTTGTTTAGACACAGAAAGCATATTTTTGTTCCTTTATGAAGTAAGCAGAGAAATTCAATAAATTGAGTTTTTAATTAATTTCAATGTCAGTAGTCCATTTCAAGAATATCTGCAAGATGGAATGGAAAAATCACTTCACATAATTCTTCTTTGCACTGAAGTTAAGAGTTTGTTCCACTAGTGTTACCAGGACCCTTACAGAAGAGCATCTCCTAATTTGATGCAGTAGCTGCTGTACCCTCTACAGTATAAGGTAAAGCGGGGAGAGGATTCAACTCTCGTGCGCATGTCTGTGAAAGAGAGCAACAGTGTCAGATATGGGACACCTGTTCCTTTACGAACTGTGGGAAGCTAAAGGATGGCAGGTTCTCTCACGCCTAAAAGCTGCAGTGGCGACATAATGAGCGTGACATAACAAGAACCTTTAATTTTGTATCCTTCTACCTTCTGCCCTGCGAATAAAGTCTCTCACAGGCCCCATTGTATCCTGAACCCAGTCACCTGAGAACCACACCCCATAGCGCCAAGATGCTGGAGGGCAAACAGGATTCCCCCGAGCCCCCCATTCCCCACTGCTGCCGTAGCAACGGGACGTCAGGACGCTGGCAAGGCTGACGAGAAAGAAAGGGGGCGACTGAACGTCGCCAGAAGACGACGAGGAGAGCAAACGTGTGAACGAGACGGCTGCCCACGTTACCATAGCGACATGACATTGGGGGGGGGGCCGAGGCTGGCTGAGGAGATAGAAAAGGCCCTCAGAAAAACGAGCCAGGGCGAATTCCCATGATCCTCTCTGCCCGGATAAAGCCGCCCTCCCCGCGTTCCTGTACCTGCTGCAGACGGAGGCTGGAAGCCAGCCCAGGCGGCAGGTGCAGGAAGCAGTCCCGGGCGCCGCTCAAGGAGACGCTCGCCGTGGCTGCCCCGGGGCCTCCCACCCCCCACATGGCAGGCGCCGGCCCTGCGACCGCGCAGAGCCCAGTGCGGCTCGCGCTAAGGGCCGCAGGACATGTACTTGCTGCTGCTGCCGCCGCTGCTGTTCCTTCCTGCTTCTCGAGCGGCCCACCCTCTTTGCCCGCTCGCTGTGATTGGCTGAAGCGGTTCGGCCCCTTGTTTTGTTTCCTGGCTCGGTTCAACTTTCACCCGCTTACCTCAGCCTTCCAATGAGAGCGCGTTACCTGATTTAGCTCTACCGGATTGGTTGTTTTTGTGGGAGGGGGCGGGGAGACGGCGGGAGGAAGACGAGTGGCGTTTGGAATGTGCGACAGGAGCGGGCGAGGCGGGTGACGGGAAGATGGCGGCGGCCGGTAACCAGAGCGGCGGAGGCGAAGTCGGCGGCGTCTATCAGCACCATGCGCAGCAATCGATCTGTGCCTCGCGCGCCAAATATCGCGAGGGGCGCAGGCCACGCGCGGTGAAGGTAAAGCGGGGGCGGGGAGGACTCGGGCCCGCCTGCCTGCGTGTGTTTGCGCATCTCCCTTCCCCTTGTCTTCTGGCATCTTCCTCTGGAAGGCGGTATGCTAACACAAGTGACCGACAAAAATCAGTTGGAAACAGTGGGAGATCTCTAAGCGGCTGCAGGCAATCTAGGGGGGCGCATTGGGTGCTAGTTGACATGACTGGACTTTGTTGAAATAAACGCAAGCCCCATAACTACACCGCAAATAAAGCAAGGGATGGATCCTGAGAAAGTCAACGAACCACGTTGACAGGAGGAAATGGCCCGCCGAATGAGACCGAATTCCCTTCAGCATCTTGTTGAAAGCAGTAATGCTTCTGAATACCAGTTGCTGGAAGCCACAGGAGGGGACGAGTGCTCTTTGTGATCGAATCCTGCGTGTGGGTTTCTCACAGGCATCTGGTTGGTCAACTGAACAGGATGCTGGACCAGATGGGCCGCTGGCCAGATCCAGCAGGCTCTTGTTATTTTCGTATGTTTCTTCTAATGTCCAGCCGAATGCTCATGAGAGCCGCGAGAAAGGCATGCAGCTTTTCCTCCTCCAGTGACTGCTGTTTATTGATATACAGTCGAATGAATCAATTTATTTTGGTCACTGACCAGAGTGCTTATTGATATACAGTGCTGCCTCTTGAGTGTGGAGGCTCCAATTAGTTCTCATGGCTAAATGAAGAAGACACCCATACAGTTGTTTTCTGTGAAATTGTCTAATCTTTTCAAGGGAACTAGGGGGTAATTCCAGCTCCCTTATAGATTATGCTGGTGGTTGGCCACCTTCTGTAGTAGCCCCTACTTTGGAATTCTTAGTGTATAGCAAATAGTTTGCTTTATGAAAATACTTCTTTGCCAGAAGAGCGATTTGTTACTTGCAGTTTGGCTGTCTTTCTTAGAAGCAATTGTGTACTGATAGGATTATTTTCTTCAATTGTCAAATATAAATTCAAGTATAGGTGATGCTGTTTCTCCCTACATAGATCATTCTATATCCGTATATGATGAATAAACTGTAGCAAATGCAGTCCTCCAAACTGAGGGATTGGCATGTATTTGTTGAGATGTTTTATTGTACTTTTATGCTGAGGGTTGGATGTAAGCTCACTTCAGTGTCACATTTTCCTAGTATTCTAGGAACTCTCAACTGTAAGACGTTACTAAATTATCCTAATTATGCATTATTGCTTAAGAAAATAAGTATCATCTTGGATCAGAAAAAGGTACAGCATTCTTTCCAAGAATCTCTGCACCAGATATCCATTGACATTCCCCCACTATAACTTGTTTCGGTGTTGCAAAAAATGCCACACACATGCACAAAAGTTAGAAGAACCTAAGTGCCCTACTGGATTAAAGGTAAAGGACCCCTGACAGTTAAGTCCAGTCACGAACAACTCTGGGGTTGCGGCGCTCATCTCGCTTTACTGGTCGAGGGAGCTGACGTTTGTCCACAGACAGTTCATCCGGGTCATGTGGCCAGCATGACTAAGCCACTTCTGGTGAAACCAGAGCAGCATACGGAAACGCCATTTACCTTCCCGCCAGAGCAGTACCTATTTATCTACTTGCACTTTGATGTGCTTTTGAACTGCTAGGTTGGCAGGAGCTGGGACTGAGCAATGGGAGCTCACCCCGTTGCGGGGATTCGAACCGCCGACCTTCCGATCGGCAAGCCCTATGCTCAGTCGTTTAGACCACAGCGCCACCCACAGTCCAGCATCCTGGCTGCTCCCCACAGTTGCCAACCAATTATGCCTATGGGAAGTCCAAAAGCAGCATATATGATCTATAAGGTGACATATAACCATCATGACCTTTGTAATTCTGTAGTTGGTGAAATATTTTCAATTTCTGGATGCACAAGGGCCATCCTAAGGGTACTTACCAAGTAATTAGTTTATTAAAATACCTATTTATTTACATCATTTGTATGCTGACCAATAACTAACATTTGCTCAAATATTATATAACCAATTTAGCTAAAAATTTAGGCTTGTTCTTAGTATCTTGGCCACAGTTGGCAACCATTATTAAATGATCACGCTCTGCTTCTCCTGTATAGTGCTCATACTAACTGAATTGCTTTACATTAGAGCTGTCTATGGACGATTGAGTTCAGAATAGTATAACACTTAAAAAGCATATTTTAACAAGCAAGTACTTGAGATTGTAACTGAGACAAAAAGTATTAATGTGGCTATGGTTTTTCAGGTTTACACTATCAACTTAGAATCTCGATATTTGTTAATACAAGGTGTGCCTGCCCTGGGTGTTATGAAGGAATTAGTTGAGCAGTTTGCATTGTATGGAACCATTGAAGAATATAACCCACTAGATGACTATCCAGCAGAAGAGTTTACAGAGGTTTACCTGATCAAGTTCCAAAAAATACAGAGTGCAAGGTATTTGTAATTTTTCAAAAATAGCCCATCTTCCTTTCCCCCACGACCCATAGTAACTCAGTGTTGAGTTTTTTGTTAAGTAATATTTGTGTGTAAGTTAAATGGATTTTTGTGATGCCATAACTGAACTTTGTTTTAGGATCAAACAGATTTTAAAATGTTTGCTGCTGTAACTGGATAGTGTTTAATGTCTGACTTAACTTTCATCTTTGTTAGGATAGCCAAAAGAAAACTGGATGAACGGAGTTTCTTTGGTAGTTTGCTGCATGTGTGCTATGCTCCAGAATTTGAGACTATACAGGAGACTAGAGAGAAACTACAAGACAGGAGGAAGTATATAGCAAAAGCAACTAGTAGCAAAGGTTTGTGTCTGTATACTTCTCTAAAATTAAATGTCTTGGGTTTGTATGCTTAGTTAAATTTGAATTCATTCTGTATTACTCCACATCCACCAGAGTATGCTATGCTACAAGGAAAGAGTAGAGGCAAACAACATAACCAGTGCCAGAGATATATGCAGGATGCAGTTTGAATAATAGTTTATTAAAACAATCCTATGCCTTTAACGGATGTATAAAGCTGTAAGACTACAAGCATACTAGCCATCAGTCTGACAGAACTATTGCTCAATTGTCATATATAAAATATAAAGGAAACCCTATCCACTGGCTACTTAGTCTAGTAGAAAAATGTTTTGACTCTCTTGTACTTAGCCATTATTATGATTTAATTTATATCCTACTCTTCCTCCTAAAGAGTGTAGGGTGGCAAGCACCAACTTTATAAAACAAACCTGGCTCTTTCATTGTGATTTGTTCCAGGGTAAGCTCAGGGCCAAACTAATGTGATATTTAACATACCTTTGCATTTAACATGAACTTTTTTGAACTGTAAATTGGTGCCACATGCCTCTTCCCAAACAAGCAGGATTAAGTCCACAACAGGTGGAAAGTTTAAACAGTTTTTCTCCTTGCAGTGTTTGCGGCAACACCTCTACTTTGGGAGGAACATTTCCATTTTGCCAATGAATTTTTTTGAGAATTAGCATAGTAGTTAAAACTAGTACAGTGGTACCTCGGGTTAAGTACTTAATTCGTTCCGGAGGTCCGTTCTTAACCTGAAACTGTTCTTAACCTGAAGCATCACTTTAGCTAATGGGGCCTCCTGCTGCTGCTGGAGCACAATTTCTGTTCTCATCCTGAAGTAAAGTTCTTAACCGGAGGTATTATTTCTGGGTTAGTGGAGTCTGTAACCTGAAGCATATGTAACCCGAGGTACCACTGTACTTGTCAACTCTAAAATATGAACGTTGAATTGTGCCTCCAGTGGCACAGTGGGTCAGTGCATCTGGCTGTGAACCAGAAGGTTGGTGGTTTGAGCCCATCCAGGGTCGCTGTGAGCAGGATTTCGGCATTGCAGAGGGTTTGACTAAATGACCCTTGGGAACCCTTCTGACTCCTATGATTCTAATACAAATGCCAGTATTAAAGTCAAATTATTCCATTGTAGCGAAGTTGTACTCAAAAGTATTTTTGTGTAAAAATATTAGGTAGTCAAAATGTTAACTGCTTGTGTTTTATGTTTAAGATCAACTGCAAGCAAAGAATTCCAATACAAGTTTTCAGAAGGCTGTGCAGCTAGATGCTTCTGGATCTTGTACATCTCAGGCAGCCACTAGTAACTGGAATCAATCTGTACATCTTGGTGATCCTCAGCAATCATCCTACTATGAATTGCCACTGAGAAGCGTAACATCTCCTTTAGGACAGCAATGTCAGAGTATGTTAGCAGCACCTCGGAATGTTAGTGACTGTGCTGAAGCAACTGAGTGTTCAGGCCAGAGGATAATAATGGCTCAGGGCTTGCAGCAAGGAGTTCACAATACATTAACCCACTGCAACCCACAAAGAAAGGTTCCTTGTACTAATGGACTTGGCAGATTTATGCCTCGAACAACTCAGCTGCAGGAAAGAAAGAGGAGACGAGATGAAGACAACAAACTTGCCCTTTTTGGAAAAGACATTAATAGTGAAGAAATAATTATTGGTCCAAGGTTACCAGAAACACCTAAAATAGACATGGAGGATGAGTCCTTGAACACCTCAGCAAACTTGATTCGTAATAAACTAAAGGAGGTATGCTATATTTTCAAAATCTGTGGTCTGTAGTTCTGAAATTGGATAGCAGTTTATTTAAGGTGATAAGCTGCCCTTCTATGTCTTATGTTGATTTCTTAAGCATAGCTACTTGGGAGAGGAATGAAGGACAAAGGTGCCTCATATTCTTCTTGCATTAGAGAACTTACATTTAAATGTTAATACTGTGCAGCTTAAGGAAAGGTTTGTAAAGTTGACTATTTGTGTTACTAGCTTGCTGGCATTTCTGTTATGGCTGTAGATTGGTCTAAAAATTATTAGCAAAAACAATGTTTCTTTGTATCCTAGGGGACCTCCTTTATTTTGGTTCTAAAAATAGTGACACAATTTGTAGGGTGAAATGTAAATTGAGAAATAGCTGCAAGTCATTAGAAAATTTGCTTATTTGACTCCCTGCTGTACAGCTAGTTCAGTTAACTGTCTGAAAGATCTAGCTAGAGTAACTGCTTAATGAATAATTAAAATGTACTAAGTTTAGTTTCCTCTTTCCATATTAGGTTGTGGTTCCTGTTCAGACTCCAGTTCAAACTCCAGATCTGTCTGGTGGAATATCAGTGAATTGTCAAGCAAAGCCAACATTAAAGCAAAGACGACGAATATAGTTCTTACTAGAAAGTATAGCTTGATCTGGCAGAATTAAAGTATTTTTGTACATTTTATTTAATAAACTTAGCAATTATGCCAAAATTCAACTAAAATGTACGTTGTTCCATTGTTTTTGTAGTCCTTATGAATGTATTGCTTTACAAGAGTGTAGACACATCAAAATATTTTCCATTAATGTCTTACTGGTTTTTCTAGCCAGTATATTGAAATGAAGGCATTATGAAAATAGAGGAAAAGGTATAGAGAAAAATATTTCTGACTTGCCTTTACAAAAAGATTAATGGTATCCTTTTCAAGGACATTTACATAGTATAAGTCATTTGTAGAGCTACAGATCGGGACTATCTTGGAATGCTTGTGATTCAAATGCCATTCTGCACTGTAAAGTAAAATGAGAATGTTTTTTAAAATAAGTATTTAATATATGATTAGTCTTATACAATATAAAATACCTCTGAAGCGTAAACTATTAACACTATACTTTAACAGTAAAATTTTAATATTTTTCTCTTATATCAAGGAATCTTTATTATGGCCTATGCCCAGTGGGATTTCTGCTCCTTCCAGTGTGAACAGCAAACTCCCATGTCATATCACAACTTGTTCTCGAGGTGCCCATCAATTAAAAAAAACACCAGTTTTTTCGTGTTACTTGGGAGTTTCTGGGCTTGTGTTTCTCAAAACACCCATACCAAACTTCTTTCTATCCTGATTTTTCACACTTTAAAAAAATATAAAAATACTGTATTTTGAAATGTAGCCCTATGCCATGGCCAAGTATGACCCCCAAGGCACCTAAACAGAAAGGTGTTAACAGTGTTTGCAAACTGTTAAACAGTTTGTAGAAATGTGAACATGTTCTTCAGGCTCCATACAACTTCTTCTGGGACAGCATTTATTAAGTTTTTATATAAGTACAGTGTGGTAATTTGGGGGAAATTGGAGGCATTTGTGTTTCTTTTGAATCACTTTGCCCAGAGGCCAGCAGTAGTCCCAAACTGCAAACTTGGTTCTTTGGGGGGAGTGCAACCCTATCAAGAACTAGTTGTAGACTTCCATCCATGGTGGTTAGCATCCCACCCTCAACGCCTCTGAGAATCATTGTCACCACAGCTACATTCCACCTATGTCAAACCTGGTCAGCCAAACCACCCAGAATGACACTATGGTTTATGATATTGCAAGCCTCTGAGGTTGCAGAGAACTGATAAAGCTGTGTCCCGTCCCCCCCTATATTCAGAAGAACGAAGGCTGTTCTTCCCAAAACCAGGAAGAAAAACTGTTTGGAATGGATCTAAATAACAGCGTTATCCAGTACTGCCTGGAGTTGTCCAGCTGTCACATGCACCACCACCTTGCCCAAGAATAGAATATTTAAAACAAGGTGGTAGTTCTCCCAAGAAAATTGGTTATTTAAAAGGGGATCCTACTAGTGCGTCTTCAAGGGCAGCAGGAACCAAATCATCTCAAGGAGACATTCACTACCTCTACAAACCCAGCGCATGTCTGGCGGATCTCAATAACCAGGATAGGCAACAATCAAGCAAATGCCTAATAAACAGTTTCTCCAAGCAGATTGTGTCAGCATATTGCACAAGCTGAAAAGTATCCGTAACAACATGACTAGGCAGCCCACAAACTTCACCTCCCTCTGATTGTATCAACTCTGGCATTTATAGATTTCATAAATACCTTTATATCAGGTAAGCATGGTCCAAATGCTTCTAAAAGGAGGTTTTCATCTCTCACAGCGTTTTCGAAATCCGCATAAGAGAGTTTGCCGTCATGGTCATAGTCCTGCAAAAGCAGGTATTTTTAGTTAATTCAGTTGCATTTAGGATGCACGTACATTTAACTGAGAGTAAGCCTCATTGAACCCAATGGGCTTACTTTGAGTAGAGATACAAATGTACTGTCAGCTTGCTAGCATAGTATAATGAAATGCTTTTGGCTACTATTGTATATGTTTCTCTGCCTTGCTGATGCCTTTAGAAGTACTTTGCTCCTATTCTTGCAAGCACTTCAACCTGGTATTGCCAGTTAGTATACTCAGGAGATGGTCTGCTGAATTATCTTTTTAGGTATTCTTGAGAGAGATTGAATCAATTTGTGCTTCTTTTTCGTCTGTAAAAATGTGGGTGCAGAGCTTCTCTTACCATAAACCAATAGTTCATATGAGCACATTATAGATACAAGCACAAAAGCTACAAAAGCATGAGAAACTATATATTTACATTACAATACTTGCCATTTTCTTCAAAGTTATTTCTACTAAATCTTTAATTCCTTCATCAGGATCTTCTTCCGATGGCTGCTTTAGCAGGCTGTTCTTCAGCATATGAAACATTTCCTCCCGTGAAATATATCCATCACTGTTCATGTCATAGACCTCAAAACAATCTTTGGAAAGGACAAATGATTTAATGGAAAGCAGGCATACATATCAAATAAAGCACTTTTACATAATGAGAGAGCTTAGCTGATCCTAAATTATATATAAAGTAAGTAAACCAAGAACTGCTCTGTTGAAGCCAATTTTTTGGAATTCCCCCCCTCCCCCAAATAAGATGCTGCATATTTATAGTCAAATATCATAACCCTATCCCTATATTGGCTTTAAATCAACCTAACTCTATACACTCCCAAGCTAGACACTTACTTCCTGTTTATTCATACATTTACTTTTCTTTTTCATTTCCTGCAGGACCACCTACCTTTTGTGAAATATATGTGTGTGTGTGAATATGAAGTGGATCCTAAGACTGATAACAGGAAACATTTTATCTATGTGCCTTATATATTCAGACGCAATACCAGATTTTGGAAAGCAAATTCTTTGAAAACAAACTCAGTATTATGGTAGACTGGCCATTCCCAAAATGATATATACTCTATAGTAGTGCAGGCAGTATAGTTTGTGATAGAATACATGACAGCAAGTACTTTGTAAAAACAGTTGCAGAAGGAGTGGCTATAAGAGAGGCCTTCTCATTCTTATCTAAAGGATCTAAACTACAAACTAGGATGGTTCATAAGATCTGGGTTCACAGTCAGGGAATTTTGTAGTGTAGGAATTAAACAGAGACGATATGGGTTCAAATCTCTATTCAAAAACAAAATGTCTCAATATTTCCCCCCATTGATTTAAAGGATTGATTCTTATTGTTTTGTTGTACTGTGTTCTCTTGAGAATTTGTTATGATGCAAATAACAACATTGTGAAGCAATGTTGGTTCACAGCTGGAAAATGGATCATCATATAAACTAAATTAAACTTAGGGCCTGTCCTAAGTTTAATTTGGCCTCATCTGCTTACAGGGTTTTCAACAGTAAAAGCACAAGACTGATGAACCACATATGCCACCTGAGCACTTTGAAAGAAAGGGAGGATAAAAATGTAGTAAAATGAGTGATGAAACATTCCTATTTTTAAAAGTAAATTGCTCGCATACTTTAGCAATACACTTGTCATTTAAATTGTCTTAGATTTGAAGACTAGCGTAAAAACCTGCTAATGGTACGGAAACCTTACATTTTATTTTTTCCTCCAGTGTCCCCCGAAGAAATATTGATAAACCTTCTACCCATTCTGTTACACTGACACAGCTGTCATTGTCTTTATCAAAAGCACGGAACACTGAAAGAAGAAGAAAAGTTATGGTATATTTCAAAATACTGTAAATTATTTGCAGCAAAGTAATCGCTCACCCAATGTATTTGTGTCTTACAAACTATATGGTTCAAATACACAAGAACTCCTTTAGAAATTTCAAAACAATTCTTCATCCACAAGTTCTTTGGACCCAGAGGAACTTTAGATTTGTAGCTCTCAAAAAAACAGCTTCCCCTTTCATATAGCTACTTGTATTTGAAACGGAGAGGTTTTTCAAAAGCAGCTTCTGATGTGGCATACAGAGGAGGGGAGGGGGTCTTTCGTTCAAAAGAAAAACAAATCCTACAGGGCCCGTGACCTCTTTGTAAACCTAAAGTAGCATTTGGATCCAAGTCGTAATGCTGGAACAATTCTGTGTCACCAAGTGGGAGTTTTAAAAACACAGTTATGTAATTTAGTAACCATAGCTTCTGATGACATTTTAACAGATGTAGTGTACTTTACACTTTAACTGCTACTCATCTAAATTGCCTCATTAGAGCAACAGAAATGTACTTGTCATGCTACACAATGCTGCACAGAGCAAGGACTTAGACAAACACTGACTACTGCTCAAAATGAGTTAGTATAATGTGTCTAATGCAAATGTCTTCACCATTCTATGCCAATAAACTGATATTGGGGAAAGATTGCTACTCTGAACAGACATTTTTAGCAAACTAGAAAAAGCTGAATTATTGCAAGTTAATGTTTGGAGAAACAGTTAAGAACTATAACTTGAAGCAATTGTTCTTGAGCTTGCATTTCCATCCTTCCATTTCTTTTTCTTTGTGTGCCATATCTTTTTGAATTGTGAGGTTTGGCTTAGTACCAATTTCTTTTAAATAGCTCTTATGGTTTTGTTGGCTAAAGGGCAGGGTATAAATGCCTTATGCTGCTGGCAACCATCTGTCTCAGGAGACAATGGAGGAATGTGCCTTTGGAGGTAAAGTCAAACTGTTGGAAGGTTACAGTGCCCGCTGTGGCTAAAGAGACCATTACGGGAGAGACACTGTCCAGAAAGATCAACTCCTCTCTTCCCTCCCTGCCAAACTAGACTCGAAATAAGTTAGAATATTCTTTGTAACCCTAATTGTTGGAGTGGGGGTGGGGAATGTGCATGCGAGTGGCAGTGGAGCATGCAAGCATGCACAATTGCAGTGAATGTGAAGCATGTGTGCATCAATGACTGCAGTGTATGTTGTGCCCACAATAGCTTCTCAGACTCCCAAATGTTCCCCCACTGTCCCAAAAAGGATGGTGGTCCCCGAGCTACATAGCAACTTGTATAGCAATACTTGTATTGGTGCCATTTTTGAGTTGCTCAAAAACCACATTATAAATGGCAAACACAAACAGTACTCCCAGTACCTACCTATTACTCATGCGTATTCATGGGCTGTTATTAGTAACAAACAGTAAAGCACTTAATGTAATACCAGAAGAATTATTATCATGTGTCCTATTGATGTTGTGAATAACCATAGGGTACTGGAATAGAAATGTTTTCAAAACTATGTGAGATGCTATTTTAATAGATGTTTTACATATATCACAATTTTGCAAGAATGTAATCTCACCTCTGTCCATAATCATGTCATCTGTCATACCAAATGTGACATGCAGGATATTTCGAAATGAGTTACGATCCAAACCAACAGCAGCATGCCGGTCGCTGGGTTCCACCCCCAAGTTGTTGAAAAGCTTAATGAGGCATTCCACTTCAAATTTATTGACTATGAAATAAAATAGAAGTTATGGCAATAAGCAAGTGGTAAAAAAGGAAAAATCTCCACAATATTTATAGCCTGTTCTGGTATGCTTTCCCCAGGAAGTCTTGTCCAGAGTGGAATCCTTTTGGCATCAGATACAGACCTTTTTATTTGCTCAGGCCTCTTTGACATTGCAGATCTTTCTGAGTAGGCATGTCTAGGATTGTGCTGTATATCTTCATAACAACAGTACATTTATTGAAATGGGTTCAGTCACAACCTGGTCTTTAACATGGTTTTGAAATTTAGTTACATCTCTTGGGTAGCTGCAATGTGGCAGACAAACATTTTTTTATACACACACAAACACACTAACAATTCTACCCCACTTTCCTTCCCAAAGGAGATATTGAAAGCAGGTAACAAAACATAACAAAACCCCCACAATACCTCTTAAAAAACTAAATATATACCAAACACAATCCTAGAGGGGGAAAAAAAAACATTAAAGATAGGGGTTAAAAATAGGGTTCTCAGAGCCAAAATATAAAAAAGCCATAAAACGGAAAGCTTGTTTAAAAAGAAAAGGCTTCAGAGACCAGGGGAATTGAGCTGAAAGAGAAATAAGATCTAACCTTGCAAGACAAGACATTCTGCCTACAGGGCACTGTGTTGTCACCGAACACACCTCAAAAAGCAAGAGAGCACATTCACCTGGGAGGAGACCCATGTAGATATGGTGACAAATTAAAAAGAACAGCACACAATGGGCACTGGAAAACATGGGCTCCTCTGAGCAACCAAAGGAATACACTGGATTTCTAGCTCGATGGTGGAATCCTGTGCATGTCTACTCAGAAGTTATCAATTGGGAAAACACCCACGGTAGGATTGCAACCTGAAAATGAAATTTTGGGGTTGCTGAATGCTGCCTTTCTTGGGAGTTGCTGAAATTGGCTTACCAGCCAATGTTGAGGGCCATATCCTACACAGCTAAAACTATGTGTGGACCTTGGGGGCCCCGTGTATGCTTTCATTATTGCATTTCTACGCTGCCTTCCTCTGTGGAGCTCAGCGGGGCCCTGCTTTATCCGCTCAACAACACCCCTGTGGGGTAGGTTAGGTCATGCGAGCTACCTCACAGGACGCACCCACGAACACGCGTGTCAACCCGGGGCTCCCTGGTGGCCTCGCTCCGACGCCTGAACGACTGACCGCGTGTAAAAAGCGTAAGGGCAAATGCTGCGGGGACAGCCATTTTTTAAATTATTTTTTTGGCGGGAGTGGGGAAGGGAAGTCCCGCCTGCCACTCACAGTGCCTCGCGGTTCTGCACAGAGACTCGGCGAGCTTCTGCTGCTTCTTCCTGTTCATCTCGGGTCTCCTCGGGCGACCGCGGACGCCACAAGTCGCCACGCGGTGGCCGTGGCAACGGAGGCTCCGCCCGGCCGGCCGCTCCCGGCGCGGGAGGCGCAATGGAAGGCGGCGGGCGCTCCCTCTTTGCCAGACGCTTTTAAGGCTGGCAACGTTTGCCGCCCTGGGGCTCGCCCTTCCCTCAGTCACTCTGCTCCTTGTTTGTGGCGTTTTTAGGGTCCGAAGTGAACCAAGGAGGAAAAGCCCGAGGCAAGGAAACTCAGGGCGGAAGGCGGGCTTGGTTTGGTTACCGTGGGGACCATGGATACTGAATAAAAGAAACTGGAGGAGGGAGACTATATGGGACGGCATATATAGCGCCAGACCGACATCCCCGCCCCAGTCCCGTCCCACTGAATTGTATGGGGCTAGGATTAAGCTGTAATTAAGACAAAAAAGAGAGCAAGTAACTTATTTGTCCTTGGAGCCAGCTCCTCCCACCATTCTTTCTACTTGGCTGTTGTCAAAATGCTGCATGTTTCAATGATGCTTTCATGTGCAAGGATCCCCAGGTCCAAATTCTCACCTGTAACAATTCGCTTTCCACCGATATCTAAAGCTGTTGTGAGCCTAGGTGTGACGCAGCATGATTTTGGCCAGATGTATTGGGCTCATTTTTAGTTTGCAAGTTTTGGGAACGCACCTTGCAGTATAGAGTCTAGAACTGTGGTTCCCAAGGTGGGGCGCACACCCCACAGGACGGCAAGTTGATTTTAAAGGGGGGAAATTAGAGAATGAGTTATTAACAGTGAATGGCCTTTTAGGCGTTCTCTATGTGAATAGGACTTCACTTTTTGAATAATAAGAATTATATGTCACGGGGGGGGGGGTGCTTCAGGATTTTAGAGATGCTTAGGTGGGGCATGGCCAAAAAAAGGTTGGGAACCATTGGTCTAGAATCTCTGTTCATCCTGCCCTATGGCTAGAAGTGGTAAGCAAACACTGTTTTTCAAGGAAGCTGTGCAGTATTACAGTTATCTTCAAAGAATTCAATGATAAACTTGCAAGTAATCCTCATGCTACACATAGTTATCTGAAAAGTAATCTATGCATAGCCTACACCAGTTTTAGACAGCCCAAGATCACTTTACGTATGTATGACTTTGCGTCAAAAGGAACTTAGGATTTCCCACAAGATAGTACACCCCACCATAGTACTGGATGCCTTCTTGACAGCAATTTGCTTTTTTTTAAAAAACTTCTGCACCACAAGAAACTGGTGGGAGGAGGTATCCAACCTTGAGACCCACTGCTTTTTCTCCGTGTTCTGCCATAATAATTTGAAAAGGCTAACAGGCTTTCTGAGAACAATAGTAACAATTTACTTTCTATCTTTGCAGTGACCCAAATTAATACAGTGGAAGCTCGGGTTGCGGACGTAATCCATGATGAAGGCATGTCCGCAACCTGCAGCATTCGTAACCTGCAGTGCCATGTCTGCGCACATGCGTGACGCGATTTGGCACTTCTGCGCATAGTGCGATTTAGTGCTTCTGCGCATGTGTGAGCGGCAAAACCCAGAAGTAACCCTTTCTGGTACTTCCAGGTTTCCCGTTGTCCGTAACCTGGAAACGCATAACCCGAAGCATCTGTAACCCGAGGTATCACTGTATTTTTCTGCTCATCTGCTTAACAAGCAGCTGAGGAAGGAAGCATTACTCAATCTCAGGGCTGGTCCCTATGGAGAGGCAAATTTATATAGCTCATTGCGGCTATTCCTGTTACCATAGCATGCATAGGATGCTACACTTTATTTCTGAAAAAAATAATACAGTTGTTTGGACACACTCTGTCTCTCCCTATTTCCGGTCCACCTGTCTGACACACACAGAGACAATGCAGAAATGAATAATTTTTTCAAACATTATCTTTACTAAGTGTCTGGCAGTAATTTTGAATACCAAGACATAGTTGCATAACAGGTCTGCCACGGAACTTGTGTAGAGTAAAATCAGCTTCAATATGAAGCTGTTTGATATCATCCCCTCAGCTTTTTACATGCTAAATATCTTCAGCAAGTGTGCATTTAAAACATAGGCATGGATGCAATAAAAATCTGTAAGTAATGCTGCATGTGAAACATAATTAATTTTAAAAAAAATCCCATCAATTACAACTGTATTTCTCTACTGGTTAATTTAAAAATGGGACAAAATCATGCAGAACATTAATTCTAAATACCTTAATGACAACACAAATAATAATAATAAATGCAACAGTGTTTGCTGGGGGGGGGGGAAGAAATCAATTAACTCAATGCCACCTCAAATAATGTTAAGTACTCAGTATTCTTTTGATTCAACGGGTAAAATCCTCACTTTTGGGGCGTCAGCTATGCCACATTAGGCTGGAGTTAGGACCAGACTAGGTGGGACCAGACAAATCACATTTGTTGTTCACATGCCTGTTCATGCATAAAGAGGCAGGGAGAGGAGGGTAGGGTCTTTTTTAAACAGCAAAAGTTGGGGGTAGCCTCTCTTCCCACCCACCCCACCCTCCTGTGTCGCCTCTCCAAGTTTTGTTGCTCTATGCACCGTTCCCCTGGCTCAGCTCCAATACCAGAAGCGAGCTAGACTAGGGGGGAACAACAAAGCAAAAATGAGAAAGCTGCCACATTTCAGCTCTCCTCAGTCACATGTGCTTTTTGTTATAAAAATTAGACACTCCACACCATTATACGTGAATGGGGTGGCCATGTAAATTAACAAAAGCGACTGTCCCCAATCGCATCTAGCTTTTCCATAACCAGTACAACTGCTCTTCTGCGGGTCCTATTTACTTTTCACAAGGAAAGGTCTTCTTGGTGGAATCTACCCCATATTCAGAAAGAAAAATGGCTACTTAAAGTACCCTTGGAAGCACAGCAACAGCATCAGCAAACACTGGTGCTGCTTGCAAGGATTCAAAATAAGCTGTCTGATCCAAGAGAACACAAACATCCATGCCCCCCCACTTTAAAAAAAAGAGAGCAAAATTATGATACATACACACAAACTGACATTTGTACAGGTTACTGACACATTCCTGTTTCAAAAAATGGCAACAGTAGTAATGAAATGTCACAGGAGTTGCTATGCTGTGTTCATCTTTGATAATGAATTTTGCATATTTGTAAAAAAATATAATGAAAATTTAAATTTAACCACCCGTTCAAAAATAAAAACACCCAAATTCATTGTTTGCTTTATGGGAAGAGGTGCACAGGCAGGGTGTCCCGTCCATAAGGGCTGGCCCAGTCATTACAGTAAACGGCTGATCTACATGCACAGTTGTTTATGTGTGTGAATCGGGGCCTTCCATTAATTGCAGGGGGACCCATGGGTGCAGGGTGCACATACAAAGACCCTGGAATGGGCAAACCCTTTTCTTGTACCAACCCTATTTTGCACTGCTGTTACATCATTAAACCATGTGCAGGGCTTATTTTAAAACATTTAACGCCAGTCACCGGGGCTGAGGGGAGTGGGAAATACTACATATATTTAAGCATCAGGCAACAACAATGGCTATTTCCAGCCCAACTGCACTGGGCAAACTGAAAGTTTAGAATATTGTTAATACACAAGAGAACTCATGCAGTTTGGTAAAGTTTTGTCGTAATTTTCACAGTTGCAGTTCTCTCTAGTCTCATTGCACTTTTGATAAGAAGGTGTTGGGGGGAAGAGAGTCTTGACTGAAGTTATTCTGAGTAAGAGCTTGAGCTGGCCGTCTTCTTTTTTTTCTTTTTGCCATGTTTCTTGTGCTTCTTCCGTTTTTTTGTTTTATCCTTTAAGAAAATGTAAAATATCATGAATGCAGTCAATTCACTCAAATATAGGCCCCGACTAAGCATAATCTTTCAAAGGAAAGATTAACCAAAGCTATTCTGAAATTAAATTAAACCAAATAGAGAGTAACACCTACTAAGCAAAACCGTGTTTGAGGCCCTAGTGTCAAACCTGGGCATATCAAATAAGTTTGAGAAAAATCTAGCTAAAAATCCAGGCGATGTTGTTTGGAAACCTTTTGCCAAGCAAGCACAGTTGGCAGCACTGTCTTTAATGATCTGATTCAATGCAAATTCATTGTTTAGGTCCTTATTTCTGTGCCATATACAAAGTCAGGATAAGTAGGATATAAAGCAATGCAGCCAGTCAGGTGATTGCCACCCTCAGCTCATTTGGGAGAAAGGGGAGGGATGTAAATTTAATCAATCAATAAAATTCTGCTTTCATTTATGCCAGTCTGAAATTTAAAATCAGTTTTTGTTGGAAGTTATTTGACAAGCAGGAAAATTGCTTACATTTTTCTCTTTTTCTTCACTGGTTTTCTTCTTTTTTGCTGGTACCTACGTGGAGAGGAGCAGAGTAATATTTTCAAATATGCTGAAATACACATACAACAGCAAAATACCAATATTGTCTAGTAGTGCTGTGGAGAAATAACATTTCCTGTTCTCTCAAATATGCAGAAATCTTCATTTTTTCCAACTATAAAGTCTGCTATCCTGTACACAGCTTCACAATTCTTACTTTTTTTCAGGTATGGTGTGTGTGTGGCAATTAAAAAGTAACCACAGAGGCCCATACTAGGAACATCCAGGTGGGAAGGATGTCCTGCTCATATGATTTATTCATTCACATTCACCTGGAATGGCACATATGGTAAATGGCTCCCATATCTCTGAAGGGACAAGTTGAACAGGATGTTTATTTGTTGAATTCCTTTGTTTTTACATTAGCTTTTGGCTTTATAGGCATACCAACCTCCTCTGTGTGTTCTGATTCTGATGAGGACTCTGTCGATAACATGCCATCCCCACGATCTGCTTTTTTCCTTTTCCTTTCAAGGCTTTTGGTATCCTATGAAAGATAAAAGCCACATTTTGTGTACTGAACAATCAGAGGAATATACAGTGGTACCTCGGGTTACAAACATTTTGGGTTACAGACTCTGCTAACCTGGAAGCAGTACCTTGGGTTAAGAACTTTACCTCAGGATGAGAACAGAAATTGCACGGTGGCAGCGGGAGGCCCCATTAGCTAAAGTGGTACCTCAGGTTAAGAATGGTTTCAGGTTAAGAACAGACCTCTGCAACGAATTAAGTTTGTAACCAGAGGTACCACTGTATTACGAATAACTGGCTTAAAATTTATGCACCAGTGTTTGCATTTGAACATTTATTCAAGGGCAATGAGACTTCAAGCTAAAAATTAAAAGTTAAAAACAGAGGACAAAATGCATTCATGTATTCATAGCAGTGACCAGAGGAGAAATGACTGCTAGGAGGAGTGCAGAGAGAAGAAGCGCCATGGTACATCTGCAGCAGCACAACTGGACACCTTTGTCTGCCCCAGCTGCAACAAAACATGTCTCTTCCATATCGGTCTACAGCCCCAGGATGAGCTGCAACCTTCTAACAGCTTGGCTTCACCCCCAAAGGCGCATTTCTCTATTGTCTCTGAGACAGACAGATGCTAGGCAGTATAAGAAACCTGAAAGTTGCTTTATACAAATAAAGGTGCATACTAACTAGCCATTTTGATAAGTAATGGCAGAAATTCACTGACAAGAAGCAAGAATTGCACCACGATTTTCACAAACAGCCCAGCCCATTAGAACGCTCATTGACATTCATGGTTCAGAAATGTTTGCCCTGTTTGTCAAAGTCTTATTTCCAACAGTGAATGAAGCACTTATGAAAATCTGGATAATCAAATTCCAGCTGACAAGTGCTCTGAATAGAGACCCTGAGCATCTACATGAATCCTAAGAGTTGAGGTAGTTGTTTTACAATTTATGAAAGTATTTTACCTTTTCTCTTTCATAGTCTTCCTTTGCCCTTTTATTTTTTAAGCTGTCCTAAATAAAGAGATGAAAAGTAGTTATGGTATAAAAGATAGTAGTTACGGTATAAAAGATAGCCCTTGTGCTGTCAGTGGTTATAAAATCAATGCTACCTGAAGTCTAAACATTTCCTTTGATAAGAAATATGCTTATTGCACAGTTAACAATTTATTGGTACTCTGGAAGATGGATGCTCATAACAAAGCTTCCAGTCATGCAGAAACAGCTGCTGTATTATTCTTACAATACAGGGTAAGGCTGTTCTTAGTTGGCCAGCAACTACATTTGCCAGTAGGTGAATCTAGACAAAAGGACAGAAGGGAACAGCGCACTCCCTGTGACATGCTATCACACACCCACGACGCGCCACCCACCCACTTCTAACTGATCTTGGAAATATCACTCTATGGAAAACAAAAACCAGGGATATTGCATCTGATGAAGCGGAATCAAGTCCACAAATATTATTATTTTTGCCATCATGAACTATTCGTCTTTAAGGTGCCATGAGATTCTACGAAGTTTTAAGGTATCTTCAGTAGCAATGTGTATGGCGGGGCAGTAGGATCTCCCACCAATCCGCTTCTCTCGCCAGTGCTACCACATGGCACCATCTTCACTGCTACTCCACCCCAGCACCGTCCAGGTTAACAGTAGCAATGCCACCAAGTGTTGGGTGGTGGGCTCTGTACCACTACTCACACCGCTGCTGGGTATCTTAGGAAAATGTCAAGGTGACTAATACAATAGGACACTTTACCTTGCCGTCCGAGTCAGAATCTGAACTAGAGTTTTCAGATGATTTCCGTGAGGAGCGGTGCTTCTTCTTTCTTCTCTTTTTCCCTTGTTTCTTATCCTAGCCACAAATATTTTAAGAAAACGGTTTGATTTTTGTTCATGGCAAATCGTTATCTCAGCATTGAGCTTGGATCATTTTGGCATCTACTGTACTGCCACACAAGGATGGCTGAAGCTTACACAGGCAACTTGATTTTTAGTCATCAAGATTAAATCCAACGGCTTTCTTTGTCCAACCAAACACTACAGTTCTTGCTTTGTTGACTCAAGTTTAAACATCCAGAAGGTCATTAGTGTAATTTTTCAGTGAAAAATTAAAAGGGCAGATGCAGCCCATAAAAGTACACTGACAGCTGCATAAACACCTGTCTAAAGTCCCATTCAGTTGAATGGGGATTTGCTCCCAGATAAGTGGATATAATATTGTATCTATAGTATCAGTACAAAAAGATACATATTCAGCTCAGACTAACTTGAACTATTAATATACTAATTATTGCAGCTCAGCTAGTTTGGATCCTGTTTTTCTTACTTTGCAAAACCTTGAAGGGTTCTGCTGGAACCCTTACCAGAGACTTTCCTCAGCACAGTGATTTGATGTTTTGTCTACTAATGCTAATCATTTTATTGTTGTTCTGGCTGCTGTTTTTTTATATTTTGTTGGATCACTTGTCTCTGGAAACCATGGAGTGGATTGGTCTCAGTTTCCATTCAGAGTGCTTAAGCTTTTAAAACTCCCTTGATGCCTTTTTGCATTTCTCTTTGTTGAACAACAACACTGAACGCATTGTTTTGGCCAAGGGCTCGCTTTGTACATCACAATTCTACTTTGTGACAAGCCAAACTGAGGCCAGAATTACACTTTGCGTGGCCATCTTGTGTACTGAAGAGCTCAACAACCAGTTCTTTTCTGCCAGGGAGCACGAGGAGGAGGTGATCTGCAAAGAAGAAGCTGGAAGCAGAGGAGAGGGTGCCTACCCCTCAACATCTTTCCACTAAGATTCCTCCAACCTACTTTTCACACAGCTGGGTAGCGATACCCACATTTCTATCTTATACAGGACTGGAACCTAGGTTAGGGGGGAAAGCAGGTTGCAGGAGACAAACAGCAGGTGGAGAAAGGTAAACACCCACTCCAGTAATTGCCTTCTCTTCTGCAAATTACCCCACCTGATGCCACTTTGCAGACAAGAAGCAGTCACTGGGGCTTTAATGCATGAGATGGCTGCCTAATACACAGTTTTGGCCTGCACAGTGTTAATTAGGACACAGCCGTTTAAGCTTTTGCAGCACTCCATCTTGCCATCTTCAGAAGAACAATGCATGCTAAACATTTAATCCTGCAACAATGCTCAGAGCACATTACATTTAGGCACACCAATACTTTAAGGGCCCTCAACAACTTAATCAATGCACTGCCTCGAGGTAACATTTTCATCTCTTCCACACACAGAATGTTCATTTTTGCTGGCTGTTTATTTAACAGCCTGTTTCTGCTCTTCCATGTAAAAATAACATAAGTAGTTTTGAATTGGGGAAAAAAGCAAGAAGTCTCTTACTCCCACATGCTAAACGCAATAGTCATTCCCTCTGAAGGAGCACCACAGACATTTTACTGACTTTATCGAGCTGCAGCTCCCTCTCCTCACCTCTGATGGGCGAGTTTTCAAAGCCTCTACCATGTTATCTAGTTGAGATGAACTTGGGGAAGACTAAGGAAGGAAGGACTTGGGAGAGTCAATAGAAGACCCTCCCCAAAGATGAGAGCCTTTACATGGATGAAATAGATGAGATCTACTTCTGAATAATGGCTGGGAGCCCACAATCTATGCATGGCGACAACTGAGCTTCTTCCTCCTAACAGCAGCCTTACCCGAAATTCAGGAGCCTGTTAAGTACCCTGACTAACTCCTTTCCTATGGGTATGGTTATCTGTAGGTTTTCATTAACAGATTGGACTACATTTTCCTTCCTCTGTTCAAATGTGCAAGAGCCTGCAATATAGCAGAGGCTTCCGTGTGAGGGAGGGGAAGGGAAAGAGGCAAAATTATTGATTTTCTGCTTTCCACTGCAGCCCCCACTCCCATTCCTTCAATGCAGTTCCAGATGGTCTGGAGCAGGTTTCCAGGGGGCTGCAGGAGAAATGGTCAGAAATCCTTCCACCACCCAGCCACTTGTACCAGCAGGAGCATCCCATATGTAGTATCCCATGTACAAGAACTCAATCCAAGCCAATGTACTTAGGATGAGGGTGTAGAAGACTTGAAAAAAAAACCTGTTCCTGACAAGGTTGCCTTCCTCCTGATCAAAATGACACACACTGGAGTTTTTATTTTCCCCTACATTTGAATGCAAACATATTAAAATAATTGAGATGAAAAGGGGGAACTGGCACAATTTCACAGAAAGGGACAGTTTCAGTTAACAGCATTCTTACCTCATCTTCAAAATCAGAAGAACTACTGGAAGAATCAGAGCTTGATGAGGAAGAGGAAGATGGAGACAACTTGACCAAAGACAACAAAACGTAAATTTGTGAGATGCAGAATTTGTTAGATAAATGCAAAAATGAACAGCCCAAGAAGATGGCTCCTACAATTACTCTCTTGACCGCCAAACACTGATATTAGGATACATTCTTTAAATAAAGATGCGTCATTTGGGTTTAAAGCCAAGATGAGGTATTAACAACACATAAAACAGCTTTCAAAAACATTTTTTCTCCTTAAACCAGCTTTCCTGTACACTGGAACTCCAGATACTGCTGGACAAATGCCCATAATCCCCAGCCAGCGAAGCTAATTGTCAGGGGTGATGAGATTGGTATATGATCTAAAAACACCTGGGGACCCAAGGTTGGAAAAGAATGCCTTGCACCTGTGTACTTAACTCCCTTAAGTTAAAATGTAGATCAACTTGTACATTGGGGAAAAACACCCTGAAATCTTTGCTCACCCTACTGGATTTCTTCTTCTCCTTTTTCTTCTTCTAAAAGGAAATAAATGAATCTAGAATTAGTATGTCCATGTGTGTGTGTCACTGATGAAGTTAAGGTTCTACATTCAGTGATGTGTTCTTTGGTAGGAGTTGCATTGCCGCACTGCCAAACAGCAAAGGCTATCCAGAGATCCAGACCCCATTGCCCTTGAATAAATATGCTAAAAAATGTTTTACCTCTTTCTTCCGTGAAGTGCTCTCACTTCCACTTAACAATTTCTCCCGGTGTTTTTCGAGTTCTTTTTTCCAGTTCTGAAAAAAAGCGTTGGATGTAATCAGTTGTAATTTCACTCAGAGCAGGCAGTCAGCTTCTCCCTTCAACAAATAAAACTCAAAGCCATGGATATGCGAAGGCTATTGATGGAGAATTTCCAGGGAAAGCTGTGTTAAGACTTGCTGGAAGAACTACACAGAATCCTCTGGGACATTTATTGTGGTTGAAGCTTCCATGGAGCAGGGTCTGCTAGATGAAGTGGTCTCGAGTCCATGAAAGCGTGGGCCACAATACATTTGTTAAGGTGCAATCCTAGACACATCTGTTCAGGAGTAAGTCTCATTTAGTTCACTGGGACTTACAGGTATAGGGTACCCACATGCCTGAGTGGAAGTCCTAATGAACTCAACAGGAGTTATGCCTGAGTAGATGTGCACAGAATTACACTCTTAGTCTTTGAGATGCCACAAGAGGCTTTGTCATTTAAAATGGTATGGTATGTCAGGCCTTGAATTTTTTTCCTAAAAAACCCACAAACATGATAAAAAAAAAAGCATAACAAAATAGTAAGACCTTAAAAAAAACCCTAACTAACCATAAAGCAACAAAAATAACCAGCATTTTCTCCTAACAATATCAACAATACTAGCATTATATAAAGGGGTTGGGGCAGTCTGGAGAATATTCAGCCTTTCTCTCTCCTGAACATTTTTCTTAAAAAGTTGCTCTCACAAACTTTTAAAGCTATATTATTAAGAACTTGGAGAAAGTTACATAGCGTTCCACCCATCCTAAGAAATGCTGAACATCTAAATCCCTTGGTGTCACTAATAAGTCTTTATTCTCTAAAAGGTCATTATTCTAGTGTAAAAAACAAGGCTTTGTCCTCACATACTGGGCTACAGCGGCTGTTCCTACGAATGCGTACCTATAAGTGCTATGTCTGTTAACCTCCCTTTGCTCTTCCCTTTCTCCTCAGTTTTTAAGGCTTCTGGCAAGAATTTTATGTTTGCTGGTAGTGATCGCTCCTTCGTGGGCACTATGTTCCCGTAGCACAATGGCTCCTAATAGCTTTGTCAGAGTTATCTGAATACATTTCAAAGGTATTTCAAGGTCTGACAGAGCTTTCCATTTTAGCTCTTGCTGAGCAGAACAATCTGCAGTTTTCACAGTGGAAGCTTGCAAAATGGAGGCCTTACAAATTAGATGTTATCATTTCCTGGGGAGGGGGAAACAGCATTTAGCAATAATATTGGATTGGCAAGGGATGAGATAAGCAACAGTTTCTATCACTCTGCTACAGTTTTAAAGTAATACAGTAAAAGGGCAGGCAGATGGCTGGGGTGGGATAACAAGACAATTTCATTATGCTTCTGAGAGTAGAGCAGGAGGGGGGAAAATCTAAGTAATCTATCTACATAAAGTTAAACCAATAACAAACCTCATTCATCCTTTCTTCAAATTCTGCTAAGGCTTTGGAACCCTTCTTCTTCTTTTCTAGTTGTTCTTTTACTTCTTCCCTTTAACGCAAACAAAACAATATAAAGCCCTGATTTATGAAAATCTTCAAGGCAGCCAGTTGTTAATTCACCATATCTGATACAACAGGCTTGGACCCTAGTTAACTTAAGGAAGTTGATGACCCCTGAAAATCTTCTCCAGAAGGTAGTGTTGGTGGGGAGGAAATCCTGAAAAAATATGGGATGGGGCACTGTGAATGACAGGAGGGAGGTGGCCATGGGAAAGTTACCTTTCATGAATTTCCTTATGTTAACTTATGTTATGATCCAAGCTATCTATCTATCTATCTATCTATCTATCTATCTAGTCTGGGCAACTGCCTTCAAGACAAAACCTACTGAGGCTACTTAGATCATACACCTCCAAACTCTGGCCTCTAGATGTTTTGGGACTACAATTCCCATCATCCCTGACCACTGGTTCTGTTAGCCAGGGATGATGGGAGTTGTAGTTCCAAGACATCTAGAGGGCAGAGTTTGGGGATGTATGACTTAGATGCAAGTAATTATTCCGCGGGATTCACTTGGCCTATTATTGGCTGCACTGGCATGTGATAATAAACTACACTTTGTCCCTGCTCCTCTTTTGGTACAACCACAATAAGGAGCTTGGGAGCATTTGCTTCTACCTTCAACTAACTGTAGTCTGTTGTTATGTCTGAACCAAAACAAACTGTGATTACTCTAAACTTTAGTCTGTCTGAAAAAGTTGTTTTCGTAGTTAACATACTTGAATTGTTTGGATAAACCATAGTTAAAACCAACATAACACTTGGCTATGGTTAAGCGTTACATGAAAACCAGGTGATAGCCTTCGGAACTGAAGTCCCATTCTCCTTCATAACACAAGGGCTCTGGAAAAGGAGGGAAGTCATAATGGCCATACATACCATGTTGGTCTTGGTCTGTTCAAATAGTCTTGTATGGTAGGTCCTGAAGATGGAGCAGGACCTCGTGATCTAGCCATTGCTATGGGATTCATATAAGCCTAAAAGATTACAAAGCGATAAATTCAAAGTCATTCCACTTTGCTGACATTAAAATAGCACCCCAAGCTCCTATTTATAGAGAGAAATGAAAGCATTTTTAAATTAAACAACAACAACAACAGTCTTCTTCAGGCACCTAGCAGATTCTTAGAAGACAAGTGCACAGTCTTCCTTATGGGTTGATTTTGCTGTTTTATCTTTTGTAAACCACTTACAGAGTTGTTGCTGTTGTTGTTTTACAACCAAGCAGTGTTTAAGTTTTATGGAAATAAAATAAATAAATAAATATTTAAAGGTGACAACCACACCATACATTTGAAGCATATTTAAAGCACATGACTTCCCCCAAAGAATCCTGGGAACTTTAGTTTACCCTCACAGAGCTACAATTTCCTTAACAAACTACAGTGCCCAGGATTCTTGGGGGGGGGGGGAGAGAGACACGTGCTTTAAATTAACTTTAAATATATGCTGTGGCAGTGACAAAATTCTGAGGGGGGAACCAATGCTTTATTTTCCAAGTCCAGTTGCTCTCTGACTATCAAAGAGTGTTGATTTTTAAATGGAACACATAACAAGCACTAAATAGTCATTCATTTTGCCTTTTCTCTCTCTAGTCTCATTTTCTGGCAGAAGCTGTGTACACTCAGCCTCTGGAAATCATTCTGTTCAAGAGTTCAAGAAACACTGGCACACAATCAAGGCTGTAGAAATTAGTGATAATATTTATAGCCTGGGCAAATTTTGAGAGCACCATACAACTCAGTAGCACTGAACATTTGGCCCACAGAAGTCCCTTATTTATCCTCACAAGAAGCTGTAATATAGGTCTTTATTATTCTCATCATGGAAAGGTTCTAACTTGCTTTAGGCTACTGAAGGACAGACTGGCTTGGTTCAAACATAACCTAGTTTTATTCTCTGCCCCCTGAAATGCTCCATTCTCCTCTCCCCTTCCCTGCTCCTTTCACTCTTGCCCCGTAAGTCAATACTTGAAGGGTTTTTAAAACCACAATTTCACATTACATCCAAACTGTGGAAAACTGTGATTGAAGGAACCCTGTAAGTATTTAATTATGGTACAAAAGAGAAGGAGAAGGGATGAGGAAGTGTTCTGACACAAAGCTAATTCTGAGTTTGGTTTACTACAAGAATGGACAGGTTTCAAGCTTGCAGGATCTACTGGATCATGCCTCAACAACAGAACATCTGCTTTGCACGCAAAAGGTCCTAAGTTTAATCCCTGGCATCTCCAGGCTGGGCAGAGAGAGACTCCTGCCTGAAACCTGGAGAGTCACTACCGATCAGTGTAGACAAAACTGAGCTACATGGACCAAAGGTCTGAATTGGAATAACACAGTTTCCTAGGATTTCTACTTCATTTTTTGCTAGTGCCACCAACTGGATCATGGTACAAAAGACCTTACACTAAGAATTAAAGAATTCTGAGCCAGCACAAGAATTGATTTTGAGTACCAGAACAAAAATAACCCTGAAACTTTCTTTATTTCAGCAATATAATTTTGAGTTACCTCAGCAGCAGGTATTCTTCACCATTTTCTGGTTTAAGTTTTACAGCCCCAGTGACAAGCCCTTCCAGTGGTTCTCAACCTGTGGGTCCCCAGACGTTGTTGAACTACAACTCCCATCATCCCTGAGCTCTGACCTTGCTAGCTAGGGGTGATGGGACTTGTAGTCCCAAAACATCTGGGGACCCACAGGTTGAGAAAGGCTGCCAGAGTTTTTGCATTTGGACAGTGCCTAACTTGTACAAAATGAGAAATCAATTGAGATTGCCATGTTCTTACTATGCCCCAAATCACATATATAGCTTTAACACAACCCCTTAAGGGATAATAAATAAATAAATAAATAAATAATAATATCATGAGCACAAATAATAAAAAATGCACAGTAAGGAGGATGTCTGGAGGGGGCCTTAGTTACTTGCATCTAACAACTTCTAGAGGTCTGTACAAGTAAGGTCCCCTCCAGACATTCTCTTTACTGTGCATTTATTATTATTTGTGCTCATGATGATACCCTACTTTCAACATTCTTTGCATATGCAATAGCTTTGGGGTAGACATAATGCTTCATTTCCAAATAGCGCACCTCCCTTGCTTCCTTGTTGAAATCCTGTAATTTTTTTATACCACAAGTGTTCCAGTGTGTTTGTTGCCTGCTTTTGTTGCACTATAGTGCAAGAGTGCTTCTCCAGATGGTAATAAAGCAGTAACAGTGGGGAAGCATTTCCAAACAGCTAATGAAGTGGAATGATGTGCTGACGGCCTTGTATAAATCCCCCACAAATACACCTTATTGTGTCAATGACAGGTTTCAGAATACTGTACACCTGCCAACAAAAAAACCCCCCAAAAAACAACAACCTGGAGGGGGCCTTTCAGCATCAAATCTCAGAAAGAAACCTTAGCTTGCTTACAGCTATCTGCCTTTACCCAACAAAGGAATTCTATTTAGCAGAGATCACTAAAACCTCCTTCCTCCCCAGGCACTTCAGAACATTTCTATGCTAATGCACAAAGTGCGACCGTTCACATTTCCAATCTGTGCTAATAGCAATGAATGGCCTTGGTACAACTTGAATACAATTATTATTTCTTTGCTTAGGACAGCTGCAGATATCATTTAGTCACTCCTGCTTTGCCTTTAGGTTTACTTGGCCAGCCTCAAAACATCAAAACCCTATACCCATATGGTGAAAAAGCACACCAAAGAAAGCACCGGAATTACGTATTCAAACAGGATCACAAAAGTGGAAGTGAAAAAAATCGGAGGGACTAAGAAAAAGGGTCGCAATCCTTAAAGCAAAGTCGCAAAATGCCCTGTACGGTTAAGTTCCTGCCACATTGCAATTAGATCTGCCCGCCCAACAGATCCCCTGGCTGCCACCTGCTACTTGCAGGAGGAAATCATGTTTTTTTAACCTACGTACTTCGGAGACACTCCAAGTCCAATGGGGCGCAGAAAGGTCCCACGATCCCCATTAGGGTATAAATATATATATATACATTAATGACCGCCTCCCCATCCCGGATTCCCCAACCGGGGGGTAGAGAGAGAAAGACCTGCCGTGTGCATGTCTGGCACAGTCCATCCCAACATCAGGTGTCCCCCCCCCAATAAACTTCTCAGGTGATCGCCAAACCATAACAACCTCCCTCCCCTCCGCCCTGGACCCCAAGTCTTTCACTCCCGGGTCCAGCATCTCCACCCAGCCCAGGAGGAGCCGCCGTGGGGCCTCCTTCCAAAGCCTCGCCGCCCCCAAGAGGCCTCCCCTCCAGCGCGGCGCGACTTACTCACCACCCGGTTATCCCTTTTGCCCATGGCGTGCAAAGAAACCTGCGGCGCCCGGCGCCCGGTCAGAACCGCACCGGCCTAGCTGAGCTCCCTTTCTCCGCTACCCGTCAAGTTGTTGGTTTTTTTTCTTAACCATCGAAACGCTACCGAGCATGCTCAGTGGCACCCGAGCATGCTCAGTGGCAGACCTCGAAGCGCCCGTGCCCTTCCTTCCTTGCCCACACTCGGGAGTCGGGTTGCAAAAGCGCGCTGCTGGGAATGGGTGGACGAGTTCGGCGCGTCTGAATGAGGGACTTGGGAGGCTCGCGGGTCGCGCCGCAGCAGGAATTGCTCGCCCGCTTGCACTTGTGAGCAAAGACCGATTCTGCAAGCAAAAACGGCAGTCTGGTTTGAAAAGGGGTGTCTGTAAAGGTGCATAAAAAGAGCCTCAGATTGAGGCAGGGTCAGGCTGCGTCACATTTACCTTTCGTCAGAAAGAACTACCGGTAACTGCAAGGGAGGGGATGGGGGGGCGGGCGTGGGAGAAAGGGAGCATGAAGGAAAAATATATATGGAATAATGCAACTGCTTAAGGGAGAGGAGGAAACACACTCTCCGCCCTATCCGCTTCAGGTGTTCCTCGCCCCCTACCCATGCCTCATGCACGTGATTGTGTCCATACCCCAATATAGGGAACGAAACTGGGTGCTGTCGTCAGGATACATCTCCAGGTCTTGGAAAAAACACACTCCCTGTTGCAGCGTCTGCGGGGAAGAGGTTCAGAGGGCCTGCAGCGACTGCCGAGCAAGCCAGCGGGGTCTTCCCTTAAGAGGGTCCCAGGCTACATAGGCCAGCCTTTTCCCAACCTGCTGCTCTCCCCATGTTTTAGGCTAGAGCAGGGGTCAGCAAACTTTTTCAGCAGGGGGCCGGTCCACTGTCCCTCAGACCTTGTGGAGGGCCGGACTATATTTTGGAAAAAATATATATGAATTCCTATGCCCCACAAATAACCCAGAGATGCATTTTAAATAAAAGGACACATTCTACTCAAGTAAAACATGCTGATTCCCGGACAGTCCGCGGGCTGGATTTAGAAGGCGATTGGGCCAGATCCGGCCCCTGGGCCTTAGTTTGCCTACCCGTGGGCTAGACTCTTGTCAGTCGCAGCCCGCAGGCCCCTCTGGAGGCTGCAAGCTTAGCAATACTGTATGCATGGAGTAAAAAGTACAGCCAGAGGAATGATTTGGAAGCTGCAAACTGCAAATTGGCAGGGGACAAGGATGTCTGCAGAGACGAGTAAAATAAGTAGGGCCTATCAAAGGCAGCCTTTGCTGCCTGAGCCAAATGAAAAGATGATGCCTCTCTGCCCCCCCCCTTCCCATATGGGAAAAAACAAAACTGATCAGATTGACAGGTTGAATCTTACTTCAAAACTGACAACAGAAGTGTTTTTCCACTGCCTCTGAGGAAAACAGACTAGCTTAGGGCACCTACAGTAGGCCACAATCCCTCTAACATCTTGGGCACAGCCACACCATAACTTTAAATCTCTGTGATACCACTTTAAATAGTCAGGGCTTCCCCCAAAGAATTCTGTAGGTTCTTAAGAGTGCTGAGAGTTGTTGGGGGTCCCCAGTTTCCCCACAGAACTACAGTTCTCTGAGTTCCCTGTGAATTGGATCGCTGTGAGGGGAATAGGGGTCTCCTAACAACTCTCAGCACCCTTAAAAAACTACAGCTCCCAGAAATGTTTGAGAGGAATCCATGGCTATCCAAGTGGTGTCAGATAGATTTAAATGTATGGTGTGTGTGTGCCTGCTCACCACCATTTTATATTGGCCATCCAAATCAGTATGAATGTTCATTGCAATACAACCAGTGCTTTTCTTCTAGGGAAAAAAGTGCCGGTACTGTGTACCCTTGAGTACCCCCAGAAAAAAAGCACTGCCTTCATCCCATAAACAAATCAGAATGAATGCTCAGTAAACACTGGGTGTAGTATAAACACTGTGAAAGCTTTGCACACTCAAATTGGGATGAATGCTGAACAAACAGGTGGTCTGGAGGAGTCCATAGTGTATTATGTATACCCGACTGCTACTGTTTGTAACTCTTTGATGTAACTGGATATTGGAAAACTGGAACATATAAAAGGAGTATGAGATATATCATGATGATGTTTTTCAGTGTATGTGCAATGACCCAAAGAAGATCAGAACAAGCTCAGTGAGAAACACAAACCATTTTAACCAGCAGCGAGTAAGCACACGGAATCCACACATTTTTGAAAAGAAAACTGTAGTCCGGGTAGGCTTGAGAGTGTCAAGGGAAATTGATTTTAAAACCAGATGTGGCTGAAGTACTAAGTATGAACAGTGAGCTCATATTATGTTGCTAGGTAAGGAGTGGGGCATGTCAAGCACCAGGGAAGCCTTTCTAACTGGCTTTTCTCTCTTCAGGTCATGTCCCTCACAGGCCTTCCTTGAATGCTTTTGTCAGCCTGGAATGTGTCCTTAAAATGTGATAATACATATTGCTTTCCTGAATGGAAGGTGAAGGAGAGTGTGTGTGTGTGTGTGTGTGTGTGTGTGTGTGTGTGTGTGTTCAAACCTCTGGCCTTTACAGGGATGGAATGTAGTCTACTGTACAAAGGAAAGTCATATCCACTGCTGTACCCATTTTTGTCTCTGGTCTCTCCTTCCACTGGCATGCGGCCTCCAGAAAGTTGCTTATGAGGGATGCAGGCCTCAGGCTGAAAAAGGCTCCCTCCTGCTCAAAGTCACGCAGCTTTCAGTTAGTTAAACATTTAACTGTGTGGGATGAAATCGTACATGGGAGTTTTACATACAGTGCCTTGGCTAGGATAGTCTACTTATTCATGTCAATTGCTACAGTTCCACTGACTCATATCTAATGGTTTGCATTAGCTGCAGCAGCACAAAGACGTGAGCTGTTGCACATGAAATAAGCTTGGCACATGAAAACAACTGTCAGGCTCTGCCTGCTTGCAATTGAAAAGCATTAGCTGGCAATTATTTCTCCACACGTTGCACCGAGAATCTCAAGTTTAACCTTTCCATCTTTAAGATTTTTCTCAGGAGGCTGTGAATAACTCTCACAAGGAGACACATGCCGGCTCTGTGTCCTCCCCATTGTACCCCATGCACTGTTGAATTAGTGCAGAGGCTCATAGGGTCACTCACTTCATTTGTTTACACAAGATGAGCACCAGGCTCACAATTTTTAAACTGGTGCTCACCCTTGTTCAGATCATATTCTAAAATTATCTAGGTGAGGGCCAGGGAACCTGTGGTTCTCCAGATGTTTTTAAGTGGAGGTAGGATGGCCATCTGTCATGGATGCTTCAGTTGAGATTCCTGCATTGCAGGGGAAGGACTAGATGATCCTCTGGGGTCACTTCCAACTCTACAATTCTATTTTGCTGGACTATGGCTCCCATCATCCCTGACCATCAGGCATGCTGGCTGAGGCTGATGGGAATTGGAGTCCAGCAAGTTCACCATACTTGCATCTAGATTCTGGTGTCCCCCCCCCCCCCCCGCAGCTGTCAGGAAATTTCTCTGATTTATTTTAAGAGATACCATGTTGAAGACCACATTTATATTACATTGCTTTTAGTTTAGACAGATTGCACTAAAGTTGATAGGGAGCATCTACTAGTGAAAAATAACAATAATAATAAATCACAGGAACCAGGTGATGTTAATCTGTTTTTTTTAAAACACCATATCATTGTACACCAAGGCTTTTATAAATTCACAAGTATTTCAGATTTTAAAACAGCATCCCTTACAAAAAGATGTCTCTCAGAATATGATGAGTCCCTGCTGCATTGCAGAGTTACAGGAAATTATTCAGGGCATCAAGTTCAAAGTACACTTAATATTTGTTTGAGAATGACCCAAAAACTCCCATTTTGACACTTGCTAGTTTAACCCCCCCCCCTTAATTTACAATGATTAGTATCTTGGTAAAGAATATCACAAAAATAAAGATAAAGCCATTTAACAGCAAATCTCACCATAATATGTTCCCCCAACCATTCGCCTATACAAGGATACACATAATGAATCAATATTTTGGTAGGCATGAACTCTTGCAACTAAGCCTAAACCATGAAAACGGTACTTTTGAAATACAGACTTTTATATCCAGATGCCAATATTTACTTCTAACTCTGTGGCTTTCATTTATGGTTCAACAATTAGGTTGCCAGCATTTTAATCAGCGGCTTGATCTACAAGCATTAGCCAGTGATAATGTTCATCTCAGTGATGAGAAAGGGGTCATTTGCTGATTTCAGCAAATAATGCCACTAATAAAGAAATGGGAGCAGGCTAGTCAAAGCTTTTGTGGTAAGCTGGCAATCCTATCAATAAACACAGAATACTTTGTAAGCCATAGTTAAGAGAACATAACAAGAGCCTGGTGGGTCAGACCAGTGGCCCATTTAGTCCAGCATCCTTTTCCCACAGGTGCCTGTGGGAAGCCTGTAAGCAGGATCCAAGCACAACGGCCCTCTCTCCTCCTGTTACAAAAACCTTTATGTACAATGATACCTAAGGCTTACTCTAATGACAAGAAATCAGTGAAACGGCTTTAGGTATCCGTCACTGACTAGTTTCTAGTGACAATGTCAAACCAAAACACAGAAAATAAATCAAGCTCTTTTCTTCTAATTTTAATTTCCAGCACGATCCTTTTCCACTCTACTGTTCTACATGTACATTTCGCTTTACCAAAACTTTCAAGTTTACATACATTTTAAAAAAACAAAACAAACAAACGAGACCTAAAAAATACTACGTCCAATAAGCTTTCTCTCTTCAGTTGCAAAATGCAAATATTATACTATGCGGCTCACTCAGATTATGTACTTTATATCCTGTCTAACATTTAGTCCCTACAATCAGATTAGCAGCTTGCATATCTAAAACATTTTAAGGCAACCTATATTGTAAAAGCACAGACCTTCTACACTTGCAGCTACTGACACGTTCCCTAAAAAGGCTAGTAATATACTACACTTGTTTTTTACTCTGAGAAGCCAATAGTAGTATCCATTTTAGTATAGAAAAGCACACATCAATTAAAATAGTAATCATTTACATTGCAGATAAAATAACTTGGATATAAATGTCCATCTTTTCAACAAATGTTGACCCCAACAATTGGGTCCAAGTGCTGTTACTAACCATGTGTCCTCACTGCATCAGTCAGTTACGAACCAGGAACCTGAGACTGCAAACACTCCCTTGCAATTGTAAACACACTTATTCCCAAGTAAATCTCATTGGTTTCAATGGAAGATGTTGAAGACCAACTATGCTTAGGGTCGAGACCCTGAAACATGTCGTCTTGAAATGACTTGCACTGCAATGATCCTGTAGAAAAGTCAGTTGACTTCAAGAAATGTAAATGAAACTACTCGGGGATAAATGGGTTGAAGATTGAGATTTTATTCTATTCTTGTAACAGCCCAAGCCAGCTGAGCTAGAGGAATTGACTTTAGTAGGATGATTTGTAGCCCTGTCACCAATATTTGCACTGGCATATCTGTCTGCAAAAATGGATACAGCTGCATTTTGTATCATGGTACTTGGGATGCTCAATCAACAAGATTTATTTGGGACAGTAAGTTTTAGGATCACTCCATTAGTCTAACTGAAGCATGGGAACTCTACATGCACACATACTCTTATCAGTATGGGATAATAGGATAGCCCAGTGCTGCTCCCATCTATTCAAGTGAATGGGGGGATCCATTTACATGGGAGCTCTGCTTACACATCTGAGCACCCAGAGTTTAGAACCAGGGGACACGGTCCATAATCTAAAGACCTGCGTGTGCAGAACCTTCCCGTTCTTTTCCATGAAGGGATCCATGCATGGACAGGAGATTCTTGTCGTGTATAGAGTGATCTCCTTGTGCTTAGATGTGAAACTCCATGACCATGACGTTCTAGACTTCCATTAGAACCATTGGATTAAGGCTATTGCATAGAAGTTAAATCCCACTGATTACAATGGAGCTGTACTTGGGACCACAGCTGAAACCAACTGAAACATTTAGCTTAACTGCAGGCTACAAATTATACCGCCCTTGTATATTTGCATGTTCAGGCCCTAGGACTGAAGGAATATTAACTTGTGAGGAAATAAAAATACATGACTAAATAATAATAATAATAATAATAATAATAATAATAACTACTCAATGGCACATGTACAAATGAAAACGTGTTTTGATTCTAAGAGAATGCACCATATTCCCCACATTCTGGATTTCAAGTTATAAAACAGGTCTTTGAAGCGATGATTTTTACATATATATATATAATATTATATGAATGCTCAGGTTCTCAGGAGGGCAAATTCTGCCCCAGGCACCAACCTTCTGTGTTTACACAGTGAACCCACAGACACACAGCCTTTCACACAACTCTCTTTAACAAGAGAGGGGATATTATAACAGGGTCTAATCAGCAAGCGGCTGAGGCGGAATGCAGGTGTTCCCCACCATATACGCCATTCTGTCATCAATATGTGGCAAAAGCAAAGGTGTAATGGCTGAAGGGGAAGGCATTTTAGGTAGACCACTACAATATGGCGTTGAGGGACACAGTGTGAGATGCAGAGTCAAGGAGAACAGATTATTACCGATGGCTCTTCAGGAAGGACACGCCAAATATGTGGAGAAAATGGGGACCTCAGTTGGTATTTGATCTTGCTAAGGTGAACACATCATTCAAAAATAAAAAGCAGTACTGGATCAGAAGAATAAAAAGTGGAGAAACTGTGACCTTCCACATGTTGCTGGACAAATGCGAGTTGGAGCCTGACAACATCTGGAGAGCAACCCCTGTCCTAGTAGATCTAAAGAGCATGGGAAAATGCAAGCCCCCCGCCATATAAATTCAGCCCTCCTGAATGGTACTATGTGATTACCAGTCAGTGGCAACAGGATTTGTAAGGAGGCCACTTTACAGGGTGGCGAGTCAGGGTCTTGGCCTCTCTGCTGCTGACTCCACCGTCAAAGTGGCTTAGGCAGGGTTTTAAGTGCTTTCCTTTTTAGGAAAGAGGAGAACAATTTGTTGGGAACTTACAAAGGTGCCTTATTCTGCTTCAGACCATTAGCCCATCTAGCCCAGGATGGGCTACTCTGGCAGGCAGCTGCTCAGGCAGACTCTTTTCTTGTTCAACCACCTATGGTTCTTTCAAATGAAGATACCCGAGACTGAATTTGAGACCTTCTGCATGCAACGTGTTGCCTCTACTGCTGCACCAATACTCATTTTGCTGTATATCAGAACCTACCAGGGTATACTGTTAGCATCTGGGCGCTGAACAAGGTGTGGAGGGGTGGGAGCCTGTGGCCCTCCAGATATTGTTGCACTTGAACTCCAATCAGTCCCAGCCAGCATGGCCAATAGTTAGGAAAGCAACATCTGGAGGGTGACAGGTTCCTTTCCCTCGCTCCAGGGAAAACAGGATTTCCTCCTGCAAATGCAAAAACCAGGTTAATGAGAGAACTGAACACCTTATGTGTTTCAGGTTTGACCTGAAATGGCTTTGGACAAGCTCATTCTAAAGTGCCTTATGAAAACGCTTGAAATGCTGAACAGCACCAGTCAAGACTATTCATTGGTATCTTCCATTAACTTATACATTGTGCTAGACACAGTGCAAGTAGGTTTAAAAACATAACCTACAGGTGAGCCTAATCATGCTTACTCCCAGGTGAGGGAGGGTTAGAACTGCAGCCTTAATCTAGGATGCCATTATGCTTTTACAGCGAGGAAAAACGAACCACTCTGTATGAAAGTTCCAACACACAAATTGTATTAATATGGAAGCGTCCCTGGGTTTTGATTCCATGTTGTGAAATACTTTTAAAGTTATCATGTCGCACCGTGCAAGAAAGGTAAATTGCTATGGAATTACTTTTGTTACTAGATCCAGAGCTTATATAAAAAAATAGTTTGAACAAGTCATGCCCATGGATTCAGTCTCTTTTTGCCATACGGTTTTTGCATTTATTGTCTTAGAAATACAGCTGCTCTGCAGGTTCTTAGGCAGACTCTTTCCTTGTTCAACCACCTATGATTCTTTCAAATGAAGATACCCAAGACTGAATTTGGGACCTTCTGCATGCAGTACAGAAATACAGTCTTTTTCCCATTAGCACCACAATTTCCCATAGCCTTAGCATCCATTAATCATTAGCTTTCAAAACGTACTAAAATCCTGCTCTATCCTAATGAAGGTTTACCCAAGGTTTTTGCTTACTTGGCTACTTTTAAGTTTTCATAAATGAGTTCCTCCAAAGTTATATGGAGTTCTTGTACGCTTGCTTGGACATGCATGGCTCCCCTCGCTCCTACTTTACCTCTTCTGCTAATTGTCAAGAATTAACTGAACTAATTTCCCAAAGTGTGCATTGGTGCCCCTTGTGGCCACCCATTGGAAGTGATAGAAATCATGTTTGGAGACACAGCACCCCTCTGCTTGCAAGAGATGCCGTATGTATCGAGCTAACTGCTGGATAAATCCCCTCGAGGAAAAGCAACCCAAATGCATTGGGAACAAGTGATTAAGTAATAAATGCAGCTTGTCTGCACAATACCTTGTGTGTTTCTCATTATTGTACTTGGGGAAGGGCTATAGCTCAGTGGTGGAGCGTCTGCTTTGTTCCAGTCCCCAGCGTCTCCCAAGGATGGCTGGAACAGACCGTTGTCTGAAATGCATAAAGGCACTGCTGAGTCAGTGTAGGCAATACAGAGCTGGCTGCACCAATGGTCTGACTCAGTATAAGGCAGCTGTCCATGCTGGTGACCCTCCTTTCCTTGCTCTTGTGGTGAGCCAATTTTTCTCTTCCAACGTTCCAGCATGGGTCCTTGCAGGTAGCCCATCAATTCCTCCTAACCCTCATTGCTTTCAGTTGCTTCCTGGTCAGGGCTCTCTTTGATTTGACAACAACCAAATTCTGGCTCTGCTATGTGGCTTTGTAGCTCTCCTCCTAAAGCAATTTTTGTCACTATTCTTGGGTCTCTCTGCCTGCCAGTCTTCTAGCTTCCTCATCTGCCTGCCTTTCTTTTTACTTGTTGCTCCTACCCAATCTTGCCCAGTGAACTGTTCCCCAAACTATGCTCAGCTATACCTCTGCTGTGCTACATTTCTATGGCTCTTGCTTTCTACATTCTGCCTAGGCCCTCCTATGGGATTTGCCCCGGTGCACCATCACAACTCTAGCCTCGGTCATGATGGGACTTCTACTTTCACTTGCCCACATGCTTGGCTACCCATAGCTCAGTACTAACAGGACTTGCACAATACTGTTTTTGCATAAACAGGTTATATAATTTCCCTGCACGACCTCCATGCACTTTTCTACATTATGTTGTTCACAATATAAATACTAAGAGGCGTGGCTTCGTGCTAGTGCGAGGAACATTTTTTTAAACACCCTGATCCTAAGCACAGTACTTGGAGGGGTTTCAGTGGGTTGTAGTTGTGCTTAGGATTAAAGTGCTTGACCAAATTCAGTAGCAGGAATAGCAAGTGACCACTACAGAGCAAAATCTCAAAAAAGTGTGAGGATTTACCTCTCCTGAAGTCATCACAAAGCCAGCAGTTCTCATTGATTCATAAAAGAGGACCTTTGCAATTGTCTGAACACCACTGGTTCAGAGCAAATGAATAAAAATGGCAAAAAGGTACATTGCTGGGAATTTGCAACTTAAGCATTCATGGACTAGAACCTGTAATCGGAGGGTACCCCAAGAATAGTCTTTCCCCTACATTTTGATAAAAATGGGTTGGACAGAAGTAGCCATTTTGCGAAGAGCCCTTTGCTGACAATGAAAGTTTGGAATGTTATATGCTAGGAAACTGCTGAACCTCACTGAACTGCTGATTCTCACTGAACCACACATTTGCAAGCATTTGTGGCAATATGCTGAACAATATTATGAACAAGGGAAGTTGGCAACATTGGGCAGAATGCAGAGGGAACGAGAAACACAAGCACAGAGTTATGTGCTAAAATCTTATTACTCACCCATTCTCTAGGTATACCTACTGTGGACAATGTTCCGTGCCTTCCAAAGCTCTGGTCTCAACATTGTATCTCTACAGATACAGAATACCTGAAATTATGTCCCAATACCAGTCAATGAAATTGAGCAGGGTGGGATGGAATTAATTAACACCCTGTCCAAAAGCAGAATATGAGAGAACATCTGACAGAAAGTACTGGTAGAGAATTTCTAATCCACATGTTGTACTAGCGAATCTCATCCAAACTTCAGTTCAAACAGAACAATACTAATTAGAAAGGTTTCACATAGCAGACACCGCAAAAGCACTGCATGCTTTTGTATTCACTTTCATTTAACACAGCAAACACAGTTAAAATGCCTAACCTTTTAAAGCATAATGTGCATTTTATGACCGGTATGTATCTATATAGAAGTCCTGATAATGTTTGTAAGTTTGCAGGGAGACGTTATCTTTTAACTAGAAGACTATCACAGCATATCTAATTATTCCACCCTTTAAAATAGGTATTGTTTCTAGCAGCCAAGAGATCTGTCCTTTGTACAAATAAAACATTATTCTAAAACAAGTATCTCATATAAATATAGAAATGGAGCACAATACATTAGGCAACATGACAATAGATTTTGGCAAATGAAAATGCAGGTGGATAATCCAAACAAGGCTGATCTATGATACCAAACAAAGCAAAGGGCCAGTCTGTGACTTCTGCTAACCCAAGCAGCTGAACTAATTGATATGAGAGCTTCAAGGTATTACCTTCCAATGGTGCAGAGGATGTTGGTGTACAGTACAACATATCCTAGGGCTTTATGCCTCGGATTGCACACTGCACATGCTTAAGTAGTCAGAGCCTGTGTTGACCTATCCCACCTGCATGGCAAATGGCAAGAACCATGTAGCTGATGCAATATCCCACAAAATTCATTGAATGGTCTGGGTTCACAGGGATGTCCTATCCTGCAAAGTATTTTTCTTTTCCCACAGAAGACTCCTCCTGAACACCCGCTTTGGTGCTCTAGATCCCAATCCAGAGAGCTGTGTTTGGTGGGCTTGGCGTGTACAGCAAGGGCTGATTCTTTTCCATCTCATCACAACTGCCTGAAAAACTGATCCTCAGACACCAGGGAACCGTCCAATGCAGCATAAGGAAATGCTGCCTGAAGTGGGAAAAGCAAGGGGCCCCACTGGTCACCCCAAGCCCTTGTGCGTTCTAGAGGGGCTCTCTGGATTGGGGCCAAAGATTTTAACTGGAGGCAGGAGAGCTTCCTATGCAGAGGTGCCCTAAGCATTTATAGTTCCATTCCTGTGCTGAATGAACAGATATGCACAAAGTTACATATCCTAAAGCTTACAGAGGTCCATAACTTATATTTTGTGGCACCTGGTGTTGCGGGGGAGGGGGGGGAGACACACTTTAAAGGGGACAGTCAAACAAAAATATAAGCAGCTGAATGACAGGATTAATATACCAGTAACTGGGAGTACACTGGGAAGTATGAAAAGGTTCCTTCTCTAATCAGCGACCCAGGAAACAGCTTTATACCAGGTCAGGCTATTTGTCTATTTAGCCTGCTCCCATCTGTGTTGGCTGGCAGTGCTCTCCAGAGTTGCCAGAGACTTAACCAGAGACTTTCCATACAGGAAGATCGTGCTCTGTCCCTGAGCTGTGGTGTCTCCCCAATCCTCTCCTGGGCAGCTTGGTTACACCTCAAACACGGCAGCAATTTGGGTAGATTAGAAAGAGACTGAGGTTGGCGACTGGTCACGCAAGGTGCTTTTGCATCTATGAACTGTGAGATGGTGGGACCTGGCATGACCTAAAGTCATGACGTCGCTCTGCCCTGTGACTACCATAAATCAACTATCAGCAGGTTAAGTTTTAGTGACATGCTGTTATGGGTACTATGACAAATGGTTGATTTCAGCTTCTGGAAATTAACTTTTAGATGTGTTGTTAAGTGGCAGAAAACTTTCATAGCATAGCATTCTTTTTTTTTTACAGTGCACCCCCAATAGTCCTTCCCAGATGCAGGTGTACTTCAATTACGGAAAAATTACAGGTCCTGGAAAGTGCTAATTTAGGCTGTATGCAGATAACATTTTTTTCAGAGATAAGAAAAACAGTATCATAGAAATAGTGGCACTCCTGGCTACATACATTGATTGATTTTTGTAAAAGGTGTTTTGATCATAGACCTTTGGCTTATAGGAACGTAAAAAAGGGATGCTTCCTTCAAAATTCTGGAAATGTGCACCACCTAGTGGCAGCACTCAGAATAATTTCACACCTCGCCAATTGCATCAGTGGGGCATATGAAAGGATAGTTTGGTCCTGTGAGCTTAATTTTTTATAGTTCTGAATGCCATCTGTATGGGGCAGGGTGTGATCAGGCCTACAGTGGGGATTTTTTTTACCCCTTTACTCTTGCAATGTGATATTGAGTAAAATCAAAACCCCACCACACAGTTGTTGTTTGTGCCAATGGCACCATCCCTTGTGCCCGAAAAAGCAACGGGGGCCGGGAGGGCAATTTTAGTCAGGATCACACCATGGGATGTTGGTGGTAGAAAAGGGTCATCCCCTCCCCTTGCTCTGACTGGGCATCTACGTGCCCACTACTTAAAAGACTAGGAAAATTAAGCATGCAAAGTGAAGCTACACACTGCACCTAAAGCAAACCTTTTGTGCCATGCGATGCTCAGGGCACACCCAAAAGAAAGCTTTCACTATACTTCATTTGAGGCTTTAGGGCAAAGGATGAGCAGCAGCACCTGGGGGGAAAGTCCACCGCGTTGGAGAACTTTTGCACACCGACATCCTTCCATTTCCCTGCTGCTGCATGGAGAATGCACCAGAAAATGTTGAAGGAATCTCCTACAAGTGAACATGAAAGGACAAAAGAGAGTGGCTGATACAGTTCTGGGCCAAATTACAAGTGACCTTACCAGCATAGTTCTGCCCTTGAGTATAGGTCCTCATTTCCAGTGCTGGCCTCCCTATTCTGACTGGCAACCAAGCATGGGGCTAGTGGGCTTTAACCCTATGTGCTCTCATTCTGATCTGGAAGGGGCTTCCCTGCACTTGTAATTTGCATTACAAAGAAAGGTCCCATTTAAACAGATTTGGTGTTTGTGTGTGTGGGGGGGGGGAAGAGCCCCACTCCAGATTGGTAATGCAAAGGGTTAAAGCCACCTGTCCCCATGCTAGGGGTCTAATACTGGTCAGCCTGTCCCCTGGGAGAAAATTGCACCCAAGGACAGAACTACCCAATTGTCCCATAGAGTTCAACCCCCAGTAAATTGAAACGACAAAAACAAAAACAAAAGGATGGGTTAGCACAGCAATAATTATTGTGTGTGTTAACAGTACTAGCCATCAGTTATTTCCAACAGCACCTATCCCTCTGGTTGTTGCTGTTGTTACAGCTGTAACCCATTTGGGCAGTATTTCCCTAGAGTTACATCTGGATCACTACAGTAGAACCAGGCTAGGAGTACATCTTTCTCTCGTGGATTAAAAATATTTCATCAAAACCATACTACAAAAATAAATTTTCTTTTTAAAATTCTATTTTTTTTAAAAAACCAAAAACCCTTAAAACTAAAATATATACAAAATTTAATGTAACATTTAAAGTATCTGTGATAAGGCAGCTAGGTGAATTACTGAATAAAGCTGGCTGGCATGTTTGGCAGAGAAAGCAGAGCAAAGCGATCAATCTAAACGGTGATTCAGAAGGGCTCCTCCTGCTTCACGGTGTAGAAAAATAAAATATCCTAAATTACATGAAATGTAAAGGATCTGAGGTTGATATGCAGGGACAATTCGTGCACTCCAGTGCCTGAGGTTTATTGTGGGTGGGGCGTTCAGTGTTTGTATGTTAAGCAATGCTGTAGCGAGCACTTGCCTCCTAACAACACAATCCTATGCATGCTTCCTCGGAAGTCAGTCCCATTGTGCTCACTGTAGCTTACTCCCAGGAAAAAGCACACAGGACTGCATCCTTGCACTATAACCCTATACCTGTCAGTTCAAAAGTAAGTCCCATTGAGTTCAATGAATCTTACTTCCAGGTAAGTGACAATAGGATTGTGAAGTCAGATTTGTTCTCCAAAGACAGGGAAAACATTTCAGCATATGCTTTTCATTGTTCGCTGAAAATAATATGGAGGTAATACTAAAGGAACACTTGGCTTTTCGTATACCCATTTAAACATGTTAACTGGGCATGATAGATGTCGGAAATGTATCACTGCTGAAGATGTACAGCAGTATCATGAAAGGATGAATAAAGAAGTTACACTTTGCGATGACTGACATAATAACGTCAGCAGACTAGAGAAGTGATCCTTACATTCTTTTTTTTTAAAGAAACCCCACTTTTTCCCTTTTCCATATGTGCACAATCTTGTTAATAATACCCTTGTGCATTAAGCTAGAGACACAAGTTATTATGAGTACCAACAAAATGCTGTAATTATCATCTCATGTTTCCTATCAGGGAAGGACATTCCTGTGTGATTACAATAGCCAGATGTGTTTGTACACATTTCTCTTAACTGCAGGCTGTATAGAGGTTCAGTATTTTCAATGTCATTCTTTCAAATATTGCTTTTAAGGAAGTAATTTTCTGAAATCATTTTTTTAAGCAAAGCAAACAGACTATCACCGCTAACTCCAAAGGAGTACCAAATCAGACTTCAGCACCTAGACACCGAGGTTAAGTCAGGTTTTGGTAGTGAGACTGGATTTCTCTAATCCACGACGGCACCATTCAATGTAAGGAAGAAGAAAATGGCAGCAAAAACTGGTCAGCAGCTTCTCTTCACCTGGTGATCCTCAGGTCAACTAAACAAACATCAAGCCACAGAGGGAGTCATTGGAAACCTTGACTCTTGCATTTGCTTTGATGAAGGCAACTTGGTCATTTTCCGAGGACAAGCAGGTCATCACCCCGAAA